ACAGGAGCATCGGCGGCGCTGAGCCTGTGCGAGGGGTTGAGCGGAGTGGTGACCGGGCTGCACTCGGCCATGCCAAACCGCTCGAGGACGTCCGTGGCGTACTGGCGCTGCGAAAGAGACAGCGTGCGTTGGCTGCGCTCGCGCTCAATGGCAACGCCCAGTAGCCAGGTGGTAGGACCCAACTCGCGCAGCTTGAAGTGCTTCTTCAGCTCGCCGATGATGCCGAGCGCCTGCGCGTCAGTCTTGCACCCAATCGTCATGTCGTCCACAAAGACGGGCACGAGGATGCGCGCGTCGCCGCGACCGTACACCCACACGCTGTGGTCGCAGAGAATGCGCGTGAAGCCCATCTCTACAAGCACCTTGTTCAGCGTCTCGTGCCAGACATGACTCGCCTGCTTCAGCCCATAGAGCGACTTCTTCAAGCGCCAGACATAGTCCTTGTCAGGATCAATGCCGAGCTTGAAGCCGGGCGGTTGGCGCATGTAGATCTCCTCGGCCAGCTTGCCATTCAAGAACGCGTTGCTGATGTCGATGGAGTAGAGCACGAGGTCGTCCATAGCGGCGAGGGCGAGAATGGCGCGGATGGCGGCCCACTTGGGCGTAGGTGCGAACGTCTCGGTGTACTCGAAGCCGGGACGCTGCGAGAAGCCCTGCGCGACGCAGCGCGCCTTGTACCGCTCGATAGACCCATCAGCATTGCGCTTCACCTTGAACACCCACCGGCTGCCAATAGCGCGCTTGCCGGGCGGCAGCTCAACCACCTCGAACGTGCCGTTGTCGACCAGCGCCTGCACCTCGTCGAATGCGGCCTCGATCCACTTCGCCTTGTCCGGGCGAAGCAGCGCTTCAGCAAACGTCTTGGGCTCGCCTTGCTGCGGGTCCGGCGTGACTGTAGTCGCGAGGGCGAAGTCGAGAGCCTGTTCTACTGACCAGTTTTCTTGGGTGATGCCGCTGAAGACGTAGTCGAGGCCGGCCTGAAGAACGTGCGCTCCTGGGATGGGCGTGCTGTCAGTCAAAGCAAGCTCATCGTCACTCCCTGCCCAGTCCATCATCTCCTTCCTTGCCTGCTCTCTGTCCTGCGCCTGCTCATCCTGCTCTCTGCGCTCCTCTTGCACCCCCTGCTCGCTCTGCTCCTCCTGCTCCTCCTCCTCCTCGTCCACCTCCTCAATCTGGCCGGATAACGGCGCAAACCGATTAGGGGACGTCACCTGCGGCTGTGGCGCGGGTGTAGACGATGTAGCGCGGCCTGTAGAAGGCGGCGCAGGCTGCTTTTGCCAAGCGCGAGTCGTCAATTCGCGCTCGGATAAGCTATGGGTCGGCTTGGTTGCCCGAGGCAGACGCGACGGTGGCGGTCCGCTCGAGGTGGACGGCCAAACTGTCTCCCAAGCAGGGGACGGACTGCGCTCAGGGCGCGGTGCTGGCTGCTGCTCCTGCGCGCGCTCCTGTCTGCCTCTCAGCGCGGCCTTGCTAGGCGGCGCAGTGCGAGACGGGCGGGGTGCAGAGGGCGGCGGCGGACGCGCGCTAGGCGGCGTGGTAGGCTCAGCTGGCTGCTGAAGCGGCGTAGAGGGTGCCGGCGGCGATGTGGGCGGCGGTGTGCGCAACTGAGGCGCAGCAGGCGCGGCGGGCGCTGGCGGTCCGGATGGGGGAGGCGGCTGATCATCATAGAGCGCGACACCATCGTCATCTGCGCTATGACGATGGGTAGAGGGCGACGGCACATCACCCCCTTGATCAGCAACATCCCCAAAGTCCGGAGGGCCTTCACCTCGGTCTATAATCGCCGCAGTGATGAGGTTGAGGCTCTTGAGCGACGTCCCCGGCATGTAGCGCTCATCAAACACCGCATGCGACGAAATGACCGTCTTCTTGGTGGCCGGGTTGTAGAACAACCAGGCCTTGGTCCCGGGAGGGTACCCCAAGAAGATGCACTTCTGAGAGTGCGGCTCGAGCGCGCGCCGGTGCTTGTCCTTCACCAGGACGTACGCCAGACACCCAAAGACGCGGAAGTAGCCAACATCCGGCGTCTTGCCAGTCCAGGCGATGTGGGGGGTGGTGTCGCCAGGCAGAGCGGAGGTAGGAGCGCGGTTGGCGACGTGGTTGTAGGCGGCTATAGCATAGGCCCAGAATGAAGGCGGCAGCTTCGCTTCATAGAGCATCGAGCTAGCGCCATTGGCAAGGGTTAGATTAGCACGCTCAGCAACGCCGTTCTGATGCGGCTCATCTGGCTCTGTGATCTCCAACCGCCACCCCTCCTTCAGCGCCGTGTCCTTCATGACGTTGGAGATGTACTCGCCACCCCCATCGCAGCGCAGTACCTCCAAGCGCTGACCGCTCTCCACCTCAGCGGCCGCCTTGAACTGCTGGATAGCAGCCCAAGCGTCGCTCTTGCGCTTCAAGTACGCCACCCAGCGCCGCCGCGTCTTGTCGTCTATGAAGGTGATCCAGTAGAGGTTCGCCCCCTCTCTGGATGCGACCGGCATAGGACCCTTCAAGTCGGTGTGAACCAACTCGAGGGGACGCGTAGCGCGCTCTCCCGGACCGCGCGGTACCGCCTTGCGCGTCTGCTTCCCCATGATGCAGGGCTCGCAGATCGGGTCCGGCGCCTCCCTGCTGTCAAACCGCATGCCCCTCACCAGCTTGCGCTGCCGCAGCTTCGCAATGTCCCCATGGTTGACGTGCGCAAAGCGGCGGTGCCAGAGCGCAGCGTCGAGCGGGAGCGTGGTGGAGGCGGCGCGCTGCGCGCTGTGCGCAGGAGGAACGACAACGTAGCCGTCCAAGTAGCCCGTGTTCGAGTCGTCCACAGTAGCGGTGCAGACGAGCGCCCCAGCGCGGTAGAAGGCAACGCGCTTGTCCTTGATGCTGACCTCGTACCCCTTGTGCGCAGTGAGGTGGTAGATGGATAATAGATTCGAGGTAAGCAAAGGAACATGGAGGACGTCAAAGAACACGATAGGCGTAAGCAACTTCTCCCCCTCCACCGGCTGGTACTCCACCGACCCGATGCCCGCCGAGTAGACGATCGCACCGTTCGCTAGGCGAACAGGAACGCGATGCGGCGAGTAGGTGACGAACCAATCTCGCCGCGGCGTCATGTGTAGAGACGCACCTGTGTCGGTGTTGAAGTTAGCCGCAGCCTTGGACTGGAGCCACTCCTTGAGAGCGGGGGAGGAAGTGAAAGCGCTTGCCTGGCCAGCAGACTCGACGCGCGCAGCAGCGGCGGAGGTGGACGCGGTAGAGGACGCGTGAGAGGGCGCAGAAGGCGCAGAGGACGCGCCGGACGCATTGGCGCCGCCCTTGATCTTCTTCTTCTGCTGGCGCTTCGAGGTAGAAGCAGCGGCAGCAGCCTCCTCCTCCTTCTTCCAGTCCGGCTTGAACTTCGGGCAGTCCCGGATGAGGTGCGGGCCCTTGCAGTTGTAGCACTCGGGCGTGTACCCGGCGCGGTTGGCTGCCAGGGGCGTGCCGTCCGCCGTCATCCGGTGCGAGGCGAACTCACGCGCGATCATGTCCTTGACCGTCTCGTAGGTGAGCGCCTTGTCGAGCAGGAGGGACGTGTACATGTTGGCGTGCTGCGGGTTGGGGGAGGCGGCGAGCGCGCGCATGGTGACCATCGCCTTCAGCTCGAGGTCCATCGTGGCTAGGTCGTAGCCGGTCGCGGGGCGCAGGGACTGGACGCGCGTCATGGCCTCGTCGACGCGCGAGAGGAGGTCAGTGAGGGCGGTGGTGGCCTCGGCGTCGTCACCCAGGTTGACGTCGAAGAAGTCAGAGAGCGCGGCAAAGCGCGTGCCGGCCTCCTGGATGTTGAAGGCGGTCTTCATCGCGTCGTAGAGGTCCTTGGGTGTGCTGCGCTTGTCCTTGAACTGCGGACGAAGCGGCTCCTCCATGGCAAGCCAGAGCTCACCAGCAGCCTTCTCCAAGCGCTGCTCATACTCCTCCTGAGTGCGGTACTCCGCATCAGTGACTGCGCTGGCATCCTTGGGCTTGGGCTTGTCCGAGGCAGAATCGAGCCAGTGATCACACTAGAGCGACAGCAAACGAGTCAGGAAGAGAAAAGACTCGGATGTGCCGCTCTAGGCAGGAGGGACCGGCAAATGCCAAGGGAATAATATGTGGCGCTCGGCAATAAGGTGCGAGCGCAGAGATATGACTGTAGGTAAGCGTACAGTACCGGGAAAAAGTCCGTAAAATGGCAGAAAAAGACCATAGGCGCTAGAGAGCGCGTAGACACCGATTCCAACAGCCTTCGCTCTTGAGGCTGCTTCCTCCCGCAGGGCCGCGGTTGCCGAGTCCGTGCGCAAGGGTGGCGTGTCGGGCAGGCATAGTGTTGAAAACTGAGGCGGGTCACGCGAAATTCTGCTCAAGGGGTCGACATTGGAATGCACTCTCCCCGCGCGGTGTATAATCTCGAGACCCGGTGAGTAGGCTGAGAATATTGCCCCCCAGGAAGCGAGCCGCCTATTGCTATTCTCGTACGTCTTCGCCCACTGCAAGGCGCTGTGGTCGGTCACCAGAAGGATCGGTGCGCCCTCCAGATACGGCTGGAACTTGACGAGGGCCTCCTTCGCCGCTAGCGCCTCCCGCTCGGTGGTGCTATAGCGCGCCTCCGCGCCCTTGAATGTGCGCGACCAGTAGGCTACGACCCGCTCCACGTGCACCACTGTCTTGTCTAGCGTTGCCCCCCAAGGTCCCGGCTCCGGTATGTCCTTTGTTCGATTGGAAACCTTGTTCACCAGCCGCGGCACTGGCAGCTTCTTGTCAAAGGTGTCCTTGATCTTGTCGTACGTAGCCGTCCCTTTGAGGTCGCGCACCGCCATGGGCTGGACCTGCTGGAGAGCGCATCCAAGGGCGTGGTCCGAGGCGTCTGTGTATAGCCAGTAAGGCTTTCCTTCCACCGGGTGCCCGAGAACCGGAGCGCACTGAAGAGCTTTCTTCGCCTGCAAAAAGGTGTACTCCTGTTCCGCCCCCCAGCGCCACTGCACTCCCTTCCGCAGCAGCTCGTGTAGCGGTCCGCAGACGTCCAAGTAGTACGGGATGAAGGCGTTGAAGTATACCAGCATGCCCAAGAAGGTCTGCAGCTCCGAAGTGCTGGTCGGTCTTTTCATTTCGAGGACGGCTTTGACCTTCTCGTAGTGTGTAGACAATCCCAGACGCGAGACCTTGTGCCCGAGGAGGATAATGGAACCGTAAAATAGATGGCACTTTGTGGGAGACAGAGTGATGTTTGCGTCCTCCACCGCGCCCAAGACCTCATCGAGGTGCTCAATGTGTTCCTCAAACGAGCGAGAGTAGACCACGACGTTGTCAATGTATACGAGGGCGAACAACCACAGGTAAGGGGCCAGAACTGACTGCATGACGCGCTGAAATATTGACGGCCCATTACGCAGCCCGAAGGGCATACGCTTAAATTGAAACAGCCCCCGATGTGTCCTAAAGGCTGTCTTCTCGATGTCCTCGGGCGCCAACCGCAATTGGGTAAATCCGGACAGCGCGTCGAGCGATGAGAGAACTTAAGCGCCTGCGAGCGAGCCCAGGATTTCTTGCTGTCTCGGTATAGGAAATTCGTCGGGGATCGTGAGCTCGTTGAGCTTGCGGTAGTCCACACAAAAGCGCGGCTTCCTGTTACGGTACGTGATGACGACCGGCGCGCTCCAGGGGCTTTTTGATGGTTCAATCACGTCCTGCGCAAACCACTTTTTTATCTGCTCGTCCATCACCTCCTTCTTCGCCGGCGAAGAGCCTCTCATCGGCACCGCCACGGGGTGCACTCCGTCCCGCGTTCGTATTCGGGCCATTGCCGGGTGATTTCCCAGTTTTCCGTCCAGCGCAAAAGCCCCTTTTCGTTTTTCCAGCATTTTCCACGCCCGCTCCTTCAAATGCTCAGGGAGCCGTCCTGCGTCGAGCTCTTTGCAAAACTGCTCCCAGGTAGTGTCTTGCACTTCAGGCTGTTGGAATCGGTGTCTACGCGCTCTCTAGCGCCTATGGTATTTTTCTGCGATTTTACGGACTTTTCCCCGGTACTGTACGCTTACCTACAGTCTTACTTGTGCGCTCGCGCCTTATTGCCGAGCGCCACATATTTCCTCGGCATTTGCCGTGCCCTCCTGCCTAGAGCGGCACATCCGAGTCTTTTCTCTTCCTGATACGTTTGCTGTCGCTCTAGGTGCGTAGTTATGCGTTCTGTACTGTTTGCTGTCGCTCTAGTGTGATCACTGGCTCGAATCTACCTCGGACAGGTTATGAGCCCCGCGCTCTAGCTGCCCCAACCAGCCAGTTCCACACCCCGCCTCATATTCGCCGTCGCGCACGCAGTTCGCGTCCGTTCCTCTCCAAACAACTTCTAGTCACTCCGCGCCCTTCTCCCCTACACGTCGACCCCACACTCGTCCAGTTTCGTGTCCGAGGCAGAATCGAGCCAGTGATCACACTAGAGCGACAGCAAACGAGTCAGGAAGAGAAAAGACTCGGATGTGCCGCTCTACGCAGGAGGGACCGGCAAATGCCGAGGAAATATGTGGCGCTCGGCAGTAAGGCGCGAGCGCAGAGATAGGACTGTAAGTAAGCGTACAGTACCGGGAAAAAGTCCGTAAAATCGCAGAAAAATACCATAGGCGCTAGAGAGCGCGTAGACACTGATTCCAACATTTCGCGGGTTCGATCGTCCCCAACAAGCGTCCCTTTGCGCCATGTCGAAGCGTGACTCAGACGGCCGCCCCATCCTCACCCGCTTCAACTGGAGCTGGTGGGACAGCGAGATCCAGCCCTGGCTGTCCAGCAAGGGCCTCTGGCGCTATGCCAAGGGCGCTGTGACCAAGCCCAAGCCCAAGGACGCCAGCGCGGTCACTGATGCGGAGTACCGCACCCTGGAGGAGTATGAGCAGCGCTTGGAGAAGGCTGCTGGCGAGCTTTGGCTTGCCATGGAGGAGTCGCTTCGTCCACAGTTCAAGGACAAGCGCAGCACGCCCAAGGACCTCTACGACGCGATGAAGGCCGCCTTCAACATCCAGGAGGCCGGCACGCGCTTTGCCGCGCTCTCTGACTTCTTCGACGTCAACCTGGGCGACGACGCAGAGGCCACCACCGCCCTCACCGACCTCCTCTCGCGCGTCGACGAGGCCATGACGCGCGTCCAGTCCCTGCGCCCTGCGACCGGCTACGACCTAGCCACGATGGACCTCGAGCTGAAGGCGATGGTCACCATGCGCGCGCTCGCCGCCTCCCCCAACCCGCAGCACGCCAACATGTACACGTCCCTCCTGCTCGACAAGGCGCTCACCTACGAGACGGTCAAGGACATGATCGCGCGCGAGTTTGCCTCGCACCGGATGACGGCGGACGGCACGCCCCTCGCAGCCAACCGCGCCGGGTACACGCCCGAGTGCTACAACTGCAAGGGCCCGCACCTCATCCGCGACTGCCCCAAGTTCAAGCCGGACTGGAAGAAGGAGGAGGAGGCCGCTGCCGCCGCTTCTACCTCAAAGCGCCAGCAGAAGAAGAAGAACAAGGGCGGCGCCAACGCGTCTGGCGCGTCCTCTGCGCCCTCCTCCGGTCCCTCCGATGCGTCTTCGTCGACGCCATCCACCTCCGCCGCTGCTGCGCGCGTCGAGTGTGCTGGCCAGGCAAGCGCTTTCACTTCCTCCCCCGCTCTCAAGGAGTGGCTCCAGTCCAAGGCTGCGGCTAACTTCAACACCGACACAGGTGCGTCTCTACACATGACGCCGCGGCGAGATTGGTTCGTCACCTACTCGCCGCATCGCGTTCCTGTTCGCCTAGCGAACGGCGCGATCGTCTACTCGGCGGGCATCGGGTCGGTGGAGTACCAGCCGGTGGATGGGGGGAAGTCGCTTACGCCTATCGTGTTCTTTGATGTCCTTCATGTTCCTCTTCTTACCTCGAACCTCCTGTCAATCTATCATCTTACTGCGCACAAGGGGTACGAGGTCAGCATCAAGGACAAGCGCGTCGCCTTCTACTGCGCTGGGGCGCTCGTCTGCACTGCTACTGTGGACGACTCGAACACGGGCTACTTGGACGGCTATGTCGTCGTTCCTCCTGCGCACAGCGCGCAGCGCGCCGCCTCTACCACGCTCCCGCTCGACGCTGCGCTCTGGCACCGCCGTTTTGCGCACGTCAACCATGGGGACATTGCGAAGCTGCGGCAGCGCAAGCTGGTGAGGGGCATGCGGTTTGACAGCAGGGAGGCGCCGGACCCGATCTGCGAGCCATGCATCATGGGGAAGCAGACGCGCAAGGCGGTACCGCGCGGGCCGGGAGAGCGCGCAACGCGTCCCCTCGAGTTGGTTCACACCGACTTGAAGGGTCCTATGCCGGTTGCATCCAGAGAGGGGGCGAACCTCTACTGGATCACCTTCATAGACGACAAGACGCGGCGGCGCTGGGTGGCGTATTTGAAGCGCAAGAGCGACGCTTGGGCCGCTATCCAGCAGTTCAAGGCGGCTGCTGAGGTAGAGAGCGGTCAGCGCTTGGAGGTACTGCGCTGCGATGGGGGCGGCGAGTACATCTCTAACGTCATGAAGGACGCGGCGCTGAAGGAGGGGTGGCGGTTGGAGATCACAGAGCCAGATGAGCCGCATCAGAACGGCGTTGCTGAGCGTGCTAATCTCACCCTTGCCAATGGCGCTAGCTCTATGCTCTACGAAGCGAAGCTGCCGCCTTCGTTCTGGGCCTACGCTATAGCCGCCTACAACCACGTCGCTAACCGCGCTCCTACCTCCGCTCTACCGCCGGACACCACCCCCCACATCGCCTGGACTGGCAAGACACCGGATGTTGGCTACTTCCGCGTCTTTGGGTGTCTGGCGTACGTCCTGGTGAAGGACAAGCACCGGCGCGCGCTCGAGCCGCACTCCCAGAAGTGCATCTTCTTGGGGTACCCTCCCGGGACCAAGGCGTGGTTGTTCTACAAGCCGGCTACCAAGAAGACGGTTATCTCGTCACATGCGGTCTTTGACGAGCGCTACATGCCGGGTACGTCGCTCAAGAGCCTCAATCTTATCACTGCGGAGATTATAGACCGAGGTGAAGGCCCTCCGGACTTTGGGGATGTTGCTGATCAAGGGGGTGATGTGCCGTCGCCTCCTAGTCATCGTCATAGCGCAGATGACAATGATGTCGTCTCTTATGATGATCAGCCACCTCCCCCGTCCGGACAGCCTGCTCCCGCTGGTCCGCAGCTACAGACGCCGCCGCCTACATCGCCGCCGCGCGCCCCCACCACGCCTGAGCAGCCATCCACGCCGCTTCAGCAGCCAGCTGGGCCTACCACGCCGCCTAGTGCGCGTCCGCCGCCGCCCTCTGCGCCCCGTCCCCCTCGCACTGCGCCGCCTAGCAAGGCCGCGCTGAGAGGCAGGCAGGAGCGCGCGCAGGAGCAGCAGCCAGCACCACGCGCAGAGCGCAGTCCGTCCCCTGCTTGGCAGACAGTTCGGCCATCAACCTCGAGCGGACCGCCACCGTCGCGTCTGCCTCGGGCAACCAAGCCGACCCATAGCTTATCCGAGCGCGAATTGACGACCCGCGCTTGGCAAAAGCAGCCTGCGCCGCCTTCTACAGGCCGCGCTACATCGTCTACACCCGCGCCCCAGCCGCAGGTGACGTCCCCTAACCGGTTTGCGCCGTTATCCGGCCAGATTGAGGAGGTGGACGAGGAGGAGGAGGAGCAGGAGGAGCAGAGTGCGCAAGAGGAGCGCAGGGAGCAGGCGCAGGATGAGGAGGACGGGGACAGAGAGCGGGCAAGGAAGGAGATGATGGACTGGGCTGGGAGTGATGATGAGCTTGCTTTGACTGACAGCACGCCTATCCCAGGAGCGCACGTTATGCAGGCCGGCCTCGACTACGTCTTCAGCGGCATCACTGAGGAGGACTGGTCGGTAGAACAAGCCCTCAACTACGCCCTTTCGACCACAGTTGCGTCCGACGCGCAGCAAGGCGAGCCCAAGACATTTGCAGAGGCGCTGCTACGTCCCGACAAGGCCAAGTGGATTGAGGCTGCGTTCGACGAGGTGCAGGCGCTGGTCGACAACGGCACGTTCGAGGTGGTTGAGCTGCCGCCCGGCAAGCGCGCTATTGGCAGCCGGTGGGTGTTCAAGGTGAAGCGCAATGCTGATGGGTCTATCGAGCGGTACAAGGCGCGCTGCGTCGCGCAGGGCTTCTCGCAGCGCCCCGGCTTCGAGTACACCGAGACGTTCGCCCCTACGCCAAAGTGGGCCGCCATCCGCGCTATCCTCGCCCTCGCCGCTATGGACGACCTCGTGCTCTACTCCATCGACATCAGCAACGCGTTCTTGAACGGCGACCTGGCCGAGGAGATCTACATGCGCCAACCGCCCGGCTTCAAGCTCGGCATTGATCCTGACAAGGACTATGTCTGGCGCTTGAAGAAGTCGCTCTATGGGCTGAAGCAGGCGAGTCATGTCTGGCACGAGACGCTGAACAGGGTGCTTGTAGAGATGGGCTTCACGCGCATCCTCGTGCCCGTCTTTGTGGACGACATGACGATTGGGTGCAAGACTGACGCGCAGGCGCTCGGTATCATTGGCGAGCTGAAGAAGCACTTCAAGCTGCGCGAGTTGGGTCCTACCACCTGGCTGCTGGGCGTTGCCATTGAGCGCGAGCGCAGCCAGCACACGCTGTCTCTTTCGCAGCGCCAGTACGCCACGGACGTCCTCGAGCGGTTTGGCATGGCCGAGTGCAGCCCGGTCACCACTCCGCTCAACCCCTCGCACAAGCTCAGCGCCGCCGATGCTCCTGTCACGCCGGAGGACATCGAGTTCATGTCCACCCGCGCTAAGGAGTACGCTTCTGCCGTTGGCGCCATTGCCTGGCTCGCCCTCGCCACTCGTCCTGACCTCGCCTACCCGGTCTCAGTCCTCGCTCGCTTCACCGGCAACCCCGGCCGCCCGCACTGGCTCGCGCTCAAGCACCTTTTCCGCTATCTCAAGGGCACGCTTGACTACAAGCTGACCTACGACGGCAAGACAGTGAACGCGCGCTCCGAGCTCTTCTACACCTACACCGACGCGGACCACGGCGGCAACCCGGACAACGGGCGCTCGACCAGCGGCCAGATCGTCATGATGGCAGGTGGAGCGGTCTCTTGGTCGTCCAAGCTGCAGACTATAGTCGCGCTTTTGACCACTGAGGCAGAGTACGTTGCGGCGTGCTCTGCCGGCCAGGAGATCCTGTGGATGCGCAACTTCCTGACTGAGTGTGGCTACTCGGTCAAGAGCGCGCCCTCCACCCTCTACATCGACAACAACTCGGCGCTGCAGGTGGCCAAGAACCCGGAGCATCATGGGCGCATGAAGCACCTGGACCTGCGCTTCTACTGGCTGCGCGATGAGGTGCATCGCGGCAGCATCCGCCTTGTCCATTTGCAGACAGCGGACATGCCGGCTGACATGATGACCAAGGCCTTGGGCCGGGTCAAACTGCAGCACATGGCTGCGCTCTCTGGCCTTGGAGTTGGGCGCTAGGACGTGCTCGATCAAGGGGGTGTGTTGGAATCGGTGTCTACGCGCTCTCTAGCGCCTATGGTATTTTTCTGCGATTTTACGGACTTTTCCCCGGTACTGTACGCTTACCTACAGTCTTACTTGTGCGCTCGCGCCTTATTGCCGAGCGCCACATATTTCCTCGGCATTTGCCGTGCCCTCCTGCCTAGAGCGGCACATCCGAGTCTTTTCTCTTCCTGACTCGTTTGCTGTCGCTCTAGGTGCGTAGTTATGCGTTCTGTACTGTTGAATATACACCTGACTCGTTTGCTGTCGCTCTAGTGTGATCACTGGCTCGAATCTACCTCGGACACAGGCATCTCCGCCGTCTTCGGTCCGACCTGCTCCTGCTCATTCAGCACACTTTGGTCCTCCTCCATCTCTTGGCGAGAGAAAGACCGCTTCCACGACTCGTACGACGCGGCGTCAGGCATCGGGAACGTGCGCTCCCCTTTCTTCCACGCCTCGTAGCTGTGCTCCTCGGGCATGTGGAATTTCGGATGCACTTTGGTCTCGTTCCATTGCTCTGCCTTTGCCCTGGGCTCCGTTGGCGGCTCCTGCGCTACTTGGCTCGCGGCCGCCATGAACGCGGTGTGTTGCTGATATCGGCGTAGCTCTTCCTTGTTCTGCGGTCGATCGAGACACTCCTCTGCTCTGGTTACAGTCCCTAGCGCCTCGCCCTCTTGAATGAACCGAGGGACTGTCGCCGTGTTGGCTACCGGGACTACCGGTGCGTTTGAGGAGATGAGCGTGTTCAGGACCAGAAAGGGGCGATCTCGGCTGGACGAAAGGAGCTCCTTCTCAACAAGCCACTCGCCCTGCTCGTCAAAGGGCCCACGGACCGGCACGAGCGCTACTGACTCGGGCTTGATGAGTACTTGTTGCGCGGCTCGGATCGTGTGGTCTTCCTTTTCCGCGCGCTTCTTCTTGTCCTTGAACGCCTTTTGGTGACGATGGCGCGCCGCCTTCTTCAGGAAGCTATGCGTCGGCCGTTCTCCAATATACGCCTTTTCCACGCTCTGCGCCTCCTTGTGGAGAGCCGCCGTCTGTACCAGTGGCTGCGCCGTCTTGGTATACTCGGTCTGCCCAAAGGTGATTGTCGTGCCTTCCTCCAAGCTACGGTTGACTGAGAGCTCGTAGGCCTGCTGAAAATCCTCGCCTAGGAGCACTGGCACCGTCATGTTGTCGACCACGTACATGGTCACGTCCATTTCCACGAGCGTGCCCCCATCCATTCGAATCAGGATGGGCATCTGACAGTAGCCGCGTATGGAGACGGACTTGTTGGTGAGCTGCCACAGCTTCGTCTTCGCGCCCTGCAGGAGCTTGGGCAGTTGCTTGAGTGAGTCATAGACCTTGCCGCTCAGTAGCAAAATGCTCGCGCAGGAGTCCATGCGCAGCATCACCTCAAATTCTCTGTCCGACCCAAGAAACCCTTTCACGCACAACACGGACGCCCCCATCGAGTTTAGTTTTTTGATGGACTTGATGCGCGGCTTGAGCTTGACCTTCCCGGAATCGTACGGCTTCGGCATCTCCTCCAGTGCCTGCGCTACCAGCGTATAGATCCTATCCTCCTCAAATTCGGACGCCCACAGCGTTGGGTGTACCTCCTCACTGACTACTCCTGACCGCTCAGCTTCCGGCTCCTTGTAGATGCTCTCCAATATGTGGGGCGAGTCTGCCGGTAGGAGTTCTCCCTTGTACCAGTAATTGTCTTCAATTTCTTCTATAGTCATCGCGAAGCTTGGCGTCTGCATGACGTACGCGACCGGCGCCTGCTCCTCGGCCTCCTGGGTCTTACACCCCTCCCCCGCCTGCTTGGCTGGAGGATTTTGTCCGAGGCAGAATCGAGCCAGTGATCACACTAGAGCGACAGCAAACGAGTCAGGAAGAGAAAAGACTCGGATGTGCCGCTCTAGGCAGGAGGGACCGGCAAGTGCCGAGGAAATATGTGGCGCTCGGCAATAAGGCGCGAGCGCAGAGATAGGACTGTAAGTAAGCGTACAGTACCGGGAAAAAGTCCGTAAAATCGCAGAAAAATACCATAGGCGCTAGAGAGCGCGTAGACACCAATTCCAACAGATTTGGGTCGCCCTCTCAAAACCCTGCTCGGCAATGTAGTATGTGACGTTATACGTGTGCTCGGCCTCCGCGTCCTCGACCAAGAGCCCTTCCCCTCTGCGATCCAGGAACGCCTGCCAATGCGGACACTCCTTGTTCCAATGATAAGGGCTGCCGCAGGCTCGACACGGCGCGGGAGGCATCTGTTTGCTGCGCACCTTGTTGTCACGCGGGAATGGAGGTTTGCTCGGGGGCCGTTGACGTTCGCGCGCCGAGACAACATTGTACGCAACCGCCAACATGTCACCCGCGACCCCTTCGTCGTCCTCGGCTTCGTTGGATCCTCCTGCTTCCCCTATGGGTTCGACCTCCGCGTCAAAGGCTGACGCCGAACGACGCGCAAACATGCCCGGCTTGCTTGCCGAGGAGGAAGCAGCCTGTCCCAATTCCTTCAGGACGGAGGCGATCTGGGACCTCAGCTCTCCTCCCGTAGACTTCGACGAGTTCATGAGCTCCTCCTCAAACTCGAGTACCCTGCTCGACAGCTGATCGGTGGAGCGAATCGTCGACGGCACCAGCACGATGCCCCAACTCAAAGGGGCTACGCTGAGGATCAAGCGGACCTCCTCCCTCGAGTTCATCGGTGCGAAGGCCAACGCTCGTGCGGTGAGTATACAACGATAGATGAACTGGCTGGGTGTCTCATGCCTGTGCTTGGGCTCTTGGTACGAATGGAATTGAAACTCGGTGGCTAGCTTTTTGACCCACTTCAGCCCCAAGTAGTCGCGCTGCACAACGTATAAGAACTTGTGAGCGCTTCGCTTCATGTAGGCCTTCAGCGAGTCGGACAAAGTCATGAACCACTGCCAGACGGGCGAGCCCGACTTCAGCTTTGTCCAAAGCCAGAATCCCACCGCCCTGTTGAGATGCCCCCCACTGTTCGCCAGCCCGTACACCATCAACAGGTACTCGACCACGGTGGCCTTATCTCCATCCCAAGAGGGTACTTGATCCGTCTTCAGGCTCGCTTGTACGGTCAGCACGGTCAGCGGGTAGGGGAGCAGAGGTGCAATGTCCTCTTCGTCGTCGTTCAGGTCAATGGTGTCGTCCGAATCTGTTGGAGTTGGTGTGCTTGGACCAGCCCAAAGGGGATATTTACCTATAGTCACGTATCACGCTGTCACTTAGCCTTGTCTTTGACCGTCATCTTGTGGTCTGTTGTTTGTGTCCTCGCCTCCCATCTCAACAGGTTATAAGCCCCGCGCTCTAGTCTTTACCCGAAAACCCCCCAGACCTCTCAGAACTCGCTTTTTCCTCCAGAAAAACCCATTCTCTCATTCTCAAAAAATTTTCACTCGATCGATCGGTCTTATCTGCACCATCCACCACTCATCATGTCTTCCCTCCCCTCCTATGCTGTCACTATCTTCCAGCAGTCGGAGAAGCTGCGAGGCGAGGCCAACTGGCACTCGTTTGCAGAGGCTTTCATCGACTTCTGCACTGGCGTTGGTGCTGACCACATTGTGGATGACTCTTTGCTCGATTCGTCCAAGAAAGCACTGGACAACGCCATCGGGTATGTCCTCTCTGGGATGCTGGAGAAGGATGTGAAGGATGGGGTGCCAGGGAAACGTGGTGGCCAGGACCTGTACAAGGCGCTGAAGGCGAAGTACACTGCCTTGACCAGGGCCCGGCGCGTTGCCGCACGCAAAGCGTTTTACCAATGCTCTCACGACTTCCCCACCCAGTCGCTTGAGCAGTTCATCGTCGAGGTGAGGGCCAAGGCGCAGGTCCTGAAGGATATGGGTATCACCATCTCGGACACCGAGATTCTGGACGTCATCCTCATGAACGTCCACCATGCCTTCATTGCCACTACCACCATCCTCCTTGCGCAGACCACCGAGCCCAAGCTCGACGACGCTATCTCCACCCTGACGTCTTCCCCCGCGCTCAACGTTGACGTCGTCAAGAAGGAGGAGTACTCTCCCAGCCCGCTGCTGGCCGCAAATGCGGCACGAGGGTCGCGTGCACCGCGGCATCCTGATGGTCATCAGGCTGACCTGACTGGAGGATGGGTGGACGACAAGGGCTACCGCTGGTGCAACGTCAACGGTGACGCCTGCCATCGGTGCGGGCGTGCAGGTCATATCGCCGCCTTCTGCATGTACAACATGCCCGAGGCCATCCGGCAGAAGATCTCGGACCGCGCGCATCTCAACGCGAACATGGTCAGTTCGCTCGCGGTCATGGAGGCAGAGGGCGAACACCAGCACCTCGCCCAGTCGGCTTATGGTGTGTACACTATCCCAGCTCGTCGCTCGCCCACCCCCGCTGCCTCTCGCTCGCCATCTCCACCGCTGCCATCTGCCGATGATGCCGACGATGATGCCTTCGACTTTTCCGGTGCCGGTGGATCGTGGGGAGGAGTCTCTAGGCTGTACACGTGATGGTAGGATTTGGCTGGTTAGGTGGGAGTTGCTGGATTAGGTGGGAGTCTCTCTGCGGTCCGGCGCACAGGTGGGAGTGTTGGAGTTGGTGTGCTTGGACCGGCCCAAAGGGGATATTTACCTATAGTCACGTATCACGCTGTCACTTAGCCTTGTCTTTGACCGTCATCTTGTGGTCTGTTGTTTGTGTCCTCGCCTCCCATCTCAACAAAATCATCTGAGTCCTCTGAGTCGTCGTCGTCCTCCTCGCCGTTGTCGCCTCCGTCGGGGGGATCTCCGCCTCCTCCTGACGTCCAGCTGATGCTGTAAATAGGTTTCAAAACTAACCCGAGAACTTGCGTAATGTGGTTTGAAATCTACGCGACGTGATCACGGGCCCGGCAAAAGCCGAGCTCGCCCGCCCTCTGCGCCAGCCGCCGGCCCCAGGCGATGCCCTTATAGGGCACCGACGCCGTGATGCGCGCCGTGCGCGCGTCGGGCGGCCCGCGTGACACGCGTCACCCCGCGGATGCGTCACGCGCGCCCCGCTCCGCGCGTCGGGGGCGCGCCGCGTGCTGCCGCGACGCCTCGTATCGTGCGTAGTATGTTAGTAGATGAATAGAATATCTATCTAATGTATGTCTATGTACGAGAAATGGGGAAAAAGAGGGGGAAAATGAGAGAAAGCGCGAACCAGCGCGGGCGAAAATTTTCGCCCGCGATCGACGCGCTCCTGCTGCTCGCAGAGCGCGCGGGAACGCGTCGAAAAGGGAGGGGATGGTAGAGAGGCATCCCCCCGAGCTACGGGCGCCCTTTCGCGTCGAGAGACGCCTCCGCGGCGCCACATAGCAGGCGGGGGGAGGGGGGGAGGGCGGGTAGGGCACAAAACTCGCGCTCAGGGGCATAGCCTGACCCTCGCGGGCGGCAGGCCCGCTACAGTGCATGCATGCATGCCTAGCGTGGCCCTCGCTGCGTGAGATGTAGTAAAGGGGGCAAATGTGAGTGCGGGATGAGGGGAGGGGGCGGGGGAAGTGGGGCACACGGATGCACGCGGACCAGCATTTGCGCTGGCAGCCGCTCTCTCGGGATGTGTCTGAGACGCCATGAGCGCCACTCGCAAGGTCCTAGCGCCTGCAGATAATGTCCGAGGGCACGGACAGAAGGGAGGCGTAACACGATGCGCTGTTGCACGCTACCCGCGCACCTTCCCGGTATCCCTCACATAGGAGCAGAAGTCAGTAACACATAACATAGCGGGCGCGTACACGCACCACGCCTCCCCCGCCTCGCCGGTCTTTCTGGTACTGTTGCTGTGCCGTGCTCGTTATGCTTGCAGATCGAGAACAATGTTACTTTTTTCAGGTCGAGTGGATGTGAGTGGGTCGGGATGAGGGGAGCAGGGTGCGGGACGAGCGAGAGGAAGGGGAACGTGCGCGGGGCGGTGGTCGTAAGCAAGGGCAGGTACAAGCGGGATCGCGTGTCGTGCTGTTCTTGGGGACCGCAGATGTTGTTCCTCGGGACCGCGGTGCCCGGCCCGGATGTCTGACGCCCCCTTCAGCTGCCTCTGCAGCATGCCGCGCGCCGTTCTGTGTTCAAAAAAGAGTATGAGCGCTTTCATATAAAGTAGAAGACCATATATATGAATTTTGGTTGGAAGAAAGCCAGGAGATCACACTCAAATTGTCGACGCTCATCAAAATTGGGTGCTCAGCTACAAAGTTTGTAGTATACGATGATATCCTAGGCAAATCAATATTGCAGTAGTACATGGAAGGACACCCTAGACTTCCCCCTACGCATTCCAGCTTGTTTGACGCAAATCTGATGAGATCCAGGGGTGGAGGAGCGTGAAATGTCTGTGGAAGCGCACGATCAGAGGGTGGAACATCCAGTCCCTCGAAGGCTTCACACACCAAACCCAAGTTTGGCCTGTCCCCATGATCTGTACCTTCTAAGACTTCTAATATCTATTCAAGCGAAAGTCTACTAATATAATATGAGTGTATTTTGCATTCAGAGTGTCCGCGGTATGTACCCGAGGACGTCGAGCTCGACGACGACGAAAGTCGGGCATCGGGCCGAGTGTCCCACCTTTTGCAGTAAGGTGGATTTAAATCCACCCCGACAATTTACGTACCGTCGATTGAAATCTTTCGCGACGTGAAAACGGCCCAAATCGCGACGCCGGGCAGCCCGACGCAGGTGCCGGGACGTGCCCTAATAGGGCTCCGGGGCCGTGATGCGCCCCGCGCGTGGCCGCGGTGGCGCGGGAACGTCACGCGCGCGCCCCCGGACGCACCGGGGTCGCGCCGCGTGCTGCCGCTGCCGCCGCCGTGTGTTGCAGCGAGCGCGAAAAACGTATGTAAGAGATGTATATACAGACTACATACTATATTTCAGAAGGGGTAGGGTGGAAAGAACAGAAAAGCGGGGAAAAAGCGCGAGCGAAAATTTTTGCTCGCGCGCGACGCGCTCCCGCGGCTTGCACAGCACGCGAGAGCGCAGGAAGATAGTAGGGGAGGGAGAGGGAGTATCCCCCTAAGCTACATGCACCCATTCGCGTCGAGGGACGCGTCCGCGGTGGGCATGTAGCAGGTGGAGGGAGGGGGTCGAGTTCGGGTTCGGGGCATCCTTGGTGCTCCTTGCGCGTTCGAAGCACAGGGTATAGAGGATTAAGGGCATCACCCGAGGGTGAGAGGCCGCTACAGCCACGCAGGCGCACCAGAACCGCGGGGCGAAGACTCGCCCGCGATCTGCATGACTGCGCCTCCCCAGCTGCCCCGCGTGTTGACAACGCGCGTGCACGGACGCGGGATGACGTCATCCCAGCCCCCATCTCTCCCGTCGAAGGACGAGTCAGAGGGGTAGGGCAAGGGGTGCGAGACGCGCCGCACGCGACAGTTCGGCACACTGCGCGCGCAAGCTGTGGTGGGCTGCGTGCACAGCGCACCGAAATGGCTGCCTGGTTGCGCGAAAAGCATATCCCGCGACGCGAAATATCGCCGCGAAGGCGATTTTCCACAACAGCAGGGGTGGGGAGGGAATGGGGGGAGGATAAGCGCTACCCAACACCCGCACCGATTGCGATGAACGGGAGCGTGGGAGGGCGCGCGATAGCCATAGGGGTATTGAAAACTCGCCTATGACGCGTCAAGCACCATATGCGAGACTCTCGCGCCCTCGGACAGGGTCAGAGGGCAAATATGACGAAAGGAGGGGGACAATGTTGCCCCCGCTTCCTTCGTCTGGTTCTGGTCCCGCTCCTGCCCCTTCTCCCTTGTCCGCGCCGCACTATTGTAGTAGTTAGTAATGAAATTGAGCGCGGGGCGCGTTCACGCACCCGGAACCCTCCTCCTCATGTGGCTCGTTGGCGTTGCCGTTGCTGTCTTTTCGTCGGTTTGTGGGGCGCGATCGCGGGCAAATGCCTTGGCGAAGGCTTAATCGAGGTGTTGAGAAGATGAAAGAATGTGGGAGGGGTGCCTAGGAGGGAGAAGGGGACGATGCGGACAATGGGGTGATGGTTAAGGACGAGGGACACGCGTTCTCGATGCGTCGGATGAGCGGACCGGCCTCTCAGCCCGTCTTCCCCACGGTGGCGTCGTCGTCTTCGAGGGCCTCAGATTCAGGCCGAGAGGTAGATATTGACGAAATCTCTTCAAAGTATATTACTAGATTTGTGTTGGAGACGATATAGAAGCTTTCGTTCAATCTGAAGGCCAGCAAGGTATCCAGACTGAGCTCGACATGGATGATGCATCAAGTACCAACTGATCCCACCTCGAGGATCATCTTCAGGCGTTGTTTTGCCTCCCCCACGCCCGTTTCATCATCGATTCTGCTCAAACTACCTACAATGTGTACGTGGCAAGTAATAGTGTTATCCTATGTACGAAAAGACGGGGGGAATGACCTCCATTGATTCTAAAACCTGATAAAGCACTCTAAAGTGCTTGGATTGCGAGTACTTGCATGATTTCGAGCCCTTCCCACTATCCCTCTCACTTCAAACTTCATAAGGGTACTATGTACTACTACTAATGTCGTTTGCAGGAGTTTTCAGGGTCCTTGGTTGCTTTCGGCCTCTTTCCGAGGCCATTGAAGACAACGACGATGAGCCTCGGGTCCTCGGTCCGGCCTCCGCGCGGTCCCGGAGAACAACATTTGCGGTCCCGAGGAACAACACGTTGCGCAGTCGCGATGGCTGCCTCCGTCTTCAACGACCACCGCACCCCTCGCCCCGCCCTCCCGTGCTGTCTCCTTTATCCACCCCTCCCCTCCCATTCCCATCACCATGCATCCTCATTGTCGAGATAAAATCAGGAAATTCGCCAAAAATGCGCCGCGCGACAGCGGGCAAACCCAAATGACGCTGCGATATCGTGGCGCGCGGGAGAGGGCAATGGTGCGTGAATGCGCCTATTTCTACTATCTGCTTCTAATATCTACCCTCCCGAGCGGCGGGAAGCGTGAGGGGGACATGCAACGTGCAGCTGCGCGCGTTGCATCCTCCTCCCCCCGTCTGCCCCTCCCCAACCCTCGCACGTCACTCATAGGGGTGCAGGCTCTGCCCATGACGTGCGACGGCGCCATGGGTGTGCCTTACACGTCCTGCCGTCAGCCAGAGCGCACTCGCGCGAGCTACCTCCCTGGTCATCTCACCTCCCCCCTCCCGCACTCTCCCCTGACCGTCTCGCGCACCCTCATGACCGCGCTAGGCACTGCTTAGGCGTAATTCAGCGTGCGCGGCATGCACTGTTTCTGATGGTGGACCCACACATAGCGGCGTCTTCCTCGCAGCCACCCACCCCCCTTCCCCCCTAGCTACGTAGCCACCGCGGACGCGTCCCTCGACGCGAATGGGTGGACGTAGCTGGGGAGGATACTCCCCTGCTACTCCCTGCCCTTGCAAGGGTCACCTGCGCGCCACGCAACGAGCGCGAGCGAAAATTTTCGCTCGCACTTTTTCGCTTTCTCTGCTCTATCCAGCCCCCCTCCTGCTCACCTACACGATATGGCTACTATATACGACCTATTATATCTTTCTGTGCGCTCGCTACTGTCACGAGTGGGTATTTGTGGACGCCTCTGACTCATCTATACCGGGCTGTGCTTAAAGCCCATGGACAACAAGTATATACAATGTCGGTAGCTTACGCGTCCCTCTACCTACCTTTCTATTCAGTCCGTTGCGTTGTCGCCTTCCGGTCCGTGTCCGTGTCTGTGTCGACTGTGCCTCTGTTGCCAGTCTCCGAGCCCCTTTCCACTCTTGAAAGGTTATGAGCCCCGAGCTTCGCTAAAAATCCCGAAAAAATCTTCATTCATCTTTTTCCTCTCTTCGATCATATTCTCTCCCCTCACCTCTGCCAACTATGACGGCCCCAACCACCTCGCCTGCTGCTGATACCACTCCCAGTGGTGACACTGGTCGCTCGATCACCAACACCGATCTGGCGCTCCTGAAAAACTGCCCCCTGCTCAAGGAGGACACGTTCCATGAGTGGCGGAAGTACATGGAGATGTTCTTCACCTCTGTAGGTGCGGACCAGATCTTGGACATGCTGGACGAGCTGGACAAGGCCACGGACACCACCCAGCGCGAGGCTGTCCTGACCAAGTTCGACGCGGCGACGCCCACCTCGCGCACCCTCGATCGCCAACTGTCCCCCCACATCTTTGTCAAGACCGATCCCTCCTATCACAGTCTCTATGACGGTCTGCGCTCTGGCATGCGCTGTTACATTGCAGCCATCCGGAAGTTCCAGCGCTCGACAATGGCCCGACGCTTCCAAGCGCGAGAGGCGTTTGTCAGCGTCAAGCAGAAGAAGAAGGAGTCAGTCGAGGACTATGTCAAGCGGATCCTGGATGCCCGCAAGGTGCTGAAGGGACTCGGCGTCGAGCCCGACGAGCTTGAGACCAAGGACACTGTCCTGATGGGCCTCAACAAGTACTACCGCAGCACTCGCACCACCATCCTCGCTGCCACTGTCGAGCCTGACCTCGCCACCATCATCTCCATCCTCTCGTCGGCTGTCCCCGACTCTGCTCAGAATCACGAGTTGGACAGTTCAGATGATGAGGGGAGCATCTCAGGTCTGGCCGCTGCCGCTGGCCGTGCGGGCCGCTCTGGCCGCCCCGGTCGAGGCGATACTCAAGGGAAGGGCAAGGAGCGAGCGCGCAGCTTCAGCCCCCCTACCTCGGATGGATTTCGCTGGTGCGACCCGACGCACGACAGTCACTGTCACCGCTGTGGTCGAAAAGGTCATATTGCTGCATATTGCATCCATGATATGCCTCAGAAGGTCAGGCACTGGGTTATGCGTCGTCCTACGGTCTATGTCTCCGAGTCTGCCAATGCCGCCCGACGTCACCGCTCTCGATCCTACTCCCCCGACTCTTCCGATTCCAGCACCTCTGATGACGATGACGAACGTGTCCACTTCATGAACGACGCCGCCCCCACGCGTTACCGCTACAAGAAGATCATTGCTTAGGCGCCGCGATGCTGACTCATCATCTCGGAGGTCTTTCCTTTTTCGTCAATCACGCATGATTTACGAAAAAGGAAAGTGCCACCTTGAAGAGGAGCTTCACCTGGCGTATGTGCTTGGTTCAGTGGGAGGTGCCCAGAGTAGGGGGTTTAGGGGGTAGATCTAGGCTGCTGGTGAGGCGGACGTTTTCCATTGCACTGGGACTTTTCGTCCTCCTTCCTTTTCCGGAATGGTTTTCCCACGCCTCTCAGGCTGGTGGACGGATTGTTGGGCATGTTGGTCAGTGGGAGCTTTATGGTATGTCTTCGTCTTTCGGCGAGTGGGAGTGTCACGAGTGGGTATTTGTGGACGCCTCTGACTCATCTATACCGGGCTGTGCTTAAAGCCCATGGACAACAAGTATATACAATGTCGGTAGCTTACGCGTCCCTCTACCTACCTTTCTATTCAGTCCGTTGCGTTGTCGCCTTCCGGTCCGTGTCCATGTCTGTGTCGACTGTGCCTCTGTTGCCAGTCTCCGAGCCCCTTTCCACTCTTGAAAGCTACAACGCGCCACGGCGGCGGCGGCAACACGCGGCGCGTCCCCGACGTCCGGGGCGCGCGCGCGTGACGTTCCCGCGCGGCAGCGGCCACACGCGAGGCGCATCACGGCCCCGGTGCCCTATTAGGGCACGTCCCGGCGCCAGCGGCTGGCTGCCCGGGCACGGGACTCGGGCCATTTTGACGTCGCGAAAAATTACAATTGACGATATGTAAGTTGTCGGGGTAGATTTAAATCTACCTTACAGCATCAGCTGAGTGTCCGGCCCGCTCATCCGGCGCGTCCAGTCGCGCGTCGTCGTGTCTTCAACCATCACCTCCCCGCCCCCTCTGTAGCCCCCGCCACCTCCAGACACCCCTCCCCCACTTCCTCCCCTTCCTTTTACCACGAGTAATTGTGCAAGCCACTTGCCGCGTCAACAGCATCACCAAGACAACGAAAAGCGCCGGATGACGCTGACCCAGGTGTGTGCGGAGCGGGACCACGGGTGCGTGTATATGCCCCGCCCATTAACAATATACTGATGTTTTTTTCAACTCACGTACAGCGACGCGAGAACGGGTGCGCGCTTGGCGCGAGGACGGGAAAACGGGGCGAACATCGCCTCGCTCCCCGCCATCTTCCCCCCTCAAACTGCCTATGAGCGCGCGGGGGGCTAGCCTAGGGCATATTATGCGCCCTAGGAATCCCCTCAATGGCTTTTTTGGCCGCTACACCCCCACCTGTGTGCCCGACGCGTGCAGGTGGGGTAGTGTACTACACCCCTTCCCTCTCCCCCTCCCCCTATACTCCGGTCACGCAGAATCGCCTTCGCGGCGATTTTGCGCGCTGCTGGCGATGCCTATTGCACTACCGAGACTCGCTCTCGGTGCGCCGCGTCTGAGCGCGGCCGCGAATGGCAAAGCCGACAGCGCGGGGCTGCCGCCAGCAGCGGGGTAAGCCCCCTCGACGCGCCTTCGATGGAGAGGGCTCGCTGGGTCTCCCATCACCCCCTCCCTCTGCATCTGCGCCTCGCGAAGGCGCAGGAACAGCGCAAATGCGCAGACCTCCCACCTCCTCCTCGCCTGCTACGTGCCGCCGCGGACGCGTCCCTCGACGCGAATGGGCGCCCGTAGCTCGGGGGACTCCCCCTTACCCTCCCCCATCATCCCGACGCGCTACCGCGCTCTACACGAGCAGCAGGAGCGCGTCGATCGCGGGCGAAAATTTTCGCCCGGGCTTTTATCGCGCTTTTTCTCGTTTCCCCCCCTCCCTCCTCCGTTTTTCATACATATATGTACATTTTGTATATATCCTATCTGATTACTACTACTTTACGCGCAATACGAGGCGTCGCGGCAGCACGCGGCGCGCCCCCGACGCGCGGAGCGGGGCGCGCGTGACGCATCCGCGGGGTGACGCGTGTCACGCGGGCCGCCCGACGCGCGCACGGCGCGCATCACGGCGTCGGTGCCCTATAAGGGCATTGCCTGGGGCCGGCGGCTGGCGCAGAGGGCGGGCGAGCTCGGCTTTTGCCGGGCCCGTGATCACGTCGCGTAGATTTCAAACCACATTACGCAAGTTCTTGGGTTAGTTTTGAAACCTATTTACTGCACAAGGTGCGACGTCGCGCAGTTCGAGGAATTCCCTTTCCTGGGCGGCTGGTGCGGTGGTCCTGGATTGAGCTTTCTATGTCCTTTCCCGTCGCTCTCGGAGGTGTTCTTGCGACTACGGCGCTCGTTGTGCTTCTTCTTCGACCTCCGCTTCTTCTTGCGTTCCCGGAGAGAAGCGGATGCCGAGTCGTCGATGTCTAGGTCGCCTATGCGCGACAGCGACCCAAAATAAGATGCCGAGCGCTCGCCCTCCTCGCAGGCCTTCCCTTTCTTTTTCTCTTGAGAGAGGGTTGCTCCCGCCGTAGAAGGATCTTTGACGGGCTGAGGGACGAATGAAATGGTTTTCTTCGTCTGTGCCGTGGGATTCCAGTAGTTCTCATATGCTGAGTCCCCTCCGCCCCACGGCTCACGCGCCTGCTTCGGGTCGACATAAGCCTTCAGAATGCCCTGCTCGTAGTAGCAAATCTCGGGTTCGGCTTCTGGAAGGCGCTCCGGGAATGCTCTGAGGAGCGGCGAAGGGGGCTTCGTGACGTCCTCCAGCTTAAGCAAATGGAAGCGGTTGCGCTGCTCACTCGGGCGGCCAGGGTTGGATGGCAGGTAGCTGGGCACCGCGCCCATGAGGTATCTCAACTTCTCGCCGTCATCCTGGATGAACGGCAGCTCCTTATAGACAGATCCCGGCGTAGTAAGAGGTGACAGCGTGGGGGGAGTCTCGCCCGCTACCCATGCCTCCGCTTGGTCTCGCAGCTTACGATACTTGCTCAAGGCAGCAGCGCAGCGCGTGTTGAGCCCACTCCAGGCTAGGTGCAACTCTGACATCGAGTTGGCATTCTCTAGATTCCGAGCGATGACATTCTCTCAGTCGAAATACCAGTATGTGGGCTCGTCGTCGAGGTCGCGCAGCACCGCGGGGGCCATCGAGTCCAGTATCTTTTGGGTCAAGCCAATCACCAAAGTGACCAGGTCCATCAACTCCGGCCGCAAAACGAATCACGGATACTTCCTGCCCGCCGGCACTCCTCTGTCGAGCACGTCCTCGGGGGATAGGTTGCGGTGGTTGATGAGCCAGTCCAGGCGCCCGCGCGCGGTGCAAAACTCTATCCGCGGATGCGAGGGGTCGTCCACGTTGTGAAGGAGGTGGTATGCCGTGTTGAGGATGGCGCGGCGCATATCTCGCTGCTCCTTCTCTCCGTCACCCCTCGATCGTCTGCCGTCATCGCCGAGGTCGGCGGCGGCGCCCTCGCCACTGCCTCCCGCTCGGCTAGAGTTACCCATGAGGTTGCTGCCGGGTACTGTTGGGAACGTGCTGGCGGCGTGTCCTGTATCCGAGGCGACTGCGCGGACTGAGTCACTATCTGAGGCAGCTAACGTCGAGTCTCGCAACGGTGTAGAGGGGGGAGAAAATCCTAAGCGACCTCCTTTAGAATCAGGAGACTCACCTCGACGCGGAAAGTGTACCGAAGAGGTACGGATGAGCTGGTGTTTTGTAGGGCCAGAGGGTGAGGGCCCTTTGTCTCCTCGAAACCCCTTAACGTCCACTCTGTGGAGACCCGGAGCCTCCGAGAGGGTTCACTCGCGGAGACGACACGTCGACTCGGGGTGGTCGCCTGCTGGCGAGATGGTGTAGGGGACCACCGGCAATCCTAGCGGTCCTTATCACTCCGCTCAGACGGTCCTAGCCTGTCTAAGCTTCTCGTAGTGCGAGGCCCTAAGCCGAGCACGGTCACACACGTGTGTTGAAGGTTGGAAAGAAGAAAGATAATATTCAACGTGATGCGTGACTATAAGTACATAACAGTCCGTAATGGTAACGTGAGGCGCGCGAGCACGTGCACGCGCGCCGCGTACTAGAAAGAGACACGGTAGCCAGAATATAAGTACAAAACGCCCGCGACAGGGCTAGAGACGACGGTGAAGACGAACATACCTCCCAGGACCTCCACACACCTGCGCAATGCTGCGAAAGTCGGCACCTGTCAACGAGCGACCATATGTGACCAGCCTTTTGCCGGAGAGCGGATCTACACCAAGCCCAGAGATGTTGAAGGAGTTCAAGCATGTGCACAGGATTTCGAGCTTGTCCTTCTTGAGGCGAGACAGCGTATCACGCCAAAAGTATTTGACAAAACCTAGCAAGATGATGTGAAGGATTTTGACAGGTGTATTGGAATGTGGATCAAAGTCTGCGCGCTTCATGTCAGTTATCAGACTCTGAGGTAGCCAATGGCACAATAGCGCACCTCGTATACGCCAGATGGGGCTGTAAACCAAGGACGGCAACGTTGCTTTTATAGCATCGACTTGCCTCTGTTTGCTGGCCTTTGTACCACCACGGCGGGTACTTGCAGAAAAAACAGGGCCAAGGAGATATTCCATAAACGTGTATTTTACACCTGTGGCAGTACGCTTCCGCTTGAACTCGGTCTTTCCGCCAACACGCAATGCTGTGTCAAATTGTGAGCATAATGTGTCCAGCGTCTCATCGCATACCCGAGGACGTGCACGCTGCACATATAGCAAATCAGTATCTGCGTCAGGAGCCGTGTTGTTACATGTACCTTGACAAAGTTGTGCAGCCGCTGGACCATCTTCTGAAAGCTCTCGTTCTTGAATGTTCGCCTTTCCTTCTGAAAAGAAGCAGCAGAATCGTTGCTCGAGTACCCACGAGGGAGCTTGTCATCTTCGTCATCATCATCATCCGCCAGTGACTCTGAAGCACCATCTCTGGTTGCCCAGCACACACGACAGAACAGCCGGCCCATAAAGCCGACGTGACAGGCAAATTCACTCTGCATGGGATTATCCCCAAGCATAGCGAGTATCGAGACAATGACCAGAACAAGCTCCTTCTTGACACAATCCCAAGCCCAGATTCCAGTCTCTTGTATAGATCTGCCGCACTCGCCATGAGTGGCAGGAAAATAAGCGGAGGAGGAGAAGTGTACGTACTCAAGCTGATCGACAATCCCATCGAGCATTTCTAGCGGGGGCGCAATATTTGATGTTGACAGGAAATGGATGCTGCTCTCCTTGTGAACCTCTCGGCGTGGTAGCCCGGCAGCAGTGAATAAGAAGGAATTGTGTTTGTTCCACCGCTTCGAGACGTTGCCCAAGGTGTCATCGCAGTAGAGCCACAATGGCATACTGACTGTGCAATGACCACGGCTTTTAGCGCGCCATGCATTCCCATGCTTTGGGACAGATAGTGACGTATCCCACGGTGATACACTCGTCCCTTCACAACAGATTCCTGTGCGTGCAATGTGAATGAGTAGACAGAGAGGATATCTGAGGCGCACTGACCAAATATGTTGTGTGGGTCCAGAATAGCATGTGTTGTATGACCCTGTACCAACTCTGGAAATGATAGAAGGAATTGGGAGCTATCAATTTTGCACAAGCACCGACCATCAACCACCCAGCTGCGCTCTCCGCTTGCTGATGTTGACGGAAGGAGTTGCCAAGCTTGCGCAAGAGTTTTCTTGCCTCGCATGAACCACCGAACTGGCATGTATGCTCTCCCAGATGGTGATACGCGCAGGTGATCGGATGCGAGTAAAAGAGGCTCGAAAGTATAGTAATCTTGTTGCCTGATGCGGATCATAGGTGTAGCCAGTTTTGGGTCCAACTCGTGCAGCCAGCGGTCCGCCTGCCATGCCTCGAAAATCTTGGGACCAGAGTCTTCTGGCAGGAAGCGCAAATGGCGCCTGACATGTGGATTTGCCATCTCCTGTGGTGCAATATGGTAAGTGCTTCAACACGAGCAAAAACTGATTAAACTCGCCTGTGCAACTATGCCCGCCAGATCATTGACGTAGTAGATATGGCCGAGCTTGCCCTTGTAACAGATGGAGCAAATGCCGCATCTTTGCTAAAGATCATTGCTGACGTTGTCCATAGTTTGGTCAGATGGTGGGCCCTCCACGCCTGCAGCCACCATACCCCATCGGATGGCACTGAGCTGCTGTCTCGAGAATGCGCATCAAGGTATATTGTGAAGGACATCAAATATGTACGTCTATATGATCTTCAGAAAGCGTGAACAAGCGATGAGCATGGCACGCACCAGTCGACTTGGCCAGGGAAACCATGGGTTATCGTTGCCCGCTTCCTCGTACATCGCATAGTCCGCTTTGCCTTCGCCCTCATTGCCGCCCTTGTGCAGATCACGCTCACCCAGAAGCGCATCCAGCTCCACCTCCGAGTCACTGCTATCCTCCCCAAATGAGTGTAAGAGGCCTTCGTAGACCTTGTCCGAGAGCGTAGTGTTGTGATCAATGGGTCCAAACTTGAAATCACGAAGTCCAGGCGCATTCCAGTCCAGCCCGTTTTTGAGAGCTAAATATGCGCAGGAAGCGCAAGACCTCAGTCTTCCTGCTATGGGAATAGCGACTGAATTCATACCTAAATATGCGCAGAAAGCGCAAGACTAAGGTAACGTTAGTATACAGTAAAGTACAGGTAAAGTAAAGCTCACCCTCAGTCTTCCTGCTATGGGAATAGCGACTGAGGGAAGAGAAAAGAATGTGTATGTATGGTATAGTACGGGATCAACTGTGGGAACATACTTCCCAAGTAAGCACCTTCCTAATTGGTGAATCAGGCCTGATTCACCAATAAGGCAACTCCTTCACGCGGTGGAGGCAGGCTCGCCACCTAACCACCACTTCTGACACCTGTCGTGTTCGACAAATTCTACGTCGTTTTCTTCAACAACGGGTAGACTGGGGCGCGGGTCAAGTGCCATCGCATCAAGAATGCCACCGAGAACACTCTCGGGCTCTTGGTCGGCCGCGCTAGACAGACCTGCAACAGATTCTGTGAGCCCTGGGCGCTCGGATGCGTGTTTGCGTGTTGCTGCTTGATGTGCCATTGAGCTCTCGTATGATGCTCTGGTGTGAGAGCGAACCCTCTGTCCGCCTGTACGATATACTCAGCAGTTATACAAGTCTGATTGCGAGTCATATTGCCAGATTCCTTTGGAGGATTAACACGTGATATCGAGATAGCTCATATTCTCGTACCTTTGTCCGGAGTAACTTCTTCATCGCGCGCGGCCTCGCGGTGGCGCCGGCGCTTCGATGGGCATTGGAAAGGCTCATCTAACAGTGTATCTTGATCTATATTATGGCTTAGAAAGCTGTATATGCAGTGCACAAGAGAAAAGGAGGGTACATACCTTCTGCTCGACTCGAGCCACCAAGGACTGAGTGTTGCACATACACAACCAAGAGATTTCGGACACCAGCTTCCACGAGATTTTGATTGAGATCCATTGGTACACGCGCGAAAGGCGGGAATATCACGCTTTGTCGAATTTTCTGAAGGGAGGCGATGTGGTGTTGCTTTCTTAGTGCGCATAGAAGATCACGGACTGAGTAGCAACAGTCGATGCCTTTGGTCCAATCAGCAAAAGCAATAGTGGCATGCGCGTTACACATGTATATGAACCGGAGAAGGACCGGCACCCTTCACTGTAATGAACGGGCCATTGGGATAACGGCTCGGAGGAATCGGTGCAAGATCGCATCCGTCCTCACCCGTGCGTAGATCCGCAGCGCAAGATACTGCAGCTTGTCAAGCACTGAAAGGTATAGCAATGGGATCACTCACCTAGAATGGCTGCAAGCAAGACGATGCCTGGGAAGAACACCATAGGTGTCATGATCACCGCAAGGATGCGGTACAAATGGTGCTGCAGAGGTTCCCAGAAGCAGAGCACGTGCACACCAACGAACATAGCGATGAGAGCCGCACAGACTGATAGCTCGAGCGCGGCTGCATTGTCCGCTGCTTTGCAACGAGCAGCACGTTTGCGTGCACGCCATTGTTGTAGTCTAGCCCAGCAACACGTTAGTACTCGTTGAATGAAGTGGGTGGTAGGCATTGCTTTGGAGATGAGAAGAGGGGTGGAATGAGTTCTTCAATGTTGCGATTCCAAAGGTGAACAAGGTGGAGAACAAGACCTGCCTAAACGAGCGACGAGCCTGCAATCCGGACCAAGAATTTGCCACTGCAGCCAGCCTGCTTGAGAATCTTAATCAACTGTTGTGATTTTATCAACCCCCGCAGATGGCACAAGCAGTGTATCAAATCAATGGTATGCACTTTGGAGATGACCACATGCTTGGGCTTTTTTCTCGCCTCAGACGGGGGCGTGCAGTTGACGCCCAGTGGACAGAAACATTGAAGTCCAAATATGTGGCGTCCCACGCGGGCGTCATGTAAGCCTGAATTAGTCACTGAAGGGACGTTTGCCCATCTCTAGCCGCTGTCACTATCTACTTTTAGGGTGCAGATTTGCTTCAGAAGAACTTAGGTATTGAGTATACTAACTGTACCTATCGTCCAAACTGAACGCGCAGGCTTCGAGTTCTGGGCGATTTTCAGCAACCGAGTGCGCAGCCGTGTACAGTAAGGATAAATACGGACGCGTGGGAAAGTTTTCCCGAATAGGAAGGCGGACAAAAAGCGTGGACGCGAGGCAAACCATCCGCCCATGGGAGGAGGCAGACTTGCCCCCTCTATACCCTACTTTTGACATCATTGCACACACATCCGACTTCACTTTGGTGTTGAGGAACTCATCCCGCTTGGTGATATCTTCAACTTTGGCAAGCCCAAAGATGATGATAACGAGGAGGCGGTGGTGGAGAGCCCCTGGAGTGGCTCACTGTGGATGTACAAGAAGATCGCTGAGCAGGCCGTCGAGAAGGAGTTGGACACGTGGGACTTGGATGCGTCGTCACCCTCGGTGGACACGAACATGGGCTCAAGCGACGCGCTAATGGAAATAGACTGACTTTACATTTTTTACTGGATTTGCGCTATTATTCCGCCATTATTGGAGTCTGACCCTCCGAAGGACGGGGTCAGGTCAGGTCAGCCACGGCGCCAAAGGTCAGTGACCCCTGGGCCCTGACCCGACGTCATGACCCCGGGTCAGCGCAACACTGATTGTAAGACGATTCCTGCAAGCAGGTCTCGTAACGATCGGCTGGCCGGTCCGAATTATTATAGCGGCATCTCGGCAACGACTTCGTAATTTTCAGACGCTTCACTTGATCACTCCAAACATCCATCTTGGCACGACGCGCGATGGTTGACAATCCTTACCTCGCTCATCGTCACCCTTCCGAGCGCGGCGCAGGCTCTTCTAAACCCATGGCGGCAGAGAAGGAGCCCTTATTTGGTTTCGTCCCCCGCCTCGTCAAGGGGGACCAAGTGCGCTCTGCTCTCGAGCACGAGCTCAACCCCTTCACCAAGCAGCCACACTCCGCACAATACAAGAAAATCCTTGAGCAGCGAAAGAAGCTACCTGTGTACGGCCAGATGGATGACTTCTTCAAGATCGTGAGTAGTGCCCACAGAACGCGTGCTGCCTTGGACCTCAGCTGGTTTTCCAGACCGCGCGAGGCTTGCATTAGGGGGGAGATATGCTAATTGTATCTTATAACAGTTCAGCGAGAACCAAATCATTGTGATGGTTGGAGAGACGGGATCGGGGAAGACCACGCAGTACGTTGGTGTTTGATGGGTAGATACCTAGAGCGCTGACGAAGAATGCAGAATACCGCAATTCGTTGCCTACTCCGACCTCCCCCACACGAAAGGCAAGATGGTGGCTTGTACTCAGCCGCGTCGAGTGGCGGCTATGTCAGTTGCGAAGCGTGTGGCGGACGAGATGGATGGTGCGTGATCAGTTAACCTCCACGAATCGCGTACTGACCTCGAACAGTCCAGCTTGGTCGACATGTCGGATATTCCATCCGTTTTGAAGATATGACGGAACCCGGAACCACCTTCCTCAAGTATATGACCGATGGTATGCTCCTCCGCGAGGCCATGAACGACAATCAGCTCTCACGGTACTCCACCATCATCCTCGACGAGGCGCACGAGCGCACCCTCGCTACCGACATCCTCATGGGTCTTCTGAAGAAGATCGCACAAGAGCGTCCCGACCTCAAGATCATCATCATGTCCGCTACCCTCGACGCCCTCAAGTTCCAGAAGTACTTCGCCCTTAACAGGGGCAAGGGAAAAGACAAGGACACCGCACCACTATTCAAGGTTCCCGGCCGCACGCACCCCGTCGAGGTCTTCTACACCCAGGAGCCGGAACCAGATTATGTCGAAGCCGCCATCCGCACCGTTCTCATGATTCACCGCGCTGAAGAGCCAGGCGACATCCTCCTCTTCCTTACTGGTGAGGAGGAAATTGAAGACGCCTGTCGAAAAATCAAGATCGAAGCCGACGACCTCGTAAACTCCGACCCCGATTCTGTCGGTCCCCTCATCTGCATTCCCCTCTACTCGTCCCTTCCCCCGCAACAACAGCAGCGCATCTTCGACCCTCCCCCAGCAGGACGTCCAGGCGGGCCTCCCGGCCGCAAGGTCGTGGTGTCGACCAACATCGCCGAGACGTCGCTCACCATTGACGGCATCGTCTATGTCGTCGACCCTGGTTTCTCCAAGCAGAAGGTGTACAATCCGCGAATTCGCGTCGAGTCACTGCTCGTCAGCCCGATCAGCAAAGCGTCGGCGCAGCAACGTGCTGGTCGTGCCGGGCGTACGCGACCAGGCAAGTGCTTCAGGCTGTACACCGAGAAGGACTTCATGGGCGAGCTGGAGGAGCAGACGTACCCTGAGATCTTGCGGTGTAATCTGGCGAACACCGTCTTGGAGTTGGTCAAGTTGGGTATCAAGGTGAACAATATTCGCTACCAAATGCTCTGTGCACTAACACCGCTCCCAGGATCTCGTCCGCTTCGACTACGTCGACGCTCCGGCACCCGAGACGCTCATGCGCGCCCTCGAGTTGTTGAATTACCTTGCCGCTCTGGACGACGAGGGCAATCTGACACCCCTGGGCGGTATCATGGCCGAGTTTCCGTTGGACCCGCAGCTCGCGAAAATGCTCATCGTATCTCCGGAGCTGAAGGTCAGCAACGAGGTACTGACCATCACAGCGATGCTCTCTGGTACGCTGCTCCTTCTGTCCCGGCTATATCATCTGCTTACCCACCCCTTAGTCCCCAACGTCTGGCTTCGCCCGAACAATCAGCGGCAGCAGGCAGACGCCGCGAAGGCGACGTTCACCGTTCCCGATGGTGATCACCTCACCCTCCTCAACGTCTTCAATCAGTATATGCAGAGTATGTCAATCTCTCCTTCTAGTTCGCGGGCCATACCCTAACGTATTACAGACAAATACGACAAGAACTGGGCATGGAATCATTACCTCTCCGCTCGGGCTCTGCAGCAGGCAGAGAACGTGCGGGAACAGCTCAAGCGCAATATGGAGCGCTACGAGCTGGACCTGCTAAGCATCACCGATGAGAAGGTAAGTGTTATAACTCTTTCAAGGACTGCTGAAGTACTCACCTCTGTTGCTAGAAAATGTACATGAATATCCGTAAAGCGCTCGTCTGCGGCTTTTTCATGCAGGTTGCGCACAAGGAGGGCGAGAAGGGGAGCTACCTCACCATCAAGGACAACCAAGTCGTCGCTCTCCACCCCAGCTGCGGCCTTGATACGCAACCTGAGTGGGTGCTGTTCAACGAATTCGTGCTCACGACGCGGCCATATATTCGTACGGTCACCGAGATCAGACCAGATTGGTAGGCCCCTGCCCTACTTGCGTTGACGCCGGATACTCACCCAATTATCAGGCTCTTCGAATACGCGGCAAATTACTACGACCTCAATACCTTCCAGGATGGTGAGACGAAACGCGCGTTGGTCCGAGTTGCGAATAAGCGCGCCGGAAAAGCTACGGGCAGGGTTGATGAACCGACCAGTAAACGCGCAACCAAGAAGCAGCGTACGTAGGCGGAGGGGTGTCGCAGTCACGCTCGCTGAATGGCGATTGTGAGGGTTATTGTATATTCTACCACTGCGCTCCGTTGCTATCCACAGCCTGCCTCCCCGGCAGTCGAAAGAGTAAGGAGGATCGGAAGACCAGTGGCATAGACCTCCCCGAGCATCCCAAGCGAATCGAGATCAACGGTCGAAGGAGTTGTATATGTAGATCAGTCTGGCATGTATTCACGCTTCCCAACGACCTTGTGGAGCATTGTTTCATCGTCCGAGCGACTGTTGAACTGGAAGAGGTCAGGCCAAGATGCTTGAGAGAATGTGACACGTGGGACGTGATCGTGTCCTGCTTGCTCCTGAACATATCGTCGGGCAGTCGGGCAGTCAATTACAACCTGCACACTCCTCTGTTCTTGCCATGGTACGCCAGCTCATAAAGCGCTTGAAAGTTCCTCATCGTCGCGTAGGTTGTGCTTGCATCGTCGATTTGCACGAAAGCGGGTAAACGTACGTGGCCCAACACGCTCAGCTATATGCGCTCACATCCACCCTCTAGCGCTCCTCTCCCGCCAATTCCTCCCCCTTCCCAAGACGCGCATCGAGGCTCTCCTAACTGCCTTCCCCAAACTTGTCCCGCCCCCGAACTCCTCCTCTCAGCACACTTCTGTCGAAACGTCCGACGTACGCTATGTCTACCAGCCCATAGACGATCTCGTTCTCCTTCTCGTCACCAACAAGGCCTCCAACATCCTCCAAGACATCGACACACTGCACCTCTTTGCGCGCGTCGTCGCCGACGTCTGCGGCGGGCGCGCCCTCACCGACCGCGACATCGCCGACCGCGCATTCGAACTACTCGGCGCGTTCGACGAGGTCGTGGGTTTAGGGTATCGCGAGCCCGTCGGCCTTCCGCAAATCCGAGGTATCCTCGAGATGGAGTCGCACGAAGAGAAGATCCAGGAGATCATCGCGCGCAACAAGGAGGCGGAGGCGAAGGAGGAGCTCAAGCGCCGCGCGAAGCAGCTCGAGATGCAGCGGCGCGAGATGCAGCGTCGTGCGGGTGCGGGTGCGACCAGTGGAGGCTTCGGCGGCGGGGTGTCTGGTGCGTTGGCTACGTGCTTTCAATATCCCACGACTAACGCGCGATTATTCAGGATACTCCCCTGTCCCGCGCTACGAAGCACCATCGCCGGCTCCTGCCTCGCCAGGTGAGCAACCTTTGCCTTGATCTTACTGCTTCGTATCGACGCTATTCTCAGCCCCCCAAACTATCACCACCTCAAAACCCGCTTTCAAGTCTGGCGGCCTCAAGCTCGGCAAGAAAAAGGGCGGCGCCGACATCCTCGGTGCAGAAGCCGAGGTCAACAGCCCGCTTCTTGGCCAGACCTTCGGCGCGTCGCAGGAATCCGAGCTGTCTGCACCTTCTACGCCTCTGCCGTCGGTCACGAAGTCAGCGAGTGACCGCGGCAATCTCCCACCAGTGGACGAGGAAGAGTGCGTTGTATTCTCAAGAGGTAATCCAGGAGAATCTGACAAGGCTATTTAGCGTCCACCTTACTATCAAGGAGGCTCTCACAGCGTCGCTCTCCCGCGATGGAGGCGTTGAGAGCATGGAGATCAAGGCAAGTGATCCTTCACGAACATCATATCGCTCGCTCATACAACTTCAAATAGGGCGATATGAACCTTCTCGTCAAGGACGGCGAATACGCGCGCTGCGCCGTCGAGCTCATCGGCGGCACCGCAAACGTGCAGTTCAAGCAGCACCCCAATGTAGCGAAGTTCGCACCGGGTGCCGCTGCCAAGGTTGGTGTGCCCTATCACGCTTGGATGCGTATCTGAGCCAACGACACCTCCAGGTTATCCGATTGAAGGACCCAGCGAAGCCCTTCCCCGTTGGTCACTCGCTCGGCGTCCTCAAGTGGCGCTATACCGGCAAGGACGAAAGCGTGCTACCATTGAGCAGTGAGTTCCCTAATCTTGTCTCGCAATGAATCTCAGGTTGACACCTGACCCAGTCAACGCCTGGCCAACCCCGTCAAACGACGGAACAGTCGACGTCTCGCTCGAATACGAGCTCACTAACGACGCCGTTACGCTGTACGATGTCGAGATTGACGTACCCTTGCCGTGAGTATTTGCCCTGTCCATACTCCTCCACATATTCAATCTCTGCATCAGCGCCGGTTCCTACCCGACAGTCACATCGCAAGCCGAGGGCAGCGATTGGGAACTCGACCCCGGCTCGCATGCGCTGCGCTGGAAAATACGCAAGGTCAGCGCGGAGGACGGCGAGCGCGAGGGCTCATTGAACTTTGTCGTCGCTGGCGACGACGCAGAGGCGCTTTTCCCGGTATGCATTTACCGTGACAGAATATGGGATCCGCTGCTAACTATCGGCCTAGGTATCCGTTCGCTTTATCGGCCAGGGCAGCTTGCTGGGCGTTGCAGTCAAGAAGGTTGGGCACGTCAGCAACGAAGGTCAGTCTCTTCTTATTGTGCTCGGCCAAGTAGCGCTCATAAAACCCTTCAGACGTATCCGAGGACATCCCCTACAGCGTGGACAGCATCCTTTCGGTGGACGAGTACAGTGTCGTGTAGTTCGGTACATATGGTTGATCAGACGAGCTTGTACGGATGATTCATGTGTAGAGCCTCCATCTGAGCGTGGCGTTAGACCAAACCGGGGTCGATCTGGAGCAGGGACGGGACCAAGCTGGGGCAGACGCTTTCCCCACGGGCAGAATGACGCAAATCGCCCTGGAAGTCCCTGTCAAACAAATTCAAACAGAATCCCAGTGATGCGTTCATCAGCCGACGCGCGTTATTCGCGACCACCTTGCTTGCTACCACCATGCCTCGTCCCCGAGCGATTCCCCGCGTCCCTCCTGCTGCTCGCGTCGAACTCAGCGCAGGCCAGCTGCTGCGCCAACGTGTCGGGCAGCGCCTAGCCGCCACAACGTGTGCCGTCCCCCACATCCGTGCGCCCGTGCGCTCGTTCACCGCGTCGACCGTGTCCCGCACCGGTGCCGATAGCTACAACGACGAGAACAAGGTGCCCGACTTCTACGTGCGCCGCAAGGAGAAGCGTGCCTCGGGGAAGCCTATCTCCGAAGAGGAGAAGGCGAAGGATCCCTCCCTCATGGAGCACCTTTCCGACGGGCTGCTCTCGGATGAGATCGTTGCATCGACGCGGCGCCTCAAGTCGAAGATTCCTAAGGAGATGTACAATGAGGACGGTGTGCTCGTCCACCCCTCAGGGTACGTGATTCCCACACCGGCGGACGAGACTCCGGCACGGCGCGAGCGCGAGCGCGATCTGGCGAAGCAGACCGCCGCCGTCGCAGAGCGCGTCTTGGAAGAGGACTTTGAAGGAGTGACCGCGCACACCAAGGCGAAGCGGCGCAAGGTACGTATCACCCTACTCGGACTGCCTTCGTTTCCCTCATCAGCTGCTTACTCCACGTCCCCCCAGGTCCCTGTCGAAGTGCGGCACGAAGATGGCAGCGTCAGCCACCCCTCTGGCTTTGTCCCACCCACGCCCGCAGAGAACTTTGACAATCTCTTCGCCTGGGAGGACGCCGAGAACGCGAAAGCCGAGGCGCAGGCCCGCCTCCGCAAGGCCGACAAGTCCTCCGACTCCGCCTCCCCCGCTACCCCCCTCAAATCCGGCACGCTCGAGCAGCAGCCGGCGCACACCTCGGGCACCGCGTCCGGCGAGTCCAGCCGCGCTTCGCACAACCCGCGCTCGACGCAGACCGACCCAGGCGACTCGAGCACGCGCAAGACGGACGAGATCCTGCAACAGGAGCAGCGCGAGAGCATCCAGCGCCGGAAGGAGCAGGAGGGCGGGCTCATGACGGAGCTGAGCGCAGGCGTACTGGCCGGGGGCGTCAGCGCGAGCACGGAGCCGCGCGACGAGAAGAAGCCTACGGCGTACGCCACTCAGGAGGGCGTGCAGACGGCGCAGCACCCGCCAGATTTCATCGAGCAGCACCCGCCGCAGCGGGTGAAGAACCCGAAGAAGGATTGAGCGCGGCGGAAGGAGGGAATGGAACGAGGAATCAATAACATCTAGAGTAGGTTCTGCTACTTACGGAATGTCACGCTTTACCATTCTATCTGCACGACTAGATGTACTGTCATTGTTGCAATGCTGAGAGTATCACCTTGCTTGCAAGTGCAAGGTCTTTCCCGTGTCTTATTGACCCCATCAAAAATGACCCCATGTGCGTAGCACGTTCCGAAGACAACATCGGTAAATGCGCAGACACCTTCGTCCATAAGTCCTGTACGGCACCACACGACGAGCTCTGCCAACGATAGCAGGATTCAGACTCACGCGCGAAGTGCAAGCAAGGTATGCATCCGGCGAAGCCGGGGCTTCCTCTAGTCAGTTATACTGTGAATGTAGTGCAAAAGATGAAGTAAGTAACTTGGTATGAAGTAGCGCGTTCGAGGACGACCCTATGCCCCTGCTAATCGTCGTCGTCGTCTGAATCGCCGCGGTCGCTATAGTCGTTCAAGTACGGGTCCCCGCCGCCAGCTGCCGGAGTACTGAGGACTACACTTGGACCAGCATTGAGATCATCGTCCGAATCGTCTCCATTAGCCACTGCTTGAGCTTCCCCGGGGCGCTCGTCGCTCGCGCCGGTGCTCGATCCGCCCCCAAGTAGTGCCGCTCGCTGCCTCTCCCAAGCCGCATCCCTCACTTTCTTCGGAAGGCCCGTAGACGGTCCCGAGACGAAGAGGCTCCACAACTCGATGAGCAGGCTTGACAAAGCGCAGTCAACAATCCAGTAAAAGCGGATACGGGAGACCAAACTTACCCCGCTTCCCTCCCTGCCCCATACCACTGATGGTCCTGGACTAGGCCAGCATTCTTCGCCATCCGGCGCACGCCCGCCGTATCCGTAAAGCTAGCGTGGTACGTAGCGAACACCTTCTTGATGTCAACGACGTAGACACCAGGCTCCAGACGCGCAGAGCGCCCATATGTCGAGCTTCGCGCTGACAAGTTGTTGCCCCAGTCCCTCTCCCTGCGCGAGCGATCGTCGTATCTGCGAGCACCGTTGTCTCTGCGCGGAGAACGATCGCGTTCGCGAGAAATAGAGCTGTTTGTAGACTGCGCAAGGTTAGGCATCGAGATCAACGCTCAGCAGAGGATGGACCTTACCAGACCAAACAGCTGCCCCATCACGTCCTCCCCATCCTTCCCTTTCCACCCAGTCGTATCCACACCCACTGCCTTCAATATCGACAGTGCGAATTCTGCATTTGACACCAGCAGGATGATAGGCTTCGCATCTGGTCCGCTGATATCGAAGTACGATGCAAGGTTGATCTGGTCCTGCGGTAGTATTTGCGTCCCTTCGAAGGGCTGAAGGACATTGGATGTCAGTATAACCATACCGATACAATCCCAAAGCCTGAGGAACTGCCTACCTCCTCTTGAAACTTCTCCGTTCGCAACACCCCGCTCACTTGCGGATCCTGCTCAATCCAGTCGCTGATTTTGTTGCTCGCCTCTTTCCAGTGCTTCGTCGTGCCCTCCTTCACTGCCCATCCCCTAGGTGCCGCCGATTCCCGACCCCCTTCCGCCGACCCGTTGTGGAACGCGGCCTCTGCCAAGCCCACGTCCTTGATCTTCGGCATTGCCTTCTTCACTGCCTCAGTCTCTTCCTTGTACATCAAATTGAATGCAAAGGCTAGGACGCGGAAGTCGTTCGCGCGCAAACTAGGAAAGCCGAAGCGAGCAGCGTCGGCCGGATCGTGCAAGATGTGGTTGAGCGTCCTGTCGAGAATCGGGTCAGTACCTTGTATATGGCCGGGGACCGGTGCATCTCTAGAATCTGGATAGGTGAACGCGACCTTACCTTGCCCGCTCCAACATCGTGTAGCTGTTCCCTCCCTTCCCTTTTAGCGCGGCCTGCAGCTCGTCGCGTGTACACACAATTGGCGACAGGCATATGAACCTGTCTGCTCTCAACGGCCTCCCGCCTCGTAAGTACGACGGGAACCGCCAATTCTCCTCGTCGGTGACGAGGATTGTCGGTCCACCTGCCGCAGAAGTACCTAGCAAGCGAACTTAGCCTTGTATTGAGAACCGCAAATTGCGCTCTTGCGGAATGATGATCGCACTCACCGAGGATGAACTCATACTTATCCGGCTGCACGCGACGTAGCACGCCTAGTGCATTCAAAACTTGGTCAAGCCGTCCTGTATCCACGTAGGGCTTGCCCCTGTGCATAAGCGAGAGTACAGCGATGAGCGTTCGTCGCCGGCGGGCGAGTCGTAGGGTGACCCGCAGCGTAAGGTAGGAAATGAAAACGAAAGGGCGGTCGGGGTTTGCCAGCAATTCGATGAAGGCGCAATATAATAGACAGTACCATACGCAGAATTCAGGCCATCAAACGGCATGGGGAGTACGGAAAGAAGAAATGTACATCCGTCAGTGGCGATAACACGGCGAATGAACTCCAGTACCCTCACCTACTTGCGATATCTTTCAGCGAGAAATATGTGTTCATGTCAGGGGTTTCGAATTGTCTTGAGCTTTCGTGAGTCCTTGTAAAGTGGGTGGCTGATTAAGTCAAGACTCCTCAGAGGTGCATCGGTAGTGGAACTGGAAGAGTAAAGGAAGCACGGTCGGCGTTCATAAACAACGAGGCATGGGACACGTGCTAGACGGCCATTGCCGGAGAACATGCGAGTTCGATTCGCAACTACACTCTCGGGGCGCTTGCAGCCCGTCGTGCGTGGTGGAACAGGATGTTCTGGTATAACGTGCCGTCAACTTGTGCAGGATACTTCCCAATGAACCAGATTAAAATCGAATAGGTTATGATACATCTAACCCTTACTACGAAAACACGACTGCTCACATTCATCGACATCCCGATGCACCCCAAATTCACCAACAGAAAGGCGTTGTCGCAATAATTCCAAAATACTGAAGGTTGTCCACCGTTTCGAAAGAAGCACCATGAAAGACAGAAAGTCAGCAAGTACATCCTCTTGCAATGCGACCATTCCCGATAGATAGCCAATTATATTGTCGCACTCACCTGCATATGATCCTCATTGATACCCTCGCTAGGCACAGATGCCGAGCATTTTGGGTCTTCGCCGTCGCACGCGCAGCGTACCTGGAAGGAATGATGTCAGAGCGCGTGAAAACTGAGCAACACACATGTAGAAAGACAATACCAGTAGGATGACAAGATTGATCCACATACCGTGTTCTCCGGCGCTGGAGGCTCGCACTTCTGCCAATATTCGACGCCTGAAAGGTTCGTATCAATTGCGCACTAAAACGAGCACTCCGACGCCTCACCGTGATGCGCATATCCCATCGACGTCGGAATCATTGTCGGGACGCTCAGGTGACATTAGTCTTCAGTATAATGAAGACGTTCTTCAATCACTCACCCATCCTTTGCGTGCACGACTATAGGGAGCGCACACTGTGAACAAAGCTCGAGGAAAAGTTAAGACAACGCTTACCCCTGAACGCTGTCCTGCCCACGACTTGATTTACCCAATTCGCAAATTCTGCGTTTCCCACCCGCGGTGCGCCGTAGGAGTAGAGCTTCGTAACTGGTCTGAGAAAGACGAGTCAGCTATGCATCCTCAGAACCTACAGCACATCAGAGGCAGAACGGTCGAGAACTGTTGTAGGCGAGTGGGAAAGGGTGTCAATGAATGTTATGTGGGGACAGAACGACGAAGAGAATAAAAATATATCTCACACCCCCGTGAACCTCTGCCTTAATGCCACAATTGCCATCGTCGCAAGCGCGCCGCCGAGTGAGTGACCCGTCGCTACCAAGGAATAGCCGCAGCCTGTTGAAGATGGTAGGGTTTTGTCCCCAACGTCCATTATAAGTGGAGACTGTGCAGACGTCTCCGCACCCCAAGGAAAAGGTATACCCGCCAGTCGTTCAAGCTCCTCGGTCACAATCGCGATGACTTCAAGTGCAACGGAGTTCCAGGCGGCCAAAAATCCGCTGTGGACTTTAACGCCATCTTCCAAAAGTTCACGAGTCAGTATACAATTACCGCTCTAGAAGACATGAATGTCCGGCTAGGGCTCAAGGACTCACCTGGTGCAGTCACCCCTGGCGAAATGAAGGGCACAAGTACGACGGAAGCATCGAGTAGGATATCCGTCATCGAGAGGCTATAGGGCGGAAGTCAGTACGTTTGGTGAGATCATCTCAGCGGCTAAGTCCGTGAGTAGATGCCGATAGGGTGGCGATTCCAGTGTAACGCGCGCGAAAAGGATGAGTGCGAGAATACAACAAGAAGCCCTTACCTACCACGCAGAGCAACAATGAGTTCCCTGCGTTCATCGTCACGCGCAACATAGCCTTGTATATCCGTGTATGAGTTCGAGATCTATCAGGACTGGAGCTCAAAGGCGGTCAGAATAAGGGCTTGAAGCAGTTCGCACCTCCGACACCAGAACCCGCCCATTCGGCCTTGGGCACAAAGCAGTATAAGCCGAGCTCGCATACTTGAAGTAGTGCACGAGGTCTTCGTAAAGCCCTGTAGACTCATTCCACAGACGATCTAAGTACGAAGGGCAGAGTATGCCACCGACATGGCTCGATCGGTTTGGGGGTCATAGCAGCCTACGCCACACACTATCAGTCTGGAGGCTTTGTAAAGCGCACTTCTGTTCATACTTAGCTCTAAAGTCTTGATGTGCACCTTCAAGAAAGGGGGAAAGCCCAGCAAAGTAGAAAGCCAAGGGTGGCACGCGCCTGCCGACCGTTTATGGCACGTCCGCTCGGCAAACGCCATCGATCTGCACAGCCACACCAGCCCTTGTCCTTCCACCGCCGCGCCTCCGCGAGATTCGTTGACTGCCATCGGAGGGCGTCCGAAGGCGTCTTTGTTCGGCCACGGCTACGACTAGAAGTCATACTTGGGGTCGATAGGAGAGGCGTTCTTGCACCTCGACCTCGGCCAGAACGTGTTCGACCGCAAACCAGCCAGTCCCCTCGGCCTTCGAGCGTGCAACCACCGGCAATCCCTCCCCATAACATGATGTCCAGGATGGAGGATGTATCGACAGGCTCAGACTCGGACTACTCCAGGTGCGCAAGCTATCTCTGTGCCATAGCATCGACCTGACGCGCTCCCTCCAGTTCAGTGCGTATCACATCTCCCTTTATGATGCTCTACTTCCCCTTACAAAGTTTCGGTTCTTCCCCACTACATCTTTACCCCTCCATCTATCAGCTATTTTCTCCTTACGCTTTCTGGTTCTCCCTCGTGTTCGAGATCGTCGAGTCTAACGCCCCTTCCCCCAGTGGATATCCTGGTTCCTCTCCTCCAAGGGGAACGAGTATTTCTGCGAGGTCGATGAGGACTTCATCCTTGATCGCTTCAACCTTACCGGCCTCAATAACGAGGTCGCGAACTATGCCCAAGCGCTCGATCTCATCACGGACAATTTGGGTGCGTTAGCAAGTTCTATACACATTGAACGGAGCTTTCTGCAAACCATCCATGATCGACACCGTACTAACACACACCTGTCAGACGACGAGATGCAGGACGAGATGCGCGGGTCGCTCGACGTGCAGGCCCGGCTGCTCTACGGCCTCATCCACGCGCGCTGGATCGTCACCGCGCGCGGGCTCGCGAAGATGGTATGCATGTCCCCCTCATCCCTTGACTACTATCCTTTGCTATAACATATCAATATGATGCTCAACGAATACCCCAGCTCGAAAAATACAAACGCGCCGACTTCGGCAAATGTCCTCGCGTGCTCTGCGCTGCCCAACCCCTCCTCCCTGTCGGCCTCACCGACATTCCGTACGAAAAGTCCGTCAAGCTCTACTGTGGCCGCTGCGAGGACATCTACTCGCCCAAGTCCTCAAGACACGGCAGCATCGACGGGGCCTACTTCGGGACGACATTCCCCCATCTGCTTTTCCTCGTCTACCCAAATTTGATACCGGCGAAGGTGGGTGGTACCGAAGGAGGCGCCGCGGGGCTTGGCGCGGGTTCGAGTGCGTATGCTAGTAGGCTCAAGTGACTGATTTGACTCACGAACCCATCCAGGCTCAACAAGCGGGGCGGGCGCAGCCGCCGACTCACGGGCCCGCCGTCGTGCGCGCGATGACGCTGAAGTTCTACCAGCCGAGGGCGGCGGAGGCGGCGGCGAGGGCGTCAGCACGGCGAGCGTGGCGAAGAACGTCGAGCGGTATCGGCCGCGGATATACGGCTTCCTCGTGCACGAGACGGCCAGGCTGCAAAGATGGCAAGAGGCAGTCAGGGATCGGCAGGTGGAGAGATTGGAGGCGATCGAGGAGAGGCCGTGAGGTGGTGTAGGCCGTCATATCCGGAAAGACTGCCCTCGTAGAGTAGAGGAGTGCCCAGCTGGTTTGTGCTTTCGCAGATGCTTCATACATGGACATTCCTGTATAAGATGTATCCATATTTGTATTTTCGGTCCATACAGCTGTCTTGATGCGATGCTATACCTCCAGTCGTCTGCGCCACCAGGCTATCATTGCATTGCTATCGTTCCCCTGTGAGTGACCCCGAGCGCCTCATAGCCCCTCGCCCGAGTTGTGCGCAAGGTTTTTTGACCCGACTCAGCTACTGTATGCTTATGCTGCATGCAACGCATTACCTCGACTGCAATTCACGTGACAGAGGATATTCATGAAGATCCAAGTATACTTTTGCTGTAGAGAAACATATGAACCACGGGATAGGTTCGAAAACTTTTTGATGGCTGGCACACAGTTGCGCTCAAGATGGCAAGTGTCACGTCGTGTGGGTCCCGGACCCACTACCACACGTGATCATCAACAACATAAAGCCTCGTGGCCCAGGCGTCTCCGAACCCGACCGCCGCACCACGTGGGACGTCCGCCCCGTTGAACGTTGTCTAGCTCGTCGACGGCACCTCCACGGCCTCTGACGATCTCCTCGACTTGCATCCTCCTACATCGGTTGCAAGCAACCCCAACAGTGACGACAAGAGCCGAGCACAACAAAAAACTGTGCACGGTTCAACCTGCGCCTCATCGAAGACCACAGACCGTCAACACCTCCATATCCTCTGCCCAGCATGTCTTCCAAGCTGAAGAATAAGTTGAAGCAGACGAAGTTTCCTGTGGTGCGTGGGTCCGCGACTAAGCGGAGGGTGCAATACTGACAGCCATTCGACCAGGCGCGCATCAAGAAGATCATGCAGAAAGACGACGATGTAGGCAAGGTCGCGCAGGCAACACCTGTGGTTATATGTGCGTTCATTGTACAACTCTTGTCCTCGAATTCCTTCGCCTTCAGCTGGGCGACTCTGCGATGGTGTATCGCCGTCTTCCCCTTGCCTTCCTGACAGCCCTGCGATTTGGTGTCACCATATCATGCTCGCTGCTGGTGACCACCCTTCGGAAACGCACCACTAGTCGTTTGACTGTCACTCCTTGCTCCACATACCTACACTTTCGTCCTCAAATACTTGTGTCCCTACTCGTTTCGAGTCACTGCTAACAACTTGTTCTAGCCAAGGCGCTTGAGCTCTTCTTGAAAACCATCGTGGACGAATCTGCCAAAGTCACCCTGCAGCGCGGCGCGAAGAAAGTCGAAGCATATCACCTGTGCGTCCGTCGTTATCTTCTTCGCTTTCCACACGCAATACACCTCGCCCTCACAATCATGCCCATCGCGGCTTCGCATGATGGTTCGCGCCCACTATATGCCCCGTGCCACCTCATCTTCTACTTTTCGGAAAACTGACACCTCGTCCAGCAAGCATGCCGTCGAAACTGTTGAAGTCCTCGACTTCTTGAAGGACATAGTCGCCGGCGTCCCCGACCCCTCTGCCGGTGGCACCATTGACCCGCACGAGAACTCCAAGCGTCGCGGCAAGGGCAAGGCCCGCGCGCGCGCCGCTGCCGCGGGCGACGACGACGAGGAAGGAGATGGAAACGACGGGGACGTGCACATGGCCAGCGCGCACACAGACGAGGACGGCGAAGGTGGCGATGGCGACAGCGATGAGGAAAAGCCAAAGCCGAAGCGCGCACGGAAGCCGCGGGAGCCCAAGGAGCCCAAACCAAAGAAAGACCCCAAGCCCAAAGTCCCCAAAGCACCGAAGGAGCCCAAGCCGCCCAAGGAGCCTAAGCCACCGAAGGAACCGAAGCCAAAGAAGGAGGCCAAGCCGCGCGCGCCTCGCAAGACGAAGGTTGAGAACGGAGACGGGGAGGAAGCGCCGAAGCGCAGGCGGCGGAAGAAGGCGGATGAGCCGGAGGCGATGGGCGAGGGCATGGGCTCTTTCGCGCTCGAGCCGCCGGGCGGGTACGTGCAGACATACGAGCAGCAGGCCCAAGCATACGACGCCGGCGCGAGCAACTACGATGCAGGCGCGGGTGAGTACGAGGCGGGTGCTAGCACGTATGCGTCCGGTGGGGGATACGACGACGAGGACAGCAATGGGTACCACGCAGCGCCGACCGGAAGTGCATACGAGGATGCTTACGGCGGGAGAGAGCATATGTATGCCGAGCCCTCGGGGTACGCGCCTGCGGCCCACGACAGCGCGATGTACGGCATGGAGACCTTTCCGGAGGATGATAGACCGTATATGCCGCGATGAGCAAGTGCGCTCGTTCTCATGCGATACCTCGATACATCACCTAAACTTTTTCCTACGATCGAACTTCTCCACCTCTTGACACGCCTACCCATATATCCGGGATGTCTGGCATAGGCCATGTAGTATGTTATGTTGTATGTATGAACGAAACATCATTTCGACGCTCGCATTTTCCGACTTCAACTTGGCCAGTGGAATGAAGTAGCACGCGTTTGACACGTGTTGTTAGGCGCCGCCGCGCCGCGCCTTGCGATCGCTATCGAGCTCGCCACTGACGACGACGACGATGGCCCCCCTCCCATCGAGGCCGGTATTCCAGTACCCGATATTCCTCTCCAGCTGCCCCCAATGTCATATCCAGCTCGAGGTCGCCGTCCCATCTCCGCGCCCAAAGCAGGGCACGCTCCTCGACGTGCAGTGCTTCGCCTGCCGTAGCACATACACGCATGCCCTCTATCCTGCGCAGATCGTCGACGCTGCCGGCGCGGGCCGCGTGGGGACGTCGTCGCAGGGGCCGAGCTCGCCCAGACCTGATCGAACGCAGACACCGGGCGTGAAGCGCTCCTCCCGCAAGATCGGCACGCAGGAGCGTCCACTAGAGACGGGGTATTACGACATCCTGGGCGTCTCGGTGGACGCGACGACGGACGAGATCAAGAAGGCGTATCGTGCGTGTGGTCCTCCCTACCCCATCCCCATCCCTACCCCATCCCCATCCCTCCATCACTCAACCCATTTCTCTCTCTCTTGCCAATCACGCCCCCGTCGCAGTCGACCATGCTGACATACTCCTCATTCGTCTTAACCCTTGTCTCTACCTGCAGGTCGCGCCGCCATCAAGCACCACCCGGATAAGAATCCGGACGATCCGCACGCCGAAGAGCGCTTCAAGGAGATCGCCATAGCATACCAGACGCTCTCAGACCCAGCCCTGCGCAAGAAGTACAACGAGTATGGCAGCAAGGAAAGCCAGCCCGAAGGAGGGTGCGTTGTCCAGAAGTTCAACAATGTTTCCCACAGTCGCTGTACCATCTGGCGGATTGCATTGTCCTCCGCATTTCCCTTGCTTCCCAGCCCAGACAATAGCTACCTTTGTCCTGTGCTCCTCAACCCTTGTATTTTACTCTTCCTTTTCCTTTGCTCACGATGTCGCACATCTCGTATCTCCCTTCCTTCACCGCTAACCCGCCATCCAGCTTCGTCGATCCAGAAGACCTCTTCGGTGCAATATTCGGCGGCGCTGCATTCGTGCCTATCATCGGACACATCAGCCTCGCTAAGGACATGAAAGAGGCCTTGCAGGAGGCAGACGACGAGCTAGGTGAGTGCATGTTCTCGACGGTGACGTCGAGCTTGAGGCGGTGACGGCCAGGACGTCGACTGACACAGAAATGCAGGCGCAGGCGCACAACCAAGGTTAGATGCGCAAGGACGACCCATACTCGATCAGGACGGCAGACCACTTCCGTTACTTGACGCGAAGGGACGGCCAGTCCTAAGCGAGGAAGAGAAGAAGCGGCGCGAAGAGCGCAAAAGGCGGCGAGCGGAAGAGGTGTGTGTGCTATCTTGTTTCTTTTTCTTCTCCCCCTGCTCCCGCACTTCTCCCTCTGTTTTCGTATCGTTCCTCCTGTCGCCCTTCCTCCCCGTCTCCTTCCCACTGACCCCGACCACAGAAAGAAGCCGCCCGCGCCGAACGCGTGCGCGAGCTCGTCGCCAATCTCGAGCAGAAGCTCGGCAAGTTTGCAGAGGTCGCGAGCGGGCCGGATGACGCAGCCGTGGCGCACAGCTGGAGGGAAATGTGCCGAATCGAGGCGAGGTGTGTATGCCTCCCGCATTATTCCCAACCCCGTGGACCCCCGTAGTGTTTTCAACCCCGCGGACCCCCTGCATGTCCACTACCTTTTCAGCTCCATGCAGTTGCGGTCCTCGGTCATTCGCTGACCACCTCACTCGTCCACTGACCTCCTCAATCATTCGCTGACCTCCTCACTCATCCACTAACCCCCTCCCCAGCGACCTCGCCGCCGAATCCTACGGCCCCGAGCTCCTGCAAACAATCGGCTTCGTGTACACCAGCAAGGCGAAGCACCACCTCGCGACGCAGCAGACGCTGTTCGGCGTCGGCGGCTGGATGCACAACATTCAGGGGAAGTACCATGTCATTAGCGAGACGTGAGTGCACTTTCTCTGCCTGGATGGGGGTGTTTTGCACCTGTGGAATGGCGGGTTTGCGCCCGTGGAATGGCGGATTTGTGCCCGTGGGATGGCGGTGTGCATAGGAATGGGATGAGGAGCAAGCCTTCCATCCGGGAAATGCATGCCTTCCATAGGAAGATGCAAGCCTCGTACGCAGCCCCACTAACCCCCACCCCCCAGCATGTCCACCGTGCGCTCCGCGATCGAGCTCAAGTCCGTCTTCGACCAGATCCAGGCCGCGGAGAAGGCGGGCAACCTGAGCGAGGACGAGCGGCGCCGGCTCGAGGAGCAGGCCGCGGAGAAGGGGCTCCAGGCGTTGTTCAAGGTGCGTTGGAGTTCTCGTTTTCGAGCCTCCCTCGTGCCAAGGCTCACTTTTCCGAATCTTCCTCTCTTACCGCCCCTTTTCTCATCACCTCATCTACACCTACTTCCTCCTCTCCCCCTCCCGTCCTTTTCGCTCCCGTTCGAGCGACGAGAGTCTATGCCTGACTAACTCTCCCACCCCAGGGCACCAAACTCGAGATCGAGTCCGTCCTGCGCGAGACCTGCGACCGCGTGCTCGAGGACCCGAACATCACGCCGCGAACGGCGCAGCTGCGCGCGGTCGCGCTGCAGATTATGGGTAAGTCTCTTTCGGTTTTGATTTTTTCTTTCGCTTCTCGTCCTCCGTGCTATACGCATTGCGAGCTTCGTGAACATATGCATTGCGGCTTTTGTGCTATACGCATTGCGACCTCCGTGTTATACGCATTGCGACCTTTGTGCTATACGCATGGGAACCGGGGGGCGACGGGGACATGGCTTAGGTGGGGAGCTTGCGTAGGGCAGTTGTGGGCTTGCGCAAGGCGGCCCGCAGGCGTGCGATAGGCAGCTGTGGGCTTATGAAGGACAACTATAGAAGGAGCGAGGGAGGAAGCGGCGCGGGAGGATAATAGAAGCGGCGCGGGAGGAAACCAGAAGCCAATGATGACAAAGAGAACAGCACTAACCCACCCCTCAGGCGAGGTCTACATGAGCGTCAAGAAGCCCGAGGGGCTGCTGGGCGAGGACAGCGAGTACGTGAAGATCGAGAACAAGCGGAGCTCGCGGGCGGGGTCGAGGTAGGGTGGGGGAGTTGACTGGGATGTGGTAGAGATGGGTGTCATGAGGCAGGTGAAGGGGTGTCATACTGCCAGGTCGGGCCCGTGTCATGCTAGCTGCAAGCGAAGCCCTCCCGCTGACCGGAAGCGAAGCCCTCTCGCGCTGAGCTCGAGATAGCTAGCCCTCGTAAGTAGCGAAGGGCCAAATCGTAGCGAAGGGACAACTCATCATTTCATCGCAAGCACGAGAGGAGGGGCTGCGTCGGACATATGATGCATGGAGCGCCTTGTATTTGTACTCCCATAGTCAGTATTATACGTTACGCTGCAAACGCCCTGGCTCAGCTCACACATTGGCTCCGTCAGCCCGTTCTCAAGTCACCTTCGGGAATCCGCCACGCACGACAGCATCTCACGCAAGCCTTCCGGGCACGTCTGCTCTCGGGAGACAGACCAAGTCGTGAGTGGTTGGGTGCGGCGTTATGTTAGTTAGTATGTGGCACAAGGAGATGTACAGATCAAGGCGAGACCGCAGTTGAGCTGCAAGGCGGGTGCACTGGCTCACGCGGCATGGACGTGGCTTGACCAGGTAGCTAGAGGAACCCTGACCAGCGCTGAGGACGCTAGACGACAGGGAGTAACGCTAGGATGATCAGGGCCCAGGCAACTTGAAGCAGCTAGATTCAAAAGTAGAGACTGGCGCCGGCGCGCGGATTTGCGAACGAAGCGGACAGAGGAGCGGGAATAGGTGGCGAAGGAGCGCGCATATATGCTGTTTGTTGAAAAGAGAAGAAAACAATTATAGAGCAAAAGGCAGACAAGTCCCAAGCTACAATGGAGACGCAGAGGAAACATGGTCAAGAAGGCCAGACGCGCCTCCTGGATCTACCCCGACGTCGCATTGACATGGAAGGAAAGTTCTTCACGAGGTGCTGGAGAAATGCCAACTACAACTCATGCAGGGAATTATTGTGTGACGTCTATCAAAGATTAGCGCCGCGCGGATGAAGCGACACAGCGCGGCCAGGGTTGTGTCCGCCATGCTCGCTCAGGGTTAGGCCCGTCAAGCCTAATCATGCGCGCAAGCAGGCCATACGCCTGCAGATGTTGTGGTGCGTATGGAAGTGTCGATTGTCGCGCGCGCGAATTGCGGCGTGCGTGCAGACAATCATTCAGGCGTGATGTGCCATGCGCGGAAAAGTCATGCGAGCACGAGGGAGCGACGAAAGAGACGGCCACGACGATGTACGCTTGTATGGGAGGTTACGAGAGCCTGCGGCATCCTGCGCTCGTCCTCAGGCATTGACCTGAAATGCTGGTATGGGGGCGAAGAGATAGAATGAAGGGCCAGCTACGAGTGAAGAGGGGAAGGCAGGAAGGCGCGTCGCGCTGACAAGGAAAGGGCGCTGTGTCGCAGAATACTGCATACGGAGGGAGGTTCACGCATGGCAGATCATGCGTGGAGAAGATGTCGGGGACGGCGAGCAGCGTGTGCGACGACAGAAAATCAGACATCTGAGATCAAGTATGTAGGAGAATTCGCGATACGCCAGGCTCTTCAGAGTGATGTATCGATGAGGTCGGTACGAGACGAGGAAAGAAGTGCAGCAGGACTGTATTCACCGCGACGACTAGTTGTGCGCAAAAATATAGCACATGTTGGCAACGACGCTCATTAGCCATCGAAACCCATCAGCCATCGAAGGCGACTGTCAAAAGCTAGTGAAGTTGATTGTCAAACGCTAGTGAAGCTGATGCCGATCTCGAAGACAACTGATGGCGGCCATACGAGGAAGGGAAGGCGCACCGTGACGGTGCTGGGAGAGAGGCGGGCGCCGTGTCGCAGATCACGGGCGCGCGGCGGGGCATCAAGTCGTCGGCGTGGAGAGGGCTGGGTGGTTGAATTGAGGTGTCCATGGTGGCGCTCTGCCATGCGAGTCACGAAAGTATCAGGTGGGCGACAGAAGTGTGGCGACGACGAGCTGTAGATACTGCTCGACTGCGGTCTGGCTCATTTGACGCGTCCTATGGTGGTTGTCCGTAGCAGAGATACAGAGATTGGGTGAGCGTTGGCGCAGGCTCCGCCGTTTGAGGGGAGGAATGGCAGATGATAGCCAGGTAGGGCGAACTGAAGGGAGCGCATGCTGGAGCCTGTTACATCAGATACGACGCCGGCATCGCAGTCGATGGCGAGCTATCGCGAGTGCATGGGACGCCAACAATAACCTTTCTCGGTCCGGGGGCCTAGGGGTTCGCTCCCCGACCAGTGAGCGTGCGCTATCAGCGGAGCCATGACCTTGACGGGGAGCGAGTTTGGAGTGCTGAGCAATGCGGCGGGTCGATAGTGCCCGACGCCGGCCCAGACAGGCGGTCGGGCGCGCCTGGCTGGCCGAGGGAAAAGGATCGAGGCATGCAGGGCGGGCCAGGGCGGAAACAAAGTTGGCGATCGGGGCATAATGGGGACCGCGTGGCTGTCCGCATACGGCAGGCTTTCAGCGTGAGTTCCTGGTTCCGTTCCCAGGAACGGCCGCTATCGCATCACAAGAAGCGAGAAGTTGCCTATCGCGCCCAATCAAAACGCGAGCATTGAAGCCACGCGCTCCGCGGATCACACGTCCCGATATCGAGGCCTCAGTCTAAAAACGGGACCTTATCGTCCGCTTATTTTTGCTATCGGCCTGCTCGACGTGCGCCAGCGTGCTCGACGCCAGATGCGTACGCGAAGAAGCCTCGTCCTCGTCGACGGGGGCCGCGACGACGGCTGCTAGACGACGCTATTGGGCGCGGTGGAAGCGCCGCCGCCCTCGCCCAGCCCGGCCTCTTGCCTACCTGCGCGTTCGCCACCCGCTCCGGCAGCGCGGGACACTGCTCGGGATCAATACCCTCTATGGCCGCCTGCGCATGTGCAACGTCCAATTCTCCGCATGCCTGGCCCGCAAATGCATCATCACCTCCACTCGCCCGCTAGTATAAGAAGCGCTCTATCCCCCTTCGCTTCCCTCACGCGCTCACATACGCCCCTTCGCTCGGCAACGCGCCCCCCTTCACTCCGCCATGGACATGAGGGAAGAAGACGACAAGAAGGCGCCCGCCTCTGGCGTTGTCGACGTCGAGAAGCTCGGCTCGGACACCTCCATCGACAAGCTCCCCGACGATGCTTCCGATGAGATCCGTCTCCAGAAGGCCAACGAGCTCGCTGAGCGTATCGCTGCTGGCGAGGGTACCGAGGCAGACTACAAGGTGCGCATACATCATCTCGATCTCAAGATCCGCTCACTGTCTTTACCAGGTCGAGAACGCCCACGACGTCGCCGTCAAGGTCCTCTCTACCCGCGATGACTACGAGCTCCCGGTTGTCACCTTCCGCATGCTCTTCCTCGGTCTCGGCTTCTCTGCCTTTGGGTTCGTGGAACCGATCCTCTTTCGCCACCGCTCAGACTGACCGCCATCCAGCTCCGTCCTTGCTCAGCTCTACTACTTCAAGCCGCAGACACTCAATGTCTCCCAAGGCTTCCTCCTCATCATGATCTACTTTGTCGGCAAGGCATGGGAGAAGGTGTGTCCGATGCTTCCCCTCCGCACATACTTCCCGCTAACGTTCCCCAGGTCGTCCCCTCTTGGGGTCCCCTTCGCTTCATCAACCCCGGCCCCTTCAACATCAAGGAGCACGCCGCCGCGCTCATCATGGCCTACACCGCCTCCGGCTCCGCGACTGCCATCCAGGTCATCTCCGTCCAGGACCTCTACTACGGCAACGAGGTCAACCCGGGCATCGCCATCTTCACCCTGCTCGCCTCCCAGCTCGTCGGCTACGCCTTCGCCGGCCTCCTCCAAGAGGCGCTCGTCTACCCGTCCATCGCGTACTGGCCGACGACGATCGTGCCCGCGAACATGTTCCAGGCGCTGCACTTCGACGGCGGCCTCGGCTCGAAGCGCACGCGCATGTTCTGGGGCCTCTTCGCGATCATCTTCGTGTGGGAGATCATCCCGCAGTGGATCTTCCCCCTCCTCACCGGCGTGAGCATCTTCTGCCTCATCGACCAGTCGCACCACCCCATCCGCAACGTCTTCGGCGGGTCGAACAACAACGAGGGCATGGGTCTCTTTGCGCTCTGCTTCGACTGGAACCTCATCGGCTCGGCATGCCTGTACAACCCGCTGTGGACGCAGCTCAACGAGAACATCGGTATCCTCCTCACGGTGAGCACGTCATCTACTCTCGCGATCCATTGCTCATCTCCCCCCAGTACATCCTCATGTCCGCGGTCTACTACGGCAACGTCTGGCACGGGCTCGACTTCCCGTTCATGAGCCAGGCGCTCTTCACTGCCGACGGCGGCGAGTACAACCAGTCCGCCATCCTCACGAACAACGTCTTCGACCCGGAGAAGTACGCCGAGATCGGGCCCGCGTACTTCTCGGCGACGAACGTGCTGAACCTCATCACGTCCAACCTCGCGATGAGCGCGACCGCCGTGCACGTCTTCCTCTTCTACTGGGACGAGATCAAGCCCTTCTTCCTCTCGCTCAACCCGTGGTCCAAGGCCGCGCCGCCCGTGCACGACGAGCACTACACCGCCATGAAGCGCTACGCGCGCATCCCGCGCTGGTGGTGGGCCGGCCTCCTCGCCGTCGCCTACGCCATGGCCCAAGCGACGGACTACACCGGCCACTCGCACTTCACCTGGTGGCAGCTCACCGTCATCCTCATCATCTCCCTCTTCTTCACGACCGTCTACTGCACCACCTCCGCGCTCCTCGGCTTCAAGGAGTTCAACGGGCAGCTGAACGGCTTCTACCAGATGATCGGCTCGTACATGGTCCCCGGCGACCCGATCGCGAACATGTACGCCGCGCTCTACGGCGGGCAGCCGACCGTGCAGGGCATCAAGCTCCTCGGCGACCTCAAGCTCGGGCAGTACGTCAAGATCCCCCCGCGCGTCAACTTCCTCGTCCAGATCCTCGGCTGCATCGTCGGCGCGGTCCTCAACTACGTCATGATGCTCTCCGTCATCCGCGAGCAGCGGCCCGCGCTCCTCTCCATCTCCGGCACGCGCCTCTGGTCGGGCCAGAACGCGCAGAGCTACAACTTCAACGCGATCGCGTGGGGCGCGCTCGGCCGCGAGATGTTCTCGCCCGGCAAGACGTACTACATCGTGCCCATCGCGCTCGCTATTGGCCTGGTCCTCCCGATCCCGGGATACATCCTGCACAGGATGTACCCCGAGAACAGCATCTTTGCGAACATCAACACGGGCATCATCGTCCAGTACTCGAGCGACCTCAGCATCGGCATCAACACCAGCGTCAACACCGCCATGGCCCTCGGCGTGCTCTCCCAGTGGTGGTTCCGCCAGCGGCATCCGCGGTGGTTCACCAAGTGTGAGTGTTCCCCTCCCTTCACATCTCCATATACAAGCTTCAACCGTCTTGCGTATGCGTCGGTCTTTGCGTTGATCATGGGCGCTAACCCACCCCCCCAGACAACTACATCGTCGCCGGCGCGCTCGACGGCGGCACGCAGGTCATCTCCTTCATCCTCAACCTCGCCGTCTTCGGCGCCGTCGGCGAGGCGCACGAGTTCCCCGAGTGGTGGGGGAACTCGCTCAAGTATAGCTCGGACCGGTGTTTGTTGCCGGAGTGAGGTGGCTGGTTGTTGGTGGTTGAGGAGCCCGAGTAGACACGTCGGAGGTCAGAGGTGGCTGGCGCGTTTTGCTCGGTGTGTGGGGAGAGGGAAGAGTGTGGAGCTTGAGGGGAGGATGTGGATGTCTCGCTTGCGGAAAATGGAGGATGTGGTATTTATGAGGGCGTCGGGTGGGGCCGACGCGGTGGGTCTCCTTTGACGGGACGCCTGCGGTTTATACAGTACTTACTGACTTTCATGTATTGCTCGACGGCGGACACGCGAGCCGTGTACAGTAGATGCCATAATTATAACGAGGATAACACGCAGAATCATCGACTGAGTGGACTGGGGCATATAGCTCGGACAGGCCCTTCGGATTGCCTCGTGCTGTATCTTCGACTTCAATGATAGTAATACGGGGGATACAGCGATAGGTACGGGGCATCTCAGTCCTGACCCTGACTGTGAAGTCTACTTAAATCCTCGCTCCCATCGTCTGCTCTCCCCGAACTGGCGAATACATCCAGATCGCGCTCGATTATGCCATCACCTTCGCGGAAATAGGTGTTCTTGTCATTGGCAGGGATCCTCTTCTCTACCAATGGGGCAGCGGCGTCGGATATGGTCAGATACCTCTCGCTGCAAGCCCCCGCAGCATCCGCGCTCGTAAAGTGCTTGGGAAAGAAGTCGTCGGCTGGATCGAGTCCGTAGTTATGAACACCTACAGCGGCTTCCGAATCCTGATTATCAGCAGGCGCGTTGAAAGTGACAGAGAATGATGCTGCAGGTCCATTTGTTTGCCCGGAACCCACGGGACTGCTGTCTGCAACGCAGTGGGCGCTTTTCTGAGCAGGCTGGCCGCCGATGCTCTCGTAGCCTAGTACGTGGCCGGGAACTACAAGACCATCGCCGGTCTTGCTTGGGTCGCTATCGCTGGTTGCAGCCACGAGCATGCTGCCTCGCCCCCCATCGTCCTGAACATTCTGGGCGTGCCCCGTAGGCGTGGCCAGCCGCTTGAGATGTTCCCAATTACAGCAAAATTTTCTCTGCCCGTCGCGCCACCGACATCCCTGAGCGTACGCTTGCAAGGATATCGCCGTGCAACTATATGAGTCCCTCCCGCCCCCCAGCGGCTTATACGAATGGTGATCCGTCGCATCTTTGGCGTCGTTGTACGCTGTCCAGTAGCGCCTGCGTGCCGAGCCCGGCATATAGCGGCTGTCGCACAGAAGGAGACACACGCGTGCCATATGGTCCAGCTGGGCCCAGACGATCGGGTGCAGCTCGAGCTCGGGCGAGGAGAGGTCGAGCAGCTCGCAGGCGCTCCGCAGGCACGCGCGGTCGGGGAGCGGGTCCGCCTCGCCGCACGCGCGCACCCACAGCGCGAGGCAGAGGACGGCGCGCAGAGGCGGTGAGGTGATGTGGGCCCGGTGAACGTGCAGGTGTTGCCAGAGCTGGGCGTAAAACTGGTGGACCATTTCCTCGGTGTACACCGACGCGGACGCGTTGAGGAGGACGCGCGCGAAGCGCTCGATGCTTGGGGCGTGCTCGGTAGCCAGGGACAAGGGCGGCGGGCGCTTGTCGACAAGTACGCGGAGGCAGGTGAGGGCGCCGTCCATGATACACAGCGCAGAGGACGGCGAGAGGTGCGCGGATGCGGCCTGGACAGTGATGCTCGCGGCGCTGGTGTTGAGCGAGGACTGGACGAGCCACGTCAGCGTCTCCGTCATCAGCGTGGTGTTCGTGTGCCGCCGCACGTCGTACAGCTCGAGGGACTCCATGCGCGACGTCTTGTTCGTGAAGGGCGGGTCGCAGGGCTTGAAGTAGATGCGCGGGCAGTGGCACGTCTGATAGATTACCCTGAAGGACAAGTACACCGTCTGCTTCACACCCTGGGCGAAGAACGCGATGTAGTCCGACATCGGCGTCTTGTAGGCGCAGTGGGCGATGAAAATGGGGAGGGTGATGGTGATGGCGTAGAGGATCAGAGCGGTCGCGGTGAGGCCGAGGGTGATGCCGAAGATTGCTGTATTCGTAGGCGCGACGTAGACTACGAGGCCGCCGAGGAAGAGTAACAATGCAATGGTCAATAGACCGGGCAGAAGATGTACAATGGCGGGCACCTTCCAGCGCTCGAGGCTTCGGAAGCGGTAGTGGCGGAGATGGGCACGGTCGCGCGGCGATCCCTTGTGTAGTGAATGGTAGTGCTGTAAATGGGCGAGGTGAGTGATGAGTTTTTATCGAAGGAATATGGCAATACTCATACTTGAAGCCATTGCTTTGCCAGCACTGCCATCAGGGCGGTCAGAAGCGATAGTGTGAGGCTGACGAGCCAGAGCGCATTCACCCAAATATCGGTCGGCTGATGCGTCTCCGAGTCGAAAGACAGTGAAGACACAGGGACCTTGCTCGATTCACCAGAGTCGGCCGCACGTTGCATGAGCACGAGCTCGTAGACGAGGGACGCCGTGATTTGCGCATAGTCCGGGCTCAGCGCCTGCGAGCTCTGCGCGACGAACGTCGTCACGACAGCGGAAAAGAGACCGGCCTGTGCGCAGCGCAGCGTGTCAGCAATATAGCGGACTGGCGACGGACGAAGCACCCTACGCACAAATACGAGCAGCACGTCCAGCGTGCTGTTGAAACTCCTGATCATTTGCGCATCGATGACATGTGCCTCGTCGTTGTACACGCGCCATACGCGTGCGGTGGCGCTGAGTTCCTCGCCATACGCGTCTGGGGGATACTTTTGCTCGTAGTCAACGTCGCCGGTGAAGGTCGCGTCGAGGGGCTGGCGGAAGGCGATGCCAGATGCCTTGCGCGAAGCTGCCACGTGTGGGTGCCCTGTCCTAGCATCGGGACAGCTGGATGGCGCAAACATCCTCGCTCCATCGTGCTGAGCTGGTTCTGCGCCTGCGTCGCATGTAGGTGACTGGGTATCATGGGTCGCAGGCCACCTTGTACGCGAGGGAGCAGAAAGGCCGTGGGGATAAGAGTCATGTTTCGCTGGCTTCTGCGTTTCGAAGGGCGGTGACACGGTCGATGGCGACGCGAGAGGTTGTACAGGGTTGGAAGTGCTACGCCGATCCATCGTTGGCTTGCGCTCTGATGACTTCGACAAGCAGCCATTACTGGTAGCAGCGATCCCCTTTTCCACCATGTCCAAGGAGAATTGACGGCGGGAGGCATGATGGGGTCCGGCGCTGGCAGACATGATGCAGGGAGGGCTATCAGTAAGTGAATTACAAGGGTCGCGCAGACCAGCCTGGGGGGGGGAGGAAGCGCAGACGGCGCAACCTGACACTGAGTCGAGTAAATATCTCCGGAACACTACCGCGCGACTGACATGTGTGATGAAGGAGGACTCTTGCAGCCGCCACGCCCTCGACAGTCTACTGGAAAGCGGAGGTCTGGTAAAGAATAAGCGCCCGGCATCCATCTTCATTCAGGGTAGACTAGCGGGATGGACCTGTGCGATGTTTCCCAAGGGAAAGTTAGTTCTGTCAAAGCAAACTGGTTGCTGGACAGTCGTCTTCATTGATTGAGAGGTACTTCCGCCTAGAGCAATCAGTGCGAGTCGAGTTATGGCCCGTCCTGAGTCACGGCTCTCCGCTCATCTATCTGTGTACAACCTTCAAGGCCTTTCCATTATATTTCCATCCCATTCTCTTGCCAAGGCTTGCCATTGATATTCCGATATCCGTCCCCCTTACATCGTTCTCCGATGCGCACGTCTCATGTCAACCCACTATGCTCTTCCTTGTTGAACTTCAGCACAATTTTACGCATTTTGAGTGCTTCTTCAGCTGATCTCTATTAAGCAGAAATGGTATTACACCGCGTCTGCATCGCGTAAAGTCGGCTTTTACTGCACGCTCAGAGTACGGAAGAAAATGTGACTTTGACCTAAGTGGCGCTCGCCAGCGCGAGCCCTGCACGGGACCCATACAGTTGCGCATGACGCGCAGGCTGAAAGGAGAAGGGCACGCGGGTTCTCCGAGTCAGAGCCAGAAAGGTATAGTCCAAGCGTTGTCCAATGGTGAGGTTTAGAGGTTTTGTCAAAGCGGATCGCCCATTCAGTAAAAGTCCCTTCTTCCTTATAGAAGGGATTGCATTCATGAGATGTATATGTCTATCGATGAGATTGATTAGATCTGCGCGGAGAAGGTTGAGGAGAGTTAGACATGGAACAGAGCATGGGCGATAGAAAGCGAGGGACAAGGTCGATTGTAGGATACCTATTCATCAGCAAGCTTGGATCGACATGAAGAGCCGTTAGGATTCCAGCAAACTCAGTCGAGTGTTGAGAAGGTGCGCCCGGTCCACAGTAGACAGCACGTGTTTGTGCACGGGAAGGAGACGGCAGTGGCACTGACAGAAAATCGTAAGCCAAACGTCGGATTTGCTGCCTCGCAGTAGAACATTATGTTGAAGTTGAACATCGGGTTCGCTGGGCAAGGGGCAAAGGAGCGCGTGACCGCGGGAGCAAAGAAGCGATCAGTGTCGATCGTTGATCGCGTTCAGCCCGCCGATCACTCTGCTCTTCACCTTCCACCTCGTCAAGACGCGCTTTCGTCTTTTCTCCCTTTGACCTCTGCATGGCTCGCCAGCATCTCAGAGTCTGGCTCGCTCCGGCGCTTGAGAACGCGTCGAATACAGCATGGACACGAACTCATCGCCCCACGCCGCATTTCTGGTCATACAGAGCAGGTAGAACATTCGTGGTCTACCTGCCACCTCGTCGCTTCGCCACTGACTTTTACCACGTCAATTTTACTCTTACACTTTGCCCACCTTTTCTGAGACCCTCGCCTACCTCTTCAGCGGATGGAAGACTGAAGAAAATCAGGTACTTTTCCGTGGCGCCCTCCCCTGTCAATGACGCACATACATTTCGATGGCGCTTTGACGGAGAAAGCGGACTCTACCCCAGCAAAAAGAAGTAGGGGACTGGCAGCCGACGAAGGGAATCAAGATCGTCAGCGAGCGAAGATGATTGACACCGAGAGGAGGAGCTTGACGTCGATGTGCGTCGTGCGCAGCCTGCTGGTACGCCACCCACGAGGTCACCCGCATACGCCATCCCCCACGACGCAACTTCCATGATGCCTATCGATCTGCCAACCGTGCGCCTGCGCGTTTGGGAGCCGTTCCCCCCCGTCGGGTATGCGCGTCTGCGCGCGTGAGGTGGGTCTTTACTTGGGTCCTCCCTCGGGTTCGCCTACGTCCCCTCGCGAGCTGTGCGTGTTCTCGACTGCATCAACGCCTCTCTTGCCTCACGGGTAACAGCTTGATACGGACCACCGCGCGCGGCACGACCTTTCATTGACCTGTCATCGCGCGCGGCCAGGCGGCGAGACCCCGCGCGGGGCTGGGCCAATGCTCGGCGTCGGACGACACGCTTCGGATGCGGCCGATATCACGGTATGTTGGGTATCGTCTGACCATCGTCCGCCGCGTTATACGCCAGCGAATCCCCTCGAAGCATGTGTGTTTTACCAGCCTCGATGGGTTTGCACGACCGACCCTGCCTGGACATTTGTCTCATCTGTATAGCCTCGCTGTCTTTCCTTGGCCTTTGTACTTCTTGCTGGACCGTACTTCCTTTGCCTCTGTTTCTGGTTCGAGTAATGATAGAAAGTACAGGACCAAGTTCTACGGTTGTACGGAAATGGCTATGTTCAGTAAGACACTCAATGGCACTGGTTCCGCGAGAAACATGAAGGGTGGGATGGAATTGAAATGGGCCGCACGTTGATGCCGGCCGGCACCGGCGCGGATATGATTGGTTAGGGGGATGGCATGTGACAAGAGACCCGCTTGCTGCTTACTATCATGTCCACGACGGATCCCTCCTCGTCGTCGTCAACTGCCATGTCCACCCAGCCGATATCGTTCTCAAAGGACCACAGCTCGTCGGCGTCCCAGGACTACCCGATGGGCTCTGCCTCCATCGGCTCATACAACGGCTCGAACGGCTCCTTCAACCCCGCCTCGTATGCGCGCCACTACCTGGGCTCCCCGCTGAGCTGGCAGCCCGCCTCCTCTTTTGGTGGCCGCATATTCGCAAGTGGTAGCCCGACGGCGCAGCTCTTGGTCTCCTCTTTCGAGTGCGTCGCCCCTTAGGCCCCATCGCAACCCATCTGACCCCCTTCTCAGAGCCCGCAATGGGAAGATGCCCTCATCAGTAGAGAGCGACCGGGAGTCGCTCATGAATGCTCTCAATGTCTTTGACCGTGACTCCGAGCTGTGCCGCAACTACACCTGCTGTGGCCTGCACCTCACCGACCTGCACGCCCTCTTGGAGCACTTCGAGGAGGTGCACATAATCGCGAACGCCGCTGCCGCCCCGCACATCAGCGTCCCTTTCAACCCCCAGCCGGGCCCACAACAGCAACAGCAGCAGCCGTCGTACTTCCCGCAGTCGCAGCAGCAGCAACAGCAACAGGCGTACCCCACCCCCTTTGACCCAGACGACATGGACCTCGATTCAACCCCCGCCCCTAGCGAGTCGAGCTCCCCGCGGTCGGGCTCCGGCGGCTCGACGCCCCCGGATACGCCTGTCTCCACGCCCCTCGATCCCTACGGCCAGTACTCGTACTCGAACCCGTACTCGTCACCCCCGTCCCCCGCGCCTTTCACGGGCAAGATGCATACCAGCTTCTACGGCTTCCCCACCGCGCCCGCGTCCGGGACCCAGGCGCACGACGGCATGCGCACGAACGACACGGCCGCAGGCGCATCGTGCGTGCCGCCCGCGCTGCTCTTCAGCGCCAACCCGCCCGCCGCGGCGCCGGCGTCGAATGCGGAGCAGACGCCCGCATCGGCACCCTCGACGCCCACCGTCTCCGCTTCCGCCGCGGCGCCCCCGCCCCCGACCGTCCCGCGGCCGGTGGTCCGTGCGAGCGCCCAGGCACCCCCGCCGGGTGGGGAGGCGTCGACGAGTTCCGTCAAGGCGAACAGCGTTGCGAACGTGCTGAGCACGATCTCGTCGAAACCTTTCAAGTGCCCGAAGCCGAATTGCAACAAGAGCTACAAGCAGGCGAACGGGCTGAAGTACCACATGACGCACGGGAGCTGCAACTTCGCGCCCGCGAAGGAGGTGGAGCATGTCAAGGTGAGTCGAGGCGGGTCAGGGAAGGATGAGACCCGAGGGGAATGCTGATATGCCATTCAGGATCTCCTGCTCGAGCGGCGCAAACAGCAGCAGGCGCAGCAGGGCGGGAACGCGAACATGCAACTGTCGACGTCGCCCTCGTTGGAGGGCCTCACGGAGGACGACCTGCTCTCCCTGTCTCGCGAGGCGGAGAAGCGGTTGAGACCGTTCGCGTGCGGCGTCGGCGACTGCCAGCGGCGGTACAAGAACATGAACGGGCTCCGGTACCACTACCAGCACTCCGGCGACCACGGCGCGATCGGCCTGCGCATGCTAGCGAGCGGCGTGCACGACTGCCTCTCACAAAACGGCTCGGGTCGGCGCAGTGCGCACGCGAGCGCGGCGTCGACGCGGGCAGGCACGCCATCCGCGGCGTCGACGACCTCGACGTCCACGATCCACGTGCAGACGTCGGGCGGCATGCAGAGCCCGAGTGGCATGCAGTCACCGAGTGGCATGCAATCGCCGGGTGGTATGCAGTCGCCGAGCGGGCTGTCCCAGGGCGCGAATGGGATGGTCGCGACGCAGGTGTTCTCGCCGCAGCACACGCCGAACTCGTCCGCGTTCTCGCAGACGTTTGCGAATGCGCCGTACCTGGGGTACAATGCGCAGGCGCAGAGTCAGCCTATGTATGCCCAGCAGCAGCCGCAGCAGTGGACGATGCAGCAGTAGGCGACGATGCACTGAGCGACGACGCGGCAGTGAGCCGACGAGCAGTGATGGGCTAGCGCGCGGGCCTCGAATTTGGTGCGGGGCCCGTGATCTGCTGGGACCATCGTGAATGTGCTCGTCGGGCTCGTCGGATAGATGCCTCCGTCCTTGTCGGTCGTCGCCGGCTGTTGCTGCCTACCGGTTCCTGCTCTTGTAATGTTCTCCCTTGGATGGCGCTCCTCGCCCCCCCCTTTCGGCGGTCCCCCAACCGCACACGGACGCTCGCGCGCTTACCGCTGTGCGTGTACAAAAAGTATTCACCCAACATCTACCTATGTGATACACGGCTTCCTGTTCTCGGACACGAACACCGTGCACCCGTGTACCCTCGTACTTGTACACCGTGTTTGTAAAAACGCGAACAACCCCGTGCCTGTAAAAAGTACCGTATATTATCGTTCTTATCGCCTAATTTCCGGCCGCTTGGTGCCTTCCCATTCATATTTACTCTACATACCCTCCTCCTCGCTCCTCTGCTCGCTTTCTCTTTGATTCCTTACTCTGCCGGTACCGGTTTCACTCATCGATCCCACTCTCGCCCGACTCTACTCCGTCCTCTACTCGCGTTTCCTGACCCCCGCCACTCAACCCCCGTTGTTTGCCATACACACCATCACTGTTGTTGTGTTTGTCCTTCCCTGTGCTTTTCCTCGCACCTTTCCCGTGCTTTTCCCCGTACCTTCCCGTGCTGTGACCTGCACTTTACCGTGCCCTGATTTGCACACTTACCCTCACTCACCACCACCCCTTACCCGCTGTCCGACGTTTGTGCGGCGCGGCTGTAGACATAGATGTGCTTTTATCCAGTCCCGTGTGTTAGCGTGCTTTGGTTCGTCTGGATTCTTGCGCTCTGATTTGTTTGGAGTGCGCTTGCCCCTTGCTCGAGGTGCTTGAGCCACCATCCGCTCGGGCTGCGCGCGCTACTATCCGTATGTCTTCAGCCTCATCTGTCTGTTGATTCGTAGGTATATATTATAGCTCACTGCAGTCTCAATGAGTACGTTGATTGTTGTTGTTCAGGAGATCGGTTTTGGCTTGGAGAGAGCGAGGAACAGACCACGAGTTCAACGCTGTCTAACACTTCCTGGGCCCCCGTACTCACCCCTGACCATAGCGACGTGGGCACCCATTCCTCCCAGCTTCGTGAGTGTTCGAGGGGCTACTCGCAGGCAGTAGAGCTTCGCAAGAGTCAAACCACGGCGCGCCACATCGCACGTGATGATCCTCTTTCTCGAACATACCTTGACGTCAATCCGCCTCTTCCTCTCCTCGACGATCTCCAACGACTCTCCGATGGCGTCAAGGTCGCTGAGGGTGTTGGTGCATCGGGCGGGTATGTCAGTGCGCCAACGGGTATGTCGCTGCGTCAACGCTGACCTCATGTCCATATCTTCAGACATATAAGCCGGACGTCGCGGCGGTGAGTATCATCGCATTCGCTAATCGCCAGAACAACCCTCACTTCCCTATTTCCCCCTTCGATTTTTCTACCTTACCATGGAGGCTGACGGCAAGCAGTTCAAGAAGGCGTCTCAGGTGAGTAGTTGTGAGGGAGAAAGACAGACCGACGCAGACGCTGACGCGCTCGTCGCAGGAGGTCAACCGCCCGACCGTGACCGACCACAATATCCATGAGGATTTCATCCGCAACCCGCCTAACGTGAGTGGTATGCAGTCGCATAAGTAGGCACGATGGCTGACGCCTTCGTGCAGAACGAGCCCATCGAGTTCACCCACACCAAGACGCGTGGCCTGAAGGAGGGCGCGAAGGAGCCTGAGCCGTATGAGCCGGGTGTGACGGGCCACGAAGGCATTGGGCGACCGAAGCACGCCGATGTGGAGGGCGAGGCGGTGCAGGAGGGGTCGATCCACCCGCGGAACCCCGGCTCGTGAAGGCGGGCATCTCATATCAAGAGGAGAGGATGAAGACACCAAGTCATTGCACATCGTAATTCATTGTAGCAGCAGCAAATATTTATGCGTTCCTCGAACCTGATTGAATGTTTGGGGACAACGAGCGATGGGCCGGTGAAGATCGCAATTGGCGCATCAATACGGCTGGACTTAAATGCTTGTCGAGGAACGGACGGAATGCCGTACAAGATGCACGATAGGAGAGCGTACCTGGTACGTCGAAATTGCGATCAGGTAGAGAAAGCTGACTCTGGCAGACAGACGTTTCGATACGGTTTTGGGCGGCCCCTCGCAGGGCAGCTTCCACGACCGACTCTGAAGTGGAAGATGGACGAGGCTCTCATGGTCGCAGTGTTCGCTATGGCCATCATCGGAGAGAGCGCGGGGGATGCGAGAGGGGGGGAGACAGATACGGGAGGAGAGAGCGCTATGTTGACTCCAACTACCAGAAGGTCGCGTGATCAGGCAGTGCTCGAGCAGTACACAATGCGGCGAGCATGGCTGTAGTGTCTTTCACTCTCTACCACATCTTTCCGAAACAGCAATGATTTCCGAAAACTCTCTGCCCGGTCCCTCAGGCTCAGTATCAGTACTGCCTATCACAAGGGATACAAACGTTCAGGCATCTCCATCCAATCTCGGGCTGCAATCCAAGGAGAATGGCAAAGGAATACCGACTGTTGCACCCAACACTTTCAAAGGATATCATGAACATCTCCCGACGTACGCCTCGCTTGACATCGACTACGAGCAGAAATACGCGCCAGATGCCCCAGGCGAAGAGCTCGGCGCGCAGGCACGTGTATGGAGCGTCTACAACGACGAAGCACGGATCGCGGATGCGGAGAAGGTGAGACGGCTCAATGGCACACTGGACGTTCTTTTGGTTTTCGTGAGTGAACCAGTCCCCGCCATCGTCGCCGGGCTCCTGATCTGTCGTCTACGCAGGCCGGCCTTTTCTCGTCCGTGGTCACTACCTTCGTCGCGCAAAGCTCACAGAAGCTCGATTCGGACTACTTCAAGATCACAGCCTCCCTCTTGGACGAGCTCACGCGGCTGCAGCGCGCGGCTGCGATAGGTGCCAGCGTCGAAGACATACCAGTCTCCCCCTTATCCAGCACCTCGGAGACGCAGACGCGTACGGATGTGTGGGTAAATGGCCTGTGGCTGGTCAGCCTTACCTTCTCCCTGCTGACTGCCCTGATCTCGGTTCTTGCGAAGCAATGGATCCAGGTCAGCGCGTCCTATGCATCCCGCCCGCTTGCCATTGACCACCACGAACCACTCACAGCACTACGGCTTGTTGAGAAATGGAGCTCCCCGTGAGCGCGCCTATGTCCGACAGTACCGTCTCTGGGGCTTCGAGCGCTGGAAGATACCCATCATCGTCGACTTCCTGCCGGTATTGCTTAATATAGCCCTCCTACTTTTCTTCGCAGGTCTCGCTGTTTACATCGCACCGCTGAACACACCCATAGCGTCCGTTATTATCGGCCTCTCCGCGACTGCCTTTCTCGCATATGCCTTTACAACTGTCTTGCCCATTTTCGTGTCTCATTGCGCGTACAAGACGCCGGTGACTGACTACATCATCGTCCTTGCCCATCTAACGCACGAGTATCTGATTCTGTTCCTGCTCCGACCAGCGGCCTTCCTCTGCGATAGCCTCTGGACACTGGTCGTTCAAAATCGCCCTCACCGACGACTACCTCGCATGCCATGGGCTGCGTATCACTATGATCCTAGCTCAATGACCTCGCGCGAGCAATCCGACATTGAAGAACGGGAGGACTTCATCGTTGTCGAGGCGCTCCATTGGCTTTGCACATCCTCCGCCAACACATCAGCTGCGAGCGTATCGGCCCAGTCCGCATCTGCCCTTCCCACAAACTCCTCGTCTCTTCGCAGCTCGCGCTGGATCGCCTGCCGGACGGCCGAGCGCGAGCTCTCCGCCCTGGGCCGGAGATGTTACATGGCCCAATCGCCCGCCGTCGCCTTGGCCAACATCGACGCCATCGAGCGCCTCACTCGGACGGTCGTGCACTTCCCGTACGAGCTTGCGCGCATTTCGGGCGTTTGGAGCACCTCGCTCTGGACACACCTGTACGACGCGCGCGATCGAATCACATCGCCAACGGCATCCGCCCTTCTACGCATCGCCCTCCTCGAGCGGGCCTGCTCGCCCGACAACCGCCCATCCACTCTCCAAAGTGCGCAATTTGCGGCGGACTCCACTTTCTTTGCGAAGGAGGGCTTGCGACTGCACCCCACGGTATGGCGCCAGCTAGATCGCGTGCTTCAACGGGGCATCCACGACGATGAAGATCCAGCCTGGCACGCCAGGTGGCGCGAATACTGTGCGCCATGGACAGCAGATCCATATGAGAACACCAGTATCACCCTCAGCGAATATGAGCGCGCATGTGGGTATGATGATGGACCACGGCTCTTGCTCGACATGGACGAACTACAAGTCTTGCTGGGGAAGCGACTCGAATCGCGCATGGGTCAATCCCACTACCTTCCAACCCGCCCTCCAGTAAACTAAGGGAGAACTTCCGGTTCTGAATTTGCGAGAAACACAGACCAAGTTGACGCCATCGATGGCTTGGTATTCTGCAAGCCTGGTGCGCGGTGTCAGAGCCTCGAGGAGAATGGAGCAGGTATTAAAAAAGTGGCAAGGCATCGTATCAAGCAGGGAATATGATGACAATGTAATGGCGCGATGACTTGTCAGTCAGTATTGTGTCCCGCTTACGGACGATTGTGCCTAGGGAGACTGGTGTTTTGTCGTGTACCGACTGTACTTGCGATGTACATGTAGATGGATGAGCTATGTTTTCTCTTTTGTGATTCGCACTCATGTAGTACCGAGCTTTTGAAATGGTTTCGATACTGCAATAGAATACCTCGTAGAGGACGCAAGAAGAGGGAACCACTTAATGCCATTTAATGGACGGGAGCAAACAGTCGGCACAGGACCCCGGAATATACGCACATAGGCCGTCCAGCGGTGCGGATAAATCGTGGGGCTTCCGGCCGGTAGGCCGGTCCAAAAAACGGTCAAATTGGGGGCCTGAGAGCTTAGAGGCCGGTCCAAAAACGCGGGTATACACAGGGGAGACAGGGAGGCCGTTCCGAAAAAGTGGATATCTGGCGGTCGATTCGAACCGCCGACCTACCCTCATACCAGACGCACGCGATACCGGTAAGCTAAGTGACCACTTTGTTACAGCGGGCAGTAGCACCCTAGATAACCTCCCTGTGCCCATTGGCACCTTCTACCACTGGCAGGCTCGATATTTCGAAGGACAGCGGTGCGTGGTAGCACCTCGAATGGGTATGGGAGGCAATTAGCTCTCTCTTTTGTACTTCTCAACCTTCTTTTGTTGCAGACGCTACGCGCAGAGCGCGTAGGGACCCTGGAAGAAAAAAATCAGATTTTTCCCGATTTTATTGCCATTTTGGAGGCCGTCCCGAGAAAACGGATAAATTATGGGGGTCCCGAGAGGCCGTCCCAGAAAACGGATAAATCTGGGGGTCGGGGACCCAAAAAAAAAGTGGATAAATGGGCGCCAGAGCCGGATTTCCCAGGACGGCCTTTGTGCGTATATCCCGGGGTCCTGTCGGCACTTCCCGAGGTCCCGGCAATATCAATGTCGACGCGACGCGTGCGCGTCAACGTCGATCGTGTCGACGCCACCTGAGACCTCGTATCATCCCCGCCGCTCTCCACCTAAGATGTCCAACTGGGAAGCAGAATTCCAACGTGGATCGTTTCTCCAGCGTGCCCTCGACGCACCAGACGATGATGATGACCGAATGGACGTCGACGTGCAGCCTAGGGCTTCCACATCTACTCGACCTGGCACCACAGGTCGAACAACGACAAACTTCGCCGTCGCCGATCTGGACGGCGATGCAGACGACGCGCATCCCGTGGCACAGCTAACACGACACTGGATGAATGAACGACACGCGCCGGACATCCTCCCCGCCCAAGTCGAGTTGCTGAACACCGTCCTGGATCACATACGACGGCAGGTGCGTGCGGGACGCGTCTTTTGCATGACCGTCCCTGCTGAATTTTCCCCTCCCCCCTCCCCATGTGCAGTCGTCCGCCGTCCTCGCGCTACGAGCCGATCCCGACCCCTCAGACACCGACCACGCCCGCCTCACCCTCGTCCAGACCGACATCGAACGGGCAAAGTTCCTCGTCCGCGCCTACGTCCGCGCGCGCCTCGCAAAAGTCGAGTCCCACGCGCGCTACATCATGACCCATCCGGAGACGCAAGAGCGCATATCGAAAGCAGAGCTCGACCACGCACGACGGCACGCCTCCCTCACCGATCGGCATCTATACCTAAGCGTACTGCAAGCGCTACCGCCCGCACAATCCACACTGGATGACGCACCCCTGTTCGTCCCACCCATGGGTATGTGTTGTATTATGTTCGCCACCGGCAAGTTTGACCTGATTCTGCATCGCTCAGTGCACCCGCCGCCACTGCACCGGCCCGTCTTCGCGCGCGCTCGCGTCGCTTGCGGTCCTGTGCGATTACCAGAGTGAGCCTTACTTTTCCCCCTTAATGAATTTGTCTTCTCGAACCTCCCTTCCGCTTGAATCATCCTGCATCCGCGTCCCACTAACCCTCATCCCTAGCAACACTGCTCTCCCTCTTGCAAAAGGCGACATCTATCTCCTACCATATGAAACTGTCGCACAACTGGTAGAGCGGGGAGAGGTCGACCTTGTATAGCACAGTAGCTCATCAACACCGACCACTGAGCTGCTCCACAATAATCCCAATGGGGACAGACGCTGTCGTCTCATTGAACTTCTGTACGCGCCGTTTTAGTCTCGTCGCCCTCCACCAGTGCACATTCGCAGCCCGTCGGCTGCAAGGCGCGCTCTCCTTTCCGTGCCCTCTAGTAGACTCCTAGGTCGCGAGCATGTGGGCGGCTGTGGGTATGCGTCACGTTACCCACGTGATGACGCCACATACAGGTGGCTGGCCAACAAAATCCATTGTTGAGTGCTCTTCCCACCCAGCATATCTTCGATATCTGTGACATAGGGATATACAGTATGTATGGCTAAGCCCTCTTACATCCTTGAGCCTGTCCTAGACGCGTCATGGGACATACGAGCTAGCTTCGCTCGAACACCTCTCAAACACATTGATAGTTCGCAGCCGTGGATGGATTAATGCTGTAATTACGCCCCCGTACAGGAGTCTATGCGCATACTAGGTATATATTTCATGCTTGGGCTCCTTTAGGCCCCTCGTCTGAATCCTCGCCCATAGCCATAGTCCGGACCACCCTCTAGTCAGGACTCCGGACGCCCCCCTAATCCGTTTTGAAGAACTTGAAGCTCGCGGTGCGGCACACCTCCGCCTCCTCGACCGCGCCCTCCTCCTCGGCCTGCTTCATAAGCTGGTACTGCGCGCGCACGAGCTCCTCGCGCGAGGCGCCCTTGCCCTTGAGCGCGGCCTTCGCGGCCTTGACGCGCGCGACGTGCTCGCGGTACTTCTTGTCCGTGCCGAGCGCCCAGTCCCACCAGCGGAAGGACGTCGCGAAGTTGTTCGAGAACGCCATGTGGTGGAAGTCGTGGTGCTCCGCGCCCGCCCAGAACGGGATGAACTTGTTCAGCGACCAGGGGAAGTCTAGAGGGGGCGTCAGCTGGGTGTGCGAGAGACAAGCAGCCGTCCTCGAGCTCACCATAGCCCGAGTGCGCGTCGACGGCCTGGAAGAGGCGGAGCGTGATCCAGATGTAGACGGTGAAGACGTGCAGGTTGTGCGTGAAGTAGCAGTACAGGATCGGCCCGAAGATCGTGCCCGCGCCCAGGATGAAGACCTCCGCGGGGTGCGCGTACTCGGCGCACAGGCCGAACGGCGCGGGGTACTTGTGGTGCACCTTGTGGATGTGCTTGTAGAAGACGCCTTTGTGGAGGAGGGAGTGGGCTGAGACGGTGCGGCCTTAGCGAGGAAGGGAGAGCAGCGAGGAAGGTAGGGGACGTACCACACCAGTGGAACAAGTCCTCGAAGAAGAAGAACAGGAGGATTTGCTGCGCCATGAGCTGCCAGGGAGGGAACGGAACCTGGTACGTCTCCATGCCGAAGAGCTGTGCCATGGGGTGGAAGAGCCAGATCTACAAAACGCATGCGTAAGTTCGTAGCCTTCAATTGGATTGAGGTGAACGCACCGCCGGGAGCTCGATCGTGAAGTGCGAGAACAAGACCATCCGCGTGCACTCCCACTGCTCCGCGAGCGTGGGCACCTTCAGTGGTTGGAGTTTCCAGCGGTTGAAGTAGGGCGTCGCGTCGACGATCATCCAGGGGATACAGCGGCCGAAGTAGACGATCTGGGAAGGGGTGTTAGCGACGTGGTCTTCACTCGGGCTTCTCTTTCCGCGCAGCGCGCAGGCTGCTCATTTCGTGCTCTGAGCAGCCTCGTTCCGGCTAACAGATAGAGCAGTGCACAGACCAAAACGTGCCAAGTCCTCGACTCACCTCATGCATCAAAAAGCTCATGAGCCCCGTCGCCACGACCGGGTTGTCGATCCACTTGTACCACGCCACCCACTGCTGCTCGGCCCAGTTCAAGGACGTGTAGTCCAAGCCGAGGTCGTCGTACAGCTGGTCCGTCATCGTGCTGGTCGCGTTCATGGTGGGCAAGGGGGAGGGAGGTGACGGGAGGAAGGTGTTCCGATGGTTATGAGGTAGTGGGTTGGCTAGCGTAGCGTCGGGGGATGGGCGTATGGGCTCCCGCGACGTATCGAGTGACGGGGGAGAAGAATGCGCTCCGGAGTGGACGTCGGAGGCTAGAGAACGTGAAGGCCGGTCGAGTACTCGAAGACCACTGCAGTCGAGGAGGCCGGGGACGTTGGACAAAACCAGCACGAAAGCGCCCGCTTTTCAATTATTTGGGCCCCCCATCCTTCGCACCACTTTTTTGCTCGCGCCATGGCGTGAGGGGCTGGCCGGGTGCGCCGATCAGCGACGTGGGAAGGATGCGAAAAGGACTCTGGCCGGGGGGGCTGGACGGCGCTCGGATGTGGGGAAGACGACGACCTGGACGCGAGTCGCGACGCGTCGAAGCGCGTCCAGATCATCGGCGTGCGGACCGGTGATGCGTCGGCGGTTGCCGAGTGATGATGGACTTAGCGGTTGCCAATGGGCGGGCGGGGATGACATAGGCGGGGGACACACCTTGCTTGAGGTCAGGCTGTGGCAGATCAAAGTTGAGAACGCTCATCTTCAGCCAGAAGACGCACACGCTTAGCTGACTGACGGTGGAATTCCCGATTGCCTACCCGGAATTAAAGCTGCTGAATCGCCAATGGATGTTGGATGAATGCACCTCAAAATGAAGCTGGGCAAGGGTACTGAGTGGATAGGTCAGTCTTGTACGGCGGTAGGATGAATTAGACTGTAGGTAGGTTGTATCGACACATAAATAAGCACGATGACAGAGCAGCAATCAAGAATGCACCTCAGGTCGTCAGTGGAAAGTAAGGGTAAGCGATAATGAGGACGTGGTCATATTATACGGTACCACTATGTGATGTACTCGGACGGCGAGCGCTATACCACTCGTCCGAGGGATCCGCTTTTCGTTTGGCGCGAGCTGAGGGAGGACACGCTCCCCTGAGTCTGTAGGTGGCAGTCGTCCAACGTCGCGTCCGGCTGGTCTCCACGCGCGGTCAGGTTGTGCGCCTCGACGGTGGCACCCATCGACGTTCGCGTGAGATCGACCTCCGTCCGCGGCGTGAACACGATCGAGTTCGCCTGCGCGCCCGTCGACGCCGCGCCCGCGCGCCTGTCGTACTCGCGGCCGTCCGCCACGCGCAGGATGATGAGCAGCTGCGCGATACCCTGCGACGCGTCAGACAAGCGCCCACGCACACACGCCACCCACCACACACCTGGATATGGCTAATCGCAAGAAAGATCAGGTTCTGCACATTGCTCCCCAGCGCAAACGACACGATGAACACGATGCCAAAGACGCTGTACAGCGCCGACGACTCCACGAGCGTCGCCGCCACGCTCCCGAACGTCGTGCTGTACTCCGCGCCGAGCGTGTCGCGGATGCGGTTGCGCACGCCGAGCAGGCGGCCCGCGACGAGGAGCGTGAACACGATGTTCGTGGACACGGAGAGCGAGAGGTACGCGAGCTGGACGCCGAGGTGGGAGAAGACGGCGTGCCGCTGGGCGAGGACCATGACGGCGATGGACATGGTGACGGTGGACAGGTAGAGGCCGGACATGAGCAGGACGACGAGGATGTTGTAGTTCCAGACGATGAATGCGCGGTAGAGGAGCAGGAGGTCCATGATCCAGCCCATGACATAGTAGCTGGGGGGAGGGGTTTAGCGCACTTCCAAGACTCCCGAACGTGTGCACTCGTACCAGCCAATCGCTAGCCTGTTGATGTAAAAGTCAAACTCGTTGAGGATGAGTACGGTTGGGCTTATGCCTGGTCCACGCCTGTCTATCCATATCTCCTCCGTATAGCGCGCGTTACACGCGAAGCCTATGGTGGCGAGGATGAAGGTGACGATCACGTAGGCATTTAAGGCCAGCTTGCGCCCCCTTGGTATCCTGTGCGTACGCCTGCCCGCGCTGCGGTTGAGGGAGACGAGGGCCTGCACCGTCAACTGGAAGAATATTCCTGCAGGACATGTCAGTCCCCTCACGTTCAAAGAGGAGCACAGCACGCACCCCAAGTAATGGACCCCGTTAGCATGCCATTGAGGCGACTCTGCTCGAGCCAGATATCGTCCGGGGGCGCGTCGGACATGGCCTATCGTAACCCGCAGGCTAGCCGACCGCAATTCTATGTAGACGCACCAGAACCCGGCGAAGATCAGGGCTGCGGGTGACCGGACTTGACGATCGGGGTGTACAACCTTGTAGTCGCTGGAGACCACTGAGAGACGCGGGGGCGGTCAGGCGCCATGCAGACAGGCAGGATAAGGCAGCTAGTAAGTTTGAGATCATGATGTGCCGAAGCAGCAGGAACGCGTCGCAATATGCGTGATCAGATCGAGATTCACTGAACCTACTGTACGTCACTGTATAGAAGCAACCGGACAAGGACCGTGACACTGACAGGTGCAGAACAGGCAACCAGAGGTCGGGGACCATGACGAAGGGCAAAATATATAATTTTGCGGCATATTCAGGGTCTACTAACTAGTCCAGAGGCTTGTTTGCCTGAACATTCGCGCCAAAACTGCCTTATATGTTAGGTGCGGAGGTCGGTCTGGTGATCAATTGAATGTGATTGCGCGCGCACGTGGCCGTGATAGACTCGTTTGCTTCCGCTTGGCTTCCTTCCTTCCTGCGCGCTATGTCATATAGGGATCAGGATGTACTGCTGCAATAGGACGACAGTATGGACGTGAACTCAGCTCCTTGTATAAGCTGTGTCCAACTGCAGCTTGCCATCTACTGCCAAGACCAGAGCAGCCGCATAGATGATTGTGCCTCGCCAATCATCAGCATACTGCAGCTTTGTGGCAGCCGTGGTGAATTTGCAGGTGGCGGTTGCGGCGTATATATCATGGCCGCGATAAGAGTCTGCGCTAGTCTACCTGGGTCAATGCACAGCGACCCACTGTTCGGCGTTACACGGCTGATTAAACACGCCTACACTGAACGCTTCCCTGACCTACCTATCCGTCGACAAACTCATGCCAGTTGTGGAGGATATCCCTTCCAAGATATACGGCTAGAGTGGATGGATGGGGCGTATATTTTTACGCAAGTGTCCTACTGTCATTGGTTTGCACAAGCACGGTTATGTAGTCGTCGGTCCTTCGCACGTGTTCCCCTGCTCATCGTTGCCAATCAGCGGTGTGAACGAGTCTAGCTTCGTCATTATGTAGGTATGGCTCAATATGGGCAAGAGCAGTACAGGCTACCTCCCGCGGTAAAGAAGACAACAGGTATGTAGCTAGCTACATATCTAAGTAAGGCGGTCAGTAGGTAAACGAATTCGAATTCCATGGCGGTCGAGCAGGCCTACTAACGGCCTACTCAGCAGCGTACGACCGAGTAAAGACGCATAAGACCAAGCAAATAAACAAGCGGATTATCGACAAGAATATGCCCCCGGCGATCCCGAACCACCCTTATACATATCCCCTTTACATACTTTTACAGACGGGCATGGTAGGCGCCGGGGCAGGACAGACAACAGGTATAATGCACACAGAGTGAGCGACTGCAGGCTGAGAGGGGGTCCTTGGGTGGCCAGAGTTATCCAGCAGAATGACTACCGTTAGAGGACGCACTCCCAGCCTCGAGCGTCACATCACTGCCTAACAGCATTGATCTACTGCCAAGCAACGTATGAGCATGAGTGTCATCCTAAGATGAGGGAGCGCCTCATACCGCCACAGGCCTAGTCACCTTCTCAAAGTCGGTGAGCGTGTGCTTGCTGGTGCGATCTATTTGCGAGGTCTCGTCCGAGATGCGGTGCGTGCTGCCCGCGCGCTCGTCCATCGCATGCTGCTCGTCGTCGTAGGCGACTTCGCGGCCGGTGAGCTTGAGGCTGGAGAGGGAGGTAAGCTTCCGAATCGATAATTAGGCAAGGGCAATACTCACATCCAACCGGGGAAGATGCTGCCTGGCGGAATGACCCACTCCTCTGAGTTCTCGTAGTTAGGCGGGACGATGCGGTTGCCCGTCGCCTTCATGATCAGCCAGGGAATGCCGTTGATGACGACGTAGGAGCAGATGCCGGCGATGACACCGTATGCAATGCTAGGAGGATGGTCAGTACGTGTTCTCGTTGTCCACTGCGGCAGACTTACTTGTATGTCAAAGGGATGATGATCAAGGTGAGGAACGCAGGTACTGCGTCGCCAATGTAGTCCCAATTGATCTCGCGGACGCTGTTGTGTATATGATCAGCACGGCGCATATCACCCCCCCAAACAGAAGCCTCAACTCACTTCCTGATCATCAACGAGCCGACAATCACCAGCGCGCCTCCAGTAGCCCAGCTCGGGATCGACGCGAAGATCGGCGCGAAGAAGATCGAGATGAAGAAGCAGAAGCCCGTCGTAATCGCCGTGATGCCCGTCTTCCCGCCCTCGCTGATGCCCGTCGCGCTCTCGATGAACGCGGTGACGGGGCTGCTGCCCATGAGCGCACCCATGCTGATACTGAACGCGTCCACACAGTACGCCATCGTCGACCCCTCGAAGTCCATCGTGACCGGGTCGCGCAGGCCGGCGAACTTGGCCATAGAGTAGAGCGTGCCGGTCGTGTCGAGGATGTCGACGTAGAGGAAGGTGATGAGCGCGTACCAGACGTGCCCGGAGCGGTAGTTGTAGTCGATCGCGTTCCCGATGTGCGAAAGCGGGCGGAAGGTGACGACCTGCTTAAAGAAGTCGAACATCTGGTCGCCCGAGTCGGTGTGGGGGAAAAGCGTGACGGAGGTCGGGCGCGGCCAGGAGATAATGGACACGAGGAAGATGCCAATGAGGATGGCGCCCTTGACGCGGTAGAGCATCATGAGGACGGTGAAGATGCTTGGGGGCAAGTCAGTTGACGATGAGGTATCATAGTCAGTCGTACGCACCCTCCAACGAAGATACCGAGCCAGACCGTGGGGTTTTGCAAGATCCGGCGCGCACAGTAGTTCGCCAAGTCGTCGCTCACGTAGTCTTCCGCTTTGCAGCCGCCAAGACCGACAAAATTTGTTGTGTCACCACCGATGACACTGAGGCCGCTGGGGGAAAGACCAATGAACGCGATGAAAAGGCCGATGCCCGCTCCGACGGCGAGCGTGAGCGACTGGGGCATGATGCGGACGAGCCATTGCCGGAGACCGATGAGGGAGAGGAAGAAGAAGATCCAGCCCTCGAGGAAGACCGCCGCGAGCGCTTCGCGGTAGGTGACGATCCCTGACCCGTGGAAGCCGACAACCGAGTATGCGAACTAGAAGGTGATGTGAGAAGGGGATGATCGGGACGGTGCGAAGAACACGCACGTATGCGTTCAGACCCAAGCCGGGGGCCATACCAACGGGCAGATTGGCGAGGAGGCCGAGGAGGAAGGAGGCGAGCGCAGCAGACGCCGCGGTCGCGGTGATCATGTCCTTGCGAACTTCCTCCACGCATGAAAGGTACTCGCTATCTGTAACGCAGAGGTCGGATGTGTTGCACACGCATGTCCCGCCGGAGTCCGACAGGATCGACGCGTTCACTGATATCTGCGGCGGCGGGTTAGTAAGACGTCCGTAAGCGGGGTGCTTGTAGGCTTACAATGTACGCCATGGCTGCCTGGGGGAATGTCAGCCGGACTCGAAATAGGAGAGGGGAAGTGCACTCACCCATGTTGTGATCCCAGCACGCAGCTCGGTCTGTGGATGGGCGGTCAGTAGGAAGTAAAGACGTTATAAATGTGACGCACAGTGAAGCGAGAGCCTATGCGCTCCTTGACATGGCCGGATCCCTCAAGCTTGAACCACCGCCCGACGAACGAGTCCGCGACCTACTGGGGATGAGCTTGGGAAGCATGCATTCGTCTCTGACGACGCACGATCGCATTAAGCTTGTCAATGGCGTTCACCATTGTGAAGGGAAGGGAGGGTGGGGGATGGGGACGTGTGGGTGGTGGGGAGAACAGAAGAACGGGCACGGTACTTATCAGCGGGGGCGCATATGCTCTCTGATCAAAACGTGCCAAATTCTGATCGCCCTATACATTCGGCAGATGCCGAAACACGCTGACTTGCGCAACGCGCTCGTTCGCCGCTTGCTTCTCGCTCGAGCGCTAGCCAGCAAGCCTCAGTCCAACGCACGATATAGCCTCCCGAGACTATACACATCTTCGTTGAACTGTGTTCCTGCCAGCGCTTTCCTCGAGGAACACTGGTTTTACGAGGCTGCCGAAAATCCGGCGCTGATACGACGGTAGAGATCGCCAGAGATCGCCCCATCCCCGGGGCGACTGCTACGAGTGCCTCCTAAATTTCTGCCCCTTCCTACGAAAACGTCCTGACCTTCAACCGCTTGCTGAGTCCTACTGAGGCCGTCGAATCCGCTTTCCCCTCTACGACGCGCAAAGGCAGGAGCTTGGGATTATGCCGTCCCCGAAGATCATGGGCTGTCACCCTTGCATGAACTCCGCCGTCAGCACAAATTTCCCGGTCAAGTCCGCCCTCTGCCCGACGATCGGAGTCGCCTCTCTCGGCCCTCCTGGAAGCTAGGCGGGACCAAAAATCCAGTTTCCTTGCCGCCTGGTACCTGCTCCTCGGTGCCTGTCAGACGCGGAAGTTGCCCGCTACACCGGTGAGTCGAGGATATCAGGTCTTCAATCGTCTTATGAATCGTGATAACATCTCCCCGCCTCCCGAATATCCACATCCTTTTTTCTGCTGAAGGCCGCTGAGGCGAGGTTCTTTTCTTTATTCCTCCCCAGATGGCGCTTGCACGGCGTTCGTGCACGCCATCGCGCGTCTACGATGAAGCTGGGGGATAGACATCTCCACTGTCCTGTCCGCCAAGCAGTAGACAGGAGGGTGAGTAATCTCCGTGCGCTGCATTGAAAGCCCTTCTTTGCGATGATGAGTGTCGAATTGGAAAGGTGAGCATTGGTCTTTCATGATTTGTTTCTCTCGCATGCAGTACTAACGATCCATAGTGACCGGACTCTCCAGCGTATAAATTTCTGGTTGCGGCTGAAGTTCAACCGTGAAAAATTCATCACGGGACCCTTCGGGCAAGCCCCACGCCCACACGACTGTCAATTCGAAGCCATCAACCTGACTGGCGCTTCTCAATAGCTGGCTGAACTCTTCTTCAGCACCTTCTCAGTGGCGCGTACATTGAGACTCCGCGCCGTCGCACTCCAGAAATCCACCTTTGATCCACCTCATCTCGAACCCCCACGATAATCTCTGGGGCAACAAGGGCATGCCTCCTCTTCCTGTTGCTGCCGCGTCTCCCCACCGACAAGGTCGCTAGCCTCCGGCCGTCTGCCCAGTGACCATCACGACCATCCGCTCATCCTGTCTATCTCCGTAGGTGCTAAATTCCCATTTTGACACCTATAGATTCGCCCTTGTGCTCCTTTCGCTCGTCCCGCTTCTACGTCAGGAACTTTCTTGGTCTTCTAGCGCCTCCTCATTCAGGCTTCTGGGCCGTCCCCTTTCGCCTTCTATTCACCCCCCTGGATTTGGGCCCTCAAATCACTATCGGGATGTCGTATACGGCGACGCGCTGGCCCGGGCCGCCTTCAGTCCACTGTGCTGTCCCGGACCGCGTCCTAGCTACTGCTGACGTAGCGCGCGACTAGCGCTGCTATGGGCTTTCCTTCGTGCTAAGTTCCATGTATCACAACACTAGCAGTCGCATCCATCATGACGCTCGGATTGAAGGCGACATGAAATCGACTGCAGAGCGCCCGCCAGCGCAGAATAAGGCACTCGACTTTCTCTCGAGTTTGGTGTGTATCTTCGCATGTGTTCATTACGAGAGCGGATCTCCTGGCTCCGAGGGTCACCAGGTGAGTGCGATGACCAGGCCTGTCACTGATCACTGAGGCGATTGAGCGCAGGGAGGTGATTTCTGGGCCCTCATACCGATAACAGTACTTCGCCTTATTTATGAGGGCGCTTCTGGTAGGTACGTATAGAACGTCACCCGCCTCATGTTCGCGGAACTTGAGCAGATCTTCGTCTTGTACTTGCTCGCGCTGATCTTCCCCCGTGCTGGCGTGTCCTCGAGTTGCACGAGCAGTGCCCCATAGCGTCAATCCCTCTCACGTTTGAAGGTTCCAGAGTCGCCTATCATCGACCAATGCTCGGATCTTCCGTCAATTGTCGGGATCCTCATACTACAGCCTGAGTGCTTCTCATCTGGACTCGTCCAGTCCCGCTCGCCCTGCCGTCATATCTCGTAGGCAGGAGCAAGGATAGGACAGAATATGCTAACCTGGACGGAAGGTGGCGTAACTTCACGGCGGCGGGCGTCCTCACCGAACCTCTCTCGCTCATCCCGCACCTTGATTTCATCCCGTTAGCTAACGACGATTCTTCTGCGTCACGGTCGCTAGTAAAATTTCAAGATCCTCTTCTTCGTGTTCCCAGCGCCGATGTGGACGGTTATCAACCCCTCTGTGACTAGAGCATGCAGCTGGAACGTATTCCTGCGAACGGCGGACATGGAGGAGTAGAGGGAAGAAAATTCGTCATCAGCGCGAGAATTGTCGGCAAAAGTCCATACGCCGTATGAAGTGCGGCTGCGAAAGGGGAGACAGAGATCGTCAACTTGTTCTGATAGTCAACGGAAGCACAGGAAGGAGAACAAAGGGACACCGCAAAGCGACTCTAAATCTCGGGAACTGCCGCAGACGCCACATACTCTGCTGGTTTGTTGCGCCGCTGCTGACCTTATTCAAGTTGCCGCCGACTTGGACTATGCAACCCTCGATCTTTGGTTGTGATGCTCAACCTGTAGATTTAACACTTCAGTCCATGGTTTAGATTGAAGGCCTGCAATGAGGGGAGCGGAGGAAGAAGAGCGGGCATCGCCGCCATCAAGCCCGTTACGTTGGCACTTGCAGCGCCGGCAAGCAGTGCGGACGAAAGCATAGCCTGAAGCTTCACGTATCTTCGTCGCTCGTCTTAATCTACCTTCCATCGTCTGGTCATGGCTTCCCCTGGTCAAGCTGACGCTGCTCCCACAACCTCCGATCAACCAGATGGCCAGCGACGCGACGAATCTACGCGCCAGGTTCCTACCCAAATGTCTTCCGATGACCCTTCCCATGCCGCGCAGTCTGGCAGAAACGGACCAGCTTCTGCATCATCATCTCCTCCTCGCCCTGAGATCGTCATTCCACTGGACTCCGAAAGGGCGGAGGGCAAACGATGGGAGCAGCCTTACAATCGCTACGCGCCCAGCGACGTCGACTACGAAAAGAAGTACGCGCCCGATCCTTACGGCGAGGAGCTGGGACCTAAAGCGCGTGTCTGGAACGTATACAACGACGAGGCGCAGATGGCAGATGCGGAGATGGTGCAGGGACTGAATGGGACTATCGACGTGCTCCTGATATTCGTGAGTAATGCAGTGTACTTAGGTCACGATATGTAGCTGACGCTCGTTCACGATAGGCGGGTCTCTTCTCTGCGGTCGTTACGACCTTCGTTGTACAAAGCTCGCAGGCGCTTAGTCCGGACTACGCGCAGATTACGGCGTCCCTCCTCTACGAACTCGCCCGCATACAGCGCGCGATAGCTGCTGGGACACCGGTCAGCGATATACCATCATCGGAGCTGAACCTCGAGTCGGAGACGCACACTACGGGCGATCTCTGGGTGAATGGGCTGTGGCTGACTAGCCTGACCTTCTCGCTCTTGACGGCCCTGATATGCGTACTCGCGAAGCAGTGGATCCAGGTTGGTGTCCATCGTTATCCAGTATGGTCCTTTTGCTCACTGTATCTGGCGCAGCACTTCAACTCGACGTGTGGTGGCACCCCGCGAGATCGTGCGTACGTTCGGCAGTACCGCCTATGGAGCTTTGAGCGCTGGAATGTGCCATTTATCATCAGCTTCCTTCCGGTGCTACTTAATGTCGCCTTGCTGCTCTTCTTCGCAGGCCTGGTGGTCTACGTCTCGCCCATGAACGCCACGATATCCTACACTATCATCGGCTTCTCGGCGGCGGCATTTCTCGCCTATGCATTCACTGTCATTCTGCCACCTATCATTCCGCACTGCGCGTACAAGACCCCGATTTCCGACTCCATCATTTGGGTCGCCTACTCCCTTCATAGATTCTGTCGCTTCCTTCGTGGCCTATCTCCCAAAAGGGTATTTCGCTGGGACGCCGGCGCTCCCCGAGCTAGCATAGCATTCCAGCTAACAACGTCGCCCCCGTCTGACCTCAAAAGCCGTGATCTCTCAGACGCAAAACGCTTGCGCTACATCCTTACTGCGAGAGCGATCGACTGGCTGTGCTTCTCGTCCTCGAACGCCTCCGCGGCGACGATATCGGTGCAGGCCGTGTCCGCGCTACCCACTCACTTTGACTTCGGCGCGAGCAGGGAGGCAATACATAAGCTCGTCTTCGGTCGAGCACGTACCCTGGAGCATGAGCACGCTGGCACGGATGCGAAGGAGCTGGTGCTACCGAAAGCGGACCTTGCGGAACGGCTAACGCGCTCGCTGTTACACTTCACCAGCGTATCGCTAGCTCTTCCGGGTTCATCGGTGGTGTGGCGCGACCTCTACGCCTGCCGATACCGCGTCAAATCACCTGAAGTCGATGCTCTTCTCCGAATATATCTGCTGGAGCGACTTCGCGCAGATGCGACACACGGCGACCCTCGGCAAAGACGAACTAATCTTCAAGGAGCGCTATACGCGGCCGACACGAGCACCCTCCCGATACCCCTGTCACGCCTTCGACTACATCACCTCGTCTGGCATCACCTACACGCATCGTTATTGACAGTATGTATCCCATACGAGACTGATCCATCTATGTCAGAGATGATGGTGTCGAGCCTGTCGCAATTATGGGCACATGGGACGAGGGAGTTATGGGACAACATGGCAGCTCCTCTGAGCAGGTATCGGTGCGGCGCGCAATATATACCTGACCTGCAGCAGACCATGGATAGGCTGCGATACCAGTTGCAGTTGGCTCTCGAGAGGGAGGGCAAGGAGGACCAGTATCCAACAGACGCGTAAGAAGACATGAAAAATCAAGTATATGTATCTATGTCGGGTACATCACGTACACTGATACCAGGTTCAAACTCATCTATAGTGGCTTAGCACTGTCGAATATATCTGCTGTCTCGTTCTTAGGCTGCCGCAGGAACTTGAGAGTGGAACCGAAAATCTGCCAAAAGAACTTCAACCTCTGTTCACGTGCTCCTGAGAATAGATCACGTGAACCGGGTGACGTGTTCGAATCCTGCCGCTGCGCCCTCCTCCTTTTCATACCGCCACCTTCTGCACCTCGGCATTATTCGACGGACCTGGATCTCCATCTCGCCCAAGAGTGTCTCTGTGTACTTTTGAACTTCCCTTCTGCTCCTTTATTCTTTCTATCACACCACGCTCATTAATTTCGTCCACCATGGCTAATTCTCCATCGCCATTGTCAACCACGTCGCACCTGGTCTTCTTACAGCTCTTCACTCGGCTGTTGACCTTTGCCATGAACCGGACACTGCTGCGCCTGGCATCCACGGCGGCATATGGCACCGCGTCCATCCAGTTTGAGCTGCTTATAAGCACCATACTATTTCTCGCACGCGAAGGCGTTCGTGGCGCGCTGCTGAGGAGCAACACCGACTCGAAAACGATGTCAAAGGAAAAGACAGCGTCCGACTCGAATGTACCCTCTAGGCCACCGCTGCTCTCGTACTTACCTCTCGCGTGGGGAATTCCACTCGCAGTCGGCACTGCTGCGTTCTATGCTCTTTCTTGGGCCGGGCCAGAGACGCGTGCGCAACCTTTCTTCCAAGAGGCGGTTGCGATATATGCTGTCGCCGCTCTCATTGAGCTGACTGCGGAACCTATGCATAATGTGTGCGTTACTTTAAGGTCTCGCCTGCGATGCTGGCGTTATTGGCGACATCTACTTGCAGGAGCTGACTTACTGGTTTCTAGTACCATGGTCTCGCTTCGCACCCAAGTGCGCGTTCGTGCCGAGGGCCTTGCAATTGCTTGCAAGACACTGGCCACGATGGCGGTACTGCTCTATGGCGAGCACGTCACAGTAAGCAGTCGAAATTGCTTGCCTTGTTTCTGGCCAACTTACGAGATCCCTCAGGGTGACGGGCAGCTCGCGCTTCTCGCCTTCGCAGCCGGACAGTTGACGTATGCCAGCACCCTCGTTGGGGTCTACGCCGCGCACTACAGTATTACTTGGCTGGTACCCGACTTCAGGTGCGTGCAGGTCCTCTTCATTGCTTCGACGTAGTCTGACTGCACACCTAGCCAACTTCGCCAATCGAGCACAGCTACTACCTCGCAAACACGTCTCGCCCTCGCGATGACTGGCCAGTCACTCGTCAAGCACGTCCTCACAGAGTGCGACAAGCTCATCCTTGCATGGGTTGCTCCACTCACGGACCAGGGCGGGTACGCGGTCGCTGTCAACTACGGTACGTGGCATTCTACGATTGCGTCAGGCACGCATTGATAGCTTGCGCAGGATCCCTTCTCGCCCGTGTCATTCTCCAGCCTATCGAGGAGACGCTACGGGTGCACTTCTCGCGCGCCAAGGCGGAGGCTGGCAACAGTCAGGCCGCGCAGGAGGCGGTAGCAACAAAGAACGCGAAGTCCGAAAATCCGGGGCAGACCGTCAAGCAGAGGAAGAAGGCGCCTTCGGACGCCCAGGGTGCTGGCGAAGACGAGAAGGATACCTCTTCGGCTGACGTGAAAACCTCTTCCACTGATCGCGCGCGTCGCACGCTGCTTGATGTCCTCGCTGTGCAGCTTGGGCTCTCGCTCATTTTCTTGACCTTCGCGGTGCCGTATCTACCGGTCCTGCTTCCGTTCGTACTGGTGCGTTGGCGATCGCTGTTTTCCTCCAGGCTTGTGTCCCAATTTGACGCCCGTACAGACCCCCAAATGGATGGCCACAAGCGCACCACGTATCCTGCAGGCGTGGATGTGGTATGTGCCCGTGTTGGCGGTCAATGGCTCGATGGAGGCCTACGTGAGCAGCCTGAGTAGCGAATCCGCGCTTGGCGCCTGGAGCAGGTATGCTCTCCAGCCTCTCATTCCCAGAAGCGATCTCATATCCCGCACAGATACCTCACTTTCGCATCGCCCATATTTCCGGCTACCGCGCTCGGTCTCTACCGCGCAGGCTTTGGCGACGAGGCCCTCGTATACGCGAACATCGCCAACCTCGCAGCCCGCATTGCTTACTGCGTACGCTTTGCCTTCCCCGCGGGGACGGCGTCGTTGCGCGATGTGCTTCCGGGGCGCGCCGCCGTCGTCGCTTGTGCAGTGGCGAACGTTGCCATTCGCACGAGCGCTACGTTTGTGCTGGGGAATGCGGCGTACCCATGGCTACTTCGCGTCGCCGTGCATGTCGCCATCGGCGGATGCCTCGGAGTGGCGTGTGTAAGTGCATGGTGGGTGGGAGATAACATGCCGCAGAGGCTGGGACTGGACGGGTGGATGGGACTTGGAATGATGCAGAGCCGGTTGAGGCGTCTTACGAAGTCTGGCGTAAAGGAGGAGTGAAGTGCTTTCCTCTGTTAATTGAACAGACTTAAGCGCTCATATTCAGGACGTTGGCTCGGACTCATTCGATAAGTATGCTACACGCGCAAAAGTACAGGGTATAATTTAGATATCTCGGGCTCCGAGCGTTCATCTGCTCGGAGCCCCTCTTCATCTGTGTGTGGCGTCAACTATCTGCGGCTTTGAAAACACTTCTTCACCTACCTGCATGCTCCGCATGTCAAGCAGTTTGCTACGGCTGCGAAGCAGCTTGCGATAGCTGTAGGACAATGGTCAGCATCCGCCACTATTCTCGGTAAAGGCCGAAAACTTGCCTGAAACGATACACTCCAAGCAGCCTGCGATGGCGGAGATGACCGCCATCACGGCGCTAGCTATGCATTCGAAGATGCCCTGTATACAGGATATGATGACTCTGCGCGACGTTCAACAAAACGACTTCGCGGAAAAAGGAGGGGTCGAAGGACTCACCCCATGGTGGTCTGGGAGGTGGAAGGATGGTAAGAAAACGTCCACCTTTCACCCTCCTTTTGTACCCCCTTACTTCGGGACCTGAGGCTTCATTCATGACGTAGACTGGCATCCTCGCCGTAAAGTGGAGTGCTTTAGTCCACGACTCAGCCTTTACTTAGGTTCGCCATGTCGTCATGCGGTTGTTGCGTGGCGAAGTTCAACCATGCACGTGTGGGGTCGCGTGACTGAGCGGATAGAGAACAAACAACAACAACAATGTTCATTATCGAGGGAATGAGTCAACACCTTGGAGTATGTAGCAAGACGATCACTTGTCCGCGACCCTATGACATCGAAGGGATTCCGAATTTGCTAGGCAGTAACGAGGCTCAGATTGCCCGAGGCTCCCGTCGCCCGAATATCCCACCGACAGGCGCGTTCACCTGCTCAGAGGATGTTGATGGGGGTGCAACCGATGTTGATCAGCCCGTTCTACAGATGATTAGCGGAGAAAGGGACACGCATGGAAAGTATACATACGAATTGGGTGTTTTCGCAGCAGACGGTCTGCGCCGAACAGCCGCTGCCTCCGACACCGATGACCTGGCAAAGTCTGTCAGTGCGCAGTAATTGGGACAGTGAACAAAAAGATCTCACAGTGAGGGGAGAGCAGCTGATGCCAACGAGAACGTTGAGGTCGCTGAGGACAATGCCGAGCAGGCCGAGGAGGGCGGTAACAGGGCTGCTGCTCGCCTGTACGATGTGGCCGTCAGTGAGATGCCTGGTCGTGCCGCTTTGATGTACGTACCGATTGAACCTGGTTGCAGCAAGAGAGCGACCCCGTAGTACACGTGCCACCGGCGGCGATGGTCGTCGTCGAGGGCGGCTATGAGCAAAAATTAGCCAATGCGTTCGAGTCGTCGACGGCGAGAAAGCTACTCACCGTGGTCACCGTCACCGTCGTCGTAACCGGCGGCGTGCTATACGGGGCTTCATCAGCAAGACATTAGAGGACGGTGAGAGGTCGACGTACGTCGTGCCCGGGTGGCCACCTGGGAGGGCAGCGACGAGGGCGCCGAACGCGACGAAGGCGTAGAGGAACACGACGGGGAGACGGGCGAACATGGCGAGCAGGTTGTAAGGAAGGATAGCGAAGGAAGGAAGGGCTGGGTAGTTGAACTGGGGTGTTCGACTGGAGAAAGAGTGAGCGGGTGAGGGGCTTTTATACCTGGGGAGGCTCCCGTAAATTATTTTCTTCCCGCGCGTTTGGATATTCATTCGCCGCGTCTGAGTTCAAGTTATCGTCACCCAAGTCTGCATGTTCATGCCGCGCGTGCCAGGTCCCCGCGCGCCTGCTATTCATTCGCTACGCCTTTGAATATACTTACGGCTCGCCTGCAGCAACATTAACGCTGCGTGCATGACGACGCGGAGGGAAGGGGGGAGCGGACGCCCGTGCCCGGGCTCTTCCAAGCGACGTGTCGAGCGGCGAAGGGGCAGAGCCGGCGAGTTAGTGGGATTGATTGAGGGAGGCGCCGACTGAGTGGGAAGGCTCTGTGCAGGGCACTGTTATGATGGGCGTCAGCAAGGTTGTTGGCCGGTCTATACAATTAGGCAGGTCAGAACAATGAACTGAGGTGAATGTCCGCGGAGACGCACCCTCGGCGAAGGCGTGTTGGGGAGCTCAGACGTGTCACTCTCCATCTAAGCCCCTTCCCATTCGTAGAGGAATCGCACCTCCAAAGCTCTTCCGTCTGTCTAGCAAAAGGATGGCCTCAACAGTGGACATCCGACGACACTGGCCGGCTCGGCGCATCGTCGTGCCCATCTTCTGCAGACGCTGGTCAATACAACATAGCCAGACGTAAAGACGTACCAAACGCACCCCTCCCCGTTTCCCCCGTTCATGGGCGGTGATCTACGTCGTAGGCGCAACATAGAGAAGCTGCCCTGAATACCCGGCGTTAAGTTAGTGAACACTCCGGCTGGTCATTTAGTTCTCCGGTCGAGCTCAGTGCATCAGTGAGCCCAAGATGAACCCTGCTTTTCAACTCAGCGAAGCTGTACAGGGTGACGAGAGGGCTCACTTCTGACAGATTTTCATGGCAATATTGGACACGCCCACACATCCTGCCGTTCGATTCGGGGCCGGAGAAGCTTCATAACATTGACCGGTGGGATTACGCACCCTTAATGATTAGAGAGGTTGATCGCCGTTCTGGTGGGCGGGCGACACGTGTGGACGGCCATCGTCGAATGTTCTTCTCGCAAGTGCAAGACTCATCCTTGGCCTGAAAGCACTGCGCAGAGGTCTGGGGCCGCGGCGAGAGGCTGACACACACAAGAACAAGGGTGTCCCGAGGCTCGAGGTCATCGGCGGCCAGCCAGGCAAGTGCACAGCTGAACATGAAGGTACGAACCTTCGTCGAAGAAGCACTTCATACGGGCCTCCGTGCGCGCGGGCATTCCGAATTCTGGTAGGGTGTTCGACACCGTCCGTATGGGCGCAAGGTCTGCTTGGAACAAGTTCGCTGTCAGGCGTACCGCGTTGTTGGCCTTGGGTGAGCCCACGTCTTGGCTGTCTTCAGCGGGTACCTTGGGGTGTATACAGCACGTTACGCTGAACGCGCGTCAGGCAGGGCACGGGCATGATGGTGAGGTGGCAGAGTACGTGTACATAGAGACAGCGATGAGCAGTTTGGGAGTAATTCAGCACTTTCATCTACATACCTACATAGCTGAAGGTCAGAAGGCTGTTGTGAATGATTGTCAATGAACGTACGAATCCATAGAAGCGCAAGTCAGTCTGTCATCCGTTTGGTAGTAGAGTAAAGTGCTCCATCAGTATTCAGAGATTATGCCTACGGCGAGACGCGCCGCGATGTAGAGTGCACTAACCTGCAGGCGAGAAGATAGAACACAAGTCTAAAGTTCAAGAAGGCCATGCGATTGCCATAATAGACCACGTGGTGGACCCACAACTTCGGATCAACCATCAAAAGCATCCTTGCGCGGTCACGCGACAGTGATCACAAAGTACTCACCTACGCGCGGCCCACAATGACACCGTTTATTTCTCTCTTCTTACCCTCATTTGACGCGCCGCTTGGGCCATTAATGCATAAACTGCGCCTATTTCTGGAGCTTGATGAGCCCAGTAGCTCGAGAATCGTACCTCGCTCGGACTAAAGCTGGGTATATGCGCGCTGAAGGAGAGTCAGATGGCAGTATAAGGCCGTAAGAGATCTCACAAGGGAGACTCTGGATCAGCGCTACGCTTTGAAGCCCGACACTCCCGTGCGCTGGGGCAAGCAGCCACGATAACTTGGTGCGTCTCTGGATTCTGCTTGCGCGCCTGTGAATGATGACTTGTAGGTAAGGGAGATAGCCGATACGAAGAAACGTCGCACATTGACACGCTACGTCCAGTAGTACTCCTCTCCCCTCTCTTGGTCGTACCGAAGGTCGTGACGGTGAACGCACGAAGGAAGAAATGCCCAGTGATACGTCCCTCAGGGTACGTACGCTACGCGTTATCTGCTATCCTTACGCTCAAAATCCATTCTAATTAAGCCGAGTCTATTCTACTGCTACAAATTGAGGGCGCTGGACCTTCCGTGCGAACACAACTTTCGCGATCGCAGCGTGCAGCTGGCGTTCCCCGATACACCCTCTTTCCAGGGCCACGCATTACCCCCCGCCTTCACAACTTCACAGAAAACATCGTCTCGTTCAATATCCGCCTCAATTCAAGCTGAATCTCGCCCTGATCCATGGATAAAGTACGTCCTAAAAGACCGCAAGGAGGCCGTGCCAATCCGTTGCTGCGAAGATCACGCGAGGGCACAACTCTATATGCCGTGGTCATCAGCTCTTCCAAGTCCCAGGTCTGAAAACCAAGTATGTGATTTACTACGCGGCGTAATGCAGGCCCTCCAACTCAGTGTACCACCGCAGTGCTCGGAAACGAGCAAGACCGTTCGTGAACATCAGCTGGACATTTCCACCTTTCCTAGCGCGTAGCGAGTAAGGCGGGACAGTCATCAGGTGGGGGCTGCACATTTTGTTGAAGGTGCGAGGTATCCAACTGCTCACAGCGCAATCAGCTCATGATCCTAACAGTAACTTGAAGTCCTCCAATCGTTGAGGGCATCATCGGTATGATACCACGCATGCTCGTGCATCGTCAACATCTTCTCAAGACGTACCAGTCTCGGTGCGCCTCACCTTCTCTGCCAGTTCAGCAAGCATATCGACTCGTGTGGGTACTTCTGGGTGGTCGCAAGCCGTAGGCGCGTATGGGTGCATTCCACGCGGGGTACTTATCTCACTATCTCAATTATCATAGCCTGCCGGTCGCCTTTCGACCTCGGCATCGCTGCTCAGATGTTCAAACTTGCCGCACAGCTCCTCCTGCTGCGTACGTCCTCCTTCGCAGCGTACTTCGATGACCTCCCCTCTCACATAGGCTCCTAACGTTGACTCCCAGGGGCTCCAATTGCCACGCGTCCGGCCGAACTTTGCATGATTCAGATCGAAAATCGGCGCGCCAAAAGCGGATCTGATCGATGGAAAACAGTTGACAACATTGGCGGGCTATAGTCCCGGCGTTCGCTCTCGTGTTCCTCTTCTCTTCCTCTCCACCCGAAAATTTCCCTCGAGGACGCGTCCGAGTGGAGAGGAAGACGAACACGGCCGACGCGCTCAGACGACAATACATGGCTCTTCCTGCTCCCTCCATCACTGTGCCTTCGCCCGCTCGTCCCCCGCTCAACAGGACGATGACGACGTCCAATTCACTCCCAGCAAAACCCGCAAGCGGGACTAACATCTCAGAAGATGGCTCGCGCGACGCCCCCTTGTCCGTGCTTGAGCTCAGCGATGGCTCATCGTTCGAGGGATGGAGCTTTGGCGCGGAAGGGAAGAGCGTAGCAGGCGAATGCGTCTTCCAGACGGGTGCGTTGCACGCGTTCACTTCTCGCGGATCTTGCTCACGATGGTACAGGGATGGTGGGTTACACAGAATCCCTCACCGATCCCTCCTACGAGGGCCAGATCCTCGTCCTCACCTACCCCCTCATTGGCAACTACGGCGTCCCCGCGCGTCCCGAAAATTTCCTGGACACGCTCCCCGTCGAGTTCGAGTCTAGCCGCATCCACATCGCCGGCCTGGTGATCGGCTACTACACGGAGGACTTCAGCCACTTCCTGGCCAAGTCCTCGCTCGGCGAGTGGCTGAAGGAGAACAACGTGCCGGCGATGTACGGGATCGACACGCGCATGCTCACGAAGAAGATCAGGGAGAAGGGGTCCATGCTCGGGAAGCTCCTCGCCAGGCGCCCGGACGCGCGCGCCAGCAAGCGTCTGTCGCTGCCTGCCGGGTCGCAGCTGCCGTCGCGCGCCTCGTCGCCCTCGAGCAACCCGTTCGCGTGGCGCGAGGACTACATCGACATTCCGTTCTCGGATCCCAACGCGCAGAACTTGGTTTCGGTCGTCTCAATCAAGGAGCCCAAGTTGTACAAGCCGACCACGGAGCCCAAGCTGCATCCCTCCGGTCGCCCTTTGCGCATCATCGCTGTTGATGTGGGCATGAAGTACAACCAGATTCGCTGCTTCATCAACCGCGGCGTCGAGTTGAAGGTCGTGCCATGGGACTACGATTTCAACGCCGATCCGGAGCCTTTCGACGGCTTGTTCTTGTCGAACGGTCCCGGTGATCCTGCTACCGTCACACAGACGATTACGAATATCGCCAAAGCTGTAGAGCGGGGTGACCGCCCCATCTTTGGTATCTGTCTGGGTCACCAACTGCTCGCCCTCGCCGCTGGCGCGAAGACTTCGAAGATGAAGTACGGTAACCGTGGTCAAAACATCCCCTGCACGGACGCAATGTCTGGCCGCTGTTACATCACCAGCCAGAATCACGGGTACCAGGTGGATACGTCTACGCTTCCGTCAGGCTGGAAGGAGCTCTTCCAGAACGCAAATGATGGCAGCAACGAGGGCATCTACTTCGAGGACAAGCCGTTCTTCTCTGTCCAATTCCATCCCGAGTCGACGCCAGGCCCGAGGGATACGGAGTTCTTGTTTGACGTCTTCATTCAGAACGTCGCGGACTGTGCGTCGAGCTCGCTCGTGCCTATCTCGATGCCTGGCGGCAGCAAGGAGGAGAATGAGAAGCGCGTGCCCCGCGCCAAGGTCACGAAGGTGCTCATCTTGGGCTCCGGCGGTCTCTCCATCGGCCAGGCTGGCGAGTTCGACTACTCTGGCTCGCAGGCGATCAAGGCGCTAAAGGAGGAGGGCATTTACACCATCATGGTGAACCCGAACATCGCGACGATCGCGACGTCGAAGGGCCTCGCCGACAAGGTCTACTTCCTGCCCGTAACGCCCGAGTTCGTGCGCAAGATCATCAAGTACGAGCAGCCTGACGGCATCTACGTCACCTTCGGCGGGCAGACCGCGCTCAATGTCGGCATCAAGCTCAAGGACGAGTTCGAGGAGCTGGGCGTGCAGGTGCTGGGCACGCCCATCGACACGATCATCATGACGGAGGATCGCCAGCTGTTCGCGGATGCGATGGCCGAGATTGGCGAGAAGTGTGCGGAGAGCTGCACGGCGCAGAACCAGGAGGAGGCGCTGGCGGCGGCGAAGTCTATCGGATTCCCGGTCATCGTGCGCGCAGCGTATGCACTCGGAGGCCTTGGAAGCGGTTTCGCGCAGGACGCCGCGCAGCTGTCGGCGCTGTGCGCGAAGGCGTTTGCGACGAGTCCGCAGGTTCTGATTGAGAAGAGCATGAAGGGATGGAAGGAGATCGAGTATGAAGTCGTCCGTGATTGCAGAGACAACTGCATTACGGTTTGCAACATGGAGGTACGTTGCTGCGCTTACGAGGCTGGGTTAAGGGACTCATCTGCTTGCAGAACTTCGACCCGCTCGGTATCCACACTGGCGACTCCATCGTCGTCGCGCCTTCGCAGACGCTGTCCGACTCCGACTACAACATGCTTCGTACGACCGCCATCAACGTCATCAGGCATCTTGGCGTCGTTGGCGAGTGCAACATCCAGTACGCACTCAATCCTAATTCTCAGGAGTATTGCATTATCGAGGTACGCATTCTTTTACGCAGTTTGTGAACAGAATGTTCATTTCCGGCAGGTCAACGCCCGTCTGTCGCGTTCGTCCGCGCTTGCGTCGAAGGCCACCGGCTATCCGCTCGCCTTCATCGCTGCGAAGCTCGGTCTAGGCATACCGCTCAACGAGATTCGCAACTCTGTCACCCGGGTCACCAGCGCGTGCTTTGAGCCGAGCTTGGACTACTGCGTCGTCAAGATCCCCCGTTGGGACCTCAAGAAGTTCAACCGTGTCAGCCGCCTGCTCAGCAGCAGCATGAAGAGTGTCGGCGAGGTCATGAGCATCGGGCGCACTTTTGAGGAGACGATCCAGAAGGCGATCCGTGCTATCGACGATCAGTTCCTTGGGTTTGCAAAGGTTGGTCTTGTTTCCGGCGAGTTGCGCATGTTGCTGACAAGAACATAGAACGACTACGTCGAAGATATCGACGAGGAGCTCGTGAACCCGACGGATAAGCGCATCTTCGCCATTTCGACTGCCTTCCACCGCGGCTACAGTGTGGAGAAGATCTGGCAAATGACGAACATCGACAAGTGGTTTTTGACGAAGCTGCAGAACATCTTCATTATGGAGAAGGCCATCTCGTAAGCACAGATAGTGACAAATTTGACAAGGCGTTGCTGATATTGGTGTAGGACATACAACGTCTCAACTCTCGACAAGGACATCCTCCGCCGCGCCAAACAGCTTGGTTTCTCTGACCGCGAGCTCGCCGCATGCATGAACTCAACAGAGCTTGCTGTGCGTCTGTTGCGCAAGGAGAACGGCATCTCGCCCTTCGTCAAGCAGATCGACACGGTTGCGGCCGAGTTCCCTGCTTTCACCAACTACTTGTACACGACCTACAACGCCATCGAGCACGACATCACCTTCGAGGACCGCGGCATCATGGTCCTTGGCTCCGGTGTGTACCGCATCGGCTCCTCTGTCGAGTTCGACTGGTGCGCTGTGCGTGCGATCCGCACTCTGCGCGATCAGGGCCTCCCGACGGTCATGGTCAACTACAACCCTGAGACGGTCAGCACGGACTACGACGAGGCCGACCGCCTGTACTTCGAGAATATCAGCTTGGAGACCATTCTCGATATCTACGACACCGAGGCCTCGCGCGGTGTCATTCTCTCCATGGGTGGGCAGACGCCGAACAACATCGCGCTGCCGCTGTACCGTCAGAACGTCAAGATCTACGGGACGTCGCCCGAAATGATTGACACGGCGGAGAACAGGTTCAAGTTCTCCCGCTTGCTCGACGAGATCGGTGTCGACCAGCCGGAGTGGAAGGAGCTGACGAGCTTCGAGGAGGCGCAGTCCTTCTGCGAGAAGGTCGGCTATCCGGTCCTTGTCCGTCCATCGTATGTGCTTTCGGGCGCTGCGATGAACGTCGTCTCTACCGGCGACGACCTCTCGAATTACCTGACACAAGCCACCGCGGTTTCGCGCGAACACCCGGTCGTCATCACAAAGTACATCGAGCAGGCGAAGGAGATTGAGATGGACGCCGTCGCGAAGGGCGGTAAGATGATCATGCACTTCATATCCGAGCACGTCGAGAACGCGGGCGTGCACTCCGGCGATGCGACGCTCATTCACCCCCCGCAAGACCTCGACCCGCAGACGGTGAAGCAGATCGAAGAGGCGACTGCGAAGATCGGCAACGCGCTCAACGTGACGGGCCCCTTCAACATCCAGTTCATCGCGAAGAACAACGAAATCAAAGTCATCGAGTGCAATCTTCGCGCTGCCCGCTCCTTCCCCTTCGTCTCGAAGGTCACGGGCATTGACGCGATCGAGATGGCCACGAAGGCCATGCTTGACCTGCCCGTTGAATCCTATCCCGACGCGAACCTACCGCCTGACTACGTTGGTATCAAGGTCCCGCAGTTCAGCTTTAGCCGTCTGTCGGGTGCCGATCCGGTGTTGGGTGTGGAGATGGCGTCCACGGGCGAGGTTGCATGCTTCGGGCACGACAAGTATGAGGCGTACCTGAAGGCGCTCATCTCAACCGGTATCATCCCGCCCAAGAAGAACATCCTTTTCTCGATCGGCAGCTACCGGGAGAAGCTCGAGCTTCTCCCAGCTATCCAGAAGCTATCAGCTGCTGGGTACAATATCTTCGCCACCTCGGGCACGGCCGACTTCTTGACTGAGCACAACGTCCCCTGCAAGGTAAGCCCGCCGTTCCCGAGCTACAACTGCGCATCTCACATCTTTGCAGTACCTCGAAGCATTAGGAGATGATAATCGCGACCAGCAGAAGTCGGAGTACTCGTTAACACAGCACCTGGCGAACAACCTTATCGACATGTACATCAACTTGCCATCCAAGAACCATTACAGGCGCCCCGCCAGCTACGCGAGCAAGGGCTACCACAGCCGTCGCATGGCCGTTGACTTCGCGGTGCCGCTTATCACGAACGTCAAGAACGCGAAGATGCTTGCCGAGGCCCTGGTTCGCAAGCTGCCCCTTGACGTGTCCACCGTGGACTCGAAGAGCTCTCACCTTACCCATACCTTCCCCGGCTTCGTCAATATCGCTGCGTTCGTCCCGGGCGTCGCTCAGCTTGGAAGCAACGACCTGGCGGAGTTGTCGCAAGCTGCAGTGTCCGCTGGGTTCTCAACCTCCATCGTCCTGCCTATTGGAGTCGGTAATGCGATATACGACCGCCCGACCCTCGAGCTTGCGACGAACAACATACAGGGCCGCTCGTACACGAACTACGCGTTTAGCGTTGCAGCCACCGACACCAACGTGCAGGCCCTTGACGAGGAGCTGCAGGCTGACACCAAGGCGCTGTTCATCCCCTTCAAGCTGGACGGCATCGACACGCCCTTGTCCGTTGTGGCCGCGCATCTGGCATCATGGCCGCTCGATAAGCCTATCATCACCAACGCCAAGGGCTCACAGCTGGCGTCGATACTTCTCCTGGCCAGCCTAAATGGCCGTGGCGTGCATATCACGGACGTTCGCGATACCGATGACCTCCTGCTCATCTCGCTGAGCAAGGCGAAGCAACTCAAGGTCACTTGCGATGTGTCAATCTACTCGCTCTTCTTCACGAAGGAGCAGTACCCCTCTTCGGCCCATCTGCCCACCGCGCAGGAGCAAGCTGCGCTTTGGAAGCACCTGGACGTTGTCGACGCTTTCTCAGTCGGCCCGGCGCCATACTTCTTGGCCGAAGAAATGGGTCAGAAGCCGACCCCGGCTTGCGGCATTGAGGAGACCCTTCCCCTCTTGCTCACCGCTGTCACGACGGGTCGCCTTACCCTGGAGGACATCCGCGTTCGCCTGCACGACAACCCTGTCCTCATCTTCGGGCTCCCTGATCAGAGCCAGACACATGTCGAGATTGTTATGGGTCGCAAGGCTCCCTTCACGAAGGTGTCGACGTGCTGGACGCCGCTGGAGAACAACCTGGTCAACGGCTTTGTGCATCGCGTCGTGTTCCATGGTCAGACTACCTACCTTGATGGCGCTGTCACGTCGCCGCCGCTCGGCAAGGACATCTCCAGCGCCAGCGTAAGCCATGGTCCCGCGACACTCCCGACCGTCACCGGCACTGCTCCTCCGCACAAGGACCTCGAGCTCACCGCCCCTGCGTTGCCGCCGCAGCCCTCGGGCGCCGTCCTGCATGGACCTGTGGGACCGGCCGATACTTACCTGTCGCATCTGCACGCTCATCCGTCGTTTTACCGCCGTCATATCCTTTCCGTCAAGCAATTCACCCGGAAAGATTTGTACGATCTGTTCTCCCTCGCGCAGGAGATGCGCCTTCAGGTCGAGCGGAATGGTACTTTGGATGTCCTCAAGGGCAGGGTGCTCTGCACCTTGTTCTACGAACCGTCGACCAGGACGTCCTCATCGTTCGATGCCGCTATGAAGCGCTGCGGTGGCGAGGTTGTGCAGATCACTGCGGACACATCCTCGGTCACGAAGGGAGAATCCCTCCCGGACACCGTGCGGACTCTAGGATGCTATGCCGACGCCATCGTCATGCGTCATCCGGATGTTGGGAGCGCTCAGCTCGCTGCGAAGTTCTCGCCCGTCCCCATCATCAACGCCGGAGATGGAATCGGGGAGCATCCCACGCAGGTAAGTTTGCTCATTCGTTGGTGTGCAGATCCCAGTTAACACTACTTTAGGCGCTTTTGGATGTGTTCACCATCCGTTCGGAGCTCGGTACGGTCAACGGACGAACGATCACGATGCTCGGCGACCTCAAGAACGGGCGCACTGTCCACAGCTTGGTGACGTTGCTATGCCTGTACTCCGTGCGCCTCAACTTCGTGGCGCCCGCTAGCCTGGCTATGCCGTCGACCGTGGTGAATGCGGCGCGTCGCGCGGGCATCCAGGTCACGGTCTGCGAGTCGCTGGAAGAAGTTTTGGACGACACGGACGTGCTGTACGTGACGCGCGTGCAGAAGGAGCGCTTCACGAGCGAGGCCGAGTGGCAGCAGGTGAAGGACGCGTACCGCGTCGATCACTCCGTTCTGGCGCGGGCGAAGGAGGACATGATTGTGATGCACCCTCTGCCTCGCGTGAATGGTGAGCGGTATCCGTCGATCTCTGATGAGCAATCGCTGACCCTGCCTGTCATCCCACCAGAAATCGATCCTGAGGTCGACTTCGATTCCAAGCGTGCGGTGTACTTCCGCCAGATGCGCTACGGTCTCTTCGTAAGTTCACAGCTCTACACCGCAACCACATGAAGCTTATTTGTCTCCGCCAGATTCGGATGGCGCTGCTATTGAGCGTCATGGCGTGAAAAGTAATCTAAGGGTGCCATAATTGTAAGGTTGAAGGTAGTATATCAAAACTGTATTTCTAGGCCGAAGCACGGTCTTCCAGCCAAACATACGAACTGTGTTGACGGCTATTCTCGACCGAGGTGGTGCGTTCGCAATTCTGTGACCGCCCGGAATCGGTGCGCGTCGCTTCTGAATTCCGCTACTAGTCCCACTTCTTCCATCATGCGCGCGTGCATCTATCACTGATTTCATCTTGCGTGAATGCGAGGCTTTCCCTTGACGATACTAGGAAACACGGCGCCATTTATCGGAGGTTGGTCCGCCCACGTTCTAAAGTGCAGCGGAACTCTTCTGACTAGCTTCTTCAGAGTGTGATTTGGCGATGGCAGGCCACTCGTAAGGAAGGCGGCGGGCGGTACTAGCATGGCATCCGCGCCCCGGCCGCACGCCGGGGTACTTATGTAGGTGTAGAGGTGGGACGGGAAAGCCGAGGGAGCGTGGTGCCCCGTCTTTGTGGCTTACTTCCCATCTTTCGTCTTGCTTGCTTCCTGTGCGCACGCTTATCGCGAGGATGTCTCATCAAGCTACTCAGACGTCGACGGAAGATAGGGCGCAGGATGCTGCCAATACGCTGGCCGAGGGGCGTGCAAGCAGCGAGGCGCGACGCGCGGAGGATACGTCTCCGGCGACTGCAGGACCGAGTCGGCAGCCGCAAGGCATGCACGCGACGGGCTCGAGGGAGAGCTTGGCGCCTCACGCGCAGGAGAGCTCGCCACCCAGTGCGCACGACCCAAGCAGCAGCAGTGCGCCTCGTGTGGGTTCCTCTTCGCCAGACAGAGGTCCAGCGCCGCGAGCGGGTCCTTCGTCGCCTAGTGCGGGCTCATCGTCACCTCCCGCGCCACCGGCGACTACCGCCAGCCATGGCCCGGGTACAACAACTACGAGCCACGGTCACCTCGAAAGCCCTTCGACCCCGCACTCCCATCTGTCGCGGTATCCGTCCGAGGCGCCCTTGATGCAGCGCGTTTCGTTCGCAGAGTCTACAAATCGGCCCTTGCCGCCGCGCCCTGACGAGATCGAGGGTGAGCTGTACGGTGTACCGACGTTCCGGCGGGTGAGTGGGAGGAGCATGCTTTGTCCTGTGTGTACATGCCATTGACGTTGGCCGCGCGCTTCATGACAGCCGAGCCGGATGCGAATGAATCTCGCGAGATCTTCGCGTGGGATGTCGCCGCAATTCGAAGAGAAGCCGTTCAGAGCGCGAACGTTGGGCGAGAGACTCGCGCCGACAATCGATGCGGCGACGAAAGAACGCAATAGAGCGGCCCGGAAGGCGCGCATTTCGGGCTGGGCGATCAACATAGGTGCGTAAGGCGGCTTGCGGTGTCTATCGGAAAAAATACAGGCGGCGGAGCGCAATAGGCTGACGCTAGATTACCAGCCATCGGCCTGCAAGTTACGTTGGGCACGCTGACCACGATGTTGTCGGCTATCACGGTTGGCCGCGAGGTGAGGACCAGCAGTGTCCTTTGGCGAGTGCAGCGGATGACAAGCTTCGCAGACATCGATTGTCACGGCGGTGCTCGGTGCGTGAGGCGATTTGTCCGCTGCACGTGAGGCTGAAGTTGTGATTGTTAGGTGGTCTGGCGACGCTGGTGGCATCGTACTCGGCGCGCGTAAGGGGGACAGATGAGCCGGAGGCGAGCTTGCGGCGCGTGAAGGACATGGAGCTGTTCATTCGCGAGTGCGAGGCGTTCCAGACGGACCATTTTCATGTGGTGGACGACCCGCATCTGGAGGCCGTGGTGCGAGGGATGAGGAGAAGGTTCGAGGAGTTCATGGGGAATGGGCCTGAGCATCAGTGAGTCGGAAACCTCGTTTTGACACGGAGTAAATGAATGTCTATTTTCGCAGGCCGATGGAGCAGGACGATGAACACGAGTCCAGACGGGAGGGCAGTTGGCATGGACGCGACAGTGGAAGAGTGGCATAGTATGGCGCGTGCTGTATGCTTGAAAAGCTTTGCTATTTACGTGGCAAAGCACCGCGGAGTACCCGCGGCGCGGACGTCTGAAGGCCACATCCAGCTATAACAATGGGGACCTTGACGGAGTTGAACGTGTTTCCCTCAACTATTCTATGTATTCACAATACCTTAATGCGTATATACAGCGACGAATGGAACCTAAGAGCATCTGCCGCTCACCCGAGGCAAATTGAAACCGCCTTAGTCGACAACATTCAATCAATGAGCGGGCAGGCATGTTGAGACCAAGTTCAACACCCGGACCGTACGATCCGATAAGATCAGTGACTCCGCCCCTCGACTGACTCGATCACTACGCCCGCATCTCCTTCCCCTGCATTTAATTGGTTGCTAACCCCCTTGTCCCCCTCCCCCATCATACCCCCCTTCGATATGGTCGCGACAACGGCCGAAGAAAAGTTCGAGCTCATCACTCGGGATCTCCAGGAGGTCCTGGGTCCAGACATCATCAAGAACATCCTCGCGGAGGGACGGACACCGAAGTGCTACTGGGGTGAGTGGTATAAGACTTCGGAAGTAGATGCGTACTCATGAGATGCGAAATAGGAACTGCATGCACTGGCAGACGTGAGCTTCGATCTACTTGAGATTTCCCACTCGAGTTGACATGACTTCTCGCCAGCACATATCGCCTACTTCGTCCCCCTCACGAAGATCGCCGATTTCCTGCATGCTGGTGTTGAGGTGAGTGGGCCATGCCATATTCATGTACCCGATTGCTGAACTGGGCCCAGGTTACGGTCTTGTTAGCAGGCAAGTTCCGCCAACAGCGAAGCCATTGCTCCGATTCTCATGCCCATTCCTAGACGTCCATGCCTTTTTGGATAACTTAAAGGCCCCCATCGAGCTCGTAGAGCAACGCTGCAAATACTACAGATTTGTCCTCATGGCTGTCTTCGAAACGCTAGGCATACCCACGAGCAAGCTTCGCATCGTCGAGGGCTCGTCCTACCAATTGACAAAAGAGTACAACATGGACAACTACAGGTGCGGATCCCCTCACAAATGCGTACAACGCAGCCCCCTCACACCCACACGCAGACTGTGCGCCATCGTCACCGAGCACGACGCGAAGAAGGCCGGCGCCGAGGTCGTGAAGCAGGTCGAGAGCCCCCTGCTCTCCGGGCTGCTCTACCCCGGCCTCCAAGCTCTCGACGAGCAGTACCTCGGCTGCGACTTCCAGTTCGGCGGCGTCGACCAGCGCAAGATCTTCACCTTCGCCGAGGCCTACCTCCCCAAGCTCGGCTACGCCAAACGCGCGCACCTCATGAACGCGATGGTCCCCGGGCTCGCGGGCGGGAAGATGTCCGCCTCGGACCCGAACTCGAAGATCGACTTCCTCGACCCGCCCGAGGTCGTGCGCAAGAAGATCAAGGCCGCGTTCTGCGAGGAGGGCACGGTCGAGGGCAACGGCGTCCTCGCGTTCGTCGGCGCGGTGCTCATGCCCATCAGCCGGCTGCGCGCGGAGCAGAAGGCGGCGGGGGAGAGCGCGCCGGGCGCGCCGGCGTTCGTGAGCCCGAATGCGCCGGAGGGGACGCTGTTCTCGGTGGAGAGGGATGAGAAGTTTGGCGGGTCGCTGCATTATGCGAGCCACGCGGCGCTGTGCGCGGACTATGCGAGCAAGGCGTTGCACCCGAAGGACCTGAAGGGCGCGGTCGCGAGTGCGCTGATCGCGCTGATGGCGCCGATCCGGGCGGCGTACGAGGCGAGCGAGGAGTGGCAGGAGGTGACGAGGAAGGCGTACCCGGATCCGAATGCGAAGCCGGAGAAGAAGAAAAAGGTGGGAGGTGGTCGGGTCGTGCTCTGAGGGTATTTTGCTGATGTATCCCGCAGGAGAAGAAGGTAGGGAGGAGACCTCCCCAGCAGGGCGATGCGGCAGCGGAACCAGCAGCGGCTGCACCAATCGAGCCCACGCCTGGTGCTACCCCAGAGGTTGTGCCCCAGCCGCCTAAGGCCTCTGCATAGACGCAGAGACATCACGGTCAGCCCTGCGCGTGTCGTCGATGGGATATATGTGAAGGGCGAGTCAGTGTATGTTACATTGTGTTGTACGTGTGTACTATCCAAGCGCGTGTATCTACCATCCACCCGTGTGTCAATTCGCAAGAGGTATAGGTGAGGTTGGTATATGTATTGACCTCTCTTGTTTCCTTCTGGATACCTGCTATGGGGAGTGATCCAAATTCCACGAAATACCCCGCTGTACTCTCTCCTTGCACGAATGACCGGTCATATGCCCTCCCGCTGACCGCCTTCACTGTCAGCGCCCCGGCACCTTCCCTGTCATCGCCCTGGCACCCTTTTCCCTCATCGCCCAGAGACCACCCTTCCCTATCATCGCCCTGGCACCTATCCGCGTCCCTGTCATCGCCCAGAGACCACCCTTCTCCCAGGTAGCGCGTCGTCAATACCGATCTTCGACATCTCCTCAGCATGGTCCAGGGTCGACCAGCGTTGGAGGTTGTTTTGATAAAGGAGCATCTGTGCAGAGGGAGGGTTAGTCGGGGTGAGAAAGGGGAGATTAGTCGGGCTGAGAAAGGATAAGATTATGTGAGGTGAGACAGGGAGGGTTAGTCGAGGTGAGAAAGAGAAGATTGGTCGAGGTGAGGAAGGGAAGATTAGTCGAGGTGAGAAAGAGACGGAAAGGAAGAGAGCGAGCGGTCAAGGTCACACTGATGTTGGATGGAAAAAGAGATCGAAGAATGGAAGAAGGGATACAAGAGGGAACCGTACATACCCTCCCTCTGGGTAGGATCACCGCGCGTAGCTTGGGACAGCTCTCCCGCCACGCGGCTGCTATCCGCATCTCGTCGTCCTCGGTGGTAGCCATGGATGAGGCGGCCATGCAGGTAATAAACTGGGTTACGGTTAGATATGTAAGCGACCGGCCTACTACATCCGACGTAGAAATCTTACCTCCAACTGAGGGAGCCGGCGCAGTATGCGAGACGAATCCAGGAGGGACTTCTAGAATGACGAGATGTAAGAAAACGTGGTTGGCTCTGCAGCATAATATTACATACCGAATCGTACTGCCCCAGGAAAGCGATTAGGTGGAGGGCGATCAAGTGCGGTACGCGAGCGGCAATTTCTTCCAGTACGTCCTGCGGTGGCCGCGCATCGAAGGCGAGAGCGGTGAATTTCTTTATGTGTGCTGTCGACCGCGATATGGCATCGAGGGCAGCGCTGGAAGCGGCGCCTGCGTAGAGAGGGAGCGACACGGCAGCAACCGGGCGGCCAGCGATGATGTCTGCTAGTAGCCCTGGGGCCGCATGCGCTGCGCGTAGTTGCGACAAGCGGGGCAGCGCAAAGGTAGGTAGCGGCAGGCTCGAGCCCCGCGCTCGGATGCCGAGTTCGGTGATGAAGGGCTGCGACGCGAGGAAGGCAGCGAGCCCATGTCCGGGCGAGAAGGTGCTCTCGAAGGCGCGCAGTTGGAACCGGGCCTCAAATAGTACCCATATTGGTTCTTGGGCTGTGGGTAACTCGAGTGCGAGGCGGACTAGCCGGGAAGTACGGTTGAGAGCGCGGCGCAGGAGCCGGTAAGCGTTCGCTGTCACGCAGGCCGCGCGGTCGAAGGAGGCCCAGTCTATGGACAGGGAGCGTACAAGGAGGGCTAGGTGAGGACATGCTGCTAGAGTGTGCAGGCACCGTATAGATGCTCGAGGTGTGGGCTCTTCAATGTCATGATAGAGTACTCGGGTGGCAGGGGCGCCCAAGTCGTGATTGACGAGGGCTACGTGGTATAGGTCGACGGTACGCAGTGCGCATAATATTTGGTCGACTATTTCAGCAGGTAGGTCCGAGAACAGCATAGAATGCGCGCGCTGAGTCAGAGCCGGCGCCTGCAGGCAGCCCAAAGACGTCAAGTTGAAGTTGGGTGGAGCGTGGGAACGTGGGAGGACCTCGACCGCGGCCGAGATGCCGGGCACAGATTTCAATCTCCGCTTCAAAAACCGGGATTTCGCCCGCCCCCGCCTCGCGCTCGTCGCCTTTTTGCCCACCGCCCTGTTCACGACCTTTCCTTCCTCCTCCGCTCTCACAAGTCATGTAAGTCCTTCGTCACTGCATCCGACGCGCGCGACGCGACGTTTGGCGCGGGGTGCGCGCAAAATACGCGTGTTGCCGCGTCGTGGTCGCATCGTATCATATCCAAATCGCCCGCTCACGCCCGCCCGCAGCATGCGTGAAATCGTCCACCTCCAGACCGGCCAGGTGCGTAGTATCCCGCGAGCATCTCGCGCAACGCGGCTGACGCGTTTTTCGTCCACAGTGCGGCAACCAGATTGGTATGAGCGGCGTGCTCGGTTCGCGCCTTTGAGAGGCTAACTCGGTCGCGTAGGTGCCAAGTTCTGGGAAGTCGTCTCCGACGAGCACGGTATCGAGGCCGATGGTCTCTACAAGGGCACCAACGACCAGCAGCTCGAGCGCATCTCGGTCTACTACAACGAGATCGGCGCGAACAAGTACGTGCCGCGCGCGATCCTGGTCGACTTGGAGCCCGGTACCATGGACTCTGTCCGCTCCGGTCCGCTTGGTGGCCTTTTCCGCCCGGACAACTTCGTCTTCGGCCAGAGCGGTGCGGGTAACAACTGGGCCAAGGGCCGTGAGTACCATTTTCCCGCATCGATCGCGTCGCGTGTCGCGCCTCTATTAGGAGACCCGACCGCGTCCGAGGCTTCGTGACATTTGCTAAGTGCGCTTTTTTGCAGATTACACTGAGGGCGCGGAGCTCGTTGACGCTGTGCTCGACGTTGTGCGCAAGGAGGCCGAGGGTACGGACTGCCTTCAGGGTGCGTGTGTCGATCACTCCGCATATACTCCGTGTTAATCCCTCGATAGGCTTCCAGATCACCCACTCCCTCGGTGGTGGTACGGGCGCTGGTATGGGTACTCTCCTGATCTCGAAGATTCGTGAGGAATACCCCGACCGTATGATGTGCACATTCTCTGTCGTCCCGTCTCCCAAGGTTTCGGACACCGTCGTTGAGGTGCGTCTTTCTATCCCCATGGCAAGGGCTATGATTCACATGCGATCTTCAGCCGTACAACGCGACGCTCTCCGTGCACCAGCTTGTCGAGAACTCGGACGAGACTTTCTGCATTGATAACGAGGCGCTCTACGACATCTGCTTCCGCACTCTCAAGCTCTCCACGCCGACGTACGGTGACTTGAACCATCTCGTCTCCTTCGTCATGTCCGGCATTACCACTTGCTTGCGCTTCCCTGGTCAGCTCAACTCTGACCTGCGCAAGCTTGCTGTCAACTTGGGTTAGTTGCCTTTGAAAAAGTCGTCGAAGCTCAGCACTAATGCGCGATTAGTGCCGTTCCCGCGTCTTCACTTCTTCATGACCGGCTTCGCGCCTTTGACTGCGCGCGGCAGCCAGCAGTACCGTGCCGTCACCGTGCCGGAGCTCACGCAGCAGATGTTCGACGCCAAGAACATGATGGCTGCCTCCGACCCGAGGCACGGTCGCTACCTCACTGTGCGTTCCATTATGATCGTCGGCATCCCGACATAATTAACCCGCTCCAGGTTGCCGCCATGTTCCGTGGCAAGGTCTCCATGAAGGAGGTCGAGGAGCAGATGCAGAACGTCCAGAACAAGAACTCTGCCTACTTCGTCGAGTGGATCCCGAACAACGTCCTTGCGTCGCAGTGTGACATCGCGCCCCGCGGCCTGCGCATGTCCGTCACCTTCCTCGGCAACTCGACGGCCATCCAGGAGCTGTTCAAGCGTGTCAGCGACCAGTTCACCGCCATGTTCAAGCGCAAGGCGTTCTTGCATTGGTACACGCAGGAGGGTATGGACGAGATGGAGGTATGCAAACCTTGGTCATGTGATCGTTCCCCGCTCACGCCATCGCGCAGTTCACGGAGGCGGAGTCGAACATGCAGGACTTGGTTGCCGAGTACCAGCAGTACCAGGACGCGACGGTCGAGGAGGAGGGCGAGTACGAGGAGGAGGTTATCGAAGACCAGGAGTAAGCGCACACGTACGCCGGGTTGACTTCTGCTCTTCGTCGATATCCCTTTGGGCTGTGTTTGTCGTTTATGTTTGCGGCAAAAATAAGGTATCCCCCTCCCTAGTCCTTCGCTTGTCGTTGTGTTCCTCCTTTTTGCTTGTCATGACCTCGTTATTACCCTACTGCACGTTTTGATACACCTTTTTTTCTCCCTTACGCTCTTATATTGTGGATAACGAAATGACACGAGTGGTCCTTTGTTGGCTGCTAAACTTGCGTGGGAGGTCCTTGAAGAGAGTGAATGCGAGTGCCTTCAGAAAAACGATTTTCCTGAGTCAAGGTGAGAAGATCATGTCGGTATTCACGCGGGCCGACTACGAGAGGACTGCGAGCGGTTGGCGAGTGGCGTCTGAACACGAGCCTTCCCATAAATCAACCATATATATTGCTACGCGTGAGCACCACCAGGTCTGGCGCATCACATTAGGAGGTAGACTTTATAGAGGAGAGTAGAGACCGTTTGGAGAGAGCAATTCGAGGGTACCAACGCTTTGGTCGAAGTGCTGATATCCTACAGATGGGTGTTGATACTCTACAGGTGGGTGTTAACACCCCACAGTTGAGTGCTGACACACCCCACAGGTGAGTGTTGACATCCTACAGGTAGATGTTGATAGGAGAGCATCCGAGGTTGATCAGGCCGTCCTAGGGGTGGCAAAGGTGAGCCCAAGCGTCCGTTGGTACTAGGCGAAGAAGCTTACGAAGTGGTTGTTCTCGCAGCAGAGCGTCTGGGCGCTGCACTCGGAGCCACCGCCGCCGAGGACCTGGAGGGCGAAGGGAAGGTTGGTCAACGGCTGGTTTGCTACTGAAGCGAGGCATGCTCACGTTGACATCCGTGCACGACAGCCCGATGAGCGCCGTCACGTCCTGGAGGACGATGCCGAGGAGGCCCAAGAGGCCAGCGGCGCCCTGCGAGTCAGCCTGTGGCAGTCGGTGTCAGATTAGGAGGTTTGCCACGAAGCAGGACGACCAGCTCACCGACTGCGAGGTCTGGCAGCACTGGACGGGGCCGGAGCTGCAGTGCTGGCCGCTGTCGTTGCCGCCACCGCCGCGGGGAACGACGGCCGCCGCAGCCGCGAGGCAGGGCAGGACGGCGAAGATGAAGAAGAACATGGTGTAGACGCGAGCGAGCACGGCCATTGTTGTTTTGCTGAGAGCGAAGGAGTGGTAGTCGATAGTAAGAAGGGCGGGAAGGAGCGAAGGCTGCAGATGCGAGGGACTGTTAGTCGACGGCTGAAATACTGCGGAGCACTGGGGATTGGCCTCGCCGATCCTTGCTTATATAGTCGTGCGCTGTAGAAGTAGAAGAAAAAAGGACAGAAGCCCGCGGCGGAGCGAAAGTCGCGCCATGCGCTGGCCCGATGCTTTCTGCGTTGGCCGGCGCCATCGTCGCTGGATACTACATATAACGGCGACAACACCTCGCCGAAGATCCATCTTACTCGCCTTGCCCTGACTACGAAGGTCTTCGCCATTGTGGACGATACAGGCCCGCGGTCCTTCCCTCTCACCTACCTTCTCTCTACATTCCGCTCAAGCCCGTCTCCGATGCGAAGTAGCGGTTGTGATAATCTGACACGCACAATTACAATGTTGAATACAGTACGCACTTCTCTCATGCCAAGCCGTGATACTGGAGGGGCTTCTAGAGGGGATTCTGCCCATTCTGCCCTGTCTCCGGCGGCGGGATCTGCCAGAGCACATCGCTCCAGAACGACGTCGTCCAATCGTTGAGTCTTGCGTGGGGTGAGGCGAGGCGATGGAGAAGAGCAAGAGTCAGTCACAGAATGATGCAAACAGAGGTCAAGGAAGAGATGATGCTCACTCCTGCGTCCCCGGATTCCAATTACCGGTGGTGCTGGCATCCGCGGTAGACGGCGATATGCCGACCCCGGCGCCCGAGTCGGCGGGCCAGTGCGTTTGCTGACGATTCGGAAGAGCCGGACCCGTTAGCGGGGTCTGCGTCATGGCGCTCGGATCCAGCGGCGAGTAGCTGAATGCGGCGTTGAAGTCGAAGCCCGACGGGTCTATCATGGCAGCCATCATATCGTCCACTGCTCCTAGGTCATTCTGGCTTGCTGAACCGGTGTCTCCGGTGTCGTCAGTCTGCATATTGTCCTGAGGATACCAGCCGTGCATGGGAAGAGGGAAACTGGTGAAGGCTGATGTAGCAGATGAGCTTGGTTGAGCAAAAGTACCCGTATATTGCGACGAGAAGGACGTGGACCGGCGGTGACCTTCCGTTGCGTCGGAATCGGGGCGACGCTTGGTCTGCGTACCCTCTGCAGAGGCTGTCGGATTGTGCACGTTTCCAATAACCGTCAACCCATAGAGGACATCCCTGGTTGGATGCAGTCAATTACGACCAACGGGAATCAAGAACAAATTTACCAAAGACGCCCAGGTAGATGCCAGCTGAAGACGTAGTCAGTATATTTTCGATGAGATATGAGAGCAGGCGCACCGATCTTCAAGGGCTTTCAAATACGCCATGGCTTTCTGAACATACAGCGTCTCCTGTATCAACAGTCAATTCCACTTTCTGCACCACATGCCTAGCCATACCTTGCTAGGTTCGACTGCCTGACCATTCAACCGGCTATTCCAGATGCTCAATATCAAGACAATGCCGGACTGTACTTGAGGGACCTTCACTATATCAGTGAGTGAGCAGCGAACGCGGCGCCTGGCGCTTACAAAGGTGACATGCAGAGGCTTCCCCATACGGCGCATGTAGACGTCGTTTATATGGATGCAAGACCGCGCCGCGTTGGTGCATATAGTCAGCGATGGGTATGCCAATGACGCGGGCCTGCGAGGCCTCGGGATGAATGGCTTGTGGACGAGGATTTGAAGCGTATAGTAAAGGGTGTACAAGTCGACAGACTGTCGCAGAAAGAGGTCATCTTTGATCTCGGTGTTCCACCGTACTGCGGCATATCTTCAGCGTATGGTAGGAGGGAGAAGAGACATGTCACCGACAATGTTCTGGTATCGTATTCGCCCATTCATTGAAGGATGAGTCGAGTTCGGCTACGATCTCGTGGTTCTGCTCGCAGGTCAGCGAGTTTTTGAGACTGTACTGCAAGAAACACGTCAGGTCACACGGTAGCGAGCCGAAGAGCGGGAGCACGAACGATAGTCCTCAGGCATTTCGGTATTATGACCGCAAGTCGTAGCTTGGCGAGGAAGTACGACATCATGGACGGCTTTCCGGGCGGTTGCTTCCAGGCTTTGGCGGGGTCTGGATGATCCCAATATTCGTCGTCGCATTCGATGGGGTATTCCAGGTCGAAGCTGTGGAAGCTAAGCTGCACGTCTCGGATGCGAACACAGGTAGACGACATACTCCATCTCCTGCGTAGCGCAAGGGCGTCCTAAGGAGTGAGCGCTCATCCAATCGACGTAGACCAGGATCCTGTAGAGGTGTCACCTATGATTCACGTCGCGCAAATGGACGACGCACCAGAAAGCCCTTTTCCACAGTTCGTCTTCGGCTTTCGAGGCTGTCCTCGCGGATCGACGACGATGCGCGCCGGCATCTTGCGCCATGCGTATTCCTGCGCCGATGACACCCCAGCAAGCCTGCGGAGCAGAGGTCGCTTGAAGAAAGTGTACCGACAGCTGATGACGGTGTCAATGTCGCCCATGTACTCCTGATGTGAACAAGCTACGTACAACGCAGTACTGCACGTCATACAGGGAAGGAGGGCGAAAGAGGGACGGTCTAATAGCAAAATAAGCTACATCTTCGAGTGGTCCCGGTTTTACGTACTTCAGATGTTGGACTTGGCGGAACCACTGTCGACGATAAGACATGTTTCGTGCATTCTCAACAGAACCTCACCTGCCAGCCCGCTACAGGTCAGTGGCGTCAGTACAGCGATCTTGAATCAGTCTAGCGTACGCACCTGAGTGTCGCGAAGTTGTGCCTTCGACGAGAACGCGCGGGTCATCAGAGAATCGCGCGCCATTAGCACACACCAGCAGGATTACAGGGGCAAAGTCGCGATCTGTGTGGTGACGACGAGCAACAATATCGGTGACGAAAGTAGGTCGGTGGAGAAGCGGGCAGAAGATGTTGATCTCGCGGAAGTAGAGATTTACAAGAGTCATCAGGAGGTCGTCCGGGGGGAAGGTATACTTGCGGTGTTGGGCGGCCGGGTCGGGTGCATCTTCCCACTAGAAGAATGTGAGATGCAGTTCCCCACGAGCGATCTGAACAACCCACTGGTAATTGATGCCAGAACTGCGGCCTACGCATCGCCAGTATCGAGCTCGCCCAGTGTTCCTCTCCGGTCTCCGATATTGAGCTCTTGAAGCTTACTGCGCTCTTTACGAGCATGACGCCGCTCGACTTGCCCCAGAATCGTACCACGTTGTCGCCGACGTGCATTCTCTTCAGATACTCGCTGATATCGTGCGGCGAATCCTCGTCGTCAGACCCGTTGGCCTGAGACTGACATCCTGGTTCAGTAGAAAGATGGCCGGAGGGGCTGCCGCTGAAGGCCGGCGACGAGTGCCCGGGTGAGGACTGCGTAAGGCTGCTAGGCTCGCTGGCGAAGCGAAGGCGCATCATCGCCTCGTCGTCCTCAAGCGCTTTGGTTATTTCATTTTCAGAGTAGAACTGATAACCGCGTCAGTCAACGCAAGTTGGACTGGGCAGGCTATCCACCTTCTTCAGGAGTACCATCGCGCGCTCTAGTCGTTTCTCCAGATTGTCGACGGAACTAATACCTTGTCAGTATGTCTACCTGCATTGACAAAGCAGGGGCCGGACCTGGGCGAGATATCTCGTTTCTGATGAACGTGAGACGGGAGTTCAATGAATGTGAGAGTCAGACCGCACCTTGTGCGGTTCATCGTACGTGCACTCGGATTTACTGGCCGCACAATTCGAACATTGGGTCGAGCCTTGCTGAATGCCGTCACCTACAGAATCCTGAGATAAATGGCACCCTTGCAAAGGCATTCGGCCAGCGTACATCTGACTGAGAGAAGTATGTCAGTTATAATGACAGTGATTATATTTGTGAAACACAGAGGGTGGGACACGGCGAACTCACTCTTCTTTCTCCTGCATTTATCGCAAGCTCGCTGATTGTACGCGCGTCGCTTGCGATACTTGGCGTAGTGGCCATCGCCCTGCGGTTCGTTCGTCTCCGGACGACTTGGTGAGGCCATTTCGCGGGAGCACCGAGCGGGATGCGCTGAGTGCTATTGTTCCCGAAGTTGAAGTCAACTTTGATGAATAACCGGGGGTGATCAGAGGACACGCCACAAGCCCGTGGTCGAAGACTCAAGCTTCAAATTTGGGCTCTCAGCCCGCGGAAAGGAGAAGGTTCGGACACCTCGCTCGCCTCCAGCGTACGAGATGATGTTGGTAGGAAGCAGGATGGGCCAGTTCCATTACACGATGGCTGTGCTGGGGTACGCGGCTCGGCAGTATCCTCGGCATGATCCGTGCAAACTCATCACGGCATATGCCGAACGATGGACCCACAAATCTCAATCAGGAAATTTCCCTGTTCATGTTGCATTCTCGGAAGTTTAGGCGCCCTTACCTGAGTACAAAGAGTTTCTATCTTTATTGGAAATATATTCGAGCTCAACTCGACTTAGGCGCGAATGGCTAGAGATGGCGGGCATCGTCGACCTTGTTCACTTGGCACTCTCAGGTTTTGATCCAGGGATTTGCACATCCAGTCTATAGCGTACATACACTCAAGCAATACTTGTGGAGCCACAATGAGGCGATGCGTCCCTTCCAATGAGCCCATACACGTGCGACTTGCACCATGCAATGCACGCGGACTGTACACTCAGTGGGAGTCAGATGCAGCTGCTTATGCCTGACGATGGAGCGATAAATTGTGGAAGCTGCAAACGGCGGCCGACGGAGGGAAGGAAGAAGTCGCGGGCGCTTGACTGTGTCCCGGAGGCCGTCTATCTGGTCGTCTTCATCAACGGCGATCAGGCGGAAGCAAAGGTGCAGCGAAGGCAAAAGGCAGACGGCACCTGCACTTTTCCCAACCATTCATCCCCGAGCGGCTTCCCATGCTCCGCTATCGCGCCTTCTTGCACGGTCTTGCGATCCATGTACTTCACGGCCTTCATATACGGAACAAGCAAAGACTATCAGAAACGTACATTCAAGACGCCTCTCGGGGAACTCGAGCAAGAATACACGCTCATCTAGGAACGCGCGAGATCATGTCCAATTCGCGCCTGACGTTAGCGACATCACATTGCCCTCCTGGATCAAGTGGCCACGTTCCCGACGAACCTAAGCGGAGGGTTTCCCGCTGCAGGCGATGCCGAGAGGGTCGTGGGCGTGTTACCCACCCTTATCGGGATGGGAACGATCCCTACATCTCCGCATCGGCAGCTGCTCCCATTAGGCGCGCAAGGCCTCCGTCCCCGCCAGACACAGCAGCCAGCACCTGACGGCCACGCCCCTCCGTCGCGGCCTGGCACAAACGCGTAAACGAACAGAGCGAGCGAAGGCCGCGTCCCACTCACACGTCTATCGTTTACCCGAGGACGGGGCAGGCCCCTGCGCTTGGGCATGACCCTCCCCGCCGACCGCGCAGGGAGACACTCCCGCGCGCGCGGGAGGTGCGCACGCGTCCTGCTCGGCGGACCCCGATGCTTAAGTCTCGCGGCGAGCACCATCATCGTCAGATCCGCACCGATAATCGGAAAAGCTACCCCTCGCCCACCCCCGCTCGCCCAAGCCGTGCCCCGCAGAGTTGGTTCCGCGGCCTATCGATGCGTCCCCCGTCGCGATATATCCCTCCTCCGCGCAGCGAGGCCGCCTTACGTCTGGAGACGGGGTCAATAGTGGGAGCGCTCCGCCTGCAAGCCCGGCGGCGCATATCAACGCTCGCCCGGCAGGTGGCGCGCCTGAATGCCAGGCGGGGACGTATAAGCGGGCGGTGGGCTGGCGCTCCCTCTTCGGGTACCCGTCCTCATCTGCTCGACGCGGATCCGCCGCATGCTGCGTCGTTCCTGGAGATGCGTCCTACACTTAGCGTCAGGCCGGTGCGGACTCAAGGTTGGTTCTTAGCCCTCGGAAGGGCTGCCACTCATGCAGATCAGATGCTCCTGCCGCGGACGCGCTGATTGCGGACGCCCTCTCCGTCGTTCGGGAGTCGGATACCTGGGAGGTGAAGCTCGTCAAGGCAGGTGCCACCGTCCGCCGGCGCAAGGCAGACGGCGACAATCACTGGTTCTGCCGCGTCAGCACCCACGCGCAGGACGACCTCTCCTTCGACCAGCTATGGGACAAAGTTGGCGTGCAGCGGTTTCCCAGCCAAAAGCAGTACGTCCTGCTCGAGAAGTTGGCATGAGGTGGTATCTGGAAGCGCCGTGTAACAACGCACCTTGACATGCAGATATCTCTCCGACGTGACCCGCGTCAACCTCATTGAGGCGGGTCCCAAGAATAGGACCGTGTGGTCCGCGTACCATTCGTCCAGCTCTTTAGCGTCACCACGGATCTTCACCGTACTCCTCGAGACTCGACTGAGGGAGTTTCCTCCGCAGGCGCGGACTGGGTGAGCAGAGCGCTTGCTGGCCCCCATCATCGTGCTTGACCCGCGCCTTCAGTGTCGCTGTCGAGATTCCCGTTGATATATCCTCTCGAGCAGCATTCGCCCACATGGAAGAGAGAGGCGTCAAAGCCCATGCCGTCACCATCGAGCACGTCAAGGAAGTCAATGACGGGAGCGCCATCGAGTGGCGGGTCATAACCTGTCGGCACTATGGTGGTATGCTGCCCGCCGCGGTCTGGGCACGACAGATGCCGGACCGCCTCGTCGAGGTAGCTGAGGACATCGAGGAAGTGTGCGTACCCTGACCTATTCCGACCTTTCAGGAGATGACGCAGTACCTGGACGGAATGCGGGCGGAGCTGGCGGCCGGCGAGCCAAGAAAGGACTCGGGAGTCGAAAGATGTTCTGCCCAGTAAATAGTCCTTCCACAGTCGAGATACATACATGAGTGCGCTAGGGAAATGATGGTACGTTCAAGCTTCGTCGTTGTTGACGAGCTTGCCGCAGATAATGTATTTGTTCGCGAAGTGCTCATACCAGCCTGCACGTGGCATGTCAGTATACGAGGATGATTGCCTAAATTGTGACACGAACCCTTCATGTTTTCTCTGCGGGGCGAAGGCGGTCAGCGGGACCCTTCTGCGAACGAGGAATACGTACATCTCATCCGGGGTCAGGTCCTCGAGCTTGTCAAGGGGTTGGTCGGTTGGTGTGAGCATCTCTGTCGAAATAATTATGATGATGTCCTTCCCAGGCTCTTCGACCGCACGCACCCATGTCGAACGACTGCTTCGCCATTCCGCGAGACGCATCCCTCCCAGCAAAGTTCCCGTACATCCCATCTAACACAATTAGCTTGCCTGATCGCTAAACTTGCGCACAAACGCACTCGGTCCGTAAAAGTTCCTCCCCGCCGTCACATCGAACACCGTCCCGCCGATCGCCAGAAGTATACGCCCCCCGTCCAGCCCATTGAACGGCTCCAGCGTCTTCGGGGTATACGTCTTGTACACCACCGTCGGCGGGTGCGATTTTGGCTTCCACGAGTATCCGCCCTTGAACTCCGTAGGCACCGTCTTCGGCTTGGAGGTCGAGGGGAAGACGATGCGCTGAACGCTGTAGAGGATGTAGAGGAAGAGCGCGGTGTTCACGGGCGTTCCGAGGTCGACTTGCATGGTGTCAGTATTCAGAATGAGGAAAGAAAGCTAGAGAAGGTGATGACAGTGCAGAGCAGGATGTGTACGATGATGATGGGCTGGGAACTTGAAGGCGGCGGCGACAAGGCCTCACCGGACCGGGCTGCTGCTGACGCACGCTGATGACACGGTCACGAACGCGTTACGACGCGTCCAGACAACCCGCCTGGGCTTGCGCCTCTTGCTCTCAACGATCATATTCACGAACACGTTAGCGACTCCCACCTTGTATGCCCCGGTGTGCCAACCCTTTGTTTCTGAGATGGGTCAAAGGTTCGTACTCAGGGTTCCCCTAATAGACCAACTGCTGATACAACCTTCCCGCGTGTTCCTCGACTGTCGGTCATCATTCTCACACAGAGTTTCATGCCGAGAAGGACTACCGTATCAAGGGCGGACCCCCTCGCCCTACAGGCTATGAGAATGCCATTCGTGCTCTGCAGGAGTGCACAGAGAAATATCAGCACCCCGCCGAGCTGAAGAAACTCAACGGCGTCGGACCAACTTGCATCGCAAGGTCCGTCCCGTCCTCCGCCAGCGACTTCACTGCTTTACGAAATTATTGACTACCGATAGGTTGACCGAAAAGCTCGAGAAATATTGCAAGAATAAGCGTATCCCGATGCCTGAGCCGCCTGCGCCTAAACGTCGAGGTTGGTTGGTCCCTTCCGCATGCTTGCTGGTCACTGACAACCTTTGCACACAGCTCCAGCAAAGCCTAAGCTGACGGCTGCGCAGAAGCGCGCTGCTCTCAAGGAAGAGGAAGCCAGGTTCGTCGACGAGGACTCGGAGGAGGAACCAACGACCACCTCAACTGCGTCACGGAAGCGGGGTGCTCCAAAGCGCAAAAAGGCCGAGGACAGTGACGGCGACGACGACGAGTACGTGGAGCGCCCGAAGAGGCGTCGTGTTGTCCGCCGTAAGGCAGTGATGGAGGAAGAGGACTCAGACTAAGGGTGATATGACTTGGGCTTTCGACCGTGGACGTTATATACTCTCTACACTCAAACAGCGAACAAACATACTATACCAAGTATCAGTGTAATACTTCCAGCTTTCTATATGTTTGACCCATCCCAATCTTGCTCATGCATCGAGACACGCACACGTCCGTCCTTCCAATGCTTTCCTCAATTGAGACAGACGAGTCCCCATACACCATTCCGCTGCACCTCATTCTCGATAGAGGCTACATGCGACCGAGACCATACCACAAGAGTACCGCGTCCAGAAACCGGCGTGGTAAGGCGAGCAGGCGGACAGGACTCTCGAAAGGGAAACAAAAGGCGCAAGTGACGCCTCTGGATGCTTCCCAAAACGCAAGTACGACGTTTAATATTCGTCTACTGGAAAGGACATGGGGCGCCCGTGAACAGCTTTCAACAGAAAATCGGATGAGAAAGTCCTCATATATCTTACAGCAGTTATATAATCTAAGAGAGCCTGCAGCTAAGTCCAACAGGAGACTGAAAGGCGGGGATGAAGAGATGGGTGAGCGGCAGCAACTCGGCCTTTAGCTCAGACTTGAGTGCTTTTGTGTACGGATTAGGCAGGTGGGTGCTTCTTCATTATGGCCGGCTGTTTCCGGTCGCGCCTGTTGATGCCTTCATCCATGACGCTCGTCCATCGCGGCTGTCAGGCGACCCTCGCTGAGGCCACCGCGCCGCCCTCTCGCCCGCACCCGCGGCTACGACGTCTGAGGAACGCGCGTCATCACTGACACCAACTGTCCTCGATGACGCGCCCCGTGCACTCATGGCGCGGATCTCGACGCGCACCCGCCCTTCTGCGACCTATATAACCCTCGCCCCGCCATTTTGTCTCCCACTTTTCTGTTTCTGACCCGTTCACGAACTCACGAAACCCCCTCATCATCAACACATACTCACGATGGACCGCGCTACTTCTGTCGTCGCCGCGCTCGAGGCGGGCAAGCTTCCCTCGCAGTCGCAGATCAGTGCTTGGCTTAAGTGGCTCGACGACTCGGGTCTTACTCAGGCGCAGCCCGAGGGGAAGGATGCCTTGAGCTCTCAGGGGCGCGTCCTCTTGAACGATGTCAGGGGAGTGCTTGCAGCGTACCAGACGCTGGGCGAGCGCAAGAACCGTGCGTGGCCACACTTGCTCTCTACTTCCTCCTACTGACGACCCGATCAGACGACGATCTCCTCGAGGAGACCCTCTGGCACCTCAGCCAGGCCGACCTCGCGAACGCTTCCACCTCCACCTCTGGATCCCTCGACACCGACGAGGCAGCGAACGACGCAAGGGCCGCCGCAGGCGCCATGCGTACCATATTGCGAGTCCTTTGGGAGAGCGTCTCCTCCGAGGGCTCCATCCTTGGGCAAGATCTGACCTCGTTCTTCCGTCTTGGCCTCGCCGACGTCGCGGAAGCCATCGAGGGCGCAGCGGGCAGCACGAAGGAGAGTCTTCGCTCAATTGACAAGGAGGTGCAGGAGGGCAAGCGCACGACGCTCGGCCGCGACAAGGAGCGGTTGGAGCAGGAGAAGGATCCGAAGGTTGCGTTCGAACATGGGATGGACACCCTGAAGGACGCTGGTGTCACTGGCATCGGCGCCGTGCAGAGCGCGACCGAGAAGGCGCAGGAGGGTAAGGACAAGGCTAGCGAGCGCTTGACCACCATGTACGACAGGGTATGTGCCTCTTTCTTATGGGGGTATCATCGTTCCTGATCATCTTGCAGATATGCGAACGCGCGCTGAAGGACGAGGAGTACCGCAAAGAGGTCACCACCATCGTCAACGTCATCGAGAAGTGGGTGAACAGCGCCATCGACAGCACCGCCGGCGTCCGCTCCAATAGCCTCTCCTCCTTCGTCGACGACCCCACGCCCGAGCAGCACCTCCACAAAGCCCTCGACGGCGTGCAGAAGCTCCTCGAGCGCTTCGCCGGCGACAAGTCGCTCAACGACCTCTTCTCGAAGACGCGCGTCTGCGCGCGCGACGTGCGCGAGGACGAGAACCTGCGCACGTGGTTCGACCAGTTCTTCGACCACACGCGCAAGGTGTTCACGCAGGAAGGCTACCGGGAGTCTGCGGAGGCGAAGGGCAAGCGGAAGGAGCTGCGCCGCCGCTGGCACGAGATGCGCGACGGCGAGGGCGAGTCGGCGCAGAAGTGGAAGGCGGACTGGGATGCGCTCAGCTCGGAGGCGTCGGAGTACGTCGAGCGGATCGAGCAGGACAAGGACCTGCAGCGTCTGCGTGATGCGCACGCCAAGCTTGGCAAGGACATCGACTCTGGACTGTCCGATGTCAAGCAGGAGGCGGCGGCGAAGGCGCAGAATATCATGGAGCAGGCATCGTGGTTCTGGCACGACATGTTCTCGCACTACGTTCCGAAGGCTTTGAGCATGATGAAGGACATCCCTATCCCTCGGTATGTTTCCACGCCTCACCTTGCATATTTTTCGACACTGATTCCTTTGCAGTACCGAGTACAAGGACGACGATCTCGAATTCGTCCTCGAGAACCTCGACATCTCTAGCCTCAACATCCAGCCCGCGCACATCTTCATCCGCAACATCACCGACGTCGACATGTCTCTCACCGAGAAGTCGACCACCACCGCCGTCGGCACGCTCACGCACATCCGCATGCAAGCGCTCCAGCTCGCCTTCAAGGACATCTCCTTCTGGTCGCGCGCCAAGGACGTTTCCCTCGGTCCTAGCGAGTTCTCCGGCCTCGTTGGCATCACCCTCCCACCCAAGGGCATCGACGTCGACCTGCGCGTGCGCATGATCCCCTCCAATCAGCAGGACGCCCGCGAGGCGCACAAGGGCTTCCACATCATCGAGCACGTCGCGGTGCACGTCGACGAGGACGTCCAGATCGACGTCCGCGACTCGAACCACACCGTCCTCTTCAATGTCTTCAAGCCCGTCGTCCTCATGCGCTTCCGCGACGCGCTCGAGCGCACGCTCGCCGCGCAGCTCCGCGGCCTGCTCGCCTGGGCCGACGGCCTCGCGTTCGACATCGCGAAGCGCGCGGAGGTCTTCCGCGACGCCGGGCTCGGCACCGGCGGCGCGTACGCGGGCGCGGTGTGGAGCGAGATCGGGCGGATGCGCCGCGCGGAGGCGGGCGCGGCGATGCGCGTGACGGGCACGGGCTTCATCGTCGACGCGGAGAATGGGTCGCTCGCGGTCGGCGCGGAGCCGCAGATCTTGAGCGGGGACAAGCACGGGCCGCTCGCGACGGCGAGCGAGCCGCTGAAGGACCGCCTGCGCGACGCGGCGGGAAAGGCGAAGGAGGAGGTCGAGGCGCGGACGGGGACGGACATGGACGTGGACGTGGTGAAGGCGGATGTGCAGGGCGCGAAGGAGCAGGTGGCGGAGGCGTGGGAGGAGGGGAAGGAGCAGTGGCAGTCGTTCCAGCAGAGCGTGGAGAAGAAGGCGGAGCAGGAGAGGAAGAAGGAGGGCTGGAAGTCGAGCGCGTTCGACCTCTAAACTGTTCGCTCGCTCGCCTTCTGGGATGTTGGCCCTTTGATTCTGTGGACCTCCTGACGTGATCTGGATGTGCTGCATACTCACCTCAATAAGTGTACTTGTACGATATAGCATAGTGTACTCTATACAAGCAAGCAAAGTACTGTAGGATTAGTATAGTGAACAATGTTTTCAGCGCCTTCCTCGTCAAGTATTGTGTATTATCTACCGGCCGGTAAATAATACCTTCAAGTGTGACCTTCACCCCTTTCACCTTGGGCCACACACGTCCGGAACAGATGGAAACAGACTTGACGTCTATACGAGAATAAGGAGAGGATACACTAGGTCGTAACGTATTCAGTACAGTCCAAAGCAGAAGATAACAATGGTTATATACACAGCGCAGCGCAGGTCGATCGTCTTATGACAGACCGTGCTGCTCAGAGGTCTCCTCAATGTGACCTTCATCATCCTCCGTCTCTTCCTCCACAGACGTCCATCTCCTCTTCCTCCGCAAACTTCACTCGCCTCCTCCCCCATCGCATCGCGAGCTCCATATTCCCAGCGGCGGATAAGCCTCGCGACGTTGAGGTCCAGAGGCCCATCCTCCCCACGCCTCCGAAGCCGGCTCATCCTCCCCGGCGCCTCAAAGGTCCGCCCATCTCTCACTTCCGCTTGCTCTCCACGTCCGACTCCTCATACAGCGGTTCCGAGACGTACGCGCCACCATTCCCGGTCGGCGAGCTGGGTAGTTGTCAGCGTCTGTTTAATTTCCTTTGATGGACGTCGAACGATGCCGCATCGCGAGGCATTCTGCCTCATGTCCATTAGGATAAAAAGCAATAAAGATCCTACTCACACGCACACATCCTCCCCGCTCTCCGCATGCGGGCCCCCGCCCGGGCGCCAGTAGCCGACGACCTGGCCGACCTTAGCGCAGATGTTGCTCACGACGCCGGCCCCGTCGAGCGCGAGGCGGATGAAGGGCGCGAGTGGGGGGACGAGGAGGTTGATGAAGTCCTGGCCGAGGGGTTAGTGTGCGTGGTGGGGATGGGTGGGGGGAAGTGGGATGGAAGGTGGGATGTGGGTAGTGGGAAGTGGGAAGGGGAAGTCGAGGGGCGATGGGAGGAGGAGCATCTGAGTGAATTTGAAGGCGACAGAAGGGAGCCGGGAAAAGACGAGGGTGAGAGGAAGGAGAGTATGGGAAAGAGGTATAGGGAAAGGGAGCTCACGTCAGGGTGGTAGAAATCCTCTTGCTGGGCAATGTAGTAGAGCCCAGAAAACTGGTCTTTCTGCAGTGTGAGGCGGATAATGATCCTGGTGGCGTGAAGGAGATGGGTGAAGTGATTCAGTTGAGGAAGGGGGTCGTCAACACTTCATTACATTCATGACAGCCCGGACACACACCTTGCAGGCGCAGGAGCGAAGGGTGACAACCGGATGTGGAACTTCTGCGAGCCCTCCAGGTACATAACGTTCTTGTCCGGATGGAACACTGCGTGCATGTCAAGTCAGTGTAAAGCGCGCGAGAGATACAGCCCACGCACCGACGTCGATGATCTCCGCTTCGAGTATGGGGGACATAATTCTGTACCACCTGCGCGCGCGTCAGGTTCTGTCTGCATCGTCTACGGTGCCTCTCGCCCGCTGGATGGTCCCCCTGGCCCAGCGCGCCGATCACCATCGACACTGAACACTCACTGGTACACGCCCAGAATGTTATCCCTGCTCAAGAACCCGGGCTCCACCCTGCAGAGCGGGTGCCGGAAGCCCGCGTTCGGGAGGAAGTACTTGTTCACGGCCGCGCGCTGCACATCTGCGTTCGCCGCCATCGTGAGCGCGTTGAAGACGCCGTGGATGTCCTCGGCTGGGTTCTCCATTGCGAAGGGGTGGTGTCGCGTTGTATGGGTTTCGCGTCGGGTACGGACTCGCGTCGAGTACGAAATTAAGTGTTAAACTAGTAATCAGGGATTCGGAAGTATGTTCAGGTGGTCGTTGATGATTGACGCGCAAGCCAAGCAGCAAGGTCAGGTCAGAAAGGGATGAGGGAGAGAATAGGGAACGAATAAATGCCGGACTGTGACGCGCGCCGCCACCGCCGCGGACATGTTGAATTCACGCGATAGTTGCCTGACGTCATGCATGCGAGCCCCTTCATGATGGGGACGACTTGGTGAGGACTTTGGGGAGTGAGGAAGGTCGAGAGGATGCTCGCCAGGCCTAGTGCCAGACATGTGGTAGGGAGATCGAGGGACAATGCATGTGCGCACGACGAAGACGTCGAAAGGTATGGCCCCTTCAACTCTCAGGCTGTTCATTGAAATGCTTGTAGATATCATACACTTCCTTGCATACATAGTTCAGTCTCTTTCGTCCAGGCCTGTCCCTTCAATCGAGTTTGATAACGACCTTCTCCCCGCTAATCTTGTTATGGCGCAACAAATCGAGCGCGACCGCCGCGCGCTCCTTCAACGTGCCCTCCGCAAAGAGACGTACGGGGTTCGGCTTAATCAGACCCTTCGCGAGGAGGTCGGGGAGGATCTTGGGCATGAGGTTCTCCTTGAGGAAGGTATTGTTCTGCGAGTTCGAGTTAGCAAGCTAGGCGACGGCTAAAAGATTAAATCAGACATACCTGGTACAAAAACGTCCTAACGAGCGCGCGCCGCGCTGTCCCGGGGACGTACTGCTTGAGATGGTCCGGAACGTCGACTGGGAGAGAGCATGAGCGCCCAAAGATCAAATGCAGTACCAACAATCCCACTCACAATAAAACTTTTCCTCCTTCGCGCCCTCCGGCCGCACCTTGTCGCCGCCCTTAATCGGCAGCAAAATCGCAAAGAAGCCGTCGGGGGCAAGCACCCCGCCGATAGCCTTGATGGTCGTCTCGGTCGCGATGCAGTCCACAATGATGTCGACCTTGCCGCCGACATATTTCTCGATATCCTGTGCGAGAGTGGGCGAGCGGTAGTCGAAGACCTCCTTCGCGCCCAAAGCCTTGAGGTGCGCGTGGTGCGCGGGCGACGCGGTGGCGAGGACGTTCGTGTAACCGGCGACGTGCAGGAGCTGAACGGTGTACTGCCCGGAGGACGCGCCTGCGCCGTAGACGAGGATCGCCTTATCGGCGTCCTTGGGTGGGTTCACTGTCTTGCCTTCGTCTTCGGGAGTCAATTTAGTTCGATGTGAAGTATAATAGAGAGTAGAGAACATGAAAACACGAACCTGCGCTACCGGGCACGAGGTGCGGCCACTCGAGCCCGCACTCGCTGAAAAGCGTGTAGAACGCGGTGACGAAGTTGTCCGGGATCGTCGCGGCGCCCTCGAGGGGTACGTTGTCGGGGACCTTGCCGACGACAGAGTAGTGCTGCGTGGTGTACTCCTGCAGCCCGCGCGTGCGCGTCTTGCCAAAGGTGAAGGCGGTGACCTGCGAACACGCATCAGCATTCACGTCCACTTGCTCGTGGCCCCTCAAAGAAAGAGGATACTCACCCTATCTCCCACCTTCAGCCCAGGCACGCCCTCGCCGACCTTCGCAATCGTTCCCGAGGCGCTGAAGCCGAGCACGATGGGCCACTCGTCGACTATATACCCAAGGTCGGACTGGTATGTGTCGAACGGGATGAGCGCGGTGTACTCGACCTTGATGGACACCTCGCCCGGGTTGGGCTCGGGCGTGGGGATGGAGATGACGTCCCAGGAGCCCGGGGAGAGAGCGGCGACCGCGCGATGGGTGGTGGGGAGGGACATGGTTGCGAGTGTATGTGATTGGGTTGAGTTGAGTGTAGGTGTCGAGTGTTTAGTGTTAGAGTAGTCAAGTGATCAAGTGAAGTCGAATGAAGTCAAGCTTGAGAGCTCTTCTTATACTCCTTGTCTCGACGAAAGTTCCAGAAGACTTATCGATGTCGCGGTCGATGAAACAGGTCGTCGATGGATGTCGTCAACGACCAGGTGGGTCTTATATACGTCGTCGCGCATTGCTCGTCGCAGAGCGAGGGGACCAGAGCAACGTCGACAGTGGGCAGAGGCACAGTCAGCGGTTTGTCAGCCTCAGTCAGCATCTTAAATCCTGCGACCTGGCGTAGGGGTGGATGCGCTGGGATGCTTGGGTGGCAAATGAGGATCGGTTGTGCACCCGACGAGGGCGACTAGGTGTATAAGCCTTTATGAACGCGGCGGTGAGCCAGTGCTACTAGGAAGCAGCGATCACCGAAGAAATCGGTCTACATGCCCGTCGTCCATGCGACCAGTATGAGAGATGCCGCGGGACATGTCCGCCCCCAGCTCTGTTCTAGACAGCAGATGACCTTGCGGGGAAGACAAGGGCCAAGTGACATTGCAACCGGAGAAAAGGAAGGAAGAAGCAAAAGCTTCCGTCAATGGATTGCCGTTTTGGGCCAGGCGCCCCTTTCTGCAACGTGCTCGCGATGATCCACGTGGGTTGTCGCAAATGGATGTTGAAATTGCAAGTTGCCTAAAACGGTCGAGCAGTGCTCAATTCGCGGACCTTGTGTGGCCTGGTAGGTGCCCAGCGTGCTGCCTGTTGCGTGTACAGCTTTGGATAGGTACAGGGAAGATGTCGGAGCAAATCATCGACTTTTCAGACGTCGCGGAGGCCGGTGGCTCTGCGGACCGCCCGGACGAGCCTTCTACTGGCAAATCGACGCCTGGGCCCCAGGGTGGCGGCGATTCAGTGAACACGTCGGATGACCGAGGCGAGCCAGAAGACGGCGGCGCCGCATCTCTATGGCGAGAGTGCGGACAGAGTTTTCCGCACGCGGCAGCGCTGCTCGAGCACATAGACCAGGGTGCGTCCATCTTCCTTCCTCATCCAGAACCCCGTTTGTACGGCACGCCGGGTTCCCAAACAGGGTTTCCGCATCCGTGCCGACTCGCTTACCGCCGGCATGAATACATGAATGCATGATATCCCCCTTCGTCCGCGCTGCATATGTAAACTGTTGCTGAACGCACCCCGCCCAGATCACACCGCCCCGGCGGGAAGCAAATACACGTGTGAATGGGCCTCATGCGGGGGGCGTGGCCGTCAACAGGCCTCCCGATCTGCGCTGATATCCCACGTCCGTTCCCACATATCCAAGGGACTTAAGGGCGCCGCCGCACAGGTACGCGCCCTCGTTCTCCTCCGCCCGCCATGTTCATGACGCTCAGATTCGCGCAGTGCACCGAGTGCGAGTGCACGTTCGAGCGCCCGGACTCGCTGCAGCGGCACATGCGCACCGAGCACGGCCAGGCGGGCCTGCGCAGGAGCGGTCGCAAGCGCAAGCGCCCGAACGAAGACACCGGCCGCCCTCTGTCGCCCAACACACACACCTTCTACGCGTTCAGGGTCGACACGGGAAAGCCGCGCGGCAGGCCGCCACGCAGGCACGGCCCTTCTATATACCACAGCGCAGAGCCCGGCTCGTCGACGAGCCCGATGAAGCTCACGTACGTCTCGCTTCCCGACAACGCCTTCCCACCCCCGCAGGCGCAAGCGGAACCTCCTCAGCCCATCCCCGTCGAGCGCTCGCCCGAGATGGTCCGCTACATCCTCATGAAGGCCAAATACCGCTATGCCCTCGAGCAGAACGAGGCGCTCACCAACGAGCTCGAGCTCGCGCGCGCCGAGCTCGAACGCCAGCGCGAGGAGAAGGACTTCGCTCTCGACAAGTTGCTAAATGACGTCTTCGGGTGTGCTCTTCTTCCTTTGTGCCCTTCTTTCCGCTGCGGTCCGCTGACCATCGTCCCCAGGGCCGAAGCAGACGCCTATATCAACCCTGTAGAAATTAAGCGCGCGGAGGAGAAAGTGAGGGCGAGGGACGGCGGGCCGTCTCCCCCTTCGCCACCCCCTGAAGGAGAATTTACGGAGCGGCTTCCCTGGCATAACCCGCCGGAAGATCCATCCGCATCTGGGGCACCGCGCTAGCCTTCCCGCACGCTGGCACCGCACCGGGTCCTCAGTCGATCTCACTCTTGTATATCGCCAACCCGGCGGGCCGGAGGCGACCGATCCACCCCAATTATGATATTCTTCATATCCGCGCGAAAGAGATATTCTACCGACCGCACTCACAACACATCCCCGCCCTCAAGCATCCAGCGAAAGGTGACGCTGATGCGCTCTCCCCTCTCTATCCATTCCGCCCCCTCCCCATCCTCCCTCTCCACATAGTCCGCCCTCTTCCTCTCGATTCCATGCGTCCACCTATACCGCGCGTCCCCCGTCATCACGTACACGCTGCCTTCCGGGAGGTAAACGTCGTACGTGGCGTTCGCGGAATTAGGCCCCTCGCCCGCCACCGGTTTATAGCTCTCGTGCGCCGCGCCCTCTTCCCCCACGTCCCTGAAGCGCATCACGCAGCCGCTGCCGAGCGAGACGCCGATTATGCCGTCCCCATAACGCCTGAGCAGGTCGACGTGCGCGCTGATGCCCTCGCCAGGCGCGTATAAATTGATGATGATCTGCCGGGCGCGCGAAGGGGTCGCTGGGAAAAGAAGTGCGTGTATATTGGGAGGAAGGACGGGCGCGAGCTCGGCGGCCAGTGCGCGGAGGAGGGAGAGCAGGGTGGCGGGGAGGCTAGAAGATGGAGGATATTGAGTCGGGCTGTCTTCCGATCGCGCTGGAGGGTCCGGCGCGCGCTCGAAGAGCATCACTTGATTGTCTTTGGGTTTCCGGAAGTAGGTCTGCTTGCAGAACTCGTAGACATCGCGTGCGAGATCGGCGGGGACGCGAAGGTGGGGATCGAGGAAGAGCCCAGGGATCGGCGGCGGGGTTCGTCGTGCAGGAAGTACGTTGACTCCCTGTCGCGAGTCTACCGCCGGTCGTGCATCTGCGTCTTTCGCTGGCAGTCCGTTTACCGCATCGGCAAGCGATACGTCCTCGTCGAGCTCCAGCTCGCCGTCGAAGAGAGAATCGGGGGACGAGCACGCGCCGCCATCATCCCGCTCCTGATCAGGATCTTGCGTGTTCATTAGGACATCGATCCGACAACTTTGTCCCCCAAATGTTTTCCGTTAATTGTGCGCGATTGATGGGCGCGGAGGACCGCTGTGAATCTGATGGGGGTGGAATGGAGGTGGGCGGCGGGCTGAACGCGCCGCGTGCGGTCCACCTGGCGGGAAGTACTACGATTGAGCACCGAGTCAAATCCCGTAGATTTATGCTCACATTCTTACCTTACTTCTAAGCGAACAGGATGCTACAGGACCCTGAGAGACATTCCGAGACCCACTCAGCGCATGCCGGCGGTTGCGGTCAAAGTCCCGCAAAACTGCCGCCGGGACGTGCCGGCGGCAATGTCAGCCCCACCGTGCGAACGCGAGCGGAAGCAATTGGATGTCCGAATAAGGAAGGTTTTCAGTTGCAAACGGCGGCACCTCTGTCTCGGCGCCCACATTGGCGGCGTAAAACTGACATGCATCCCATTATCGATATGTCCACTCCGAAAACTTATGTGTATCCTTTCGAACAATGTTCAACAGCTAAGGCGGGGTTCAGAGTGGCGGCTCAGGGACGGCAACACCAACTGCGACTGGCACCGGGAATACCGGTCCCGATGCGTTGAAGGAAAAGGGCTGCACTCGTGTGGTCCTGGTCAAAGTAAATTACTACGCGCAGCGACGCTGAGTAAATACCACACGTACCTCTCATCACCGCACGAGTACTGGTCTTCAAGGGTTTTCCCGTGATAGGCGAACTGCATGCATGTTCAGTATTCGCAGGCCTCGAGAAGATGCGCTGGCAGACGCACGTAATACTCGTCGCCTGTCTGGAACATGAAGCTAGTAGCAGAACGGTCAGTTGCGAATATTTTGAAGGCGAAACACTGCTCACTGGTGACCGGGACCATACACGCCCGCCGCCTCGTTCTTGCTGAAGAGTGGCTCTGGTGCCTAGAAAGATATATTGCAGGACTGATTTTGAAGGGGAGCCAAGTAGCTCGTACCTTCGTCCAGCTGGAAGATTGCATTGGGTCAGCGCCAGAGGTCAGCGTTAGCAAGCCGAGTGCCTATGAGAGCATAGATTAGCTATGCTAAGCACGACAGGCGAGTGGTCAGACTCACGTAGTCCACGGTGGAGCAATGAGACGCGGAGTAGACGATCTGCGCGAGAAAGCATAAGTGCGCAAGTTGGTGTGCGAGGATATCCGGTCATACATAGGTCGTTCCGTCATATGTGATTGGCTCCGGGCCCTCCTGAACTGGCGTCGCGGCCGTTTCCTATGAATTTGTTTGTGAGCAGCTTGGAGTGACTCTCATTCCGGGCCACATACCCATGTATACTCCGGGCAGCTTATGATCTGCGCGTCCCCAACAAGCGTCACCGGGTCGCTCATCTGCACAATGTACAGACACTGAGTCCACGGCGTGTCGGTCTCCTGGCCAGAAAATACAAGGTAGCGCACGCCATCGAGCTCGAGGATGCTTCCATCGACCGCCCAGGCGTCGAAGTTGTCGGGGATGAGGGCGCCGGCGTACTCGTAGGTACCGGTGGATGGGTCGGACTCATCTGTTCCTCCGCGTAGGACGTGGAGGCGATGAGTGTTGTCGTCGAAGTTGCCGGCTATAGACAAGACTAAGAAGGGCGGGAAAGATCACCTGACGAAGCGTACCGGCTGCGTAGTATCTGCGAGAGCGTCAGAATTGGGTACGTGAATACACGCACGGTGAAAAAACGTACATATACCAATTACCATCGAGGAACCTGAGAAATACGATGGGCGATCAGCTTGTCTACCTCTGACCGATGACAGTTGCTGGGTCAATCATACCAGAACTCAGGAGCCCTGCCATGACGATGAGCAGACGTTAGGGACATTCGCCGCTGTTTCTGCGACGCACCAGAGGTCGAAATCCCTGGAACATGTTAGCCAAATGCCGAGGAAGAACGAATAGACGTAGACTCACCTCCCCTCCGTATCATCCGTGAACAGGATGATCTTGTCCGCCGTATGTAGCCCTTCAACCGTGTCCGCCTTCCACATGCTGATATCCGTGTTTTGCGTCGAAGTCATATAGAACGTCCCATTGATCTGACGCATGCAGGGATCGGCGCCCTGGGGGATGGCGATGAGCATGCGCGGTGATGTCGACGAGGACGCGCGCCGACGTCGGTGAGGTACGCGAAGGGGCGATGATCAGAGACAGAAGAACCTACTTTAGCCTGGTTGATGGGGTTGGTAAAGGTGCCTTCCTGCCGAGGCACGAAGCGGGCAGAAACGGCTACCAGAAGGCCAGCGGCCAGGAAGTGAAGTAGTGCCCTCATCATCGTGCTCGTGAGCTCCGTTGCTCTAGGCTGCTTCGCGATACCAGGTAGCGCTGCCGTATATAAGGCGCACCTCTCTTCAAGGTAGCATGCGTACGCGCTCTAGGCGGGCCGTATATAGAAGCCAGCTGACGATAGAACGGCATGCAAACGTACGACGGACCGCGATAGAAGGTATCCTCGCGTGCAGCAGAGAGGCATCAGAGAACGGTGAAGGCGAACTTACGCCGGTAACCTGAAGTACGACTGTGGATGGAGCTCATATCCCAAGAGCTGGAGGTGTTGAACTCAATTCAGTTCGACGCTCTACATCACGCCGATCGCATCCCAGAGGCTTCGGTGGAAAAACAGAGCAAGCAATCTGGTATTTTCTGCTGGTGAGCAGAGTGGGCGGAGACTTCGAGGACGCTGTCCATCTGGCATAGGAAGCCTCTGTTATCTCGGAAGCTGGGTGTCATAGCGAACGTCCCCGCTGAGCATGGTTGTCAGTCCGCGGCAGAGGAAGAAGACAGGAGAGAGAGTCGACGGTCGCTCAGGATATGATTTGGGTTCGAACCAGGGGCCAGGGCGTTGGTGCCGATGGAGGACCGAAGCAAGGCGTCCGCGCCGCTCCCGGCGCTCCGGCGCCCGCCATTGTTAATTCTTTGGATCAGTCATGTGATATGCTTTACAACAAGCTGCCACGTGCGCGCCACTGTTGTCCAAGCCCATCACCATCGTCGAACTTCAGCCCGGCGCCCGCTGAATAGATGGCTGCCGAGTCAGCTTCCGATCTCTCGCAAACTCGCTGCTTCTATTTGGAGCTTTCTTATCGACCCTTGCGACAGTGAAAATAATAACGCCAAGAATCTTAACAGTCCATGTCAATGATTGCGCCTGCGCCTTCGAACAATAGAGATTGTTACCTGGAAGCTCCTTCGACGAACATCGTTGAAAGCCTCAGAGACTCTGTTAGCCGACCCAGCGCGCGATCGCAGCCCGCACGCGTGAAGCCCCTCGCCAAAGCGTGCGCCACACACTTTGATTAGGTGCAATGTTTTCCCGCAGATCATCTCAACAGTCAAGATCTGGCAGGTTTGGCTCCGTCGTCAAATTACACCCCTTACCCCGTCTTTCCCTCTTGACACATGTCGTGACTTCTTGGAGACCGGCGCCTGCGTTTGTTTTGGGGCCCTCCCTCCTTATAAACCTTGGTCGTTGATCTTCTGTTTCCGGTTTTGACCCCACGATCTTCGACCTCGACGGACGAGCATCGACCATGGCTGTATCGGAACTTGCAGCGAAGGCCGCTAACTCGTGCGTCCCCATCGCTTCTCCTCATGCTCGTCTCTGACGCACGGCCAGCTTCGGGGGAATGCTCCTCGGCACGTACTTTAACTTGATTCTGTGGGGAGTGTCCATCACCCAGACGTATCTCTATTTCGGCGTGTACAGTGAGTACTCAACTGTCCTGGCGCCGTAGCTTCATGGCCTAACGCGAATTCAGAGCGGTACGAATGACTCTGAACCGATGGCCTTCATATGCTTACTCGATCGCGAAGGGATCGCATGTTCATCCGAATCTTCGTGCGTCATCTTCCCTCACTCCCCCTCAGCGATTGACAGCTCCTCAGGTCGGATTCGTTTTCCTCGCGGACTCTGTACAGGCCGTCTTCACCATGATCTACATGTACCAGACCCTCATTTCGCGCTTCGGTACGCTGACTTACCGTCCACTCCACCCCCCTCCCCCCACCCTCTTACTGACAAGCATGGCCTTTCAGGCGAGGAGAAAGCGTTGAACGTCGCTACGTGGGTGTTCTCTACAGACCCTGCCCTCACGGTGCGTGTCATCGCAATCTCCCTTCGCACACAACCTCATGTCATTCCAAGGGCATTATTGGAGGGTGTATACAGCTATTCTTTGCATGGTGCGTAGTTTGATGCCCCTTCGGGCGCTATCGCTGAACGTGAAGCAGGAGAATATTCGTCCTCACGAAGAGCTGGCTCTTGCTATGCACCGTCGCGCTATTCTCGATCGGGACGCTGCGTGCGTCGTCCACACCCCACCTCGGTTGCCTCTACTCACGGCATTTCTCCCAGTTGCTGGCATCGGCACCGGGATCGCCGCGCATATTGTCCCCGAGTTCGCCAACTTCCAGGAGTTCAAACCCGTCGTCATCATCTGTGCGTTTCTCCCTAACGATGGATCGCATCTTTCTGACCGAATATTGCAGGGCTCGCCGCATCGGCAGCAGCCGATATCCTGATCGCGGTTACGCTGGCATGGTACCTGGTCAGTAACCCTCCGCTCCTCGCGCCCTTCCTCACCGCGCGCCTCCTTCTGAACGCGCATACCTTCTGACGCCCCTCACAACAGCGGAACCACAAGACAGGATTCGAGTCGACGGACAACTACATCGACCGCCTGATCAAGATGACCGTGCAGACCGGCATGGTAACTGCTGTGTGGGCGTAAGTCTCCCCGCCTACCAACGAGTGCCTGACTTGACCTCACATCTCACTCGCAGAACAATTGACTTGTTGCTTTTCTTGTTGGATGTAAGTATTCCGATCCCTCTTATCAGATCACTAAACTAACGCCCGCAAGCAGAACAGCGGCAAGTGCGTTGTGTGCATATTTTCTAAGAAGGGGACCGATGTGACGACCCCTCCCTCCTCAACAGCCATCTCATCTTCAACTTCTGCTTGGCGAAGCTGTACACGAACTCCCTCATGTCGTCGCTCAACTCGCGCGGCGGATGGGGGTACAGCAGTCAGTCGCAGAGTACGCCTGCGATATCGAGCGGGGCGAAGACGTTCTCTGGTGGGAGGACGGTGAGCGGACTCGATCCTTCTTCCAAAAATCGCGCTTATAGATAATTAGCAGGTACAAGTCGGGCAGACGACGCTCACGCGTCCGGAGGTATGCCTTCCAACACATGCAGTTGTCTTTGGGATCTGACCAACCTTGAACGCAGGTCTTCGTACAGGTCGAATCGCACGAGATGATCGACAGGGGAGGCTCGCGTTCATCCTTTGACTCTACTTGGACACGGCAGAAGTCATGAGCGTGCTTCTGCGGCCATGCCTCGTCCCATACAAGATAGACGTATATCCTCACCGTATACCTGTACAACAACCGGACGATACTAATCCTTCGTCGGTCTTTCCACTGTCCTCGTCCGTCAAGTCGTCCGCTCCAACGAATGGACTCTCGAAGTGCAACCTGCAACCTCCGCCCGCAAGCTGCCTGTTACATACCCGCTGCATCCCTTTCGGCTCGCTTGGGACGAGCGCGCGGAGGCGCGGTGACCTGCGCAGGGGATCATCGCGCAGGGGACGAGGGGGCAGGTGGTTTGCCCTCGGTCCCGAGGCAATCGTTGTTGTGGATGTGTGTTCCGCCGTGCACCAGAAGGGCTACATCCGTGATGCGACGGCGTCGCGCCTTTCACGAGTAACGGGGTTATCAAAGATGGAAGATGGGAACCACATGTTCGCACTTGACAAAACTTCGTTCGCACGAATCGCCGACTTCTCAAGCCCCGTGCGGTTATGAGCTTTTATGTACATGGTGACGAGCATGGTCCTATAAGGACCTGCTGTCACGGAATCGTACCATCGTATCGGCTATATCTCTCAACGTCAAGGAGGGTACAGGAGAGTCAGAGAGGGCTGGGAGGGTACCCGAATGGGCTATGGATTTCCTCTGCCGGGGCGTCGATCCAGGGACGGTGGCGTGCAGGGTAGGTAGGACAGCTGATTCGAATAGGGCTTGTATCAGAACCTTGGTGAGTATCAGCTATAGATCCTGTTCGATTTGTTTCGTATGAAGCGAGCCTCCGAGGAGATACTCTTCTACGCAGAATATCTGCTTGCACCCGCGCAACCGCACACCCGGTGAGTCGTACTCATCTGTCGCGATCAAGGACAAGCGACTCGATTGGTTGTGAGCAACCGCAACCCATGCCTTTCGAGAAACATATATATTGCCCCTGCCCTGTTGGATCCTCTGTTGTGCGGTGGTGAGAAATAAAGCCTACTGGTCGATGTTGCAACGTTGAACTTCACAAAGCCTTCCTAATTGGGCGCAGTAGCACGTGCGGCGCTTGAGGGCAAGGCAAGTCGCGGCGTTCTGGATCGGGCAGAGTTCCATCGCGTTGGTCCCGACTGTCATTCTCTCGCTCTATAGCTTCCTCTCTCACTTCTCGCCGAAGCCGACAGACTCGCCCTTTAGCAAAGCGTACTTCAGATCCCAAGACGTATCCACCACCTCCGGAGCACCTCTCTAGATCTCCCCTCGCTCTTTCGAACAAGCCTACCGCCATACCTTGGCGCTTCCCGCTTAACAGAAAGCACTACGATCTCTTAGCCGACCCCTCTGAAGTACTCAGCTATGCGCGTCAAGCCGTCTATGCACAATCGTCAGGCTCGTGCTCCGAAGCCGTACAGCAGGCCTACTCAACTCAATCCCTCCACCGACTCCTTCTGCGACTCTCCCGCTGCATCAAAATCCCGCACTGGGACCAGCTGGACGCCCGCTTCCACATCCCAAATCTTCTCGCAGCAAACTACCTCCGATATCAACCCCTCTTCCGACGCGTGGAACGAGGAAATCGCAGCCTTCACCTCCGATTGGCCAGGATTGGACGAGTCCTACTCTGCCTCGCCATCCTCTCCTCAAATCGCGAAAGACTATATCCCGCCATCTGTCGACGAGCTAGACACATTGCTCCGACCGCTATCCCTCTCGTCACCGAACGAAGACGACGCTTCGCTCAGAAGCGCATTCCCTCCTCCGTCCTCTACGGCAGTTACTCTCCCGCCTTGCTTCGTGCCTGCGACGAGCACAACGATGCCCCTAGTACGCAAGTCCGCTTTCCCGCCATACATGAGCAAGCCACACCCACCCACGCCTGTGAATGGGGTCGCCTCGTCCGCCATCCCATCTGCCCCTCCGTCGACGCTGTCTTCTACGAGCGACCAGATTGCGTCTACCATGCTGACTCTCGAGAACGTGGGGAAGATGCCCTCGCTCGATCGCGCAGACTCGGATGTCACCCTCGTCGATGGCACCAGCGACAAGGGCGAGATGACGAAGGCCGCGTTGGCGTCGAAGATCGTGGATGCGCTTACTGGACCGTCTGCGGATACTCTCCCTGGCGCATCCGTGGATGCATTTACCCGCGTATCAGACGGGACCAGTGACATGGAGGTCGACGGCGGGAAGGCGATGGACGTAGATGGCGGGAAGGCAATGGATGGCAAGGCGACGCAGAGCGCCATACTTGGCACTTTTGCGGCGACACTGGCGCTGCAGATCGCAGCTGCTGGGATGGCGAGGGCGATGAGCGGGTGAGGTGGATGTACGCAACTTACTATGATTTTCTTTCTTTTTCTCTATCCTTCATTCCCTCTCGTTCCATCATCTCCTTGTCCTCTCCCATTTTCATCAATCTACTCTCTTCCACCAGACGAACGCACAGCCCATCCGGCAACTGCCCACACCTTCACTTGCCTACTTATCACCCTTCTTTTGCACTTCTCCCCATATAACATTGTTATACCACTCTCAGGATTCATGCTACACAGATCTCATTACATGTATACTAAGTCTACTTCATTATTCTATGAACTCGTTGGCCTTTTAGCGTACATGAGAAGGGATCTGATTCAACGCACGCTGGGGATGTCGAACTTCTCGGAATATGCCGAGGCCGCACGTGCTCAGGTTCAGTGGTCCAACAAGGTAGATCCCATAAGTACCATGACCGTCCCCCTTCGCCTTGAGACCAGTTCGGACAATTAGTTCCATTCTGAACATTGAACTCTGCATTGGGGTCTGCGCCAAAGCCAATACACTAAAACCAAATGATAAGGAAGCACGCGAATAGGTTACACATTGCTTGAGTCCGTCTAACAATTCAAAGTCTATACCACCACCTCCCTTGCCTATATCACCTCCGCCATCCCCGCCGTCATCACGACCACGCTCATCGCTCCGGGGTCTGGCGGCAAGTTTCCGTTGTCGCCCACATACGTCGCCCTGCCCAGCTTCGCCGTCAACTTCGCCGTCCCCTCCCCGCCCTCCTTGCACGCCTTCGCGACCTCCGCGAAGCTGCTCGCCGTGCCCAGCGCGTCGACGAAGGGGATCAGCGCATCCATCACCGTCCGATGACCTACACGCGCCGCCGTGCTCTGCTTCAGCGTCTCAATCGCCGCCGACGCCGTCGCGCCCCAGAACGGCAGGTCCACAGCCGTCTGCGGCCCCTCGCTCGCGACCTTCCGCACTTCCGCCGTCAGCGCCGCGAGGAAGATCGAGAAGATCGCGCCGAGCGTGCCCCCGCACGTATCGTCGATCAGCTCCGTCAGCGCGCGTAACACGCCCACCAGATCGCCGTCCGCGCCCAGGCCCGCGTCGAGGGACGCAAGCACGGCCTTCGCGCCGTTCGCGCACGTCTCGCCGCAGTCGCCGTCGCCGACGATCGTGTCCCAGCGCGTGAGGTCGGGCTCGGCGGCGAGGACGGCCTGCGCGGCCGCGCGCATGATGCGCTGGAGCGCGGTCGGGTCGACGCGGAGGGTGGGGGCGGCGTGCCCGTTGACCTGCGGTGCGGAGGTGCCGTTGACGTGCTTCCCGTCGGCGGCAAGGTCAATGAACTTCTCTTCTCGTGTGCGAGACGCCAGATGCGGCGGAGCAGGGTAGACATTGCCGGAGGGCCAAGCGATGGTGCCGTGCGGCGCGTCGAGGAAGGCGAGAAGCTCGTCGACGGAGGTAGAGGTGGTCTTCGACGCGGAGGTCGAGGCGGTGGCAGTAGCGGCGGTAGTCTTCGCGATGTGCGAAAGGTTGAGAAGGGAGAGGGAGAAGCCGTATGCGTTGAGTGTGGTGAGGAAGGAGCCGCAGAAGACGCGAGCTGGGACGATGCCGGCGGCCTTGAGCTGAAGGAGCGTCTCGTCGACAACCGCGTACATCTCAAGCGTGCTGAGCCCGCCCATGTTGTTGACGAGAAGCACGATGGAGTCTTCCTTGTCGAAAGGCACGAACGCGCGCTCCATATCCTCCTTATCCAGGAGGAGCTTGAGCATGCGTGCAATGAGTTCGCTCGAGTTTGGCTGAGGCTTCACGACGAACACTCCCTATAGCCTCGTTAATAACGCAGCCCAGAGAAGTAGCACTATACTCACCGGCTCGTTGTGCAACCCCAGACCGATCTCCACAACATCATCAGGTATGGGTGCCTTGTCTCCACGCCCCGGAACGTGGCAATGTCCCATCGTGCAGCCGATAGAGGCGACGGCGCTGGTGACGGCGCGACCGAGGTTGAGGACATCCTCGAACTTCCACTTGGCCTCTGACGCGGCTCCGAGGATCTTACAGACTGTACTAGTAATGAGCGAATGACGTGATAGTCAGACTGATCGACGCACCAAGCATCGTCCCAGCCATTGCTCTCCTTCCCACAAGCGCGCCCTTCGTGCGCCCTACGGAGACATCGTCGCCGACAGGCAATATTGCGATATTCGAGATGCCGTCTGCGCGTGCTTGCTGGCACGCAAGGCCAAAGTGGAGGTTGTCGCCGGTGTCTGGGGAATGTGTCAGATGAAGCGAAAGGCGTGAGCGAGCAATACGCACAGTTCGTGATAATCAGGATGGTGCCGTTCGTGCTCGGGCTCGCCTTCACAGCGCCGTACACCTGGCGGGCGCTGGGGCTGGCGAAGATGTCACCGCTGACGGCGCCAGTCAAAAGACCCCGTCCAGTGAAGCCCGCAAAACCTGGCTCATGGCCTGCGCCTCCACCGGATATCAATCTGCTCAAAAATAAGATCGCGTCCCGGTACAAGGTCGAGCACAACGTACGTGACTTTGTCGGTATCGTGCGCCGCATCAATAACCGTCCGAATCGAGGGTATGAGCGACAACGATGGATGCGAAGCTACGACACCCTGCAGGCATCGCACGACAAGCGTAGTATGGTCGTCGAAGACGTGGCGGTCCATGTCGAGCGCGTGTGAGAGTGGGCGGCAATGGCGTGTGCGGCGGCGAACAGTAGACACGGAACTTATGAGGGCGCACCACCATAATGACTATCGCCGCGTACACGGGGGCGCTGAGGAGGTCAGGCGCGATGGCCCCGTGAATGCACCCATAACTCCGCGCCTAAGTCCTATGCGCTTCGCTGGTCGGGTGAGCAGGGGCGGTTTGCATGTCGGGTACATGGGACCTGTGTGATCGGACGGTGTTAAGGGAGTGGATGTAATTGTGAGACTGGGCGGCCGCCGCGAAGAGGAGGTAAACGAACCAGGTCGGATGCGGGGGATGAGGTGAGACATATCGATGCGGCAATCTAAGCGCTATCGCCTTCGCAAGCTCGCCTTTGCGTTGTCGTTCACGAGTGTACGCTTTCTTGCCTCTTTCCTGCACTGTGCAGGTCCGGAAACATGGATGTGGGTTGAGAGGGCGGCAACGGAATTGTACCATGGGGCATTGATCCGGGGCCGATCATTGCTTTCCTTCCGGCTTCCCCTTGTCCGCTCCGGTCTTTTGGGCCCAAAACGGCAAGTTCAACCTCGAACAAACCGACTCCCCTTCCCCACCTCCGCACGTGCCCTGAACGAACTGTGAGAAAAACCGGAGACAGGATCGGAATTATATGATCCCCACCTGAGAGGCGACTTGGTGCGCATCGAAGCAGCCGATACCGTGCTGTACTGTTTAGCAATGGGGTAGGGGTGTTTGACAGAGAAAGGATGGACTTGGAGTGACGAGTCTCGTGGTGGGCGAAGACGCGTATAAAGCGTGTTGGGCCTCGAACGCAGCCCCGCAGCGCAGCCCCGCATCCCCAGACTACCCCCATAGCACCCCGCAATGTCCTCCGTAGTCGAAGCAGGCGCGCTATCTGGTCTGTCGGCAGACCCGAAGGTGCCCGCGAAGGGCGCCATCGACGTGAGTGAATAGTATACATTTGATGAGCGCGACATGAATGCCTCGCAGCCCGAGATTGAGAAGCTTGCTGTGAACACAGTACGCGTCCTCGGCGCAGACCTGACACAGGCGGTGAGTTATCTGGCAGAAGGACATCGAGAAGAACCATTACTCATACCCACCCAGTTCAAGGGTGGCCACCCCGGTACCGTCATGGGCGCCGCCGCCATCGGAGTCGCCCTCTGGCGGTATCAAATGCGCTACAACCCAAAGAACCCCGACTGGTTCAACCGTGACCGCTTTGTCCTCAGCGCCGGACACGCTTGTCTTTGGCAGTACATCCACCTTCACCTCGCCGGGTACGATGCCTGGACAATTGACGCGCTCAAGCAATACCACAACCCTGACTTCGGTGTACGTCTCTTGTATACCACCGCCTACAATCCGGCCAACTCACCTCCGCACAGATCGCCGCCGGTCACCCCGAGATTGAGTTCCCCGGTATCGAGCTCACGACGGGTCTGCTCGGTCAGGGCGTCGCCAACGCCCTCGGCCTCGCCATCGCCTCCAAAAACCTCGCCGCCACATACAACAAGCCCTCGTACCCCGTCGTCGACAACAAGATCTGGTGCTTCGTCGGCGACGGCTGCCTCCAGGAGGGCGTCGGGCAGGAGGCACTTTCTCTCGCCGGCCACCTCCGCCTTGACAACCTTATCGTCATCTACGACGACAACTCGGTGACCGTCGACGGCAGCATCGCGACATGCTTCACGGACGACACGTCCGCGAAGGTGAAGGCGATGGGTTTCAACGTGCTCGAGGTGTACGACGGAACGAATGACCTGACGGCGATCATCAAGGCGATGGACGAGGCGAAGGCGACGCGGGGCAAGCCGAGCTTCATTCATATCCGCACTATCATTGGCTTTGGGAGCCGCAAGCAGAATACGGGCGCGGCGCACGGTGCAGCGCTCGGCGAAGATGAGGTGTCGTACGTGAAGCAGCTCTTTGGCTTTGACCCGGCGAAGCGCTTCGTCATTCCCGACGAGGTGTACGGTGCGTCTGGATTGTATGTCGTCCCCGAGGACCAGCTTGTTGACCAGCCTTTCCAGACTACTTCCGCCCCGTCATCCAGCGCGGCGCCGATGACGAGGCCGCCTGGAACGCCATGTTCGCGCAGTATGCCAAAGCGCACCCCGCCGAGCACGCTGAGCTCACCCAGCGCCTGACCGGCACACTCCCCGACGGTTGGAAGAACGACCTCCCACCAAAGAGCGCTCTGCCCACCTCCGCGCAGGCGACGCGCAAGTCCTCTGGGATCGCTGTGCAGGCGTTGGTCCCGAAGTACAAGCACTTCATTGCGGGGTCCGCCGACCTGATGGAATCGACGTTCGTAAACTTCAAGGGGCAGGTCGAGTTCCAAAGCGTGCGTGTTTCCTTCGCGTGGGCTTGAGCGGCAAGCTGACGACTGCAACAGCCCGACACTGGATTTGGTGACTACTCTGGACGGCAGCTTCGCTACGGCATCCGTGAGTTCGCGATGGTCGGGGCTGCAAATGGGATGAACGCGTACCAGAACGGGATGATTATCCCGTGAGTCCCTTCTATGTTTGCCCAGGCCGTGTCCGACTGACGACCGACAGGATCTGCTCGTCGTACTTGGCCTTCTGGCAGTACGCCATGTCTGCATGCCGCTTGGGCGCGCTCATGGGCGTCCGCTTCATCGGCCTTGGCACCCACGACTCCATCGGTGTCGGCGAGGACGGCCCCACGCACCAATCCGTCGCGTAAGTGCATATACCCCGCCAACTCGTCGTTCCTCGCTGACACGCCCTCCCAGCCTCGCCGCCTTCTTCCGCGCTCTCCCCAACTTCAACCTCATCCGTCCCGCGGACGCCGAAGAGGTCCTCGGGGCCTGGGAGGTCGCCCTCGACGCGAAGCACACGCCCACTCTCATGACCCTCTCGCGCCAGGGCGTGCCCCTCCTCGAGCACTCCGACCGCGCCAAGGTGCACAAGGGCGCGTACCCCATCTTCGCCAACTACGACGAGAGCAGCGCGGACCCCGAGCTCGTCCTCATCGCCACCGGGTCCGAGGTCTGGCGCGCGGTCGAAGCGGCGAAGAAGCTCGCGCCGCTGCGCACGCGCGTCGTGAGCATGCCCATCCAGTCGGTGTTCGACCGGCAGCCCGCGGAGTACCGGCGCGCGACGCTGGCGACCGGGAAGGCGCTGGTGGTGGCGATTGAGCCGTGGGCGTCGTATGGTTGGGCGCGCTACGCGCACGCGTCGATGAGCATGCATACGTTCGGGTTGAGCGCACCGCAGGAGACGCTGTACGAGCTCTTCGGGTACGGCATCGACACCATCGTGGATAAAGTGTCGAAGTTCGTCGAGAGCAAGAGGGTGGATGGGGAGATCGTGTTGCCGGGGGTTGGAGAGTTTGAGGAGCTCTTGTTGGGGTACGCGAAGAAGCATGCTGGGCCTGAGCTGGGATTGCATTGAGATTCGAAACGAATGTAGCATTATAACTTAGCGTACGCGTATGCATCTTGTATTCTTAACATACTTTTCATATCGAGGAGCCTTGTCGAGCCAAGGATCAATTGAGTACATCGTATCTTCGTCGGCTGACTCTTCCAAGTCCTGAGTTCGTGAGCACATGAAGAGCAGCAAAGCGGCGGAGGGTGAGGTGGAGCGCGCAATTTATGGGTCGAAGCACGATCTGAGTACGAGAGAAACGTGCTTGAGCTACTGCCATCGCGCGGTCGCGTCCTGTGCTCAAGTTGGGGTGCCAAAAGCTTCATCACGTCGTGGTAGCCCGTCACGTTCTTCCTCCATGACATTATCCATTCCTCGGAGTGCTGAGTAAGTCTGCTAGAGGCTCTTGCACTATGAAAATATTGAGAACAATACACGTCGTTGTCATGATGAAAGTAGAAGACAAGCTGGGAAAGTACAAAGGCTACTACATTCGGAAGCCATCACCGAAGTGCCCACAAGCGCCCACTACTATGGTCCAGCGTTAAAATCAGTCTTGGCAGTCTATCTTGCGCTCCCTGGGTACACCAAGTCTAGGCGCGATTGTGCGTACTAGTTGAAGCAGGAGAACTAGTAGCGCGGAGCATGCATACACTGGAGTGACTGGACGTGTCGCCAACGTCTGATTCCATGTTGCCCTCGTTCCCTAGTATCCTCATCTCACGAACACCTTCTTCCCCTTCAATGGCCTCGCTGCGCCCACCCGCCCCGTCTCCTGCTGGTACATCCGATATGCTTCACGCATATGGTCGGGCGTCAAAGGCCCCGTATCGCCGCGGCGACGTTGCACAGCTCGAGCTGGATGGGGCGTCAGTAAGTTGCAAAGAACGAGCGACGATCCGCAGAAGCGCAGGTTGACGAGATATCGCGAGCCATCGCATATGACGGTGCGCACGAATGTGTCCCTTTCCCCCCTCAAACAGGTATAGCGCATACAATGATCAACCACTCACCCTTCTCCACAATCTCCCCCACGAACACCTTCGCGAAACCCGCCACAATCTGCGCGACCGGCTGCGAGACCTGCTGACCGACAGTCTGCTGGATGACCTTCCGCACGGCTTGCTTCGGGAGCGCGTGCCGGCGGTAGGCCTCGAAACGGTCGTACTGCTCAGGCGAAAACTCGTCCATGAGTACTCTGAAGTTGGTGGTAAGTATGTGTTGTTCACTCGAGAGGATACCTTTGCGGCAAGGTGGGAGCGGAAAAGATCCTCTGGACGGGAACAGGGAACAATGCCCTTGGGCGTGGATACCAATCCGAAGAAGAGAACCAGCCACTCACTTCAGGTTATCCTTGCTCTGGCTCATGAACGTCTGCTGCGCCGTGAAATCCGCATCCGTCATCGCAGGCAGCAGCTCATCGTCCACATCCCCATCTTCACCACCAGGTACGGGCGGTGGCGGCATTCCATTCACGCCAGGGATGATCCCCGTCATGCTCCCGCCAGCACCAGCGGTTATACCGCCAGAAGACATCGTCGGCATACTCGCACTCGCCGCCATCCCCGCCCCCGCCATACTCCCGCTCGGCAGCACATTCAGATTCGGCGCAGACGCCGCCGCCGGCATCTCCTCGTCCTCGTCATCGTCGTTGTCCATGCTGATCAGGCCCGTCGTGTCCAAGCCCGGTATTGAAGACGCCCCGGCGTTCAAGTTCGACGAGGAGCCCGATGTGCCCTGTGCACCAAGGTACGTCGGCTGCGAGGACGAGGACGCAAAGGAGGAGGAGGGCTGGGCGCCAAAGTAGGATGGCTGTGTGGACGAAGAGGCAAGGTCGTTGCGGGAGAGGGAGCCTTGAAGGGCGCTGGGCGTGCCTGCGCGCGGGGGGTCGTCGTTGGCCCAGTGAACTTGAAAGGTAGAGCTGGAGAAGGAGGGGCTGGTCCTGGGAGTGCCTGTTGAGAGAGAATGAGCATCTGAAGTGGAGTATGACCGGAATGGGATGGAGAGGGTGGATATGCGAAGGGGATTGAGACCATTGCGGCGCGATCGTGGTGTGCAAGGGCTTCGGTCCTGTCGCTGCAAGTCCTCAAACATGACGCACCTCTTCCAGGCGTCCCCAGAGTTGCCCCCCTCGGCTTCCTCGCTCGCGATCCCCTCGGCCGCCCTCGCGGATTAGGCGGAACTGGGTGATTGGGAGTAGTGGGCGCTGCATTTTGCTGAAAGTAGGATTCGGACATGGTGCTTGCTTAGGAAGGTTGCTTCTGCGCCAGTGTACTGTATATCCCAGTACAGGTTACGATGTCTCTATGCGCGCGGATTGATCAGAGGAACGCGGTGGTAGGAAGCAAGTTGTCGAGCCTCGAGCAAGGCGCGTTGACGGTTGGATCTGAGATGTAATCGGTCCGGATGCCGGATGACGCACCGAAGGGAAGCCATGTGCGCTGCACGTGCCGCATGTTGAACTTCGTAATTCACACATTTTCTTGCCTGCACGGTGCCGCGTCACGATTAAGATTCGGGAATTAGGTCACTCGATCCATGGAATGGAGCTATTTTTCCCGTATGCAAGAGTCTATAGACATGCACTCAAAGCAAATCAACCACACCCCTTGAAGACGACAGCACACCAACCACCTTGCTCTCCAAGTCAAGAATACCTCCACCCCTGGTCGCAACCAGATCACCGCTCCCTTTGACCCCGAGAAGCTGGCGTATATTTGTTGTCGCCATTGCAAGAGCCTGTGTCTGAGTGATTCGACCGCCGCTTTCCAACGCAGCCTGACGAGTCGATTCAGCCATGCTTCACTTGCACAGGGGATAAAGGACCGCTCACCCAAGCAGTGTCGAAGCGCAAATTCCTGACCGCCCACTCACCGAGCTGGTCGCCGCTGATACCTTGCGGACCAATACCTACGGTCACGCCGGCCTCCAGCAAACGGATAATGTTGGTATCGTTCGTCAGTGGTGGGCCCGGCAGTCTATGAAAATTTTGTTAGCATACGACCCTGTTCACTGCCGCTGCCGCATGACGTAATCAAAGCAGACTCACATCCTCCTCTTCTCCCAGCTATACGGGAACGCCCTTGGGCTGATCACAATCACGCCAACATTCGCACGCGCAAGCTCGGGTGCCAGTAAATGCGCCTCCGCCCCGCCGATGATGGTCATCTTCAAGTGCGCCCGGATCGCGTGCTCGACTTCGCGCTTCAGCGCAATGAGCGTCGCAATAACGTCCGCGTTGTCTGCGTGTACGACGAGCGGCATTGTTCCCTGCGATGTGATAATACGCGTTAGAAAAATATCTCTGTCTCGAGGAGGGAGTCACGAGGTGATACGCACCTGCACGACACTCGCCGCAAAATCATTCCTCTTACCCGCCGGTGGCAGCAGTAACTTCCTCAGCGCTGCGATCTGCGTGCTGACGCTAGTCGAGCCGCTCATACTTATCCGAACATGCAGCGCCACCGCATCCTTCACGATAGCACCTTTCTCTAGCTTGCCCTCAGCGCCTGTCGAGAATGCCACGCTGAAGCCAGCGATGAGGGTGCTCGACTCCGGCGCGGTGATGGCGTCGGTGACGCCGGAGCGGTACGCCAGCCTATACGGATGGGTCAATCTATCGGGCCCCGGAAACAAAGGCCTACACAACCGCACACTCACCAAGCATTCCTCGTCCCGAACATCAGCCCATCCACCGCGCGCACTACCTCGCCGGCCACCGGCGCGTCCGACGTCAACACATCCAGTACCTCCCCATCCTTCGTGCTCGCCTCCATAGTGATCTCTTGTAGCCCCAGCGACGAGCCGATCGTCGTCAGCCCCGGTGAGATCCAGCCGCCCGCTAGGTCCACGACTTCCACCTCCTCCGCATCCATGCTGTTGCCGCTGACATACTCGCGACACGCCCCCACATACAAGACCTCCCCCGCCTCCGCAACGACGGAGAAAAGCACCTCCCTGCCAGCTGTCTCCCCCGGAGCCGCTGATTTCATAGTGGTCTTCATGTCACCTTCCGTCACCATGCCCTTCACGTTTGTAAATACCACCTTGTGCCCAGGCCTAAGGCGCTTCACCGGCTCCAGGGGTGGCAGCCCCTCGTACTTGACCGCTTGCTCCGCCTCGCGGGTGAAGTCTGGCGTGCTGGGTGGTCCGGTGGCGCGCTCGGGGGCCTTGGGCGAGACGTGCGGGTCCTTGAGTTGCGGGATGCCGTCGACGAATACATGAACAGGCGTTGCGCCGAGCTGCAAGGGGTGCGAGTCCCAGAGAACGATATCTAGCGAGAACTCCCGCGTCAGCATCTTCCTTCCTCAACGCCCCGCTCCTTGATCAACCCCACTCTCCCAACCACGCCCAAAGCACGCTCACTCACCCGCATCCCACCCCACCTTAACATATCCCACCCGATGGTCCATCCCCAGCACCTCCGCCGCCGTCGACGTCACGCTCGCCAGCGCCACGTCCGCCGGTAGCCCGTAGTAGTGCGCCTGCTGCGCCTCGTGAAGGAGGTAGCGCGACACGATGGCAGGGTGATCTGTCTTCATAACGACCTTAAGGCCGTTGTCGTGCAGGATCTTGGGCGCAAACTCGGAGTGGCGGTAGGCCTCGCGTTTGTAGCTAAGGAAGAGGATCAATAAGATGTGACGCAGGACGAGAGGGGATTCGCGGTTGCGAAAGGAACGCGAGGTGAAGCGACGACGCACCGAGCAAAGGTGGCAAACACCGCGGAAGCCGGAGGTCCTCCTGCGGAAGACAGTCACATATCGCTCGAGATATAAAGGGTAGCCAGGCTCACCGTACGCCCTCTTCAAGACATCTGGGACGAGGTACGTCTCGTGCGCATGGTGGAAAGACGCGAGAGGGAATTTGAACTCATTTGTAAGCTGATGGACGAACGCCTCAGTACACCCGACTTCATCTCACTTTGCCCATTTACTAACCCTGACGAAGTCATCCAGATCCACCGCCTCGTAGCAGTGCGTGTTGACCTGATCAACGGATCAGCAGCGTTCGCCATCGCCACCATCGTCGAACCGCAGATACTCACCTTAGCCTTCCCTCGCAACACGTCAACTAACGCCTCCCACTTCAGATCGTCGGGGAAGTCCTTGCCCTCAATTTCGTCCCACCTCCCCGTTGAGGCAGCCTGGCAGTAGTCGTCCTGTGCCACCTTGATCTTGCGAGCCGTCTCGTATGCCTCTCGGAATTGCCAAAATGTATCCATACGCGTTTGGCCGTACACTCGGGCTGAGCAAATCAGCCATTAGGAGAGAAGCTTGACAAGGAAAACGTACAAGGGTTTTCTCCTATAACGCGTCAATTTCAGATGAGTTGATGTCAAATTTGCCACAAAAGTGTACGCACCGCACGCATGCCTAGGTAGATACGTCAGCAAATGCTTCCCAAGCTAACCTCAATGCCTACTTGATATGCCTCCACCGCCGCGGGACATCCGGGTCCGCTTCAGTCCCATTTAGCCCGAAAGGCGGCTCGAGGAGCATAGACGAAGGCGACCGCTCCGACGTCGGCCTGAACTTGACCACGAAGCCCTGTCCGCCTTGGGTCACATCGGTCAGCATCCTGCCACGGCGCTGATATGAAGACGAGCTCCTACGTACCTATCGCATTTGCTGAGCCAGGAATAACGAGGGCCGTTGTAAGGCCCCCAGCGACGGCCAAACGGTAGCTATCATCGTGCGTGTTGAGGCCGTCAAGAGAGCGTAGCCACGGCTGGATGGTACCATGCATCGAGTTCCCGTCGCCTGAGCCTTCCAGTCCTGGGTTGGACTCGACGCCGACGTGCGAATGCACGTCGACCAAGCTGTGAAGGCGTGGATGAGTTTCGACTAGACTTGCAATCTACGAAGGAGGTGAATATACATACCCCGGCGTCACCCAAGCGCCATGCGCGTCCAGCACATCCACCGCAGCATATTCCTCACCAAGGTCGGTCGCTGCCCCCAAATGACCCACCGCCTGTATGACACCTCCCGCGAGAAGAATGTCACCCTGTTCTAGCACACCCTCCCCCGTCCATATAGTCGCATTTCGCACCAGCGTCGGATGCGTCCCCGCCTCGAACCTGTCGGACACAGCACGCGCGTGGAAGTTCGGCGGCGGACCTGGCTTCGCATGCAGCCCTCTGCAGCGCGCGAGGGCAGCCTGGACGTGAGGAGGCACGTCTGGAGAAACATCCTGGATGAGAAAGAAAGCAGACAGTGCAGCCGCGACTAGTAGAAGCGATATAACGCGCGTTATCCTGCGAGGCGACGCGCGCGAGGGGAAGGGAGCGTTCCCCTTCGCTGGGGACTCCGAGGCACAGAGGAAGACCATCGCGATGTCTTGCTCGACTTCAAGGTCGAGCTCCGCTGGTCAAGTCGACGACGCAGAGCCTGAGTCAACGTGACGGTGCTGAGCAGGATAATGAACGCGTCAGTTCGCGTGCTACGGCTTGATGATGGGATCAGGCTTCGGGTTCCTGGCCGAATTTGGAAGGCCTTGTTCTTCCCTTAATCCGCTGCCATAGGCGCAGTTCAAGCCATTCTCAGAAGCTCAAGTTGAGTTCGAAAGCACGAAACAGCCACGAGAAAGTGGAGCTTCAAAAAGCTTATTGTTTCCAGATAGTAAAGTGAGTACCACGACCTGTAACGTATAAAGTACACAAAGAAAATCCCTTATTCAGCTCGTGGAAGGCGAGAATACTGCAGCTCGTAAAGTAAGCGTTATGTCGTGAGGGCCACAGAGACAATTCCCAACAGCCATCGAAGCGTATATCCGAAGCGTCGAGCACACGCTCGCTCAGACGCTCTCGATGTCCTTCTCCTCCCTCGAGACCCCTCCCGACTCGAACGACTCCTCGAGGCGCTTGCCCGGATACCGGCGGATGAGGAACTTGTTCACCTGCGCCATGATAGCAAGCAGGAGCACAAACGCCGTCGTGGTCGCGAAGCCCTGCACGTAGCGCGGACCCGTCGAGGCCGGCCACAAGAACGAGCCGTAGATGGACGCCGAGTTACCCTTCGAAAACCGTGAGCATCCCGCTAGGCCTGCGTGTGAGATAGAGAAAACTCACCAGAGCATTCACAATCGCAATCGCCACCGCGCGCTTCTCCGCCGGATGGTCGATGATCCCCGACACCCACAGCAGCGTGAGTGGGCACACCGCATACACCGCGCCCACCGCGATGCACAGAAACCCATACTTCACATGCTCGTTGTTCACCGCGACCGTGATGATAAAGCTCACGCCTGCCAGCAGCCCGCCCAGCGTGATGTAGTTCCCGCGCTCCCTCCGGATATCGCTGGTGAAGCAGAACAGCAGGATGAACACGAACGCGACAGCATAAACGGGGATCGTCATGTACTGCTTGTCGTACCCGGTGTACCCGAGCTGGCCGACGAGCGTGGGGATGAAGTACTGGATGGTCTGCGAGCCCGTGGCGAGCATGTACATGAAGACGAGGACCCAGGTGCGCCAGTCGGTGAAGGCCATTTTGGCGGCCTCGGAGTGCGTGGGCTGGTTCCCGGTGCCGGTGTTGCCGATGCCGTCGGCGGCGAGGCGCTGGACGGCGATGAACTTCTCCTCGGGGCTGAGCCACTTGGTGGTCGACGGCCAGTCGGGGAGGATGTACCAGGTGAAGATGCCTGTAAGGCAGTCAGCGACGAGGGAAGGCCCAATGATGAGAATAGCAACGTACAGAGGAAGCACGACCCCGCGCCCTCGATGATGAACAGCCAGCGCCAGCCCTCAATACCGCGCGCCATCTTCAAGTGGTCGGTGATGACACCAGCGAGCAGGCCCGAGAAAGCACCCTATCGTTCCGTCAGCAAGCCAACCCATCCGAGCTAACATGATGCAACTCACCGAGACAGCCGTCGCCGTATAGTAAATCGAATACCGCTTCGCAAGCTCATGACGCTTGTACCACGACGACAGATAGAACGCGACACCCGGCGCAAAGCCCGCCTCGATGACACCCAAGCAGAACCGTACACCCGCGAGCTGCTGCCAGTTGTTCACCGCGCCCATGCACGCGGCGACCGCACCCCAGCCGAAGCACAGGACCGAGAGGCTGAAGGGACAATGTCAGCGTCAAGGATGAATCGTGAAGGGGGGAAGAGGGTGGACGTACAAGATAGATGGCCGCACACGCGTGAGGATCATGTTTGACGGGACCTCGAAGATGACATAGGAAACGAAGAAGAGCAGGAGGCAGACGGAGTACTGCGTTGACGTGAGCGCGAGGTCCTCCTCCATCCCGCCGACCTTCGCGTTCCCGATGTTCGCGCGGTCGAGGTAGGAGAGCGTGTATAGGATCCAGACGGTTGGGACCTACAAGAAAAGGTAAGTGACTACAATGTAGCAGTGGGAGAACGACTCACGATTCGCTTGTCAATTTTGCGCACGAGCGCCTTCTCCTCGGCCGAGTCGCGCACATACGTGAAGTTCGCGGCGGGCAGCTCCTCCTGCCACACCTGCTCCGACTGACTCTTCGCCATGCCGTCTGGTCGCGTGCGTCGAGAAGCAAAAGAAAAGAGGTGGAGCGCGTCGAAGGGGCGATGTGGTGAAGGGCGTCGGAGGTGGAGAAGGAGCACACGAGAGCTCAACGAAGCAGAGCAACCCTAGTCTAGCACAAAGACACGCTCCCGCTTTTGTACTCACTGCCTATTGTGCTTGGCTTTGCCCCCGCGCCTGGAATGCGCCGTCAAATTACCCCGCGCGCTTCCCCAGAATCCCCCAGGGGCAACCGAAAGAGATCAGCAGACTTCGCGGGGGGGCAATGATCTGCCCCGGGGTTGCTCGATTGGTACCGGGCGAACTCAATCGGTTCCGGGATCCGGGGCTTGGGTGATCGTACTGAATCTACTAAAGGGCAGGAAGGATCTCAATAGAGTCGGGAAGAAGACCCAATAGAGTCGGGAGGGATCCCCATAGAGTCGGGCACGATCTCAATCATGTCCGCCCTTATGTGAGACATTTTCTGGCAGCCTGGTCGCGGCTCGCTTGTTGCGTCCCTATTGGAAGGACCGGCTATTCAGAGGCGAGAAGCTAAAGTCCGGTGTTCAGAATAAGGGCTTAGGATTGGACGGTCGGGAGGCTTTGGCTAGCAGCACTAGTGATCAACGGTGGCGCGCAAGGAACGCGTAACTGTGCAGTGTGGCTGTCCGGAAAATCGATCAGTCTTACTCGAAGCCTTTACCTTGAATCCCTCTCCATTTCCCCGGGTACATCCTCGACCAGCTAGCACGTCGCCGAAGGCAAAGCCCGAGGAGGGACAGCAGTGCCAAGCCCGAGACCAGAAATGTGGCGTGTTAGTATAGCACCGGACGACGTCCCTGTATTGCACCGGGACTACGTTCCTGGTGGACGTATTGTCCCGGTGTAGTTCCCTGCTTCATTTCCAGAGTTCGGGTGCGTGGGATCGGGCTGTAGGAAGAGGAGTTCAGTTGTGCGCGGAGAGGAAGGAGGCAGGCCCATTGTCGATTTGTTTGTGTTTAGCCCGCATCCTTGCGAGGAAGTCCCGCGATCATGTGATCGGTTCGAACTCGAACTTAGTTTAATAGTGGCTTACTGATGCGGGCGCGACTCGCGACTACATCCTTGTCAGGCAAAACTCGTATAAGCAACACTGCGATAGGCCATTTGGAAGGCGACGAAGTAGTAAGGCCTTCGACATCTCTTTTGGCTAACGCACTCAAGAATCTTCAGTGTTTTGTGGATGCTTTCAGAATACAATTTGGGAATTGTCGAACTACACTTTTCCCATTGTACATAGTCTTAAATAATTGCACAAGTACTACACTTGATCATCTCAGGAATAAGCCACCTATGCCCGCCCCTCGCTGTTGAAAAGCTTGAAAAACCGGAGGCAAACAGTAACGAACGCGTCCGTCGCCTCGTCGACGGCGTCCGGGAAGGGCTTGCTGAGGAGCGCGGTCCCGAGCGCCTTGGCGTAGGGGTCGCGGGCCCAGGAGTTGACGTTGAACTGGGGGAGGAGTCAATGAGATGCGCGGGAGAGAGATGTTGAAGTCGGACTGACCTTGCTCACGCCGTTCTTGACGCACTCCTGGAACAGCGAGTCCGGAAGCTCATCCGTCCCGTGCAGGCATATCGGAACCCGCCCTGCGAACTTCTCGCGCAATGCGATGAGGCTGCAAGGTGCGTCAGCCCCAGCCCCCACCAAATCCACGCTCCCACTCACATCTCCTGCTTGAAATTCGGCGGGTTGATGTACGACCCATGCAAGTTCCCAATACTCGGCGCCAGAATGTCCGCGCCCGTCCCGCGCATGAACGCGTCCGCCTTCCCCGGCTCTGTCAGCTTCGCGTCCGAGATCACGCGCAGCCCCGCCTCGCCGCCCTCCAAGCGGCCCAGCTCGACCTCGATGGCGATGCCGAGCTTGTGCGCGCGCTCGACGTACGGGCGCGTGATCGCGATGTTCTCCTCGTCCGTGTCGGCGTGCGAGGCGTCGCACATGATGCTGTCGAACTTGATGCCGTGCTTTTCGGCAAGCCCGAGGGCGAGCTCCATGTGCTCGGCATCGGTGGCGTGGTCGAGGTGGACGGAGATGGGGACGGAGGCTTGATGGGCGCTAGGGAGGGGGTGAGTATCGAAGGAAGTGAGGAAAAAGTGATGCGGGAAAGGGGAAGGGACGTACGCGTCGAGGCAGAACTGGAGGAAGGGGCCCTTGCCATAGGCGAGGGTGATCGGGAACATCTGGATGATGGCGGGGCTGCGCGCCTGCTCGGCGGCACGGACGAGGGCGATGACCATGTTGGTGTCATAACTGGAGGACTAGGTGAGTATCGAACGTCTCGCGATTGGCAGACGAACGTACACGCTCTGTGCGAGGATACCATAGCCCCCCTTCTCCGCCTTGCGGAGGATGTCAAGCGTGCGGTTGTTCTCGAGGGACATGACTGATGGGGTGCGTTGTATGGCTGGGGAGTAGGAAAGAGGGAGGGGAAAAGTCGACGATGGTCGAAAGCACAGAGACTCGGTGGGAAGTTAGACGCCTGGGACGGCGCCTTTTGTGCAGCTCGGCCGATAAGCGCGTCTCCAGCCTGCCCCATTCCCGGCATTCCTTGTCTCCCATGTTCGAAATTCCCCGCCCCATGTTCGGCATCCCCTACGTCCTAGGCCTTGCTCATCCGCAAAAAGGTGAACGCGAGATGCGAACCCGGTCCGGTTCAGCCTGGGGTACAAACGGAACGAGTCTCGGAGCGGGACAATGGCCGGAAGGAAAGAGCCTGCCCGGATCAATACGCATTTCAGGGACAAAGCCGGGCTCTCAAATCGATTTCCTTTTTCGGTGCGTGAATGAGTGTGGGCGAGAGATGCAGCCTCAGATGCTCAGGATTGTACGCAGAAACAGAGGAGGGAGTACAGGGGTGCCACTTCAGGCTATCGAAGTCGGTGGTCAGGATGACGACAGGAGGCGGGAAGCCGTCGAAGTTAGGACGGCCTCTGTAGATCAGCTACAAGTTGAATCTGACAGCGAGGCTGCCACCCATAGAGCTGGCGGAGATGAGTTCATCGTGATCATTCAGAGTATATCACTGAGATGCAAAGAAAGAGTACGGGCATAAATAAGCAGTGGGTAAGTACAACAGGTTGTCTCTCAAAATCTCAATCGCTATCCACCACCTCCTCGCATGCTGGCCGAACCCCCGCATGCTCTCCGAGCCCCAGCATACCGACTCCCTCAGGACCCTGCACTCGCAACGTCCTAGCACGCCGGCACGGTCTCATACTGCGAGATCGCGTCCACCTTCGCCGCGCTCGGCGAGCTGCGATCAAATGTGTACCCCAGCCACTCCTTCGCGAGTCGCCGCGCAAGCTCGATGCCGATGACTCGCTGGCCCATGCAGAGGACCTGAGGAGGCGTCAGTATGCGCACGGCGAGATGGTTGGGTGATGGTGCGAAATGAGTAGGTGTGAAGGGGAGACGATGCGCCGGAAATATATGGTCTAGGGCTATAGGGAGATGTCCCTCACCTGCGCATCATTCGATAATATCGCCCGCTCAACAGAGAACGAGTCGTGCGCCGTCACGGCCCGCACGCCCGGCACCTTGTTCGCAGAGATCGCCACGCCTGTATGTCCCGTCAGCACTGCTGCCCTCACCCCCCCCCCCCCCCCCAGTCCTGCAAATTCCCCCTCTACTAACGGACTGGACAAGTCACTCACCCAGTCCCGTCCCGCAAATCAACAACGCGCGATCCGCCTCGCCAGCCGCAACCTTCTTCGCCGCCGCAACCGCAATGTGCGGGTACGCGGTCTTCTCGTCCGCGTTCACGCCGACATCGACGACGCTCTCAACGCGCGGGTCCTTCTCGAGGTCGGCTTTCAAGACTTCCTTGTAGTGTATGCCGGCGTCCTGGTGACTGAGTCAGTGGACGTCGCACAAGGAGGGGGACCACGCACATCGCAGCCGACGACAATCCGGAGCTTCTGAGGAGCGCTAGCACCCATAGTAGTGATTGCTCAGAGGATGGGGAGGAGGGGGTCGAGGTTGCTGAAGAGAAAGAGCAGTTACTGGATGGAAACAACTAGCGTGCACGACGTGTCCCCTCGCTGTTATCAAGCGGCGTCGACGGCGTTATGACGAGCAAAAGCGGCGCGCGCACATACGTACTCCGTCGATATATCCTACACACGCGCCCCCACCCCCACTAATCTCCTAAATCCCACCCCATCCCTCCTGACCGCTCACGAGGGCGCCTTGTATGTCCGGCTACGCGGGTTCATTCAGTTCGGCCCAATCGCCTAAGTCCCCGCGCGCACGAACCAGGGGAAGGGGGGCTGGTGAACCGGGCCAAGCCACCAGGGTCTATGACGCCCCGTCGCAAGCCAGGGCAGGAGGGGGAGATTGCTCGCGGACATTAGCGCCTTTGATCCGTGCGCCACGTGCGGTTGTGCCGGCATGGGCTGCATTGATCCTGGCGGGGTTGTGGCGGGGGCAACATTCCGCCAGGGCCCGGCTGCCCGGTGCGGGGCCCCGGGGGCGGGGGAACGACAAGTGCGCTGGAGAGACATATATAAGTTCCGCGCAGGCCAGAAGACAAGGCAATCGCTGTAGAGGTTTCTACTTACTAGTCCCCTTTCCTCTCTTATCCGCATCACCTCCGTCCTCCTCAACGACCATGTCGGCGACCACGATCCTCATCACTGGCAGCGCGGGCTGGCTGGGCGGTATCGTGAGTATTAGAGGGGAATCACATATACACCGGGCGCTTACTGATCGACTTGCAGCTCTCCAAGGCGATCATCGAAGACGGCAAGACGCCCAACCCCCAGTTCATCCTCGCCGACATCGTCGAGCCCAAGCCACCGCAGGGTGTCAAGTCCGTCACCATCAAGGCCGACTTGACGAACCGCGATGAGATCGACAAGCTCTTCAACACCGAGCTCGGCATCCCCGATGTCATCTACTGCCTGCACGGCATCATGTCGCGCGGCTCGGAGGACAACTTCGATCTGGGCGTCAAGGTCAACATCGACTCAATCCGCTACATGCTCGAGGCGGCGCGGAAGTACGGCGAGAAGCGCGGCGCGCCTATCAAATTCATCTTCACGTCGTCGCTCGCGGTGTATGGGGGGCCTTTGGTGAGTGGTTGCTGGCGGGAGCGAGAGAAAGAGGTGGACTGACCTGAATTCAGCCTGAGGTCGTGACCCCGGATACGATCGCGACGCCGGAGGGCGCGTATGGCATGGGCAAGTTGTCGTCTGAGCTCATGGTTAACGAGTACTCGCGTCGCGGGTTCGTCGATGGCCGCATCATCCGGTTACCCACCATCGTCGTCCGTCCCGGTGTCCCCTCCGCCGCCACCTCCGCCTTCATTTCTGGTGCGCTGTCCCCCTCCCCTCACATCCCGCACCATACTCACCTCCCCTAGGTGTCATCCGCGAGCCCCTAAAGGGCGTCGAGGCCATCTGCCCCGTCGGCAACTCCTTCGACTCCCCCGAGCTCGAGCTCGCCGCCTGGGTCGCCTCCCCAGAGACCACCATCAAGAACTTCGTCATCGCGATGCAGGTCTCCGCCGACAAGTTCCTCAAGCACACCCGCGTCGTCTGCCTCCCCGGCTTCACCACCACCGTCCGCGAGGAGATCGAGGCACTCGAGAAGGTCGCGGGCAAGGACGCGCTCAAGCTCATCAAGTTCCAGGACGACCCCGTCAACCGGCGCATCGTGTCCTCGTGGCCGGCGCGGTTCGACAACTCGTACCCGCTCTCGCTGGGCTTCGTGGTGGACGAGGGTGGGATGGTGCCGATAGTGCAGAAGTTCAAGCAGGATGTGGAGGCAGGGCTGGCATGAGAAGGAGATGTATAACAGTAGAACGCACATGGATTTCTCTATAGTATTAGTATTTATCGGAAGGCCATTCACACAAATTTTCGCAGGGTTCGTAATGCCAGTGCCGCACGAGCCAACGCAGTTCTGCGTCGAATGAGAACGTCCAGTCAAGTGTACTGAAGGGGAAGTGAAGAAAACTTTAAGCGTTGTAGCTGTCGGCACCAGTGCAGGTCACGGTCTACGCGGTGAACGAGCGCACGGGCGCCTGAGTGCGGGGTACGACATCCGTTATGTCGGCTTGTCGCTGTCCGACACGCTGGCGCAGCAGCTGGTTGGCGCCGATTTCGACGCCAGCAGGAGGGCGGACGTGGGGGATTGCGGAGGTGCAAGGTATGGTGGTTGCAAGCAAGGTTGGTCGGGACTAACGCGCGACGACTGATGCACGCATCACCAGGATTGTGGCGTCGGTTACGTGAAGGCGCCCCACGCGACGCGACCGCCGCTTGCTTCTGTCCACGATGGACAACAACTCGGAGCCAGAGTACGACTCCGAAGCTGAGTGGTCGATTGGGACTGGGTCAGGTACGTCTTCTAGTCATGAACAACCTTCACAAAACTCAACCATGTCATACAATAACAGTAACGGACTCAGACGCGTTTGGCCAAGACTGGTCCTCGGACGAGGAATGTCAGTACTTTTAGCAGTACCAGGATACTCAGAGGCATAACCGCGTCCTATAGTCCTTGTTCCCGAGTTCGGCAACGAAGACCCTCCCGTCACGCCAGTGTCGGACGTCCCGCAACCCAACGGCTCAGGCACCCTTGGAAGGCTCCTCTACGACAACCGCGTGCCACTTGACATCGCGCTCGAGGTTCGTATCCCTCCACATGTCCCAGCTACCTACTGAGTACACACTTACAGACCTTACAATACCTCAAACCCGGCGAACTAGTCGCGCTCGCACGAACCTGCAAGCAAATTCGCTCTTTACTACTCTCAGGCCAGCTCACGCCGGTATGGAAGGCCTCTCGGGCCATGTACGGTATTCCACCGCCTCCTCCAGAGCGCTCGGAGATTGCTTGGGCGCAATTCCTCTTCGGACGAAAGATGTGTCACGTAAGTTGCTCCTTTTCCCTGTCGTCCGCCCGTGTCTAACTATCCGACAGCACTGCGAATTGGCCATGGCCAAGGTACCTGACTGGCAGCTCATGTGTCGTCTTTGCTCAGAATGCAAGCGTTTGAAGTAAGTTCTGTTTGCCGTGCTGAATGGTTCCGGTAGACCCGGCGAGTTCTGAGCTGACTGAATCCCGTTCACCAGTCTGGTCAACGCTAGGGCAGTCAAGTACGAGTTCAAGGATCACCACCCAGATCTCACTAAGATGGTTCTGTACACTAACGGTGAGTAGCAAGGGTCATTTCTCCCTTGAGAGCCATGCTTGCACCTCGAATGCGCATGCTCATCGCCATAGTCCGCAAACGCTATGCCCGGAGCGAGACCGCCTACTACTGGCGAGAAGACCTGGAGATGATGGGCAAGATCATCAAGGCCCACGAAGCGGACATTGCCGCAGGCAAGCCAGGGGCGCAGGAGGTCTTCGAGGCGTTCAAGGAATCTCGGATAGCATTCGTAGAGGCTGTAACGAAGGTGCGCTGGTCTTTTCCCGTTATGGGTTTTGGGTCGGCTGGAATACGGCACTACCGTATATGCGCTGATTTCTTCTCATACAGCATGTCCCTGTTTGTATAAAATGGGCGGCGAAGTACAACGAAAGCCGCATGGACGAGCGTGCTGCAGAGAAGAATGCATGGCGGACGGCCCGGATGAATATGTGGGTTGTTTTCTCGATTTGCTGGAAGAATTCGCTCGACTTATCGATTGGTCCAATTGATGTATAGACTGACGGAATCACAGCATAGAACAGCGCTTGCTAACCCTCGGGCATCGCCTCGACGACATTCGCTGGGTCCTCTCAGCTGGTCGCCTAACCGACTTGGATCTGGCAGAGAGATGTAAGGCATTCTTCACCACTCTTATGTCTATTGCGGTCTTTTATTACTGTTTCCGCATCACGCTAACAAAGCTTCAGCATGGCAGACAACACTTCGGGACCTAGTCTGCCGCACCAAGCATGTCCGCAAGCGCCGGTTGGACGGAAGTCACGGACCACTGATCGAGGAGCGGAAGCGCGCCTTAAAGGAAGCCTACGCGGCCAAGCGCAAGAGTGTTAGCCCCCGAGAATGGCGCTCGATTACATTTCTGGCCCTCCCGCCGCCGCCGACCCTCCTTCACATTCCTTTGGTCCTTGACTTCGTCTACTCCGATGTGGAGCAGAATCTTGGCGTTGCGGAATTTAGGACTTTCCTAGAGAGCGAATTTAGCCTTGGGTGTGGGCCAGCACAAGCGACTGCTCAGTACAATCGGCTCATGAGCGCAGGCGCCCACGCAGTCGTCTCCACATACCCATCCTTCCTCACTGGCATCGGCGAGCGTGCGCTGCTCGACTGCGCGCTTCTTACCTACGTTGATTCGGATAACGACACGGCTCAACCTCCGTGGTACCCTAATGACTGCACGGATCTGTCCACCATCCTTTGCCGGAGGTTCTTTGGCGCAGGTATCGGCTTACCCGACCGATCTCTCGAATACTGCCCCCGCCGTGCGCAGGCAGTGGCGTCCATCCTGGAGCTACTTCACCTGCCCGCGACGACGACGGTGGCGGAGCTAGATGCGCGCGACGCGCGCTTCGATTGCATGATCTGCAGGCCTGGCAGGATCCGCGGCGGAGGCTGGCAGAAGCGAGCGCATAGGTGGCGGTCGGCGGTGCGTTCAATCTTGTTTTCCGTCGCGCGCGCAAATCGGCTGGTGTGCACTGGCTCGCGCGATCTGACTGGGCTGATACGCGCACAGGTCATACATCACGCTCTGGACCACCAGCGTCCTTGGCAGATGAAGAGCGACCCGCCGCGATATGTCCTTTTGTCAGACGAGAAGGCGGCCGAAGCTCGCGTGAAGGAGGGCAACCCCATCGACCTGGCCTCAATAGCAACCTGGTTTTGTGCTCATTGCGGAGAGCATCTGGAGAACTGGAAGCCGTACGCAGACGTCGAGAAGCACGTCAAGGATGCGTGAGTCCACTGTTCTCACCACCCCTTGTTCACTCAGCTTACCAATTCTGCAGCCACGGCGTCCTCTCTCCCCAAAGGGAAGACGACATCCTCTACATGCCCATGGTCAAGATACACCCAGAGGCGGTCATGATCTCGTGCGACCCTCTACCGGAGCAGGTCGTCAATTGTCGGTGCCTACTATGCCCTGCGAACGGCAAGAAGAAGACGAAGGTGTTCTCGGAAGAGGGCGTGAGGTGCCACCTTTCCACAACGTGAGTAACCTCGTTTGGATCCTTCGAATGTTTTGATTTGCCTCGATAATATTCTCAGGCATCGTCCCCTGAAGTTAGAGGACGGCGCGGAGGGTGTGCACTTTACAAGATCAGCATAGCGTCTTCGCGGACTTCTTCTTTTAACATCGAAAAGATCTATGTACAGCGCTCCATGAGATAACATATCAGGCGACTGGAGCAAACGCCTTTCGATCCCACGAAAGGAACATCGATTGAGGCAGCGCTCATGCTCGATGTTGCAACTGTGCAACATCCTTCTGACTCGCGCGAGCGCGCTGTCGACTGGCACAGCGCCCATGCTGAGGGCAAGTCATCGACCTCTTCGCGTCGGTGCCCAGTCCTGCCGCCGTCGAGCTGGGCAAGGTTGCAGTCGTGGCAGAGGTCAGATTCAGGAATCAGGAGCCTAGCCAAGCACGATCACGTGCAAAGTTGTCACGGTTGATTGATGAGCGTGACGCGTACAACGTAGCGAACAGTCTAGGAAACGCTGAGGTCCTCTGAATCGAAGCTCTGCATACGCGTAAGCGAGAAGAAGTCCAAAGAATAGTTTGAACGAAACGTATGACAGAACCTATGTACATCGGGTTGTGACATTTCATGCTCCCAACCACCGCGCAATAGCCTTGTACGTCTCCGCCGTCGCCGGCTCCCAAGTAAAAGCCAGGAAGTCATGCACGGCATCGGGCTCCTCTCGGTACGCTACCGCGCTCTCCCCCATATCCACCGTCATCCGATCTCGCAGGATGCGAATCTCATCCAGCAAGCACTCGCACCCGCCCGCGGTAATAAAGGTCGGCGGGAAGCCCTTGAAGTCCACCTTCCCAAGCGCGGGATGCTGCGAGGCGGGCGAGACGTAGCGGTTCAGGTCGAGCATGAGCAAACCCAGCGAGCCCGCGAACGCCCTACTGCAATAGTCTGCACCCTCGCCAGCGCGCAGGTAGTCCATTCCGGTCTCGCCATAGAGCTCCCAGGACGAGCCGGGCAGTGCCCTGTAGCCGCTGCCGACATTGGACCACGGCGAGGAGAGTACCAGGCGCCCAGGCGGTCGCGAGATGCCGGACCGCCCTGCATGCTCGACGAGGTAGCGGGTGAGCGCCAATGCGAGGTTCCCGCCCGCGGAGTCGCCCTCGAGGATGATATCCTGCGGCGCGAAGCCCACGACGTTCACGAGGTAGTTGTACCCCGCGAGCGCATCAAGAAGCGCCGCTGGGAAGGGGTTGCGCTCGGGGAAGGGCGCGGTGGAGGATAGCCTGTACTCCACAGAGAATGCGCGTTTGACAAGGGAACCGCAGTGCTCCAGGAAGGCGCGCGGGATGCGCGAGGTGAGGTCGGAGGGGTGCGCGGAGAGGCTCCTGTACGCGCCGCCGTGGAGGCACAGGACGACCTTCTCGCCCGGCGTGGGTGGCGCGCCGATCGAGATGGTGCTTTCGAGGCCGTGAAGCCAGTACCCAGGGATGCGCGCGGGCTCGACGCCTTGCGCGGTCGCCCACACCTTCAGCTCATCGTAGATCAGGTCGGGTACGGGGTCTATCCAGACTCCGTTGACGCCCTCGCCGGGCACAATGGCTTCGTGGTTAGGCGTGCGTCGGAAGGCGACGGGGCCGACTCTAAGAGAGGGGGTAGAAGGGAGGAAGGTCAGTACTGGTACGCGCGCCATGCTGCAAGCACGCACTGGTCGCCGAGATACGTGAGGAAGCGTATGAGCTTTATTCTGATGCACTGCTTGAGGGTCCAGGATGGTCTTGGGCGCCAGGATCTGTAGTCCTGGTCGGTCAATGGGCATGCGATGGATCGAATATGCATACGCACACGGGAAGCGAGATGAGCACCCAGACAGGCAGGCGGACGAGGGCTGTCAGGATCAACTGTCCCGTCAAGTAGACACCCTTGATGGGCTGGTGGCGGAAGGCATAGAGTCTCGTCATCCTTGGGTTGGAAGGCTGAGGAACGAGAGTAGGCGTCTATGGATCGGGGTGCGTCTGTGCTCGCGGTGGCTGCGGTCCACGCCTTCGAGGAACTTAAAAGTCCTGCGGAAACGCGGCTACCTTGAGGAGAGGCGGTGTACGGGGGAAACAAGGGAGCGTAATACCCGAGAGAAGGAAGGTGGGAGAAGAAGTACTTAGGTAGGGTCATCGGAGATGAGTGGGGGTTTCTACTGAGACGCTTCTACGGCCCGAGGTCGGACCGTCCTCGCCCGGTCATGCACATGTCAGGTGCTTGAAGTTGAACTTTGCTTTCTTGCGACACTGAATCGTTCCCAAGAATTCGACATTCCTAGACCCCAGATACCACAGAGATACATATACATAGCTATGGCCACTACGCCTTCAAAGGCTCGTTGACCGGGTATCTCGGCTTTCCCGTCTCAAGGAATGTGCGCACATTATCCAAAACCTGGCGCTCGCCGGTGTGTATCGTTCCCTGTGGATGCAGCGTTAGCAAGCTCTCCCAATACGACGTCTCTCCCATCAAGAGACATCCATCTCGACACTAAGATCCTCTCAACCTGAACACTCTCCTCACCTTCGTAAACGCCCCAAAATGCGGCTGCACAGTCACATACGGCGACTTCGTGAACCACGGGTCGGGATTCGGCTCCCCAACAAACACGTCCAAGCCGGCGTGGCTGAGCTTCCGGGACTCGAGGGCGGATTTGAGGGCGGCCTCGTCAATTATGTCGCCGCGGGCGGTCTATGGAGGGGACGATGAGCCTCAGGCTTGTCCATAACACAGCGACTTGTTCGCAAACGGTCTGAGAGCACGAACTCACGTTGACGATGTATGCACCGTCTTTCATCTTGGCTATACGCTCTGCGTTCAGCCAGCGGCGGGTTGCGGAGGTGAGCGGGCAGTGGAGGCTTAAGATGTCCGAGCGGGCCAGTAGTTCGTCCTCAGAGACAAAAGTCAGGCCTAATGATTTCTCTTCTAGAGAGAAGCTTAGAATACTGGCTTGTTCCCATCTCTTGTATGAGCTTACCCGCCTCAGGCAAACGCGTTCGGCTGGAGTAGATGACATCCATGCCTAGCGCCTGCACCTTCTTCGCTGTTGCTTGTCCAATCTTCCCAATCCCTGCAAAGAGCTGCATTAGCTCGCAAAAGAGAAGTCCTGGTCGAATGCTCACCAAAGATACCAAACGTCTTGCCCTCGGGATCGTCCGTGAGCTCAAGGCCGTCGCGCCACTTGCCCGACCGTACGTTCACCTCCGCCTGCGTCGTATTCCTCAACGCCGCCAACGTCAAAAACACCGCCATATCCGCCGTCGCATTCGTCACCGCCGTGGGCGTATTCGCCGCGTACGCGCCCTGCTTCGCCAGCCACGCCGTAGGCACATCGTCGTATCCCGCACCGCCCGACGCGAACAGCCCACAGCCCGGGAACAAAGGCGCTAGCATGGCCTCGGTGAACGGCGAGTACTTCGCGGTGCCGAAGAGGACGTAGGCGGCGTCAAAGGGCCCGTGCTGGGCGCAGAGGCGCGCGACCTCGGCGCAGACCTGCGCGTGGTCGACGGGGGTGAACCAGTGGACGTCGGCGATTTCCCTGAGGGCGGCGAATTCGGCCGTCGCGAGGCGGGGTGCGCCGATGCCGAGGACTTTCTTGCGGGCGGACATGCTGGGGGGCTCGGCGCAGTGGAAGACGTTCGACTGTAGAGGTTGAAGTGGTTCTTGATTGAGAAGCGACTACATAAGTAGTTCGCGGTTCGCCGGCGGGCGGACGATGGCACGCGATAAGATAGCGATCGAGCGGAGGGCTTTAGCGCCCAGTCAACTATCAAGACGAAGAAATCCTATCAGAGCTCTTTTATCCCGAAGAAAGGCTCGCTCGCTGGAAGGGACATTCACTCAGAGAATTACAGAGCCAAGGCGTGCGCGAACAAGTTGAACTTCAAATTTGTTGTCTTCTGTTTTGGCCGGGTCGGCGCGGTGGTCCAAGCGTACGGCAAGCTCGCGCTCTTACTTCCTACCCTCATTGCCGTCAACGACGACGAGGTTTCTGCATCACTTCCGCGCATATACCCTGCTCAACTGCTCTCTACGCCTCGATGAACCTCGGACGCTCCTACTCCCGCAGTCGCAGCAAGTCTCGATCTCCTGTGCCTCCTTCGCCTCAACCTCCCTCTTCGCCGCGATTCCTCCCACCATCCCACTACGCCGCCGCTGCCGGAGTCCCCTACAATCCGCCCTCACGCAACAAAGACGACGACACGAGAAGCAAAGCGCGACCTTCTCCCGAAGCTCGCGAACACGCCGCAACACCGCCCTGCGACGTCCCCTCCGAGTCCTCCTTCGAGTTCAAGCCCCGCACGGAATCTCGCTTTAGTCTCTTCGCCCGCCGCCTCTCCGTCAGCCACCCCCGCCCCGCCGAACAGGACGTGAACGCCGCCGACGTACCCGATATCCCTATGCTCGAAGCGCAATTGCTCCCTACGCTCCGCGACACGATCACGCGCATGACGCGCCCGCCTTCCTCCGCTTCGAGCGCTCCGCCCTCGCCTATGCTGGATCCGCCGCGTGATCGGCGCCGTTCTGTGTCTCCTGCCGCTTCGTCGTCTCCGCGTCCGCAAGAGACTCACGCGCCTCCTCTACCGCCCGCTGAACCCCGCGACCACAATACCTCGAGAAAGTCCTCAAATCGGAGAAACACTGTTGTCGCTGGAGCTCCGCCGCCGAAGTCTCCTCGCCCAGGAGAGCTCTACGACTCGCCTTTGCCTATGGAGCCCCAAGAGTCTCGACCTCAGGAATCTCGGTCTACGCGCACGCCAGAGCCGACGTCCCACAGAAGACGACACCATACCACGGAAGCGCCCTCTCAGTCTTCGCGACATGCTGACACTCGGACTACTACGCCTGCGCCACGGGAGGCCAAGACTGCCAATGCACCTGAGTCCGCGCGCGAGAGGAGACCGTCGAAGACTGCACTCAAGTCTGCTCTACGTAGTCCGACTCCCAAGTCTCCTCGGCCGTCAAACGTTGCTTGGACGCCTACGCCTACGACTCCGAAGCCCTCCAAGGCCTCAAGTTCTCGCACGCCGACATCGAACACGTCCGCTCTCCAGACACCGTCGAGGGTAGCGTACCTCTGCCTGCAATCCTGGTCTTTCATCTGACGAGCCTTCAGCCTAGTAGCAGGACAAGATCTAGGACTGACCCTGGCACTCCTCTTAATGCCAAACCCGCAACTCCTCTACGCTCCCCTGGTTTTCAGTCCAACGCCTCCGGCGCGTCCCCCGGCTTCTCCCAGATCCCCCGCCCCAATCAATCCCGCCGAGGCAAGTTCTCCGACGACTCAGACGTCGAGTACCGGTATCGCGCCGACGCGGTCGACCGCCGCAAGCTCGTTATCACCAATCCGTCGCACTCGTCGTCGGAAAGCGAGCGCGAGCCGTCGTCGTCCGTACGCCGCACATTGGCGTCACCCAAGACGAACCGGCAGTACCAGACCCTGCCCGCGCGGCCGTCCAAGCTGTCCGACAAGACTGCGCAGGTGCTGAAGCGGCTGTCGCAGACGCAGCATACACCGAGGCCGCGGCAGACGTACTTCGGTGACGCGGATACCGAGAGCGCCTCCGAGGGGAGCGTTGGTCATGGACCTAGTGACTCGGTAACGTCGACGGAATCCGTGGACCCGCCACCGCCACCGCCGTCACAGCGGAGCAGAGGCAGCACAGACCGCATGCGGCGGCAGTCTGCGTTACTCGATATCGTCGGTGCGCTTCGAGCGCCTAAGGGCGAGACAGCTCGCGAGGAGAGCGAGTACGAGGGCGAGCCTACGGCCGTGGCGTACAGCGGGACATCGGGGACATACAGCGCGACGGCCGATAACTCCAGCGCGCAAGAGAGCAGCGAGGACGAATCGGAGTACAGCGAGTATGAGGATGAGCCGCCGAGGACGCCCATGCCGCAGAATACGCCGGTGATGGGGCAGCATCGAGCCGGAGGCGCCGTGCCGACTTTCACGTTTTCCGATGACGATGGAGGGACGCATCGTAAGTGGCCTTCTGCACAGCGATTCCGGAGCACGCGACTGACGCAAAGGACAGAGCACGCGCGATCAACAACACCCACTCGTCTCAGCCGGAACGAGCCAGATGACCAACTCCGCGACCTCGACGCCGTCGCCCTCGCCCAGCAGGCGCGCGCCGTCGCCGTTCGCGAACGCCTAGCTCTCGGAATCCCGCCCTCTGCCTCCGATGAGCTTCCCAGCCGGCACATGCGCACGGACAGCGACGCGAGCGTATTTTCGTCCATCGACAGCATCAGCATGCAATTGCAGGACAGCGCGAGCGATCTGAGCTCGGGCGCGGAGGCGATGCTAAGGAAGCTCAGCACGAACGGACGGGCAAGGGAAGGGTGGCGGAGGGGGATGCAGGGGCCGGTGGTGGATAGGCGAGATGTGCAGACGTCTGCGGATAGACGAGAGGCGCAGGCGTCCGCGGATAGGCGTGATCGGCAGCTGCCCGACAGGCGCGAGGCGCAATCGTCCGCAGACAGGCGCGACAGGCAGGACTACCAGGAAACGGACTCGGGCGAGGAGAGCGCGGCGACCGACAGCAACATCGACCGTTCGGTATCGCACTTCTTCGACATACCGGTCAAGGAACGCGTTAGGTTCGCCGAGACAGATACCATGATCACCTCTGCCTCGGAAGAACTCGCGAAGCGGACCCCGCCACCTGTAGACGCCGGGGACACAGAACCCCAACGAGCGGCGCTCATCCGCGACTTCATTGCCGCGGAAGAAGAGTTCGTGGCGCGCACGCAGTTCTTCATCAAGCACTTCATTCTGCCACTACGCCTGCAGAATACCCGTCGATGGGTCCAGGGCGTTCCGCCGCGCGCTGCCCGCCTGCTCGACTGGTTCGAGGACATCGCGAACCTGCACGCTCAGGTGCTCGATGCGCTGCGTACTCCGCCTGCATCCCCGGCCGCCCATAGTCGACGCCCCTCGTCGCAGCCCATCTCGCTAGTCCCAATGCGCGCGTTCTTACCGCGTCTGGAGATCTACCAGCCGTACATCGTGACCTTTGTCGCCGTGGCGGGCGAGGTGCGCAGGGACGAAAGCGACTTTGGCGAGTTTGTGGGGCTGCAGGAGGAGCAAGAGGAGTGTGCGGGGTGGGATCTGGAGCGATTTCTTGCGGAGCCGGTGAATAGGCTGGCGGCTTATCCGGGGTCGTTCAGGGTGGGTGTTTCAGTCGTGAGGAAGAGAGGATTTCATGATACTGACATCATCGTAGAAACTGCTCGACCTAACGCCCAAGCCGCACCCAGAATACCTCGAGACGCTGGCGCTGTTCCGCGCTACGGACGTGCTAATCAAGGTCATGACGGAGGTCAAGGCGCGCGAAGACGAGTACGAGGCCGCGAAGAGGCTGCTCGAGCGTGTGCGTGGGCTACCGGCGGGCTCGGGGCTGCTACGACGAGAGCGCCGACTGCTGCGCCATGGGCCTCTCGTCCGTATACCAATGCCCGATGTCGCTGCGAACGACGGCGAGCAACCCGGACAGCGCACGAGCCGCTTGATGGAGGCGATCAATGACTGGGATCGACGCAAGCACGCAGGCTCCACGCCTTCGAACGTAACAACAGGGTCGTACGGCTCGTACAATCCAAGCATCATGACGGACGCCCAGTCCGCGGACCCGACTCGTCCTGCGCCGTGTTCGACGCGTACTTCGGTGTACGCTTTCGCGTTCTCGGATGTGGTTTTGCTGGCGACACCCATCGCGGGCGAACGTGATGTATGGATGTTGTGCGAGGATGTGGGAGTGGCGCGGGTTGTGGGCGTTGAGGGAAAGGGTGAGGTTTTCCGTCCTATCTGTACATCCGTGAGCTCACCGACCGTTCGACAGACGGCGTCATGTCCTTGACCCTCCTGCCGTTAGACGCCTTCGCTCTCGACGCCCCGCTCGACCTCGCTCGTGCCCGCCTCGAGCAGATCCACCTCACTGTCCCCGACCTCGGCCGCGCCTCCGCCCCGAGCGACGCCTGGATGCTCGCGCTATCGCAGTGCGCGCAGTTCTCCCTCCTCGCCATCTCTATGCCACCACCAGACGGTGGCGGCGGCAGGGACATGCCTGGCGTGGACTCGGGGCTGCAGCAGCGCATGCGCGGGTATCCGGCGGAGATGCTGAACAAGGCGGACGATTTCCCGATACCAAAGAGCCCGTCGGCGCAGATTGATGATGCGCAGAAGGGGCGGCGGGAGGACTTGCAGCGGGACGAGCGCGAGGAGCGGGGGTGGTGGCATACGCGGTTTCAGCAGGTGCTGTGGGAGGTGCAGCAGCAGCTGTATGTGGGGAGGTAAGAGGAGGGTGTGATGGCGATATGTTATCTCTCTTGACGTTGGTAGTTTATACATGCTATTAGGCTTCAGCACGAACGGACGTTGATCACTTCAGGTTTGCTTTGACAGGGGTGATCGCTGGTGACTTCGTATTGGTTCTGCCCCTTGTGGCACTCCAGCCTAGTTTCGGGACCCAGCTCTAAATCTAAGCAGAGTGGCGGTCTGGCAGGCATTGTGCATGCAAATCTCGTGTATCCCCGGTCAGGATGTTACCAGACCGGCGGAGAATTGGGAGGTGCGCAAAGTCCGCGAAGCAGCGGTGCTGCAGGTGCGAGCAGAATTCGAGGAGCAGATGCGCGTGAATGGAGCTAGGGAACTACCTATCTGGGAGGAAGAGGAGTATACGGGACCGCCTCGATTATGGTAGCTTGCAGACTCCATCCGTGAATTTGTACGACATACATAAAATACATATTCCAGTTTCGTCCAGCTTCAGTTACACGTCGAGCTTCAACGGCGTCGTGCGCAGGTACGGCAGGTGCACCTTGTGCTCGGGGAAGATCTGCTTTGCCTCCTCCTGCGAGACGCCGACGTGGATGATCACGTCGTCGCCCTGCTTCCAGTTCACGGGCGTCGCGATGCGGTGCTTGTCGCTTGCCTGGAGCGCGTCGACGACGCGGACGATTTCGTCCTGCAGGTGTGGTTAGCAGGGATTCGAGACAGATTGGTGAGCGTGGACCGGGTATAGGGTGAGAGCAGAAGGGAGGGTACAGATGGAGGGGGTGTGAGAGTAAAGGAGAGGATAATGCAGTTGTAAGGCGCGATACTCACGAAGTTGCGGCCAACAGCGGCGGGGTATGCGAGGGTGAGACGGATGGTCTTCTTCGGGTCGATGATGAAGACGGTGCGGATGGTGAACGGGAGGCCCTTCGCATCCCTGTTCGTCGCGTCCTGGTAGTCCAGCATGTCGTACAGTGTCGCGATCTTGCGATCACCGTCCGCGATCTGCAATCACTAGTCAGCCCCTTCGTCCTCACAACCACAACGCGTACGCACGATGGGGAACTGGACATCCGTCGGGCCCGTCGTCTCACCACCGTACTTGTTGATGTCCTTGACCCAGTCGTGGTGCTTCTGCAGGTCGTCCGCGGAGATGCCGATGACCTTCACGTTGCGCTTCTTGAAGTCCTCCGCACGGCGCGCCACCTCGCCGAGCTCGGTCGTGCACACGGGGGTGAAGTCGCCAGGGTGGGAGAAGAGGATGGCCTGGTGTGAGGCGCAGGATATCAGCAAGTCGTTCTCGCAGATGGCAAAAGGCGACGCACCCAAGAGTCGCCGATCCAGTCGTGGAACTTGATCGGGCCCGCGGTCGTCTCCGCCTCAAAGTCAGGCGCGATGTCGCCGAGGCGCAGTCCGTTGCGTTGAGACATGGTGGGTATGAAGATGGGTATGAGGGCGGGAAAAGTGCAAGGCTTGGGAGGACCGAAGTACGCTAAGTCTGGGCACTGGGAGGGTAAAACGAACTATATATCCTGCCTATGGGCGCGTATAGCGCCATCGACGTGACCATGACACCACGATGGCGAATATGGCCTGCCTGATCGCGCCTCCGCTAGCCGCGAAAATTGAATGTCTTGATGCTATCGTGCTGGTGGCGAGCGTTCTACTATCGCTGCGACATCGTCTTCGGCCATGGCAGGTGAAGAGTCACCGGGCTTGGGATGACTTGATGAACGCGCCATTTTACTCGGTATCGTGATTTCGGACGCTCAGTCCGTGGAAGAAAATGTCGAGATTGACGGCACTGGGTACAGGGCCAAGGGCCTGAGCACAAGGACATGGGCAGAGAAGAGCAGAGGAATTCGGAATATCAAGACGGTCGGACGGACCGATCTTCCCAAGGACCGCAGAGGACTCAGTCTATCCTTCATTAAAAGTCTACATAGATAGCAGAGTTTCCTGAAGATCCATACTTCGGCGCTTGCGGCGGAAACTGGCGGAAATATCGCATGAATCGGAACGTACAATACCTGCCATATCGGGAAACAAAGCACAAGCACGTGAATGGGTATCCCCATGGGGACGGACACAAACGCAAAGATGGAAGAAATGACGATACCTTCCTTCCCCGAACAGAACACAAGTTTCACCTCCATACATCTTGCTGCCCCTTCAGCTTTTACAACACCTGCTAGAGCTGCGTATGCCACCAGGGTCCTACGCCTCACGCTCACCCCGCTGCAGGTCGCCCCGCTTTCTGCACGTCATGAATCTGCGCCCATGGGTTTCCGCTTGGTGATAAATCGTCCTCATCATCTATATTCTCGGCCGGATATCCCCGCTTGAGGTTGGCGCCCGTCGTTGAAGATGTACTGATCCAAAAATTTCTTCGCTTACATGCTCACTGTGATTGCTACACCATTGACGGTAGGGTCTAAGCATCAGGCTTATCCTCAGCGACCATCGCCTTCGTATCGCCCGTCGACCAGATCCCGATGGCCTTCATCTTGCTGATGCGCCATGGATTGCCAGTCGTCGCGTTCGTACGCGTGAACTCCAGCTCGTAGCGTCCCTGCATAAGTTCATTCAGCAAATACACGCGAGCAGCATGATAATCGGCAGATCGAGCGTGCATAGCATAGCGCAAAAGTAGAATAGCAAATATGAGCCCAAGACGTACCCCGTTCTGCACGGTTGTGAGCTTGTCATCAGCTGACTTGGTCACAAGCGTAGCCCCGCCATTGACATGGGCGGTCGCCGTAGAAGGCGCTTCACGGTCTGCCGACGGCTGGCCAAGGTCGATGAGAGGGGACCTATGATCAACAACTCAGTATGAAGAGTATCACGCCTCGATCGAGAAGGAACGCACAATATCCCATGCTGCAGCGCATGCAGCTTCGTCAGCATTCCCTCCCACCACTTCGCCTGCTGCGTGTTTGAGATCGTATACGGCTCGCCGCCCAGCAGCGACGTGTAATCGACGTAGAGCTCCTCAGCGAGGACATCACTGGCGATCTTGTCGAACTGCCGAGTGTCAACGTAGAGCATCTGCGGAGATCTATGGTCAGCGTCTTCCCAGCAGCGTACACCCGATGGTCAACTCGTTCGCGTCCTCCCAGCACATCCGCGCATCCGGATCTGCAAACATAGACGCGGAACGCACCAAAGCAATAACAATGTCATGGATATTGGCACGGTCAACGAGCCACTGCGTCGCGTCGTATGGCATGGTGGGCGAGGTTCGGTTGGGTGCAGCCGGAGTCTCACTTATACTCAAAGATAGCGACCTCGCTTTATAAGGGAGTGTCGATTGTATGTGCTTTGTAATCTTCATTCATCGCCAAACATTGCGACGGTTAGAGGGAGTCTACGTCCATTATGCATGTTGATGCAGGATAGTGGTCGAGAAAGTCAAGAAGGTCGAGAGGAAGAACACCGCGGAAGATAAGGGCCCGCCCGACGCTCGGCAGGCCCTTCGGCAGCCCCGGCATCTGCCGAAATCGGGTCCTCCCCGGACCCACACCTTGTCCACAACTGCATTCGGACCCACAGTGGACTCAGGCAACGTCCAAGGAGTTCGAGAATCTCCTTTTGCTTTTGATTCTATATCTGCATGAGAAACTTTCTTCAGCCCCTCAGCCGAGAACTGCACCCCTGTACCTCGCTGCCTAAGCTGCCTGACACGCTGAAGTCGTTCACACTGTTTAGAGATCTGTTTTCAACCTCTCATTCGGCAAAGCGGCAACCTTACAGGTCAGAGAGAGCTACTTCTGGCTTACTCATACAAAGGCCTTTCTTGGTATAAAGGCCTGAGTACTCGAGCCACAATTTCAGCACCTACAACCTCGACAATACCGAACTCAACGACCACCAACCCAACCACCGCATATCTCAGTATGACTGGAACCATCCTCCTCACCGGCGGCAACGGCAAGACCTCCTCGCGGGTCGCCAAGCAACTGAACGATGCCGGGGTCCCTTTCCTCATGACCAGTCGCAACCCTCCCGCCTCCCCCAAGTTCCCCACCGTTCGCTTTGACTGGCTCGACGAGTCGACGTACGAGAACCCATTCAAGCAGGCGTCAGACATCTCAGCGGTCTACCTCGTCTCCCCGCCAATCACGGACGTCCTGCCGCCGATGTCGCGCTTCATCGAGCTCGCGCGCAAGCACGGCGTGAAGCGCTTCGTGCTGCTCGGCGCGAGCCCCATCCCGCGCGGCGGACCGGGAATGGGCAAGGTGCACGACTACCTGGCGAGTGTGGGTGTGGAGTGGGCAGTCCTGCGCCCGACGTGGTTCCAGGGTGGGTTTTTGGTTCAGCTGCGAGGGGTTGAGATGGTACTGATGAGCGCACCATAGAGAACTTCTCCGAGCAGCAGCACCGCGGCACGATCCGCGACGAGGGGAAGATCTACTCCGCGACGCAGGACGGGAAGATACCCTTCGTGTCCTGCGAGGACATCGCCGCTATGGCGGTTCGCACCCTCACGGACGAGAAGTCGCACGACACTGAGTACTTCGTCCTGGGGCCCGAGCTGCTCACATATGATGAGGTCCGTCAGTTTCCCTCTATGCGAGCGTAGCACAAGCATCTGACGTTGCACATCCTCCTAGGTCGCTCAGATCCTCACCGATACCCTCGGCAAGCCCATCACCCACGTTAAGGTCTCCAAAGACGAGATGCAGGCCAAGTTCATCGCGCTCGGCGTCCCCGCGGACTACGCGCCCATCCTCGCGGGCATGGACGTGGCAATCTCGAAGGGGTCGGAGGCCAGGCTCGACGACGCGGTCGAGCGCGTCACTGGCCGTAAGCCGAAGAGCTTCAAGACGTTCGCGGAGGAGGCGAAGCAGGCATGGCTGTAATTGGATTGAATAGAGTATAGTTATGTTCTATTGCGCCTGTAGGGATATCTTGAAGTCGAAGAATATAGTCAAGACCATACGGGATCGAATAGAGCTCGGGGTTTATGTCATACTATGATGCGCGTCTTTTGAGAAGTTTGTGCGGCCGGCCGTACGCGTGTATTCCCTGGTTCCTTCTCTCACCTTCTCCATAGACTGCAGACACTAGCGCCCTTCTGAACTGCTTTGGGTACTTGCGCGACTTACTCTACGCATAGAATTTCGCTCATTTACTACCCCCTCACCAACGGAAACACAGCAACAAACGCACTCTCTATGACGAAGCTCTATGCATATCGTCACCAACCCATCAAGGGTATCTACTTGACTGGGCAGATTGTCTTGACGCTGTTCGTCCGGCTGCCCTTCTGGGTGCTCACTTCACTACCAAGGTTCGTCTTCTTACAGCACCTCTACCCTTATAATTGACGCACATTCCAGGACCTGGCGACAGCGTCCATCATGGTCCCTCTGGCAATCCCTTCTCGTAAAGTTCGTGCGCTGCTTTGCGCAAATTGGTGACAAGTCAGTATAGTTCGACTCGAGTTTTGAGGCTGACGAGGACGCTGACGGTCCTCCTGTAGAGTGGGTGACATAGACTTCGGTACAGATCCCAACCACGAAGCCATCGTCCCTGGCGAGGGCGTCAACGGCGTCTGGCTCGACCCCGTGCCCTCGCTCATCGTCGACGAGCTCAAAATCTGGACGACCGCGCAAAACGTCGAGCCCGTTCGCATACCCGGGTACTGGATGCACGGCCCCGACACCGACATCCCCGTCGCCGCACCCCCGCAACCCGGCGAAAAGGTCCTCCTCCACCTCCACGGCGGCTACTACAAAGGTCTCTCCGCCCACCCCTCCGACTTCACCTCCGTCATCCCGCGGAATCTCCTCAAGCACTGCGCGCCCGCCCTTTGGCGCACGCTCTCCGTCGAGTACCGCCTCTCGTCGACCTACCCGTTCCCCGAGCGCCACCCGTTCCCCGCCGCGCTCCTCGATGCGCTCGCGGGGTATAGCTATTTGGTGCACACCGTCGGCTTCGCGCCGGAGGACATCGTCGTCGAGGGCGACTCCGCGGGCGGGAACCTCGCATACGCGCTCGTGCGCTACCTCGTCGAGCACGGCGGGCAAAACGGTATACCACAACCGCCTGGGCACCTGCTACTGCTGTCACCTTGGGCCGACCTCGGGAGCGCCATACGTTCCAAGCCCGGCGGCTCCTGGCAAAGATTCGGCAATGCGGAGGCCACCGACTTCCTCTACCCCGGCGCGCTCGCAGACCACTGCGCCAAGGCCGTCGCGGGCTCGCTGGGCACGCTCATGCTCGAGCTCAATCGCTACGTGTCGCCAGCGTCGCAGCATCCTGCGCTCGGAAGGATCTCCTTCAAGGGCTTCCCGAAGACGTTCATCAGCGTCGGTGGGTGCGAGAGCCTTCTCGATGAGATCCGCATCTTGCGGGACCGGATGGTGGCGGATATGGGGGAGGGCGCAGTCACGTACCGCGAGGAGCCGGACGCGGTGCACGACTTCCTGACCTTCCCAAGGTGGCAGCCCGCGTCGACGAATACCACGCTGGCTATTGCGCAATGGTTGGGAGCATCTGGAAAGCAATGAACGCACTGTGTTCATCCCCAAAATTCGAAAATTCGTGCAAGCAAGTGACATTACAGGGCATCGAAGTAAGATAGTCGTAAATCTATCAGTCGTTAAATCTGTAGCTTGATCAGCAATCGTATACCCAGGTGGACATATCACAGCCACGCAACCTGTGTCAGCACACCCTACGCTGCGATATCCATGATCAGCGCCATGAACTGCACCCCCGCCTCACTCTCCGTATCTCGCTCCACTTCCTTCTCGAACGGAATCGGGTCCTCCCCATACTCGCTCCGCAGCTGCCGCGCGATCCTCTCCTTGCTCACCGCGACCCCCGCCTCCTCCGCGGCCGTCACGAGCGCCTTGTACAGCAAGTACACGCCCGCGGGGTTCCCCAGGATCGCCTCGACCTTCGCGCGCTCGACGAGCGAGTAGTCCGTCGCGTCCCGGGTGCGCGGCCGCGAGGGGTGCACCCAGTGCAGGCGCGCGTAGTCATAGTCCCCGTCCGCCGCGTCTTCGGGGAGCAGCGGGTACCAGCTGTCTTCCTGGCGGTTTCCGAGGGCGAAGTGCACGGCGAAGACGGCCTGAATGTCGATGAGCGCCTGGGAGCCGTTCTTGACGCGCTCCTGCACGCGGCGGGAGATGTCGTCGATCTCGGCCTGACTCTTGCTCTTGCCAGGAAGGGGCGGGCCGTTTTGGCTGGGAGCCGAAGCGTGGGGTAAGGTGCGGGAGAGAGTGAGGGAAGTGTGCGTTCAGAGGAATGGGAACAAGAGGAAATGTCAGGAGACGTCCATGTGGGGGAGGAAGCACAAAAGAATTCGTTAGCAACCGCGTTCATTCTCTCAAGCAATCCGCTCACCCCCATCCCCTTGACCTCGCCTCCTCCTGTATCCGCTGGTGCAAAAAGTTGAGCGCCTCCCGCTTCTCCTTCTTGGCTTGGCGGTTGCTCATGCGCGGTACCACGGCTGAGGTTGACGCTGTCTTGTTCTCCATCCCCGGCGTCATTCCGTGTGCGTCGCGCATCAGCTTGATTCTCTGTATGTCGCGTATCGGGGTACGTTGTCGATCGTGCGGTATATGTTGCGTATGAGCAACCATGATAGAAAGCAAGGTATCGTCAGTAGCTGCCTCGCAGCACCAAGAAGCGCAATAGACCTTAGACGACACAGACCACTCGGGGAACGTCTTCTTGATCTGCGCGTGCGCCTTGCCGACACCCAGCCCAGGCTGCTCGACGTGCAGGCGCTGGAGAGCGGCAAGGAGCTCATCATCGGTGGGAGCGGACATGGCGGTGACTGGGGATGCACAACTCAGAGTAAGAGATGTACAGCGGGGAGCGCGAGGAGCAAATGAGCACGGCGAGGGGCATCTTGCAAAGGCGTGGAATCAACGTGTGAATCCCGCCGTGATGGGCAAGACCTGAACGAGAAGATGCTGAGTTGTCTCGGACGCTCTTGCGAAGAGAATTCTTCTACAAGCTATCCAAGTGATCAATGCATCATCCACCGGAGTGCACCTCGGCATGCAGGTTCACCCACGCATCCAAACCTACCAACGCGTCGCCGCATCTTCGAATTCGATGTAGCTCTTCGCGTGCTGCTCGGGACTTCAATGGGTCGTTGTGTTGCTCACCGGATCGATCTGTCGATCATGGAAGGTTGACCCGGTGGGCTTACTGCTACAAAATGAAGAGAAGTATGTGGAGACTGCGCTGAAGACCCCATCACTGGCACCAGGCTCATGCCGCCAGCCACTGCGCAATGACACGAGCAGTCTCTTTCGACGCGGCCCGCCACCCTGGGACAATCAGGAAGTCGTGAACCGCGTCCGGCACCTCCCGGCATGTGACGGCACTCTCCCCCATGTCCGCAACCATCCTGTCTCGCAAGATGCGAATCTCATCCAGCAGACTCTCGCACCCGCCAGCGCTGATGAACGTCCTTGGAAATCCCTCGAAGGACACCCGCCCCCTCGCGGGGTGCAGCGAGGCCGGAGACACGTAGCGGTTGAGCTCGAGCATGAGGGTACCCACCGATCCCGCGAAGGCCCTCGCGCAGTGGTCTGCGAGTACGCGGGGGTCTAGGATGTCTGCGGCCTCCGCGGAGCCGAATCTTTGCCAGGACCCGTCGGGCTTAAAGCGTATGGCGCTTCCGAGGTCTGCCCAGGGCGACAGCAGCAGAAGGTGTCCGGGGGGTCGAGGGATCCCGCGCCGTCCGCCATGCTCGAGGAGGTAGCGCGTGAGCGCGTAGGCGAGATTCCCGCCCGCGGAGTCGCCACCGACGATGATGTTCTCCGGCGCAACACCGACGGTGTTCACGAGGTAGGCATACCCCGCGAGCGCGTCGAGGAGCGCGGCGGGGAAGGGTTGGCGCTCCGGGGAGGGCGCGAGCGAGGAGAGGCGATACTCAACGGAGAGCGCGCGCTGGAGAATGGGTGTGCTGTGCTCAAGCAAAATTCGCGGGATGACGGCAGTGATGTCGCCGGGGTGCGCGGAGAAGGTTTTGTAATAGCCGCCGTGAAGGTAAAGGAGGACCTTCTCGCCAGGCTGCGGCGAGGCGCCAATGGACGTCTGGCTGTCGGGCCCGTGCATCCAGTAGCCGGGTATGCGGACGGGTCCAACTCCTTGAGCGGTTGCCCAAATTTCGAGTTCATCGACGATGAGGTCGGGCACGGGGTCAAGCCAGACGCCATTGACACCTTCGCCCGGTACGATGGCTTCGTAATCGGGCAATCCCCGCGGGTCGATGTCGCCGACTCTACGCGGTCCGATTTATGGAGATGAGTTGTGACTCAGTTCGTATGCGCACGATACTCACATAGCGATCGTTTTCGCGGCGCGGCGCGCAAATTTTACGACGACAGACTGCCAGAAGGTCCACGATGTACGTGGTCGCCAAGGCCTATGACACCGTCAATGAGCCTGACCGTACCGGGGTGGGCCATCGCACCGACCTTGGAAGCGATGCGACTATCCAGAAGGGCATGCGAACGAGCAGCGTCAGGAGAGCTTGCCCCGTCAGGTAAGCGGCTTTGAGAGGCTGACGATGATACCCTAATAACTCTGTCATAGGATGTTCTGTGCACTGTGCTTCTGAAAGCAGGCGTCAGGAATTAATGGTGTGCGCGTTCGCGCATAGGAGCACTCACAAGAAGCAGGGAATGGTGTTCGACCTCCAGGGGTAGCGAAGGAGAAGAGAGTTGTATCTCGTATGCCTACTCGCCACCGCACTTCAGCCGCACTGGCATTAATACCCACGCTTAGTCTTCTTAGGACTGCATGGAATTCGAGCCCAATCACAAACTATATGCCAATCAACGTCATACGTTATAGACCACAGAATACACGGCAAGGGCTACCAATTTCTTGCAGTTGTACGATCACAGCCACGCCTGCTTTGCCTCCTCAGCAAAGGCCTTGAATGTCTTCGGCAAGCGGCCCGTAACACGCTCGACCGCGTCGTCTAGTCTTGCCTCCGCACCATTCGAGATCGCCACATCCATCGCGGCGAGGATGGGAGCATAGTCCGCGGGGACGCCGAGTGCGATGAACTTCGCCTGCATCTCCTCCTTGGACACCTTCACGTGGGTGATAGGCCTCCCGAGGATGTCGCTCATGATCTTCGCGACCTGCACACACGTCAGCTACCATCCCATCCACACAAAACCTAAGGCGCACCTCGTCATACGTGTGGCTCAGGGCCCAAGACGAGGTGTTCGGTGTCGTGCGACTTCTTGTCTGTGAGTGCGCGGACCGCCATCGCGGCGATGTCCTCGCAGGCCACGAACGGGATCTTGCCGTCCTGCGTCGCAGAGTAGATTTTCCCTTCGTCGCGAATCGTGCCGCGGTGCTGCTGCTCGGAGAAGTTTTCTGCACGGCATCTGCATGACGCCAGCGAAGACGGTTCCAGAAGACAGGTTAACCCACCCATAAACCATGTGGGGCGCAGGACGCAGTACTCAACGCCCAGGTTTGCGAGGTAGTCATGCACCTTCCCCAAGCCGATACCGCCGCGCGGGAGGTGAGCAGGACGAAGCGTCGGACGCCGCGCGCGCGGGCGAAGTCGATGAAGCGCGACATCGGGGGCAGCGGGTCTGTTACGGGCGGGGAGACGAGATATACGGCGGAAATCTGCCCAGAGCTGTGCTGAAAGGGTGCCTCCCAAGTGGTGTCATCGAGCCAGTCGAAGCGGATGGTGGGGAACTTAGGTGCTGCTGGGGGCGAGCGGCTGGTCATCAGGAAGGGGATACCAGCATCGTGCAGTTGCTTCGCGACCCTCGACGAGGTTTTGCCGTTTCCGCCAGTGAGAAGGATGGTTCCAGACATCGTGATACAGTCAGGATTCGGGTACTGTGGCCTTGTTGCGCGCTTATACCAGGACTCAAGATTCTTTGAGTAGGCCAAGATTTACGCGGAAGGGACCCGATTTGCTGCGCGGTAAGTACAACAGAGGAAGTGATCCTATTGAGAGAAGCAAGGCACACGGCGAGGGGTTCGACGAAAGAGTAACAAGGAGACTTGTGGGTCCGTGGGCATCGGGCACGCGAAATCCATATGTGGGTCCGGGGTCCAGCCGTTTTCGGCAGATGCCGATACATGCCGAGGAGCGTGCCGAGAGATCTTTGGCGCCTGTTTTCCGCGCTGTTTTTCCTCGACCCCCACCATGACAAGTGTGGATCCTCTTCCACTGCGTAAATGCACTCTACAGATGACGAGGTCAATGGATCTGCCACTATAAAGCCGGGCGTCGGGGCACAGACCTTCGACTGCAGTTATTGAATCCCTTGACGAGCACCCATGCCGTACGACGCGACGCAGTGGCTAGTTGACCGCGCGAACATCCATGACACCGTCATCGCTCTGGTACGCGAAACTTGTACGGCTTGTGGCTCGGGCGTGCTAAGCATAGGCGCAGATGCTCTACGTGGACACCCGGCAGTTTGACCGGGTTGCCAGCGAGGTTCTGGCCACAGAGCTTCTTGTGGACTACACGTCGTTGCTCGGGGGCGAGCCGTATACCATATCCAACACGGAGCAGGCGAAGATGTGGGAAGGGATGCTGACGAAGCTGCATGCGACTCAGCATGGTATTCTGTAAGTCTTCTTTGCCCACCTTCCGTCGTCCTGATCAAGAACGACTGACTGCCTTCAGTTCTCCCCTCGTCGACCTTGGCCAGCCCTCGGCAGAGCGGGAGGCTCCTAAGACAGCGACCGCCCTCGTCAACGGCGGAGCGACGCTTGTGCGCAAGTCGGCAGACGACGAGACCATAGTGCAGAATGGGGTGCGTGTCTTCTGCGTGGCCACTACGCTGTCCGGGCGCGTTGCTCATGCGGTGCTCCCATAGGGTCGTTACGAGTTGGAGCTGACGCGTACGGCGACTGCGCCTGGCACGAATCCATGGCGCATCAGCAAGATGAAGGCAATCGGGATCTGGTCGAAGGGCGATACCCAGGCGATGGTGGGTGACTCGACAGACAAGGCGTAGACGCGCATGGGATTTTGTACTGCTACCAGGGCCCTCTGAAAAAAGCGAGACCATATTGACTATTGACAAAGGGCCCCACTGAGGAGCTTGGAGATACCCTGCTTGGCGCACGAAGTCAGCTTTCAGCGCGCACATCGTGAGGTCAGTACCAACCTGGTCGCTCCAGTCTTCGATATCTGGCCCGTCGTCAACCTCCATGCTGGACCGTCGTCAACCTCCATGCTGGACCGCCACCAACATTCGTGTCGGCCTCACAAACTCCATCATCTTCGGAGCGGACAGCAATACTGATATGCAGCAAGCTTGGTCGGCATCGAGGGGCGCGCGGTCGCGTACTGTTCCCCCATGTTGCACACGCCGCACGCCGGATGATCGCACTGCTCGCCGCACTCCGCCTGCAGACTGTTATACAGCGGGCCCGCGGCGGTGAGGGATTCCTCGTCAAAGTGGCGGTCGTGAATCTTCACAGACATAGAAAAGCCGAGCCAACAGAGGGCTAGGACGATGAGCATAGGCCTGGTGAACTCGCGGGCGGGTGGGCTAGCGAGGGGTGGGGGTGACCCCGCGCTTGACCGTTTGAGGGCGCGGCCTGCGCACCTTCCGAGGTCGCGGCCTGAGCGCCGTCTGAAGCAGCGGCCTCAACGGCCTCACGACATAGAGCAGGATGGCGTTGAGGAGGATCAACAGCGGCATTTTGGCCTATGAGCGACTTGGTTGCGGCAGAGTCGCGCAGAGCAGCTGGTAGCAGAGGTCTGCAAGGTGCGTAAAAGAGGAGGGCTGCAAAGTAGGTGGACGTCGAAGCGAGCGGAAGTTGTTCCCATCAACCAACAACCTCAAGTAGCGGACCGACCTCGGCCCGCCGCTGCTCGCGTGTGGTAGAACGCGTACGGTTCGAAGCAGTCAAGACGATAAAAATTGAAGGAGAAGTTCTATACTGTACAAGTACGCTGTGCGTCTTTCTGCTGATAATTCTTACATCGATGGGTGAACCTTGACAAGAGCAGCACTAGTCAAGATCGGCGAGGGCGCCTCCTGAGGTACCATTTTGCGCTCCTAATCTCTGACGAATAAGCCCTAGACCCCAAGATCAGCGTCCAATACAAACGCCGTCGCCAGACCACCGCACCTTCGTCCTCATCCTTATGTAGTGCACCGGTACCGTAAACGGAGGCGTACGGCATCAATGGCGCGCGGTACCTCGTCGTCGGCGAGGCATGCATCACCGTCGACGGCATGTGCAGCGTCGATGGCATGGGTGGCGTCAGTAGCACGGGCGGCGTCGCTGCCTGCCTCTGCCAGAGTCTATGCACACAATCGGGATGCATAGATTGGTAGTGGGAGGGGCAGTCGCCCGTGAGCGCGAACCACGCGGCATCCACTAGAAGGACCGCCAGCGGAGCGAGGATGAGGTAGACCCTGATTCCGAGGAAGGAATAAAACAGATAGAGGGCCGTGTATCCGAGGCGTTCACGAGTGGCGGGGGTGGCGAGCCAGCGGCGGAGGGCAGGGAAGCGGGGCCTCGCCACAAAGAGCAGGGTCGCGTTGAAGAGGAGCAGCAGTGGCACCATGGTCTCGCAGAAGATATGAGGGAAGTTGCTGGCTGTATGATAGATGGGTTCCAGAGGAGATCGTGGCAACAAGTCTGCAGGGTAGATAGGCGTTCAGAACAAGGGACGTTCTCATTGAGCAGTGTCGGTCCGCGCTCGGCCCGCCGCTAACCCCGCATGGGAATTCCTATTGTGATTGAATGGGCGCACGAGGCTGCCGCCGACGGGGCCGCAGAATCCATGGCATCCGGCTCGGCGTCCACAGCCCTTGCTTCTTACCGCCAGATCAGCGCCGCTCGCTCGCAAGCTAGACCATGGCAGCCGCTGCGCCCCAGCACTACATGCACCTCCAACATCATCACCACTACCAGCAAGCTGGCGCGACCCCGAAGGTGTGTGGCGCGACATCGTGTGTCAGACGCGCGCTCATTAACGTTGCAGGCGGCCTCTCACCCAGCTCATGGCCCTGCGTCTTGCATCGTCTTTGCTCCTGGCGTCGTGGGCAACGCGCACGCGATCACCCTGCGCCTGAGCAAGTCGGAGGACGAGCGGAGCCGGAGGCGCTTATAGTGCGTTGCCATGAATACTTGTTGAGATTGTCGGGAAGACTGACTGTGATACCTAGTAACCCTCGCGGCGAAGCATCCTATAGCCCTCGCAGAGAAGCATCCACCGCCAACCCCTCTCACTCAACGAACACCGCCCATGCGTACGTTCATCTACGTCCCGATCATCGATGTCATGCTAATTGACTGCTCGCAGCCGAAAGTCATCATCAAGCAGCCTGCCCGATACCCGGCCACCCTCGCCTCATATAGACAGCGTTCCCTACCTGTACGTCCGGGGTGCCCACAGCCAAAGTATCCGTACTGACCTCAGCCATAATCCAGATCCTCCTCTGCACCCACGTCTCGCCCCACCTCCCCCACCCCCCTCACCATCCGTATCCGTAAAGAGGACCATGTCGCCTACATCGAGAAGCGCGCGCAGTCCGACGCCGCCGTCCGCGACGTTACGGAACTCATGGGTGACGCCCTGACGCTCGCCGAACCCTCTGGCATTGACGCCCTGGCGCGCGCAATGGGGAGGCAGCTGCGTGTCGAGGGGCCGATGGACTCTGAGGACGACGACGACGAAGACGGGCATCTCCCGAAGCCCTCTCGCATGCGCCAGCTTGAGCTTACGGTGGAGACCAACCTCTTCTTGGCCGAGGTGGCGAAGGAGCTGACTGGGATGCCCGACAAGCGGCCAATGTTCGGCGAGCAGACGCAGGGTGTTTCGCCCGGCAAACGCAAGCTCAGCGTGTTCTACGCGGACCATGAGTCTTTGGACGAGGAGATGGAGGACATCGATGGTCCGAGGCGAAGGAAGATTGCACGATTGCCTAGTGCTGGTCATTCTGGGCCGCCCAACACCGTACGACTGTCTGGTCATGCAGGTCATGTCGGCCATACAGGATATTTGTGGCGGGCGCGCAAGTAGCACTCGTCGAAGTTTCGGTTCTCATGACAGCCTCCTGCATACAACATCCCGAACACTCTTTGCATACTCATGGCTCGTTTCCCGCTCATCTGTACTTACCATCTCACTTATCAGTACCTCTGTCTCGCTGCTCTCATCGTCTGCTACCCCGTACTTACATCCCCGATACCTCGTACCTACATTGCCTGATACCTCGTACCTACATCGCCTGATACCTCGTACCTACGTGTTGTCCCGTATTTACGTGCTCTCTTCCAATCTCTCCGCATTCATGTACTTTTACATTACATACCTCTCTGCTTATCTTCATTTATTGCTCCGGACATTGTACTTCGGACATAAAATTGATCATCGCTGAACCCAGTTCACCTTTGGACGTAGGTGCATGCGCCTTCCGTTGCCGCCATTTCTACTCCTGCGCGAAAGTCGAACACGGCGTGCGTTGCACGTGACCTCGGGGCCGGCCCCATTCCGCGGATCAAGCCCACGCGCTTTCCACGTGAGCTTTTGCATCTTCCTTCCTTCCACCATCTTCTCGGATTTAATGGCTCTCGCGAGCCGTACGATATCCGCGGTCGACTCAATTACTCTCTTCCGGTGTCAGATACTTGCGAGCTTACGATTTCAATTATGGAACTTGGAATCCCGCACTCAATGCAACCTGGATTTTGCTTGCAAGCAAAAGGAAAGCACGTCATGATACCGTTCTTCCACAATTGTATACCGGCTCACGAACAACGCCTCCCTCGAACGTTGGCGAACATGTATAGTCACGACCGGGAGTCGTCCGAGATGCATGAACACCGTTTCGGCGGCGACTTATGCGCGCTAACGCCGGTCTATACCCAACGCGACAGGTCATTTAAGGCCCGAACGCTGCAGCAAGCGCCCCAGCATCCTTCTCTTATCCCTTCCTACTACCTTGCATACCCCTCCCGTAGATGAGCTCGCTCCCACTGACATTAGCAGCGACCGCCGCCCTCGCGTATTTCGCCCTCGTCCGAGCCCTTCGATGGCGCAAATACGACACCGTACATCGCAAGTACGCGCACAAGCTCCGAGACAAGACGCTGTCGCCAACGGAGGCGCAGGAGATCGTGCAACTTTCTCTCGGCTATGATATGCACTACATCATGACCATGGCGCTGTCGTTTGCGCTGTTCAAGACGTATGGGATTGTGAGTATAACTATCTGCGTGTCACTGATTACGAGCTCATTCTTACGCGCACACAGCCGTCCATATCCAAGCTGCTGCTCGCGACGAAGGAGCTGTCGACGAGGGATAACGTGGCGAAGAGGATTATAGATGTGCGTGGCTCAGGGAACGTGTCCTTCTGGAAGCTGACACTCCATATAGACGGAGCTACTCATTGGTAGGCTTTACCTTCCGGTCACAATTCTCCGAGCCCACTCTGAGCTCTCGTCTATAGCAGCATGGACGCATTGCCCAATCAATGGACATTACCCGGGTGCTGTGACTGCCCCATGCGACCCGCGCGCCATGCTCAGTATGGCTCGCGTCAACTGGCTGCACTCGAAATATCACATCGTGCGTATCAATGCCTACGCTCCATCAGTATCAGCCACTCACGCGCCCCCCTTCCCCCCCCCCCCCCACCCAGTCAAACGATGACTTCCTCTACACGCTCAGCCTCTTCATCTTTGAACCTCTGGTGCGTTGCAGATACTCGACCGTCGATACCTAAATTCCTTAATTCCTCGATAGACATGGGCCGAAAAGTACGGCTGGCGTCCCTGCTCGGATCTTGAGAAACATGTGTGTGTTTGCACTACTACTCCTCGTTAACCGAAGATATCCTGCTTACTTCAACACCTCACCTCAGGCCTGGTTCGTCTACTGGTCCGAGATTGGCAAGCGCATGAACATCCATGATATCCCGGCCACCTTCGACGAGCTGAAGCGATGGAGTGTGGTAAGTGATTCGCCTCGTATCAAAACTGTCGTCAGACCTTGCATCGAACTTCGCTGACAAGATGCTGCACTGGCAGGCCTACGAAGAAAAGCATCTCGTCCCATCGCCCACCAATTTCGAAGTCGCCAAGCACAGTGTGGAGGAAATTTTGTATCGTGTACCGAACGCCTTCGGCCTCAAGCGCTTTGCGAGGCGCCTGTCTGTGTGTCTGATGGGCGAGAGGTTGCGGGAGGCGATGATGTGGGTATCCTTCTCATCGTTGTTCTAACTTGATCTTTGGACGTGGTTTACGCAACGGCTCATGCGATGCGACTCGCTCGACACGATCCATTGACTGACGAATGCGGACTTTAGGCAAAAACCGCAGCCCCCGTACATGCACACAACACTCAGACTCATTTTCCGCTCGGTTGCCTTCGTCCAAAGGCACCTAATGCTGCCGCGCACGAAGGTAGCCAGCCTGATTGAGCCCGCATTGTCGCCCGTCGATCCGACCTCGGGCCTGGTTCGTAGGATGCACCCGCGAAAGTACGTTCTCATTCGACTCAACTCAAAATGCATCGTACGCGCCGGACGATTTGCCAGCGGCGTGCACAGGATGTCCCGGTCACTGATATTATTGAGATATCAGGTTCCCATCCAAACCCTGGTACATGCCGGAGCCATCCAACCTGCTCTCCGCCCTCGCCGTCCGCCTCCAGGTGTGGCTGGGTGTCTACGAAGCCGCGCCGGGCCCGCAGTTCAAGAGCGAGGGGTATTACTTGCACGAGATGGTCAGTCTTTCTCTCTCTGTCCCTTATGTCTCGGTTTCCTCGGCATCTAGCTGACGCCTTCTTCATCTGCGATAGGGACCGTTGAAGTTCGAGCGAGGTTAGTCTCAGTCGGTCTCATGGGAGACCACAGTCGGTCCCATGGCGCACTATAGTCGGTCAACGCAGTCATAGTTACTGACGCATCGGCGCAGATGGCCGGATAGAGACTCTGAAGGCGGCGGAAGAATTTCTTGGCTGTCCTGTGCCCGGGCCATGGGTGAAGGCTGTGGGGGCGAAGGAGACGCCGCAGTCATAAATTGGTAGACAGTTGAGTGCGCCGCTGTCCCGTGCTTTTCTTTTGGGGTTGACGTCGCTCCTGAATAGTGGTATCTGCATTAGATGTTGAAAGAGCCAAATGACCTTCCAGTTCGCCTTGCGAAGGGGTATCTGAAGCCCTGCTGTGCTCGATTTCCCCTTTCCCTCGCCATCCTCTCCATCTTGCAGCTCGGAGTCGGAGTCGGATACTCAGGCTGTAGGCCCGCCAGCAATTGATCCGCTGATGGGGAGTCGCGGTGGCGCTCTGCGTCAGCTACATTCAAGGCTAATTTGGACAGATGCGTGTTGAAGACCATCATCGGGTTGAGGTTCACGCTGTAGCTTCTATAGCACGCCAAGGTATGTTCGGCCCCACCATGCCTCATATTCAGTGCGCCAACCACAGGCTTGAATGCAGCGTGTAGCGTGAGGGTCATGAGGCACGCTCACCCGCTCTTGATTTCACACGTTACGACGATCATGCGCACACGAGGGCACCTGTGTCTATAAGAGCCCGGAGATGTTGCAGCTCGGTCTGTTCGCTCGTCCTTCACACCACCCTCCGCTCGACGCTCGCCGCTCACCAACCCCCTGATGCCATCCGCGCTCCAGATCGTCGCCGCGCTCGGCGTCGGCTACCTCGGTCTCGTCCGCGCGCTGCGCTGGCGCAGGTACGACGAGATCCACCGAAAGTACGCGCACAAGCTCGCGGATGGGTCTCTGTCGCCCGCGGAGGCGCAGGAGGTCGTGCAGCTCTCCCTGGGGTACGACATGCACTGGCTCATGACTCAAGCGCTCTCGTTCGCTTTATTCAAGACCTATGGGATAGTAAGCTTCCGCTATGTCAGCGCCGCAGACGTCAGGAATAGCTAACGCTGCGCAGCCCACGATATCCAAGCTCCTAGTCGCGACGAAGGAGCTGTCGACGGAGGAGAACGTTGCGAAGCGGTACGCGGATGTGCGTGGGTTTTCTTTCCCTTTCGGAAGGTCGACCTTTGTTCATATCATTGCCTTCAGACGGAGCTATTGATAGGTACCCGCGCATTCAATGCATGGATTGCGCACGGCGGCTGAACGGTGATGACCTTTTCATAGGCGCCTGGACAGCTTGCCCCATCAACGGGCGGTACCCTGCGGCTGAGCCGAGAGCGCGATACGATCCTCGGGCCATGATCAGTATGGCCCGCGTCAATTTCCTACACTCAAAGTATGATATTGTACGTCAAAGTGACCACTGGCATGCTACAACCTGCGCTAACAACTCCTGATAGTCGAACGACGATTACCTCTATACTCTGTGCTTGTTTCTTTTCGAGCCTATTGTACGTACTGATTTTTGCTTGTCGGACCCCTCGGCGTCGCTGACGCATCCCCAGACGTGGGCAGAGAAGTACGGATGGCGGCCACTGTCAGACTTTGAGAAGCATGTACGTGGGCTGGGGACGACTTTCTCAGCTGAAGTTTTCGTAGTTAACGAGTCCCGCTAGGCTTGGTTCGTATACTGGGTCGAAATCGGAAAGCGGTTGAACATCAAGGATATTCCTCCGACCTACGACGAGCTGAAGGCCTGGAGTCTGGTGAGCACGTATCGCCGACTCGAGGGCTCTCTTACTGACACCCAGTCAAGCAATACGAGGAGGAACACATGGTCCCATCGCCCACCAACCACGAGGTCGCGCAACATACCACGAACGAGCTGGTACTGCGCGTTCCTTCTGCTTTTGGCATCAGGGACTTCGCCAAGCGCTTCACGGTATGTGCTCTGGACGAGCGGGTGCGAGTCGCGATGCTGTACGTTTCCTTTCTCCACGTCTATCCAGCGACTGAAGGGTCCGACAGCCAAGAACCGCCTCCGCGATACATGTACGCCATGATGGACGCTGCTTTATGGCTCGTGGCCTTTGCACAGAAACACTTGATGCTTCCCCGGTGGAAGATAGCGAGTGCCATTACCGTCGACATGCCCTCCGTCGATCCGGCCACAGGCAAAATCTCGCGCACTCATCCGCCCTGGTCAGTTTTCACCGGTAGGTCATAGAACGCGTACAACCATCTCATGTCTTCCCATCAGGTTCCGTCCCCGCCCTTGGTATATGCCCGAGCCTGGGAACATTGTGGAATACCTAGCGCTGCGCTTCCTGCACTGGATAGGGTACTACCAGTACGCTCCGGGGCCGCAATGGAGGAGCGAAGGCTACTACTTCGATGACTTGGTGAGGCGGACTCTCTACCACCTTCCCTCATTATCACTGAACGTCCGCGTCTTCGTTGCAGGGTCCGCGAAAGTTCGAGCAGGGTGAGTGCGGCATTTCTCTCGCATCATAGTATTCAAACCTTTCGCAGATGGGCGAACCGATGTCATGCACTCCGCTGAGAAACTCCTCGGGTGTCCCATATCGAAGGAGTGGTGGACTGAAGAGTCCCGCTGATGCTTCACGCGTAAAATGGGATCTATCGTGGCTCGCTTTCTCGGTTCAGACATTTGCGCTCGAGACACTCTTATATTTCGACATAGTCTGGGCTTCAGTTACTCTTTCTTCGGCAAGACGCCTGGATTACCGTTAAGCCACACATTGTCCATCTTCAGCTTACTGATGCGCCACGGGTTACCGCTGTTCGCGGTCCGGATGAGCTCGAGCTCATAGCGGCCCTATCAATATTCTTAGTCCACGCCCTGACAGATCTTCATGCGGGCGAAACCACTCACCCCGGTCTGCAGTACGGGACCGCCCTCGGCAGCCTTGCGCACGATGGTCGCCCCCGTGTTCACGAGAGCGGTCGCGGTCGAAGGTTGCTCACGGTCGCTTGAAGGCTGACCGAGATCGATAAGCGGGGAGCTAGGCGTTGTGAACGAGTGAGTCCGTGCCACGACGCAGGCGGAGAATGATGCCGTACAAAGTCGTATGCTGTATCGCATCGAAGTTAACCGACGTCTCCTTCCACGCTTTTGCCTGGTCGGGACCTGAGATCGCGTACGGTTCGCCACCCAACATGGACGTGTAGTCAACGAACACTTGGTCGGCGAAGATATCCGACGCTATCTTTTCCGTGCGCTTCGTGTCGGCGTACAGCAGCTGAATGGCCATGAGCAGCGCTTCAAAGGACGCCAACGAGTACGCACCATGCCTACGACAACATCGTGAATATTCGCGCGGTCTACTAGCCACTGGGTAGCGTCGTACATGACTGCTCTGGTCAAGATTTGTAAGGTGAGTGATAAGAAGTTGCCATTGCTCAGTCATCAGTCATCTGAGGTCATCTGCCGACTCGGACTGCCGACGGTTCCTGCGGATCTGATGAACAATGGTTTCCACATTTGGGCGACAAAGAAGAGGCCATATAAGGTAGGACAGCGGCGTAAGATCATACCCCAAAGGGAACAATCGTCGATTCTATTGAGCGGGAGCCTGCAAAGCCGCTTTCTGCCTACGAATGGTCAGACCAAAAGCACCTGCGATACCAAAACGATGCGCGCACCTTCTCATGATCCATCCCAAGGCCTCCTCCGCCCACTCCTCTGCATCGCCAGTGCCCAAGGCCCAGATCATACTGATGTGGTTGTGCCTCTTCGCGACGATCCTGTTCACCCTCTTCCCTCCCTTCTTCTCTAGCGCCTTCTCAAACTCGTCGCCTGCTTCCCTCACGTCCTGCGGCTCACGCTCTGCCTCCGCCATAAGTATCAACCTGGCAAAGGCCCGGGCCTCCTCATCGCTTGCGCTCTCGTAAAGACCGAGCGGCTCAGTAGCCCGTGCGCGCGCCTCTCCGCCATAGTACCTGTACACGATGTCGTCGTCGAGAATCCTATACGGAGCACCGACCAAAACAACACCGCGCAACCGGTCCCCCAGCGGCGTCCGGTCGAAGTCTTGGTGCAGCAGCGCCGTGCATACGTGCGCCGCACCCGCGGAGTGTGCCAGGACGAACAGTGCGCCCACCTCTGAGCTGCCAGGACGGATGTCACTGGGATGCTCGACTGCCCACAGCAGAGCGTCGAGTGCATCGCGTCCACCATCTGGGTATTTCGCCTGTGGCACCAGGCGATAATCCGGGATGACGGTGATGAAACCCCGCGCTGCGAAGTATGCGCCCAAGAACCCATAACCTACGTCCATGGGCGGTGGCAGCTGGCGCGAACCGGCTGTGAAGCCGCCTCCATAGTAAAAGAAAAGGACGGGGCGAGGCGTTCCAGGGAACTCGGCGATGGGGTAGTAAACGTCCAACTGCGGTTACTACCCAGTCAACTCCTGACAACGGCGGCGAGGGGGTGCACTCGTACTCACCTTATGCCTTTCGGTGGAACCGTACTGAAATGTCTTCCTGGGTACACACTCAATCTCAGCCCGCTTGGCCTCGTGAATGGGCACAAAGGCCGTTATCGCTTTATCAGGCGTCAGAAGGGCTCGCCAATCTCGTGGGAACGACCTACTGGGCATGGAGATCTTCACGATCGTCGTCTCCGGGTTCGCCTCGACACGTTCCATGACTGCGCGCGCCTGTGGGTTGCGGAGTAGAGATGATGGTGGTAAGGAACTAAGGTTAGGTGAATAATGATAAATCAGAGGCGGTCGAGCTTCTAAGGGGACTCCCTGTTGGTCGGCTACTGCCGCCATCAAACACGAGTTCATGCGTGCGATCCATACGCGCATGGCTTCGGGCCCCTTGTCGAGGCGCCCAGGAGGCGCGTCAGGCAACCGCGCAGCAGTAAGGAAGCGCATGAAGTAGTTTGTGTCTTGCATTCCACCCATCCAGAATAAAGATATTCATGCTACAGATCTATCAGTATTTTCATGTCCTCGTCGCCAAAGCTGATAGTAAGATATCATAGTCCACTTTCGCCGCTATAGATGTTCGTCAGTCCCCTTTTCCCAGAGAAGCGATGAAATTTACTCACACTTGAGGACAAGCCCTAGGAACTCGCGCGCTAGCTCGGGTCCCTCTTTCTCCATCCTCCGCATCGTGTCCAAGCTCAACCGCCACACCACCGCCGGCTGCTCCACGACCGTCGTTGCGTTACGCGGTAGTCCAGACAAGGCCGACAATTCGCCCGCCAACGTGCCCGGCACCATCGACTCCTCTATACTGCGCGCTGGATCTGAGAAGTGGTATATTGCGCGCAGAATGCCGGCCTCGATGATGTATAGACCATCAGGTTCATCATCTTGTTGCCACAGTACATGGCCCATGGGTAATCTCATGCGCTCGAGGTACTTGGTGATGGGCTGCAAACGCTTTGGGTCGAGCTTGGAGTACGAGGAGAACGCCTTGACGAGAGTATCAAGTGGTTCTCCATGCGCGGCGGACTCGTCTGTTGAGCTGATGTGATCTACATGATTGTTAGGACCCAGATAGCAAATTCGAGATGCCAATGCACACCTGCTGACAATATCCTATTCCCGACGTCTTGGATATGCGAGTAGCGGGGAGAGCCGACCATCGAGCCTAGATGCTCGACCGCAATTATATCGCCATCTTGGCGACCGGGTAACACTGGAACAAGAAAGCGTCAATGGGAAGTCAATGACCCAAAGGAGATTGCCATACTCAGAGCAGAGGTCTCGGCCTTTTGCGACCTGAACCACGTCCGAAGGTACATGTTCTCCGTCCCTACACGCCGCGTCAGCACACCCAACACAAAAACACCCACCTTTCTGTACTCACATTCCAACGCATCATTGAACGACGAGAATACCTCCACACCCGGAGAGCTCAGAAGGTCCACGCTCTCCAACGCCCGTCCTACCGGCGACTCCACCGCCAGCCCACACAGCACAAGGGTCACCCCTCGTGCGCCCAGCATGCGCTGAATGCGTACAAAGGCCTCCGCCGCCGACATGTCGACGCCCGCGACGAGCGCAAAGTCGAGGATGAGGAAGCGGATGGGGCTGCGCTGCCATTTGGCGCCGTCGAGCAATTGCTTTATCGTCTCTTCGACATAGGTAATGGTGCCGAAGAATAGGAAGCCTGCGGTATACTGTCAGCCAGAGAGCAGGACACGACAAGGTCGATTCTACCTTGCAATCGCATAATGGCTGTCTGCTTCGACACCTCCCGAATGTAGGCACGCTGCGAGCTGGGCCGACGCACGGTAGACATGACCGTCTCGCCGGTGTGCACTGAGCGTATGCTACGCCGCTGAGAGTTTTGCACGACGAAAAAGAAGCCTAGAAAATGGACGTTGAGCGCACGTGTTTCCTACTTGGGATGAATTACACTCACAACTGACGACAATACCGAACAACACTCCCACTACGAAGTCCCACAGCGTCATGCAAATCATGATGCTGACAATCGTGATGTACTCCGTTCGGCTTGTGCGATGTCTTGTATCCCAGAGCGCCTCCTTAACGAGGTCGATCCCAAGTACGAAGATGAGCGCTCCAACTTCCATGATTGCTGAAGAAGGGTCAGAGATGAACAGGTACAGGACCACGACCAACGTACGCAAGTAGGCTATCGGACCCGTGCCAACGAAGAGGAGAAGCAGTGTTGCACCTGCGAGCAGCAGACCGGATATCCGCGTAGTGCCGCCGACTCGATAGAACCTAGACCACTACGTTCAGAGGGGTGCGCGTGCACTGATAGTATATGCCACTCACAGCAAGGTGTTCACGTATACCAAGTAGTTGGGCGGTGTACCAAGCAACCCTGCAATAACGTTGGAGTACCCGTGCGCCGTCAGCTCCTTATTGGTGTCGACATCCTCGTTCAGCGACACAGCCAGCGCCGGCACATTCAAGGGCGGGTGCAAAATATTGAAGAACAACCTGAAAGGCCGTAAGCTAACGATTCCCACTCCCTTGCACGACATCACTCACAAAGCGAACTGCGTCGGCAGCGTCGCCCAGAGCGCACCCCAACGAATTTGCCGGAAATCTGCACATCGAAGTCAGCATCATCTTCGAGCCAACCGAGGAAGCATCCGTCGTGGACATCGCCTAGCCAACCACTCACCAAAGAACTCGTAAAAAGTATACCACTTGCCCTCACCGCCTCCCACATCGAAGAGCCACCCCGCGTTGCGCAGCTCGCCAAGGTTCAGCCTTGCCGACAGAACCACGACGTAGAAGATAGCCGGGATCAAGACGAAATCTACACGCAACGAAAGACATCAGCGTCTGCGAACAACCTACGTACGCGGTCCCACCGAGCCCGTGCGCGTCCCCGCCTTCCCATTTCGCTTCTACCACACACCAGCACCGCGTACACGAAAACCCAACATCCGTGCGAGAAAACCCAACACCCATCCACCTCACGCCAGAACCGCGTACGAAAGAAAGAACCAACCACTCACACCCCGGAAAGATCAGCTGCCCCGCCCGCTCACTGAACGTCGCGAACGAGGTGACCAGGCGCAGCACGGCCGCCAGCCCGAACGGCAGCGCCCACATCATGAGGTTCCGCCCATCAAGCAGGAAGAACTTCAGTGTGTCCAGCGTATACGTAAACTCCGTGTCCTCCAGCCCCGTCGAGACGCAGAGCCTGTGGACGCGGGTTAGCCTGTGTGTGCGTGCTAGATGTGGTGTGTGCTGAATGTGTGTATACAGGGTGGGCCGCCCAGGAAGGCCGAGTATCCGTGCCTATGCACGAGAACGTACCCAGTGATGATGAGGAAGACCCCGATCCCGCCAATACATCTGTTCGGGGTCAGTTCGTCGTGTGCGGGCATTCGCGCGCAGAAGACGCACCCTACGAGGATATGCCGCGGGAAGAAACCCATGACGTTCCCGAGCTTGAAGAAGCCAAGCAGCAGGAACGTCAGGCCGGTAAGGATGGAGCTGAGTGCGTAGGCTGCGAGGGTAGTCGCGGCGATCGCGCGCTCGTTGCCGGGCTCGAGGCCGATGTCGGTGGTAATGGAGGAGGAGAGGATGTGGAAAAAGGGCTGAGGAAGGTGAGTTAGTGATCGAATTCGAGAAACGGGGAGTTAGTGAAAATTGGGGGTATGGAGAGAGAATGAAGGGGAGGGAAAGAAGACGCGAGCGAATGGAGAGGTCAAGAGTCGAAGAGGCTCGGGGATGTAGAGTGCGAGGCAGCTGGAGAGGGGAAGCGGGACGCATGAACACGTACCACGACTTCGATCATCATACTCCCATTCCCTCCCTTGAAGCTGCTGCCACCCAGCGTGTACACGAGCTGCGACACTACGGCAGTAATGAAGAACATGGACACGCCAGCCGACGTGATGCCCAGCGAGATGAACGGCTCCGCGGTAGGGAACACGAGGATCCCGTCTGGAGTAGGGCGTGGTCAGGGCAGGAAGGGAAATGAGAAGGGCAGGAGGGGAATGAAGATTGGCAGGCAGGCAATGAGGGCAGGCAGACAACGAAGACAGAGCCAGCGAGCAATGAGAGCAGGCAGGCGTGCAGCAGCACTCTACTCACAAGAGACCGCATCCAAAATGTTCAGTAGCGTGCCCAGCAGCACGGCAGGCAGCGCCTTCAGGCCCTGCGTCGCGACGTCCGCTGCGGCGTCACGAGTCAGCGTGCCCCGGATCGTCTTGAGCAGCTTCTCTGATCTCGATGGCGACTGCTTGCGTGGGGGAGAGCTTGGCGCGTCCCCATTTTGCGGCGGCGTGACGACGAGCAGCGGCGTGTGTTCGTCGGCGTCGTGTGCGGGCGTCGGTTCAGAATGATGATCGTGGGGCAGCGTTTGGTGATGACCACGGGGGCTCGCGACCGGTGTCGGGCTGCCGGGGCTGCTGGCATCGCCTGGTGTGGGGGTAGAATCATCTGGTGTTGGAGAGAGATCGTCGCCATGGACTTGGTCCACAGACAGCGTGGGCGGGCGCAGCAGCGTCAGACCCGACGCCTGCATGGGTGTCCCTTCCAACGATCGGGTCGAGGATACGTCGTCTAAGATGGACGAGCCCGTCGAGGCCGCCTCGTCGAGCGGCTGCTCAGGTATGAAGGCCTCGTCGGGGGCGATCATGGGGAAGACGTAGTTCTGCCGCGGGCTATCGTGTCGTGGCGAGGGCATGATCATGTTCGAGAGCTGCACCGTGCTCGCCCGTATGCTGTCCTGCGAGTGCGGGGCAGCCCTTGCGAGGGAGGACGATAGCGAGAGCGAAGAAGCCGGCGATCCATTCTGGTTGTTGAATCTTGTATGCAGAAGCCTAGCAAAGCGGGGGACGCAAGCGTTAGCACACCCGTCACAAGCGCAGACTGCGCAAAAGGTAAAATATGATCATGCAGCCAGAACTCGAAGCGACAGAGACCCGGATCACAGAATCCGGACGTAAATCAGGCCTCGTCAGGAGACCCCGTACGCACCCTGCTCTGCTCCCCACAGACGCCGACGTCGATTCCGTCCCTCTCTGTATAGACGGGCGACGCGTGCTGATGTCGCGCGGCGGTGTCGTCGCCAGCTGTCGACTTTCGCCATACCTTGCGACATCCACGGCTGTCGCGCTCGCGGTGGCGCTCGCGATCCCCGCCGCGGGTGACGCCTTCGCGGGCGCGTCGAAAGCGCTGGGTGTCGACATTCAGCGCAACCTGGGCCCCGGTGGCCTGCAGACCGCTATAAAGGCCTGGAAAGCACTTGAAGATAAGAAGCGAGGATGTGGTCCATTTGAAGATGCATTTCAAGTCCGCTGCATCATTGTCACGCAAGCGTGACGCTTCGCGTACCCCTGACGCGCTTTTCCCGCGGTTCGCCTTTCTCTCCTCACCCCGACTCTATGTCAGGCCCATCGATGAGCCCTCTAGTACATAACTCAAACTTACCCTGAGTTGGGACTCCAGCATCGTGCTCACTAACTCCCTCGTCGACGCTTGGAGGTTCAATCTTACAAGCGGATCTACGCCTCTTCTAACACCGGCTAGCCAACGGACCTAGCGGGAACCCACACAACTCAGATCTCGGAGGACACGAGTAGGCGCCCGTAAAGTTTTGCAGTCTTCAACGGCGGCAGCGCCTCAAGGAAAGGCAACTCGGCGCGACCGGTGCAGTCGGGAAGTACTACGCCAACCTCTCGGGCCAACCTTCCCAGTTCCCCCATCTACTACCGCGTCTTTCAATGAGCATCGCGCTCCAATGTCGAAGGCCACCGCGACGGTCTCGCACTAGCAGCAATCCTACTCTAGCAGCAGATCTACTCTAGTAGCAGATCTACACTAGCAGCGAACCTCTCAATTGCACTAAATGAACTGTGACCATGTCACACCGGACGACCTTATCACGCCTCGTGTTACAGCGCTCGCCGAGGCTCCGCTTTGCATCCGGGGGGCGGAAGTAATTCTTTATCTCTGCCTGGGCCTCCACCGCGGCTCCTCAATTTTCTCTCTCAAAGGCGCTCCCTTATCTGGTATCGACCGATCGCGCGCGCTCGCCCGGCGCGGTAGACGTCAACGCCCACCCAGTTCTGTCGGCGTGGCCAGGCCAGGCGGCGACGTCGGGTACACCGTGGCAAGCGATCACATCCTTCTTACTTGTACGAAGAAAAGAGGACCACGGCGCTAGCGTTGTCGAGCGCGACGAGGCCAACGAGATGAACGCGCCGGGATCACGTACATCTCATGTGATCGTGTGTCCCAAGTTCTCGCGACCTTCTCATTGTCAAGCCCACAACCGTGCTCGCAACTCGTAGCGCATCGATTGAACATCCTCGAAATGACCTGCGGTCGATAGATGACCACAGGCTTTCGTACGGCGAGCGATGCGCTACTTCTTTCCAAGGTCGTCCCGCTAAGAATCAAGGTCATTTGCTCTATAAGTCCTGAGGCCATAGACACTGACAATGACAAAGCTATAAGAGATTGAGCACACCGGGTGCAACCAATAGGATACAGACGTGTACACACATTATTAGCAGTCTATGTAGACTAACCCGCACCAACCACATCCTCCCCTAAGCCGCACTCCCATCCTTCACCGGAAACGACGCCCGAATCGGACTCCAGCCCTCCTCCGCGCGGTCCTCGCCCCGAATCAAACTCGCAATGCTCGCGGTATGCCTATGGCTCTTCCCGCCCCCCGCCTTCTTGTTCTCCTGCCGCGACGGCGAGCGACTGGTGGCACTGTTGCTGCCCGGGAACATGAACGGCGTGCCCGAGGTCGGCGTCTTCGCCGGATTCGGCGAGCGATACGTGATGTCGTGCTCCTCCTCGTCCGACAGCGTGCTCGACTCGCTCAAGTCGAAGTCCGCCGCGTCCGCGACGATGCCGCGCGAGCGCGCACGCGGCGCCTCGAGGTCGTACGCCTCGTACTTGTTGCGCGCGGCGCGACGGGAGCCCACGCCCTGCGGCGGCGCGGTCGCAGCGGCGCCGTACAGCTCGTCGGGCAGGAAGAGGTAGAAGCAGACGGTGGCGAGGCACGCGCCGCCCACGACGTCGATGAGGTAGTGGTGCGTGAGGTACATGGTCGCCCAGTAAAGCACGGCGGCGTACGCGAAGATGTACCGCGTGGTCTGCGGGAAGAAGTGCGACATGAAGAGCGCCTCCATGGTCGCGCTGCCCGCATGAAGGGAGGGGAAGGCGCCGAAGACGACGGGCGCGTTGGAGAACGTGGTCGTGTAGCCCTGCGAGTGGAAGAGGGCGTCGATGCGCGCGAGGCCGCCGGGTGAGCCCTTCATGCTGTAGTTGGCGGGCGTGAGGCCGTATATGAGTTCGTACCACGGTGCGGCGCAGGGGAAGACAATCTGGATCATGACACCGATGAGGTTCATGTAGCCGAACATGCGCGCCCAGAGGTGCAGGACCTCCTTGCCGCGGAAGAGCCAGGCGAAGGCGGCGACGACGAAGGGGAAGGTGAAGTGAACGACGCCGTACGGCAGCCACGCAATAATGTCGAGCAGCGGGTGCGTGAAGCGCGTGAGGATGTCAGAGATGTTCGCGCCGTAGAGCACGGACTCGAGTGTCGGGAGTGTCGACACGGAGATGGAGGGGCGCCAGGCCTCGGGGATGAAGCGCGAGGAGTAGAAGGTGAGAATCCACGCGAATATAGGGATCGCGCGGAGGAAGAACTGGCAGGTGAAGGGTATGATTAGGGCGATGCCGTAGAGTAGGGGTATGAACCATTTCCATGGTGCGGGAGGGAATTGCATGATGGAGAACCAGAACGCGGCGAGGACGAAGTGGAAGACGTAGACGGTGTCTCCGAGGGTAAATTTATGTCGCTTGAGCCGCTCAATCGTGTCGCTCGGTGACAACGACTTGTCCATCCGCCCGACCGCTGCCACGAAGGCCTGCCACACCGTCAAGGCGGTTCTTTTCATCGCCTGAACCGCGGACATCTGCATTTCTTCAGTCGGTCGTACCATGGCGAGCATTCGGAAACGCACCTTGCAAACCCCGAGGCCGACCAGTGGATCCCGAGAGAGAATGAGAGGGAGTGTGGAAAGCTGCGAGATGGCGTGAAGATCGAGCAGCGACTGCCGCGCGGGTCGTAAGCAGCATTTCGTCCGCGCGCCTGTGAAATTCCCTGGAGCACGTGGACCCACGTGCCGCTGTTCCCTCCGCGCTCACGCCCTCTGCTGAATTCGAACTTCAACTTGTCATTGCCAGGTTCATCCAAAAGGCCCAATGCCTCCAAAGAAAGCGTCTTCCAGCAAAGGGTTCCCCTGGGAGGACCTCAAGGCGGAGACTCTGCGCAGCATTTCCCTCGACTTGCTCCAAGGGACTTCGGGCAAGTCCTACCTGATATCGCGCACTCGCGACACCAACATCGCGTTCCTCAAGTCGGTAGCAGAACATGGAGGTGCGTCTTCCGCTCTACCTTCAAGGGGGCTCTACGCTGACTTTCATCTATCAGTCGAAGAAGCCGTCCGCCTCGCCATCGAGAACGCCCCGGAACCCCAGTCCACGAGCGCGTCAGCAGCGCGCCGATCCGCCTCCACCTCCGCCCCCGTGAAGCGCAAGCGCGACGAGCGCGAGGAGGGCGCGTCCAACCGCTCCACGCGCAGCAAGGGGCGCGCCGACTACCCGTACGGCACCCGCAACCAGGGCAAGCCGCAGAAGCAGCTCGAAGCCCTCGGCATCACCGGCCCCAAGCGCCAGCGCAAGTCCGCGAGCGCCAGGCCAGGACCCTTGTCGCGCACGAAGAAAGCGAAGGCCGCTAGTCCAGCGAAGCCGGTGTCTCAGTCAACAGAGTCGCCGAAGGCGACGAAGCTGGTATTCGACGGCGTGGAGATCCCGACCTTGGCGGCTACGAAAGCAATGGACAGCATTAGCCAGAACGGGGATGCGGAGGATGATGATGCAGAGGGTGAGGAGGAAGGAGGCGAGGACGCGCAGGCGCAGGACATAGAGCAGACCGGCGAAGAAGGAGAGCAGACTGGCGGAGAAGGAACTCAGTCTGGCGAAGAATGGGAACGAACCGGTGACGAAACCATGAAGGTTGACGGGCCTGCACCTTCCAATCCCTACGAGCCCTCGACCCCCGACGAGCAGGAAGAGCACCAAGATGTCGCACAACAGGACCATCAAGACGTCGCACAACAGGATCCTCAAGAAGGCGAGCAGGAGGAGCACCAAGTGGAAGAGCCCCCACAGACCGACGAAGCCCAGGTCGAGGAACACGAGCAGAGCAGCGCGGAGGACGAACTCCCGCTAACCGGCGAAGTCGTCGAGGCCACACCTAGCGAGGACGCGGATGCGCCTCACGACGAGGTCCAGCAGTCATCGTCTGCGGAGGTCGGGACTGCGCTTGAGGACCCATACGTCGGGGGCGACGAAGGTAGCTTGGCTTATGCCTTGTGAATCGTATTCGCTGACTTCTTGCTTCAGACGCCGCTGGCGAACCCGAGACCGACCCAATGCAGGCCGACGAGGGGCCAAGTGAGTGAAACTAATCATCTCGCTGCACGACGCTGACCTCGGCATCCAGACGACGCGACCAACGACGAGAGCGTCCTGGGCATGCAACTAGGTAACAGTTCCGCTACTTTTCAGAACGACCTTCAATTCTAACGCCCTCCCAGACGTCGCCCCAGAAAACCTGGTGCCAGCTGTCTGAAGTGTCCGCCCACGACATTGCGTATCCTTATATCACCGCTGAAAATGCTTTACTCTGCTCTGTACATTATCTTGTGCGTACGCTTACTCTCAACTACGGAAACGCTACTCATACCCACTCTACAGGGTAGATTCGCTGCTTCACTGCTTCATAATACATATTTCTTGATACGGACTTATACACCCTAGCATACGCCAATACATGCGTCCGTCTGATTGACCCTCGAAACTCTGCATAACCCTCGACACTCTTCATAACCCCAGGCAGACCACATCGCCCCTCGAAGTTCCTTTCCTGAACCAAAGCTCCTTTCCTGGACCAAGGTTCCTTTCCTGGACCAAGGTTCCTCTCCTGGACCAAGCAATTGACCCTTCACCCCTTCAACGAGTACTTGATCTCCTCCCCCGCGCTCTCCTGCATCTCGATCAACCTATCCAGCATCACCTTCCCCGTCTCATCCAGCGTCTCCCGGAACCGCGGCTGCTTCATCCACAGCAGCCCGTGCTGCAGGATGTTGTTCGCGCGCGCGGCGCCGCCTGGGGAGGGATCAACATATGAACTTAAGAGGTTTGGAGTTTCTCCGGACCACATTCGAGAGCTTTCCCGGACCACATCCAGGAATTTTGCAAGACAGGGTCCGAAAGGTATCCCCAACCACATTCGAGAGATGCCAAACCGAACCACATCACATACCCGCGGTGTTCCCCATACACGCGTGCAGCGTCGCGCGGCGTTGCTGCGAGTCGTAGGCGGCGCAGTGGAGGATGTTCGAGTTGTAAAAGACAGTCTCGCCGGCTGGGTGGGGGAGTTGGTGTCAGAAGGGTTCGACGCTTTGGTCGAGAACGGGAGAGCGAGGATGAGAGCGGGAGCGCAAGGTTGAAGGGACGTACGGTTCAGGGTCTGCATGGAGACGGGAGTATCAGTGTTTCGCTCAATGGATGAGAGGGGCGTAGACGCACCACACGGATGGCGCCAGGCATATCCAATGGGTTCTTCGGGGCTTCGATGTCCGTCGAGTGCGCGCGCTGCTCGGGCGTGCGTAGGACACGGTGCGAGCCGGGGACGACGTACAGACAGCTATCCCGGTATAGCGCGCTGAGGGCGAGTAAGACTCTGGTCCTTTCCACGCGTAGGCCGCTTCATACGTACGTGTTCCATTGAATCTGTGCAGGACATCCGGGTCAGGCTATGGGTGCGCACGGGCGTACATGTACAATGGCTCACCCCATACTGGGCCACCTTCAGGATGCGGGCCTCTTCCTCCTCCGACGCGGTCCCATCCACGGCGTCTCGGTGCCAGCGCAGCGCGAAGTCATGCGAGATGGGGTTGATCAGAATGTTGAAGAGCTCTGCGTGGACGCGGGGGATAGTAAGCAACATATGGACAGCAAGGTAGCTCGCACGCACCCATCTGCAGCTGCTCATCCGTGCATCCCATGAGCTCGGCCGCGATCGCGCGCAGCGCGGGGGAGGTGTACCATCGCGCGAACGCGGGCTCGCCGAGGTCGGGGTGCATGACATGCTGGACGCCCCAGGAATCGGGGTTGTCGAGGTCGAAGGGAGGGAATTGCTGGGTGAAGACGGTCGTTCAGCGCAAGCACTCAACAGGCAAGGGGGGAATGACAGTCAAGCGGAGAGGGGAGGGTGAGTAGAACAGAGGGGACATATAGCGCACCTTCCCCACCACCCTCCGATGCGGCCATTCACCCGAGCGCGTCTTGGCCACCACCCTCTCCGTTGCCGCCTCCAGCTCAGCGCGCGACTCGGCGGGAATCAGGTCCGGGATGATAACGTAGCCGACTTCGTCAAAGGTCTTCTTGTAGTCATTGTGCATCGTCGGTGTAGCCGCCATGTTGGGTGCCTTTGTCGCTGTAGATCGGGTCGTAGTTGCAGGCGTGGTCAAGGCAGAAGTCAAGAGACACGCTCGAGACTACATCGGCCGCCTCCGAGCTTTCCATACGGTCCAGAGGTATGGGCGATGCATTTATCGCGCATGATCAGGCGGGCCGCGGGATGTGAGAACATGACCGCGATAAGAGAACAAGGGCACGTCCTAATTTGGAAGGCTTTGTATTCGGGTCTTCCGGATGAGCGCTAGTTTCTAGTCTCGCAAACCGTGCACTGGTTCATCGCCGCGCCTGGCATTATCAAGAGTATGGTACATATTAGAGCGTTGCGCATAGATACTGATACATGATTGAATTATGTGCGTGGGATGTGAAGTCCAATGCATATAGATAAATGAGGTCGTAATATCGTGTGCGAGGACTTGCGATTCCATGCGCATAGAGATCATAGGGCGTCATCGCATACCTTCACTTGCACGACTGAGTGCATGAAGTCGACAGCCTTGCTCATACTCGGCCGTTCAAAGACATTCGGGCTCCAGCATCTATGGAGGAAGTCCCAGAAGCCCTGCTCGTCCTTCAAGCCGATGCAGAGCTTTGCACCTCTGCGATAAGTGTACAAGTCAGCTTTCGGCTGTCCATAGTATATATGACAGCGACAGCACACGCACTGCGAGGGCCTGATCCCGCGATAGACGTCCACGGCCACCGACACCTCGTTCTGGCGTGTTGGGTATGGGAGGGCGCCAGTGACGATCTGTACAATGCGGTTTGCATGACTTTCGAAAGGAAGATGTATCAACTGACCTCTAAGCAAACCGATGCGAAGGCATAAATATCCGACCACGTCGTCAGCTCAAAGCACTTTGGCTCATCCTCCGCCATCGCGAAAATGAGCTCGGGCGCCATCCATCTGGTTAGGACATCATTAACTCTCAATTCCAAATCACAGTCGAGTCTGGTCCGAATAGCACACCTTGTCGACCCCCCGCAGAACGACGAGCCCTGCCTTGACCGTGCGCACTCCGCGACGTCGTCTAGTACTTTGGACAAGCCGAAATCGGTGAGGATAGGTTTGCCCTCCGAGTCAATGAGTATATTGCCCTGCGAGGAAGCTTGTTACGACAAGGGCGACACAGACAAGAGCACGCTAGCGCACGCTCTTCAGGTCACCGTGAACCTATGGATCAGTGTCAGTCTGACGGGCATTGGCATGCTCGAGGAAGCCCAACGTACGATGGCAGGCGTGAAGCTATGCAGATAGTCGACCCCAGACGCGATGTCTGTGAGCTGGATACATGTTAGCGATACCCTCGCCCATGAAGCCATGCAAGGATACAGGACTGACGATGGCCGGCCTGTCCTGCTTCTTGTTCGCCCGCAAGAAGCACTGCACGGTGCCATTGTCGCACCAGGGCGACACCATCCCAAGCGTCGTTGAGGTCTGATAAATGCCGAGAAACTGCGCAACGTTGCGATGGCAGAGACGATGCCATGCGGCGACTTCGCTCGACAGGCGCTGCAGGAATGACCGTAAGCAGGGACACAGCGGGCGCAAAGAACGAGGCTTACTCGTAGCAATTTCTCCCTAACGTTGTTAGCCATAATCTGGCGCAGGAGCTTGAGTGCGACCTGTGTGCGTGGTCAGCAGCCCAGCCCCTGGCAAGGTAAGCAAGTAAGGACCGCATACAAATCTTGGCCGATGCTCGACCGGGTCCTCCCACATCGCCTTCCACACATCCGAAAACGACCCATGCGCAACGGGCGAGCTCCCCAACCTATCCACCCGCTCCGTCAGATCCGTCACCACGATCGCATTTCGAATGACCAGCGTCTTCGTCACCGTCTGCTGAAGGTACTTCTGCCGGCACCGCTGCTTCAACCGACTATAGTCATTGTGCGCCGGCGAGCGCCGGAACTCGTCGTACGAAGAAACGGAGAGCGCGATGGAGCGGAAGGACGCGAAGTAGAGGCGGCGCGGGGCGGAGTGCAGGACGAAGGCGTTGCGGAGGTGGACGTCGATTTGGGCCTCGGGAAAGATTTGGATGTAGTTAAGGGTGGGGAGGGGGTTGGGGGAAGCGGGGGCGGATATGTCTTCGTCGCAGAGGAGGTAGATGGCGAGTTTGGGGGTGACGGGTAGAAAGAGGTTGTATGTATTGCTAAAATCGCTATGAATGAGCCATGCGATAGGAAGGGATCGTGGTTAACTTACGGTAGAGCATCGAAGGTCTCATCCATAAGTCCTGAGGCAAGCGATCAGAGGGGGTAATCCACGAGCAATTTAGGACGAACCTAGAGGGCTTTCTGAAAGGATATACTCATGATCCCCACCATGCGCCTTGCCTATGCTCAGATCGCTATTCGCGAACCGCCAACACAGGTTATGCAGTTCCTGCAAGTATATGTTGTCTCCCGGGCCGCACCCGGACTGCATACACAGATTCCCAACACGGTGCCGCGACCCAAGCTTGAGGAATGTGCCGATGGCTTCGAGAGTGAATAGCAGGCTCGGCGATTCTGAGTTCATCGAGGTGTCACATTCCTCACCCAACTCGGCACGCGTATCATCCACAAGACGCTGGTAGACGGGACCATTGCGAAAGTGAAGGAAAGCGATGTACTTGCGCAGGTCGTCTGCTTGGCGAGAGTCCATGGGGACAGAGTATGCGCCATAGCGCCAATATCTCTTGTGCGTGCCCTCGTCTACTAGGATAGAAATAGCGGTCTCCGCCTTGATCTCGAGTTGGCGTAGCCGATCTTGCAGCTGGTGGAGACGGGCCACCGTGCGTCGGCCGTGTGACGGATGGTGAAGGTCGGCGAAAGCATCAGACTGGTGATGAGGGGATATCGGAGACTCGTCGATCTCTCTGAACTCGTTCTCGAACGTGTCATAGAGGTTGAGATGCCCTTGAACGGGAGGTTTGCTGGTTTCTGCATCGTATGCCTTCCTGTAGAGCGATGAGCTCCTGTGCGAGGGTAGGACAGACGATGACGTACGTTGCGCGAAGCCAAAAGTCCCATAGGAACGGGGGGAAGTACGCGGTGACCTGCATGGAGAAGGTGGGTAACGTCTCTACACTCTCTTGTCGCCAATTTGCAGCGATGAATTTCGGTGTTCGTAAGGTAGCCTCCAAGAAGAAGGGGTGGGGCGAGTAAAGAGGATAGGAATGGGGATGACGATGAGGTAGGACGAGGGTTATGTGCGATGCGAAAGGACACCGCCTTGGGTCCTGACGAAAGCATTGAATCCTTGATCCAATCCATCTTGCTCCAATCACTCGTGGTATTCCACGTCTAGGCCAGTGGTGCTGAGCAGTAGTAGCGAGGAAAGGGAAGCAAACATTGAGATTTGGGCTCTGCGCTGATGACGGTCAGGAACAAAGCGGCCGGGGGAATCGATTGGCAATGGTCGCGTTCAGATACAGCGTTCGGTCCGAAGCTATTCAGCCTTTAACTTGCCGAATTTGGAAGGCTTTGTACTTGCAGCGACGTAGCCAAACTCAGTCGATGCTGTCAAGCGTAGATTCCGTATATCCAAATCGCATTATATTGGCACAAAATCCAGACGTAGTAAATGTAAGTGATGCAAGAAATCCTCTTCTCTATCGTACACAGCACCAGTCATAAGAGTCGCGGTCTATCCATCGACGTCTAGTCGTTCGCGGCGAGCAGACACAAGCTTAGATCTTGTCGTCGCGGCACGCCGTCGGGAGGGCGTAGTCGTTGGTGCGGATCCCTCCGCCCCACGGCGTGCTGCCCTCGAGCTTGGCGTCGGGCCCAAGGCCGCGCTCGGAGAAGCCCTTCCAGAGCGTGCAGAAGTTCTCACCGCCGGTGAGCGCCTCGTCGGCGGCGATGATCGCGTCGCGCGCGTCAAAGAACGACGGGCGGCACGGCTGGAGCTTCATCGCGCTGATAACGAGCCTGCGAGGGGATTAGCAGTAGTCGGATGGAACAGTCGCTCGCACTCACTGCACAGAGAGCGTGTTGCCGTGCTTGGGCACGAGCGGCTTCTTGCCAACGCGCGGGCGGTAGAAGTCACCCTCCGGAACGTTGCCATCCGCATCCGGCAGCGGCGGGAAGAGCGTGTCCGAGAAGCCGTGCACGGCGATGAGCCGCTGCTGCACAACCCACAGGATCTCCGCCCACACCTCGCCGATCGCGTGCACGCCCCAGTAGCCCGGCTTGTCGAGCGTCTTGTACGTCGACGGGTTCACCGTCTCGTTGAGCGAGTACGGGTAGTTGCGGATCCCGCCCTCGCGGTTCGCCGCCCACGCGCCCATCGGGTAGTCCGAGTACTTGGCCGTGCTGCGGATCGACGTTGCGATGAAGTCGCCCCAGCCCTCGCCCATCCCGCCGCTCTCGCCCCAGCCGAGGCAGCCAGAGTTCGCGGGCCCGCCCGTCAGACGCGTGCTCAGGCCGTGCGCGAACTCGTGGATGACGATGCCCGCCTCGAGGTCGCCGTCGCGGTAGGGGATGATCGTGTTCCAGAGGTACATCCGCATGCGACCGTTCTGGCCGTCGGGTGGCGTCATGAAGTTCGCGTTGTTGTAGCCCGAGCCGTCCTGCGCATTCGCAATCACACCATCGTTCTCCGCGCCGCCGCGGCCAAAGTTGTACTGCTGGAAGTTGCCGGCAGCCTCGGTGAAGCCGTAGCGGTAGTAGAAGTCGTGGATCTTGTTGCAGGTGTAGAACAGCTGCGTCACGGTCGTGTTGATGTAGCCCTTGGCCTCGTCGAGAGCGTCCGTGCGATCGGTCTCCTTCGGCTCGTACTTGTAGTCGAAGGCGAGGTCTGAGCCAGCATCGGGGCGGTAGTTGTCGAGGTAGGCGTTGCGACCCTCCCAGTTCTCCTGCGCGAACACGTTGTTGCCGTACGTGGTCGTCGTGTTCCTCCAGAAGCCCTTGGGCTTCGCCCGCGTCAAGTCGAACGTCGGGTCGTTCTCGAAGGGAATGGAGTGCCAGCCGACGGGCGACGCAAGGGTGTCAAAGTACTCCTTCTCGAGGGTACGGTTGCCCTCAGCGGGGTCGTTGACACCCCACGCGAAGACGTTGTAGGTACCGGCCTTGCGGGGCTCATCGGGCTTGGGGATGGGCGAGTCGGACGCCCAGTCGACGACGGAGATGATGCGGTGGGGGACCTCGGCGGAGACCGCAGCCTCGTACCAGTTGTCCCGCATCTCGACCTCGAACTGAGACACTATTAGCTTCGAATGCAGAAGTACGCGTCATCGCAACCCACCTTCCACACAGGGCGAAGAATGGTGCTCTTGCCGTCCGCAGTCGGAACCTGGACGTACGCCATCCTCGCCTTGACCGGGTTGACCGCGTCAGGGACGTTGTCAATGACAAAGTGCGAGCTCTCGTCCGCGGTGAACGAGTTGACGGCGTGCGTCGACATCCTGCTGAGGTAGTCGTCGTAGCGGGCGAGCATGTCGTTGACGAGGTCGTCGTTCGGCGTGGCGGCAATCATGAACTGCAGCAGGGCGCCCTCAATGTCGCCCTTGGACTTGTCCGCAAGCGAGTGGGGGACGTCGTGGTAGAGGCAGTTGTCATGGTGCGAGTTGACGAGGGGCGAGAGCGCCTCCTCGATCTCCTCGACGACGTTGCCGAGAGGGGTCTGGGTGGTCGCGGACCGAGCGCGGGAAAGCGCATCGTAGCGAGCGACGATCTCGTCGGTGAGCGAGTTGCAGTGTTGCGTGTGCGGCCAGCGTGCGCTGTCGACGAGCGAGCGGTCATGCAAACCAGACAGAGGCCCCTTGTAGAACTGAAGGCGAGTTAGTAAGACGCCGATAAGCGCTGCACAGCTACGCACCGAGTCACCGTACGACAGGACCATGCCGTCGCGGATGTTGACATTGATGTCGCCGTCCGCTACCTCGACGCCGTCGACGACTTGGCGGAAGTATACGTGAGTGATGCCGGTTGTCTCATCCGTGTACGAGTCCTTCCGCACGCGATACGAGTTCGCCTCCTGGTCGCGAAGGAGGTCGTCCACGAAGACCCGCGCAACCTCGAAGGGGTCGTTGGAGATGGATTGCGGGATGAAGCTGCTGGTGGCAATGTCGTATGGGCTGGATTTGAACACAGCGTGAGGGCGGTCAGGGCCGAAACCGAGCGTCTTGCGGCGCTTGCCCCCGTTCTCATGGGGGTGGGCGAGTACGACGCCAGCGAGGCTCGCCGCAAGGAGCGACGTGGTGAACAGACCACGCATAATGTTGATAAAGAAGACGGAAAGTTGGATGCAGTTGTGGGTGGTGGGTCGAGACAAGACACGGCCGACTTGTTCGAAACGCGCAGCGGGCTAGATAAGGTGCCGTGTCCACGTGGAAGGGATGGGGTACGTCACGAAGAATGTGACTCCCCGGATGGGCGTTCTGGGGTGGAGAGGCTCCGGTGGCGCGGCAGCACTTTAGGACACTGCTTTGCCGTCAGCCTTCGACATCCCCAACGCAACTATCTGGGTGCTCACCTTTCAAGAGCAGAGATATCCCGGAACGTGTGATAGAAGTAGGGTCGCTCAGTGCAAGCTCGGAATGACGGCGCAGTCTAGTCAAGCACAGTGTTTCTGAATTCCGATTGCGGCAGAGCACCTCAGATAGCCCGATAATGAGCAGGCTGCAGGCAGCGGCGTTGGGGTAAAGATATGCCAAAGGCCACGTCTATACCGTATTTAACGGACGTACGCAGCAACGTGTAAGCCGCCTGTTCTTCGTGATGAGGGGACGAGCTGCAAAAAGCACAAATAGCACATACACGCCTATACCTCGAGGTTGACTCTCCGGGTGGCGCGCACACTTTTGAGAGGCTGTCTGCCTGTCTTGCAACGGCCGGGAGCTGCTCAGTCTGCGCAACCGGTACTTTGGGATGACCTTTCCAGTCCTTTGGTGCAAGAAGGTGAAAGGATGAAGCAAGGAACAATTACGAGTGCTGACAGTTCTGTATAAACAAACGCAAAGAAGATTCGCCTCTGTCACGGTTGAACCTGTCACTGTCACGCTCAGTACCATGCTTCACTGCAGGTGTTTGCTACCTTGAGGCGCATCCATAAAAGCGCCGGAGACCCTCACTCCGTGCTATGGAGGAAGTATCGAGGCATGGACTTCATGATCTCGTGACGGACTGTTGACGACAGCGTGGTTCAACGTCGAGTACACAGCCACATAGAAAGCACCGGATATGCTGAGCATCTACAAAGCCGTACTGGACCTCTTTACTCCTTCGTATCCCTCATCCGGTACGCTTTTGGTATCGGGCATCCCAGTAACGCGCTCGCCGCCTCCTCGATCTCGTCGTGGCCCTCTGAAGAGTATTCAGTAATTCGGTCTACCTCGCGCAGGAGCCTTTCTCACCGTCTTTGAACTTCGCAGGGCCCTACAGAAACATAAGTCAACTTTCTAGAGCCACATAATCCTTCGCAACTCACCATCTCCTGGATATTATACCCCTCGCTCTCGAACTGCGGTCCCGGCGGAAACTCGCGTATGCCAAAGAACACCGAGAGCCTTGTCACGATCCCAGACAGGAAACCTTCCGGCTGAGGCATGTACCACGGGCGCGATTGGAAGCTAACGCTGCGAGTCAGACCCCAAAATGACCCTCGAGTATTTGGCGTGTACTCACACTAACGGATGCATGCGCCGAACCTTGCCCGTAGCAGGGTCAACGCGCGGCATGTCGATCTCAACCAGGCTCGTCATCTTCCGTCGTGGAAGCATGAGGTACTTGTTCCAAAAGGCCAACGCACGAAGGGCACCAAGCGTCGCAGCGTGCATAAACCATGGTTGGGCTTCTTCCCTGTGTGCGTCAAGAGGTGTCAGTGGAATGTCGTTGGTCAGAAGTGGACGAATATGGACTCACATCATGGCCACGCGCACTCGCTCGCTCATCAGGCACACCGTTACCCGCCTGCCAAACTCCTTGATGCCGAAAGCCTTGGGGAAGGGAAACAACAGCTCATCGGCGGTGAACTTGGCGACTTTGGCGTTTGACGGCGCGGGCTTCATGTGCTCCTTCTCGTACTGCTGTTGAACGAAGTCAGCAATACTACGAAGGAACAGGCTGGCATACACTCACCTCTCTCCACTCGCTAAGCGCCTCAAATGTCGGCGGGATATCCTTGATGTTCATGCGCTTGCCGATCTCGACCCAGTATACGAACCAAGCCTTCATAAAGGTCAGTAATCGGCGCGATGGAAAAGCACCGGCGTACGTACGTGCTTCTCAAGATCGGAGAACGAGCGCCAGCCGTACTTCTCTGCCCACGACTAGGAATGTCGTCAGCCACTGTCCGTGCTCGCCAGCGAAGACGATCAATAGCGTACCATAGGCTCGAACAAGAACAAGCAGAGGGTGTATAGCAGATCACCATTCCGCTAGTCGTTCAAGTCGTGTAAGCAGCTTCGCGAGCGACGCGAAGATCAACATGGGACGCACGATGTTGTACTTCGAGTGCAGCCAGTTGACGCGGGCGAGGCTCAAAGCAGCGCGAGGGTCAATCGGTTGGCCAGGGTCATTTGTGGCACCGGGAAAGTACCCGTTGATTGGGCATGTAGCCCATGTCGCTGCAGAATAACGTCAATTGTCGAACAAAAGGACGGCAGCATAGAACGACGTACTCAGAAGCAATTCGGTCTGTTCGCGCGTAGCGTCCGCAATCAGTGGAAGACATACACATCCGACTAGCCGACACGCACATCCGCAACCCGCTTCGACACCGTCTCCCTAGATGCCAGCTCCCTAGTCGCCAGCAGCAGCTTCGATATTGAGGGCTGCAAGCCGAGACCTCTCATCAACCCATCCGTCCTTCGCCCTTCATTCATACTCACCACCGCATACGTCTGAAAGAGCGCAAACTCCAGCGCCATCGTCATCAAAAACGGCATATCCCAGCCCAGCGCCAGATGCACGACATCCTGCGCCTCTGCGGGGGTAAGCCCCTGCGCGTCCCTCTTGTCGGGGAGCCGGTGTTGATACTTGCGGTGCACCTCGTCGTACTTGCGCCAGCGTAGGGCGAACACAAGGGAGAGGTAGCCGGCAGCGGCCGCCGCGGCCGCGAGCTTGAGGTAGCAGTCGGGCATCGTTCAGGCGAGTAGGTGGCCTGCGTTGGGGTGAGTCGAAGGAAGCAGGAGGACCTCGACGGTCCGAATGACTTACGCGTAGGTTTAAGGCGTCGGAGGTCTGCTGAGCGTGTGTTCAGTGTATCACAACATGTGAGGGGAGGTCCCAGTTCGGCGTCGGAATCCGTGCGTATCTCTTGTCGAAAATGGCGTGTGGAGACAAGTCGCGTCGGTGGATTTGATGCACATGCTGAAGGAATCGTAAAGGATCGTCAGGGAGCGATGCAGAATTCCCGGGCTCTCAGCCTGATCCGATATCCTAGAACATCTTCTCGTGAAGCGGAACACGGAGATGAAGGGTTTACCTGGAGGGCGAGAAGTCCTGGTTCTCCAGTTTGAGGAGCCGGTCATGAGATGTGTTCGCCGAATCGGAATTACGGTCACTCTCGAGAACGACACCACGCCTCCCTCCGCTAGGAGCCAACCCTATCAGACCGAGTCGAAGCCAATAACAGCAAAGCATTACGAGGGCAGAAGTATTAGTACAACATCGTACACTAGCAAATACTCAGTACACGGATAGCGATAGTAAGCCAAGAAGTGCCCACATTAACAGCGACCCTACACTTATGGGGTTCTCCAAGAAAAAGCGAAGCGACTACTGTCGCTCACGCATATGATCACGCCTTTCGTCGGCCCTAGGCGAGACCGCCACCCTTCGACGACGACAGCAAGCTCTCGAGGTCGAACGAGTCAGCTGGCTGAACGAACATGCCACCGACGGAGTACGAGCTGAAAATGTCGTCCAAGGAATAGGTGTCTGACAGTGGCACTATCAGTATATTATTGACGGTGGGTCGCAGCTGTGTAGACGCACCTCTCTCACTCTGCTCCTTTGCCATCGAGTCCCTCAATGACGTCTCCGTCGGCGGGGCCGCGTTATACGGCAGGTCCTTCCCGGTGAAGCGCCTAAGCAGCCCCGTATCTGGCAACGAGATGAACGTCTTCTTCTCCGTTCCCGATGGCGCGTTGAACTCGATGATGCCTGACCGCGCGCGTCAGTAACAACATCCCGAACAACACAGATAGTAACCCACCCTTCGCCTTTTGGTTCAACACGCTCAACACGAACGAGATGCCTGCCCAGTAGTGCTCCATCCGCTGAAGCGCGCGATACATCGAGGACAGGTTCTGCCGCGCCAGCGATGTCAAGAGGAGGTCGACCTTCCGCCGCGGTCCGCCGCTGCCATGACCTTGTTGGTCGTTCCCCTGCTGCTCCGCCTCCATCCCCAACATGCCGAGCTTGATGTCATACATGAACGCTAGGCTGCGCGCAACGTAAGGGCCTCCAACTGCTTTGGTGCACCATCCACTCACCAAGCGACATATATCGGCTGCACCGCCATCGGGCTCGCTAGGTAGCTTTGCGACGCGAACAAATCCGCAAAGACCAAGCACTCGCTTATTGTCCGCGAGCACCCGAGCGCAAGCTTGACAGACTTGTCCATGTTGGAGGACATGGGCGTCTCCACGCCCGAGGTGTTCGAAAGCAGCTCGGGATGGTAGACGAGGGCGAGTACGGCATTGGCCCATAGGTGAAGCGTAAGGAAGACGCCCTGAAAGATGAAAGCGTCAGTCGCGCGAGGTGCAGACGAAGCCAATGCAGACACATACCCCATGCCCCCTCGCCTCCTGATGCTGGAACGCCTCGACGCTCCACTTCAGCCCCGCCGGCAACTCCTCGTAGAACTGCACCAGCTGGCCCTGCAGATCACCCAGCAACCCCGGATTCACCGTCGGACCAACAAGCGTCCTCGACCGCCCTCGCTTCCCGTTCAACGCATTCGCGATGCGTCCGCAAAGGACCATCAGTCGAACGAGGTAGGGAAATGGACTGGGCTGCACGGGCTCTTGGTAAGCTGCGGGATCGGTCGTGCGCGCGGAGTCGGGGTGCATGTCTTCGTCGGAGGGAAGCGGAATTTCGATAATTTCCTCGGAGATGGAGACGGGGCGGCCAGTGGAGAAGGAGACGATGCGATCCTGCGAGTGATGCATAAGCGCGAGCGACTAGGAAAGAAGGACGAGCGTGCTCACCGTGATGAAGAGGTTCCAAAACAGCAATCTCGTCCGCTTGATGTGTGCTGTCGATTCAAAGAGCTCGTGCGTCTGAACGATGTCAGCCCTTAGGGGAGCGTCGGCGCTTCATATGCACGCACCTCATGAAGCCCCAGATCGAGCGCCATGCGTATTGCCATGCCCGTATATTGCTGAAAACCCCTTGAGCATGATCATTGCGGCAGAGAATCGAAGACGGACCCACCCATAGCCCACTTTCGGAGTTCTGTACACACGCGTGTGTAAGCTGTCTCTCAATAACTTACAGTCGACTTACCTGTCCGTAGTTCGCCCACGCTAGTAGCAGGAGACCAGTAACTGTGTCGCTTGTCGGCAGATGCAGTAACGGGATAAGAAGCTCTTGCGCTTTGGTGATGAATGGTGCACACGCCTTGGTAGGCGATTCGCCGTTTTGAGTGTGGAATCGGGCGGCTATGGCGCATATGCCTGGTCGATTGATTAGTCCTGCTACGACGTGGGTAATGACGAGCGCCTACAGTTCAGCATAAACGCCGACATGGTCCCCGTCTCCAAGCGCTCCTCCATGCGCTTGCGGTCGATGCTAGGGAAATGTCGACCCATTGTCCGGAAGTAGGTGTCAAGCAGAGGGATGTGGATATGTGGCAAAGGTAGTCCATTGGGATCAAAGATCTCCTGTGGTGGGGGAGGGGTGTATGGTATGGATTGCGTGTCGGTGACGGGTGCGGCCGCTGTACTGGAGTCCTGAGGATTATTTGTTCGTGGTTGCAATTTGAGGGATATTCGGTTGATTCCTGGGCTGTGAGGCGGTCAGCGTCGATGTATATGACCAGCAGTCACGGACACGCACTGTATAGCCGTCGATCCAGACTGTTCAGGTCAGCAATGTGTGAGGGGGGAGACGCAGGATTGCTTACGATGCGGTAGTAGTACAGTTCGAGTTCTTCGTTCCTCGATGGATCTCCATCGATGAAGGCAAATTGTGACTCCAATGCGCGCACCAGCTGCTCTGTCCGATGCTGATCGGGGGAGGGGGTGTCGTTGAAGGGGCCATTCAAAGTGTTAGGGGAAGCATGATCGGAGCCTTGGCGATGTTGGCCATGCGATGGGGGCCAGATGTAGGACGACTGGGGTAAGGGTGCGGGGAACTGCCATGCATGGTCGTGGTTGACTGGTGACGGCCCCCCTCCGCTATGCAGCTGGGGTGGTGCCGTTTGGGGCAAGTTCTATACAGTGCACACGATTAGCGCGAGAAGCACATCCCTGAGTCCCTCACGCACCCAAAGGTTGTTTTGCTCGTGCATCGGCTTTGGGGGCGCGAACATCCCATGCTCAGCCATTGCCGCCGAAGCGGCCGACTCGCGCTCCCTGCGCTCGTCCGCCTCCATCTCTCTGCGCGTGCGTTTGCGCTTGCGGCCCGACGGCCAGGTGCATTCCTCGTTCGCCTTCTCGCAGGCGCGGCATATTGGGCGATCCCCTGAGCATCGCGCCCGCTTCGCGCGGCAGCGGTGACATGCGAGTCTTACCCTCTTCTCCGCTTGCGCCTCCTTCGACTCCGCGCTCCTCGTTTCGTTGCTGTTGTTCGTCGCGGGGGACTCGCCTGCAGGGGACTCTGGTGTATTCTCTTGGGGTGGGGACACGGACGCCATGACAGTTGAGGACAAGAACGAATGTCGGGGAGTCAGGCGGCCGGGGTGGCATATTGGTATTTGAATAAGCATAGTGGGGAAGCGTTCGCAGCTCTTACTCATACCCCATCCAGACCCCATCCTCACTAGGCAGACGAACGTGCTGACATCGTATCAAGATATGTAGGGTACCGAAGCGTCTCCTCGTCCATTCGAACATCGAACCGTATTCTCAAAAAACAAGAAAAACCAGAATGTGGGGAAATAACCTCGGCGTTCGGCCCGAACGGTGTTCCTGAAATCAAGACATTTCCAATCAATTATTCGACCTCCTCAAGCTTGTCCCTTACCGCGACCAGCGCGTCGTCCACCCAGAATCGTTATGCTCGCGTCCACCAAAGCGGACCGGACACTGCTCAGCACCACTTCTTCAGGCTTGGAGTAACAAGGTGGAATACCACGAGTGATTGGAGCAAGATGGATTGAATGGCGTTCGTGAGCGCCCAAGGCGGTGCCCGTTTGCATCGCACGCGACTCTTATCCCAACTCATCACCTTCTTCTTCCCTGTCGTCTTCGCTCTATTCCCCTGCTTCCTCCCCCTGAACCTAGAACAGCAGTCGCCACAGCCCAACGTAGCAGTCTGGAGACGAGACTCAGCAGACACTTCCCTCCATCTTTCTCATGCAGGTCGCTGCGTACTTTCCCCCGTTCCTATGGGACTTCTGGCTTCGCGCAACGTACGTCACTGTCTGTCCTATGTTGCAGATGATTTGAATCGTTCATCGTAGTAAATCATACGATGCAGAGACCAGCAAACCTCCTGTTCAAGGGCATCTCAACGTCTACGACACGTTCGAGAATGAGTTCGCCGAGATCAACGAGTCTCCGGTATCCCCTCACTTCCGGTCTGATGCCTTCGCCGACCTGCACCACCCGTCACACGACAGACGCACAGTAGCCCGTCTGCATCTTCTGCAAGACCAGTTATCTCAGCTTGAGATCAAGGCAGAGACCGCCATCTCCATCCTAGTAGACGAGGGGACGCACAAGAGATACTGGAAGCTTGGCGCGTACTCCATCCCCATGGACTCGCGGCAGGCGGACGACCTACGCAAGTACATTGCATTCCTGCACTTCCGCAATGGCCCGGTCTACCAGCGTCTTGTTGCAGACACTCGCGCTGAGGCGGATGAGGCTCAAGATGCATCGAAAAACTCGGAATCCTCATCTCTGCTCTCCACCTTGGAGGCCATCGGCACGTTCTTGAAGCTCAGTTCGCGACATCGCGTCGGGAATCTGTGCATGGAACGCGGACGCAGTCCCGGAGAGAATGTTTACCTGCAAGAACTACACAACCTGTGCTGGAGGTTTGCGAACAGTGACTTGAGCGTAGGCAAGGCTCAGGGTGGAGATCATGAGTACATACTCTCCGAGAATCCCATAGGTTCGTTTGGAAGTGCCAACCAAATGCGCCTTCTGACGTCCATCAGGCTTCATGGACGAATCTTTCGATGCCTTACCGTAAGCCGAGTCCGACATCTATTGCATAGATTACTCAAAGCGCTCCCAGCAATACCTACAACCTCTTCCTCCCCATCACCCCCAAACTCGCCATCTACATCCTCTGCGACGACGACCTCTCCGCCCCCACCTCCCCCAACCCCCTCCCCACCCTCAACTACATCCAAATCTTCCCCGAGGCCCAAATCGACGTCCACCTCCGTAACGCCTTCGTCCTGCACTCCGCCCCGCGCCGCCTCTTCTTCGCGTCCTTCCGCTCCATCGCGCTCTCCGTCTCCTCGTACGACGAGTTCCGGCGCTCGCCGGCGCACCAGGACTACAGTCGGTTGAAGCAGCGCTGCCGGCAGAAGTACCTTCAGCAGACGGTGACGAAGACGCTGGTAATCCGGGACGCGATTGTGGTGACGGATTTGACGGAGCAGATATCGAGGATGGGGAGCTCGCCCGTCGCGCATGGCTCGTTCTCGGACGTCTGGAAGGCGATGTGGGAGGACCCGGTAGAGCATCGGCCGCGGTTTGTATGTTGTTTGCTTTTGCGGGCTCGCATAGATGTGTAGCCTCGCTGACGCTGTACAGGTTGCCCTCAAGCTTCTGCGTCAGATCATGGCCAACAATGTCCGGGAGAAGCTGCTGCGCGTAAGTGCCAGAGTTCTCCTGGCGACCGTACCTTGCTTAGAATATACCCCAGCGCCTGTCCAGCGAGGTTGCCGCCTGGCATCGTCTTTGCCACCGCAATGTCGCGCAGTTCCTCGGAATCTACCAGACATCGACAACGCTTGGAATGGTCTCTCCTTGGTGCGACAACGGCACCGTGCAGAGCTTTCTGCGAGCGAATCGGAAGCAAGATAGGCCCGCGATTGTCAATAGGCTCTGCAATGCTTACTTCGTGATGGAAACGCTTACCGTCACGACCAGCTCACTGAGATCGCCTCTGGCGTAGACTACCTGCATAACTTCACGCCTGCCATCGTGAGTTGCTAACGCCAGGCACGACTATTTCACGATGCTGACGCGCTTCGCAGATCCACGGAGACCTGAAGAGCGTACGCTAGCGTACTTCTGCTCATGTCGATCTGGTCCTAACAGCTCCCATCCAGGGTAACATCCTCATCGACTCAGAGGGCAAACCCATCCTCACCGACTTCGGCTTGTCCAAAGTCCTGGACGAAGTCGCCGAGTGCGCTCGGTCGCGGCAGGGCTCGTCATCCTGCGGAGGTTCGACGAGGTGGATGGCACCCGAGCTCATCTTCGCGATGGCCGATGACAACACCAGCTCTTTCGAGCTGACGACGTGGTCAGATGTGTACGCGTTCGCCTCGGTGTGCTTGGAGGTCAGGTCTCATGCGTCGTCCGTCAGTCGCAACTCACAGACGATGCCTTCCCCAGATCGTGACCGGCGCCCTGCCATACCCGCTGCGCCAGAACGAAGTCTCGGTAGCGGTGGACGTGTATCGCGGGATCAGGCCCTCGCAGTGCGTACCCTGACTTGCGCCTTCTTGTCAAGTTATGCTGATGTTCATCGTAGAGGAGCGAAACTTTGTATCGGCCTCAAGGACGAGCCGGGATTCTGGGACTTTCTTAACAGGTGTTGGAGTCCGAATGTCTTCGAACGGCCGAGCATGGGGGACGCCGTGAGCTTCTTGCGTTCTGTCGTGCAGATAGACGGACGCGAGGATGCCTCATAGAAGACGCCAGTACTCACGGGGTCCATCCGCGCCCACGCTCACGACCTTTACGACCTAAGTTATACGCATCCAACGGACTTCATGGCTCGCCATGCTGCTCAGTTATGTACTTGTATCATTATCCATGTAGCTGTTCATTATATGCATCGCACCTCTGCACAAGGAGAGAACAGTGAGACCCCACATAAGCCTGGGATCCGATTTTTTGCTCGCGAACGCCTTAGGGGACCCCCCGAGCTTGCGAGGGAGGGGAGAGGCGGAGCGAGCAATGTGCTATCACGTGAGTCAAGGAGGGGCCCGTTCACGGGCCAAACGGTAGTTTCGCCTCGTCATCGCTGTTTTCGCTCTGCTGTCCGCGCATTTCTTCGAATTTCGCTATGGTCAAAATATGGATTTGGGTCTGCTCTACGCTGGCTACCATCCTGCGAAGTTTCGTCCCGAGCACTCGACTTTCTGTATTCGACCCCCAAAACCGCCGTTTCGCGTTCGAATCTCGGTCTTTCGCTTCGCTTGAAAGCCGAGCACCTTCTTCCCACCCATCACCACCCTCTTCCCGAATTTGAGCGACATAGGTTGAATAGCTCTCATGCAACATCGCTCGTGCACCTTCGCGCTAGGTTACGCCTGGCCTTCGGGCAGCGCATACGATGACGTCACATTCACAGCACGTTCTTTCGGCATTTGCCGCTGCACATTGCTCGACCTACGGAGTAGGTTTCCTAGCGAGCACCCTGCGGTCCTGCCGCACGCCTATGTTAGAGTTGTTTGTGACCGGTTCATGATCACGTGTATGACCATGTTTATGACCTTTTATGACCAGGGTATTGTTGTGATTACAGCGAAGGTGATTATGCGGAGAGCAAACACGGCACATGCCGAAGCCGTAAACTTTAAGGATCGACGTGTCGCCGTCGTCGCCCCCCGCAGCTCCCCGTACAGCGCGACAATGAGCTCTACGTTTACTTTGAAATCTCCACCAATTTGTTGGCCAAATTCTTAGGCCTTGAGCGCCCCACTACCGCACGGGCGAGCTTCCACGGTGGCGCCTGTGGTCTACTTCTCCCGCATCGCCCCATCCCTCCAGGCTCCCCAAGCCCGCCACGCCCAAAGCCTCCTGCTCAAGCGCCTCGAAATCCCATGAGAGCGACCTTCTGACAGTGATAGAGACGACTCGCGGCCACACAACGTCTCGCGCGCATATGCCATCACATTCCATAATCGGCACAACAAAGGCGTTTGCTTAGAGGGACCCACAGCACGAGAGCATAGGGCATTTGGGTCTGGAGGTGCGTCTTGAACACCGCTCATGAGTGTTGGCGCTGATGGGGGCGTCGCAGAGACAGGGAGATGGAGGCGTCACCGCCGAACGCTAAGGCGGCAACCACTCAACCATCCCCAATCCGACGGGCGAACCTGTTCGACCGGACTCAGTATCTTTCGAGACCGTGAATGATTCGAGCTTGCACATCCTCAACCCGACGTACAGACGCGCTCGACTTCGTCGCACCATCGGATCGTGTAGGCGGACGAGCGCGTCGCCTGTTCCAGCCTCACCCGTACCCTTCTCAGCCCGCTGTGTGAATCATCCCACTCATCCTCCGTGGCATTGCACAGGGAATCCTAGCCGTCGAAGGCTCACCCACGACGCGCTCGATTTCGCAGAGCCTGAATATCGCATCCCCGGTGCAGCAAAACCGCAATCGTGCAACATCTCCACCTCCCCGCCCTACCCCCCCCACCTGTCAGGCCAGATGAGCATCGAATCACAGGACGAATACGCATATACGTACCTTAGCGCCCATCCGAACGGTACACAGTCGAGAGCCATTTAGTCGCCTTTGGGCGCGCGAACGGACGACGACCAGACATAATCCCTCCATGGAGTCGCAGGAAGATGTTGCAAGTCCGCAGGAGCCCGCGTGCATACGGCCGTCGAAGACACAACGCACGATGCCATCATAGGTTTGGACGCATTGGCAGCAACGAGAGAACGAAATGTGGCAATCTGCGAACGCCGGCATGTAAGGTCATGCTCAGAGCGAAGGACATGCGAGGTATGTTCTTCCCCAAGGCGTGGCGCATACATGCGCTCGGTTCGAGCTGCGCGAGACGGAGAGGTGGGAAGGCTTCCCTTGACCCGAAAGTGCGGGAGAACACCGTTATAGTCGATACTTGCTTGAGTGGCGTTTTGCGACGAGACTGACAGTCCTTGACAGATATGTGCCGCTTCAGCGAGAATGCGCACAAGTTCTCGTTGGCGCACTGCGTATACGCTGTTTCGTGGACATTCGTGCCCTTGGCGAGAAACCTACAGCCCTCTGGTTCGATGTCTTTCTTCAGAAGCCCCAGCACGTCGAAACGGTTCCTGGTGGAGCAAACTTCTAGGTGGTCGACGTCAAGGTTTTCTTTCTCTTGCACGTTGAATTGCTCTTCGGCATGCAGATCATTGTGATAAGCCGAGTGACGGATCGGAAGGAGGTAAGATGAGTGGCGGTGCTAGGAATTCGCCGACCATCGATGGGTTGAACACCGGCGCACAGACCTGCAAAAATTTCGAGTATGGTGAGTCACTTGGGCCTCATGGCCTAGCTCGAGCTCACCGTTCGTGCCCAGATGTTCGCGCTAGACAACAAGATGAACCACGGAGAGCTTTGGCCAGCGCGATCCCTATCATCTCTTGTTCAACATGATTGTTTCGAACTCCGGTGCTACCGCCTTCCAAATGCGGACAATGGGCTGGCGCAGCAACCGGCGCCGGGCCGGCCGACGACAAAACCAACGCGTCTGCCCTTGTTCGCGTTTTCTTCTTGACCATTGTCACCCCACGAGCGCATACTGCCCTCGAGCTCCTTCCAGCCACATATCCCTCCTCTAACCCTGACCATACTCGACTTCTGAGTCATGTCTTCCTCCAACAACGCCAACTCCATCGCCCAGGGTAACGCGTCGGCCATTAATGGCACCGCCGCCCTCGCCGCCAACGCGAACGCCTTTGCCCCTGCCGTCGATGCAGCCGCCGACATCGACACGCCTCTCAACACCAGCGAGGCCGGTAACAACAAATCAGAGCAGCCATTCCAGGACGCGTTCCTCAAGGCCCTCAAGACCGCGGTCGAAGGCGCGAACCACTTCGTCAACTCAGACAAATCCGCCAACTTTCCGGAGGCTCGCCTGCTATGCAGCGCCGTGGAGAATATGCCTGGTCAGACTGATGCTGGAGCAGATGAAGTGCCCGAAGCTATGTGCGCAGCTTACGCGTTCTTGTGTGGCGTCCTCGCTGACGAGATTTTGCAGGGACGATCTCTCGAAGCACATCATCCAGTCGCTGAGGTGCGCTCTTCTACACACTATCCTCACCCCTCTCGTGTACTGATACCCTCCTAGGGACGGCGCCTTCACCATCCAAGAGCTCTTCCCGCTCCAGCCCGGCGAAGTTGAACCGCAGCCAAAGGCGAACGAAGAAAAATTTCCACTTTGGCCTGCCATGGTCCACAAGAGCTTCAACATCCAGGACGTCTCCCAACGCTACGTGCCCGTGTCCGCGATGCCGGTCATCGACCCCGCCCTCCCGTACGCCTTCCACATCGACCGCGACGGCGTCGAGATGCCCATCGACTTCCCCTTCACGCTCTCCTTCGAGCCGAAGAACAAAAAACACAAGTCGATGTGCGTGGAGGTTGATGTCGAGGAGGAGGTCGTCCCTGCCGCTGCCGCGTCTACGGAGGTGGAGATGGAGGAGGTCCCCGCCACGCGTGGCACTGATGATGCCGATGATGCCGCTCCTCGCTGCGACACGAGGCTTGCCACTGGTGGCAAAGGCAAGGGCACCGGTGGCAAGGACAAGGGCAAGGGCAAGACTCGGGCTGAGCCGGAACCTGCGTCCGACTCTGAGCTATCCGAGCTCACCGAGTCAGAGACCGACGAGCTCTCCTCGCTGTCCGAGCTGACGGAGAGCGAGGACGAGGAGCCCGCGCCGAAGCCTGCCGGCCGTCACGCGAAGAAGCCTGCTGCGAAGCCCGCGAAGGTGGCACCCAAGGCGCCGAAGGCAGCTGCGCCCCGTGCTACGAAAGCAGCAACTACGAAGGCTACGAAGGCGGCGACGCCCAAGGAGACGAAGGCACCGGCTCCTCGTGCCACGAGGGCGGCTGCACCCCGACTCGTCAAGGCAGCCCCTAAGAAGGCTGCTGAGCCCGCGCCGAAGCAGGCGCCTAAGCCCAGGGGCATGCAAGCGAAGGGCAAGGAGCCCGCTGCTGCCCCGCGCGCCACAAGGGGCGCGGCTGCCACGTCCAGGCTCATACAGTCTACTGCGGCGTCCAAGGCGCGGGCTACTGCTGCCACCAGCAAGGCTGCTGGTGCTACCAAGGCGAAGGCCGCTCCTGCTCCCAAGGCCACGAAGGCTCCTGCTGCGTCGAAGCCCACTGCTGCACCCAGGGCCCCGAGCCGCGCCGCCGCCGGAAAGCGCAAGCGCGACGACGACGACGAGGACGCCGCGCCCGTCGCGCAGCGCAGAATTGCGGCTGCAGCCAGGGTCTCGCCACCCGCCGCCCCCGCGGTGCGCGCGCAGGCCGGGCACAACCTCAGGCGCACGAAGGCCGTCAGCTATAAGGTCTGAAGCAATCGGTGTGCCGGAGCAGGCATGCGATACCTACGTTCCTCAAGTATTCCTACCTGGTTCGCAACACGTACATACCGCGCGACACCTGTGCGTCTTGCGAGCTTTACACACCTCAGAACAGCCACAACGCCTGCTCCCCGCACAAGACCACCTCGTGCCGCTCCAGTCTACCTTCGTCACAGCGCCTACTCTTCTCACGTCCCACTTGCGTACATCGTCGAGCGCACCTATGTGCCCTCGTCGCGGATCGGACTCTCCTTCGCAGTGCTCGTACATACTGTATCTTTATCTCCTGTATCTATCGAAAATGGCACAAAATCCTGGAAAGCTGGTGTGATATGAGAAACACGCAAATCGCAAGGGAAGCCGCGAGCCATCTCGAGAGGTAGAGAGACACGCAGAGGAGATCTTCAGAGCATATCGGCAAACGATGGCCTAACTATCGTACCCTTCCACCGTGGTACCTAGTCCCATAGCGCGCGCCTTGTCGACTGCAGCGCATGCAATTGCCACATCCTGTAGACCGACGCCGACCGACTTGAACATCGTCACACCGCCTTCCTGCTCCTTCGTTTGCAATTTAGGTAGCGTCGTCTTCAGATTACCCTCCCCGTCCACCTCAACCAGTTCCCCAATCTCATGAACAGCCGCCATGTCGACCTTCGCTTCCAGCAGCTCCCCCGCTTCCTGCGCGCACGCGTCGCGCGAGTCCACGATGAGCGCGCCCGCCAGCGCCCGATGCACGAGCTCGCTGTCCACCTCCTTCATGTGCGGCTTATAGCTCCCGATGAGCACGACGTGCGCCCCGGGCTGCACCCACGAGGAGGGGCAGAGTGGCGCGGTCGAGGATGTCGCGCAGATGACGATGTCAGCGGAGCGAACCGCTGCTTCGACTCTCTCGCCTGCCTGCGCCGGAGCAGATGTGCTGAATGTTTCGACAGTGACATGCGGGAACGCTGTCCGCAGCGCGTCCGCCAGCTTCGTCAACCGCTCGTTCGCGCTCCTGTTTACGATGCTGCAGCGGGAAACCGATGGGTAAGCGCGCAGGAAGAGGTGTAGATGCGCCTCAATCTGCTTCCCGGAGCCAAAGGTAGTAATTGCGGTAGGTTCGTCGATACCCACAATGCGCGATGATAGGAGAGACCCTATGAGGATTCAGCGATTCGTTGAACTCGCGCCAACAAGAGTACTGTTAAGGGATATACTTACCAGCAGCGTTACGCAGCGCAGTTAGACTCCTCGAATTCACGATAGCCTTCACAGCGCCAGTATCTTCGTCCAGCACTAGCGTCGAACCCGGCAGCCCACGGGTATCACCTGGCGAGGACGGAACGGAAACGACCTTGACCGTCGTCCCCGTGAGCGCATCAGTAGCGATCCGCGCAGGCATGAATAATGCCGTGTGCTGAGACATCGAGATAGACGTCCGGTGCGGCGTCGACGAGAGCCATCTGTCCCCGCGCGAGAGGGTGCGGAAGACGCTGGCCATAAGGATCTGCAGCTCGTTGGGCGACATCGATGCCGTCGCCCTCTCTACGTCGGCAGCGGATAGCACGAGTAAAGACATCGGTGACTGTAGAGAGGAGTTTTACTAAGGTTGGTTAGGGCGGGAAGGGGGGTGATGATAGCAAGAGAAAGAGCCATCGTTGCCGACAAGTCGACCCCCGAACCCAGCGCGGAATTGATGTCGGCTTCGTCGGCGATTGCCGCTGCTGGATTCACAGGTTACAGCAATGGTCGTGAAGGTATTCAGTTCGCAACATAGGGAGGAGTCACAAATAGGCATAGTATATTCAAGAAAACTTGCTCATACGAGCATACAATAAGAAGGAGCAACATGTTATTTCAAGCGAGCACATAAGGGAGAGCAACTGAACATGGACTTGGGCACTATTGAAGTGCCAGGCAGACATCCGCATCCTCAAAGGCCGATGTTGATGGGAGTGCAGCCGACGTTGACCAGGCCATGCTGCAGGATAGGGATGAGTCATAGATGCGTCGAATAAACCGCATCACGGACCTGGTAGGTGTTCGTGCAGCACACCGTCTGCGCCGAGCAGCTGTTACCGCCAACCCCGATGACGGAGATGGGCGAACAGTTGAGGCCACTGTGAGATATTCAATGCGTGCATTATGAAGACGATGGAGGAAGGCACATACACCAGATTTTTGAGATCCCCAACCTTGATGTTGAGGAGACCCAAAAGCGCCGTGGTCCCCTTGTCGAGGTGCTTAGACTGCAGAAGATCGTCAGTGAGCATGGCAGCGACACAATGAAGAAGCAGACGTACATCCTCGGTCTTGTTGCAGCAATAGACAGGGCCGGAGCTGCACGACTTGGGCGGAGTACCGCCATTGACGTCGCGGGGCACGGCTGTGGCCATGGCGAGCGCAGGGAGAGCGAGGACGAGGGTGGCGAAGAAACGCATGGCTGCTGAGTACGAGGAGCGGTGGAAAAGTAGAGAAGAGGGCTTGTAGTGCAAGAGATGAGTTGCGACTGTAAGCTGGAGAAAGAAGGCTCCCCCGCCCTCCTTATATACCCAAGGACCTGCTTAATATCCCCCATCTTGCCACACCCCAAGGCCTGCCAGATACCCAAGGCACTGCCGCTGCGATCGAGGACCCGAGCGCCACTTACTTACCCGCTGATGTAGTGACGCGCATGAGACGCTGCCCGGGCTGTGGGGGAACGAATCGAGGTGGCAGGCCCTGCGATCTTCATTTCGCAGACAGTGGACAGACATGTACCCTGGTGATTGACGAGAGCCTTCGTAGCTTGATTGACCAGGGCGTTCATCATTGCTTGGAGGAGGGCATTCATAGACGAATTGAGGCGAGCGTTCATGACAAGATTGACGAGAGCCATCACATTTGCGCCCCCACCAATTTATCGCACGTCCATGCCAGTTCATCCGCAGGCCTTGACGACACGCATCCTTCTGACGCTGATAAATTATTGCATTGTCCGCCGTCCGACTGAGTTTAGCCCGTACGATATGTCGAGCGAGGGCACCGAAGTAAGAGGACCGGTCGGTCGAGGCATGTTCGTGGTCGAATGCATACAGCGGCAGTGTAAGTTACACTGAGCGAGGGCAGCGTACGATACGGCAAGCGAGGGCAGCGCACCCCGAGAAGGCCGTTCTATGGCACCAGGCTCCGATTGCTTGAGTCCCGGGCTTCGATTTCAAGGGTGCCTGGAAAGTAAGTCATACGTGCGCGCGCGAATGCGGGAGTGAGCATACGCATGCGAAAGCAAGTACCAGCCAAGCTGAGGGGCTACACCAGCCAGGTTGGGACGTCACGACCCGACCACGACCACCACCGCCGCGCCACTGACGCGGCACCTGCCGTAAGTCGCCTGATTTTCCGCGTTCATTCACGTTCATGCACGATCCACGAGGCCCGTTAGGCAGACGCTAACGCGCTCCCGATCTTGCCATCTGTCTAGAGTCGTAAACCTTCCACTCAGGACACACGGGTGCAGGGTAAAGTGACCCGACGTCCAAACGCACGGAGCTACCAAAGGGATTCGCCAGCGCCAACCTCTTGCAGACGACATGCAAGGGCGTGCTGGGCGACGTGCAAGGCCGTGCTGGACCGTAATGAACATAGCCATGCTGAGCCGTCATCAACATAGGCATGATGATGCGCTCTGCAGACTTGCTGCAGACCCAACTTAGCTTCACGGGCGTCCGAGACGTAGCTTCGAGCACGTCCGGTGACTGCGTATCTATCACCTCAAAATCAGCACTACGGAAGGTAGATCAAAGTGAGCACTGCACCTAAAATGTACCCCAAGCCTAAGCAGGGCTAGCGAATGGATGTGGAAGCCCGTACATGGGCGATGCGGCTCCGTCTAATAGCAGGAGATGCGGGTCCGAGGAGTAACAATCGACCGATGGTCATAACTTCATGATGCACGACGGACTTACAGGGCTGCTAGTTCTGAAAATGTAATACGGGAGTTCGGGGTGTTGCTGAACGTTCGCACAATTTGCTCAAGTTCATGAAGGAGTATGGCAGTATAAGAAGATACAGCGAGGATATCGGCAACGCACAACAAAAACATCTTTCTAATACAGGTGCAGGAAATCCTTGTCCTTGGTCATTGGTGAGCGAGAGAGCAATATTTGACGTATGGGATCGAAAACGACGCATGGGATTGTCCGGTCATACCCACCTCATTGGTAGATGAAGTTGTACCTGCGTGAGGTCATTTGAGTTAGCGCAAGCGACGGACGTAAGATAGCGCCCACCTAGACAGCAAGTGCGGGATAGCAGACAATTGCGGACCGTATCTGAGATGAAGATGTCAGTAAAGAAGAGACTGGAACGTTCGTCCCACCGTCCATCCTTCTCACCTGGCAGCATTGTCGTAAAGCTCGAACAGGGGAATGGCGAGTAGCTTCATATTCTTTGGGACGGCGAGGACCTCTGCGAGGACATGAGCATGGACATGAAGGATAACGAGGAGGATAGCCGCAGCGTACTCTTCTCGGGCATCTGGACCAGGAACAGTTTCTTGCACTCTTTAGGTTTGGTGATGTGTGCGGGGACGAAGGGGTACTGGAGGGTCATGCGCAGGTCAGCGGCTCTGGTCTGCACATGCTTGTCGAACAAGCGCACCATGAAGGTCTCGAAATTGGGCCTCCACCACTGCGCGAGGCAGTCCCCGATCTCCCAATCATTCTCCGCGCCATGCGCCTGATTGAACTGACCTGGCGAACCTGTCAGCAGAGGCTCTCTCAGGGCAGCAAATGGACACACTTGAGGCGTTCGGTGGAGCGAGGCGCTCATCCAGGCGCCGCTTGAGCCCGTCGACTTCATCCTCCCCGGGTTTCAGGTAGTCTCCGGGGCTGTCGAGGGCAGAATTAGCGACCCTGACAGCGCAACGAGGCGAGGACGCACAGCTTGAAGAACGCATTTGCGATCTGGAGCATCAGGATATGGGGATGACCGTGATCGTGGACGACAAGGACCCCCTCGACTGTCCTGCGCATGCCAAAGTCTTCATAGTTGTTCTGCAGCCGCTGCAGACGTGCGGAGACGGACGGATCCTCTTCGGGCTGCGCCTCTTTCGTGCTGAAGGTGAAGTTGGACAGCGGGTACCTGGAATTTGGATGGTCGCATACAGGTCGTTATTTCTCGCTAGAACTTCTTACAAAGCTATTGTGTTCGACATCGTGGTAGAGAACAAGCGATGACTTCAGCCCGTCGCGTCGAGAACAAGGACCGCGTCGAGGAGGAGAACAAAGAACGCGAGTTTCCCACGCCACGCATCTTGTTTGTGGCGTTACCCCTCCAGTCACATGCTTTTTCAACTCACCACGTGCATTCTCCTCGAATCCAACCATCGTCATGTTTTCGGAGTGCTCTTGATAATTCCCAGCGCGACCATGTGAAGGAATATACACTGGAGGAGCACAATCTCACGCCAGGCGCAGTTGTCGTACTGCATGACATCAGGTTGGGTGGGGCGCGAGGTCACCGCCATTCAGCAGAAAAGGGATATAACACAGCGCGAAGCTAGTCCACTCATATCAGAACGATCTCGCAACATTCATCATGCCTCTCCTCGGAAAGACCAAGAAGTCCGAACTGCGTCCCGTTGACGACTCGCACTTTACCGAATTGGAAAAGGAAGAGAAATCTTCTTGGTTCATCAGGATGATTACGGAGGTGAGCTTTCGGTACTCAGTCTTGACGGGCGCCCGACCCTCGCGCGAATGCGACAATAACGCTTCATATTGGGTCAGTCCCTGACAGCACGCCTGCTATCGTCAATGGCGCAGACGACGAAAAACTCGGCCATGGCTGTAGTCTGCCTCGGGTGAGTCCATTCGTTGACAAAGTCGTTATCTGCACTTGGCGTATCCCTAAATCGTGGCGCACCTCTAAAACCGTGGCGCATCATCCATCATTGAGTAGACACTGACTCGCACCATGTTAGCCCATGGGGAGACTCAAGCCCCGTCGTGTACCCTAGCGTGCGCTTTAGAGATATGGCTATCGAGACCGTCAACTTTGCGACGGGCGGCACAGCTACCCTCATCACGCCGTTCGCGAGCGAGGTCGGCGGTGATCTCCTCGGAGACGGTATCATCGCCGAGCTCGTAACCCAAGTGGGCAAAGATGCGGTGGCTGGGGTCGCTGACCAGGCGCTGATCAGTGAGTACTTCGACTTAATTTCTGCCCTGATTCTCGCAGAGACTATGCTGCTCTAGCGAGTTCTTCGTCTTTCCGCGGACAGTGCTGAGCAAATTAACTTTGCAGAGGAGCCAATTGAAAAGCTAGGCGACGAGAAAGACCGCACGCTGAAGACGGAGAACTTGAAGACGCTGAAGATCACGCTGCGCTACCGCAGTACAAGGAAGGAGGCGCTGCTTGGGTTTTATCATGCGTCAGATACGACGTCGGGAACCAATATCGTCGACAAGACGAGGGATTATTTCGACACGACGATGGGTAACTGTCTCAGCACGTACGCGCAAAGCGGCATCTACTCAGTATCTCCAGGCTGGTTCTGCCCCTACCTATACGCCAGTGGCCGCACGCCCCTCATCCCACGGAAGGTCACGCCCGACGTCATCTTCGCGCACGGCCCCTTCCTCAACGGTGATTACCAAGTCGCGCAAAGTGAGAACCTTTTCTTCCCTTCCATTTCCTTCACCTCACTCCCTTCCTGCCCTCCCTTCCCTCCTCCTACCCATTCCAACATCAGCTACACAACGACACCATTTCTAACACCCTACCCAGCCCTTCTCACCGAATCCAGCAAAATCCTCTCCCTCTGCCCCCACGAATCGCCCTCGCCCACGCACCGCCGCATGCTCGTCACCGTCCTCGGCCTCAAGCCCTACCGCCTCGGCTGGACCTCCTCCGCGCGCCCCGGCCAGTCCATCCTCCACTACCAGCTCCCCGACGGCTGCCCCGCGCTCGTCCTCCCCGTCCGCGACGGCAGTCCCCTGGTCGCGTGGTTCGCGGCGGGGCGGACGCTTTCAAAACTGTGGAAGATCAATCTGAGCACGGAGGAGGGTATAGAGGAACTGGCGACGCATACTCGCTCGCTGGCGGAATTCCTCAATTTGTGCGTAGACTGGGACAGAGAGACGGACGAGAATGGGAAGAAGGGGAAGGGTGGGCGGCAGAGGCTGGATCGCGCGGTGGAGCTGTTGCTAGAATCGGCGGTGCGGAGCGGGCAGAGCAAGCGGGTGGTGAAGGAGGTGGATGGGGATCGGGCGGGGATTGCGATGTTCAGGCTGCCTTGAGCGAGTTTTATCACCGTTATTAAGCTTTCAGAATACTTTATCAAAGATCTTTACGATACGTTTGGTTCAACAAGCAATAAATTACAGACAACATGTAGCGCACTGAAAGTCCGCAGCCTAGAATGCAACTCTGCCCAGATATAAGTCGAGGAGAGGAATATAGAGACTGCGTAGTGGTACGTAGGGGACATATAAATACAGGATAAGATGAGAAAGATACGTACGTGCGTGCGGTGGGGAGGAGGAGGATGTGTGTGTGCGGCGACAGGACTATGCGAGGTATGGGGATATGCAGGGTATGAGGGAGGTGACGTGCAGGGTAGTAATCGTGAGTGTGAGGGCGAGAGCGCAGACAGCGAGGACGAGGAGATGCTTGAGGGGTATACGAGCAGTGATGCGAAGGACCGCGTATGCACCGACGTCGCAAGGCATGAAGCAGAGAACGATCCCTAAAACATCGTCTTATAGGGGACGACCTTCACCGTACGCCTGAGACCGCGCCCGCGATCCGTGCGGAGAGGGGCAGGGCCCTCAGCGGCGGGCCTTAGTCGCGGTCTTGCGAGCCTTCGCCGGCCTCGCGTCCTCCTGAGGGACGTCGTCGTCGTCAACCTCGTCGCGCGCACGCTTGGCGCTGCTGCGGGCCTTCGGCTTCGCGGCGGGGACGACCTTGGGAGCGACAATGTCCTCGAGCCTCTTGGGCTTTGAAGCAGCCTGAGCCTTGGGCTTCGCAGTGGCGGCGGCCTTGAGCATCGGTCCCTTGGCGGCCTTAGACTTCGCAGCGGTCGCAGCCTTCCCCTTTGCAGCCTTGCCCGGTTTGACAGCGTGCTCGAGCTCGTCCTCAGACTCAGGCCCCATGTCGTCTGAAGCCTCGATCGCCTTGTCGTCAGCATCCTGCGTCACGGTCCTGACGGTACGCTTGCCGCAGGATAGACTGATGATTGTGCCAGGAGGAATGCCGTTGGAAGCCTCGTCCTCCAGCGCGACGGCCTTCTTCGCCTTGGGCTTGCTGCTCTTCTTCGCGTTCAGCGTGGGTGCGACGTGTCCGATGACAGCCTTCTTGCGCTCGCGCTGCGAGCGTCGCGTGGACGTCGTGATCTTCCGAAATCTCGGAGGAAGATGCGCCTCGTCCGCGCTGTAGGTGTAGAAGCGGGCGGGCGTGGCATGGGACACTACGGTGGGAGAGCTGCTGGCGAGCGCGAGAAGTGACGCAGCGGCGTCGGCGGCTGCAACGTCGCGCTCGAGGGAGGCTGCGGTTGCAGCAGAGGGCGCGCTTCCGACGATCTCCTGATCCTCCTCTGCTCCAATGGCCAGCCCCTTGTCCTTGAGCGCCCTCGCTATGCGATCACTGGTCGTTCGTCAGCCTCTGGAAAGTGGCTGAGCCAAGAGCACAAACTCATACATCGTCTCGTTCCTCAATTCTTGGGCAATTCTGCAGAGGTATGTCAGTGCGTGTAGGTGACACAGAAGAGGACAAACGCACAGAGCGGCACTATTGTCCGTGTCTGAAGCAGCAGAATCCGCCGCTCCGCCTGGCTCTGCGTGCGCTTTGTCGGTTTTGTGAGCCGCTAGACGCTCTTCCTTGAAGATAGGGTTCATTATGGTGGAGCAAAGTTGGTTAAGGTCGAGGAGGTGCGGTGTGCAAGTGCTCGTAAGAGATGACGATGCCGAAGGTCGATGGTGCAAAGAGAGCGAGTGGCGGTCAGGATTCGCGCCTTTATACCTTGCCGGGCCGATGCCGAAGCCTCAACGTCCCATTGTATACCCAGAAAGGGCATTGATAGCGCCGAGCGATCACGTGCTCATGGCCACGGGCGCACGATGTCTTCCGAGGCGGATTGTCAGTTCAAAACAGACGTCCAGCTGTTGAGAGTTCAGCAGACAAATATTCCTGTGTATAGCAGCACTCACATCGATATTGGCGTCGCGAGACTGTCCACAGCCCTCTCTGCAGTCAACTGCGCCGAATCAGCCCCAGCAATACACGTGACCGCCATGTGTCTTCTACTTCGACAGCCGCCTCTTCCTTTCCGACCATCTTCAGGGTTTGAACACCGGTACCTGTCGTGGTAATGCCATCAACATCGAGGTTGAAATGGCATATCCTCCAAGACGTCGAACACCTGCGAATGTCCATCCACTTTGGATGGCACCGTCAATAGTTCAGCAGGTAAGGTCCACCTCCCTTTGTCGAGTAGGTTCAGTCGGATAAGGCAGACCGCACCGTGGCATCATGAGTAGGAATGCTGTATATTGCATCAACTCGGATATCTTGACTTGCGATGGTCTCGCTAAAACGCGAACACAGTCAAATCGCCAACGTCCCTCTGCAAACGTCGTTAGGCCCCAGGCTTTCACAACCCCTTCATCTCGCGAACCCACTCACCCTGAACCCGATAATCCGATGCTGATCCAGCTCCAGCGCATGAAACTCCTCCTCCACCGCGCGTACCGACCGCCGATATGGCAGCGAGGTCTTCAGCGTCTTCGCGAACAACGCGGGCTCGTCAACCACGTTCGCCCGTGTGCACACGTACGTCGCCATCTCGCCCGGAGCTAGTTGTGGAATGTCCACCCGGCCGTACGCGTACCACCGCTTGAGCTCCTCGTATGCGCCTGCGTCGGTGTACGAGTTGACGCTCGCTTGCGCACTGCGCGCCCTCCCGAACCAGACGTCCTGGTGATGAGGCAGACCCCGGCGCTCGGGCTTAATTCGTTCGTTGAAGTCGAGCACGTTCAGACATTTACGTTCCTCGCCTTCGGGTCTGGTGATTCGCTGAGGGTACACCGCACGCCCGCCGTGCACGTATCTGTTGGATGTCAGTACACCGCCGCAGACGACTGCCCTCCTTAGATCGTCTCCTCACTCACCTCAACAACACGCTCGGGATAATCTCCTCCATCAGTCTCGTTCGCTCCGGAGCCCACTGGTCCCATGTGAAACAGGCATACAGCGGCGCGTCGTGCTTGCTCTGTTCAGTGCTATCGTCTGACCGGTTGTCGCGCTCGTCTAACCATGGCTCCTCGTATGCGCCTTGGCTAGGAGCGCCGAATCCCTGTTGTGCGACTTCGGCATCCTCGCCTTGCCCGATACCATCGGCCTCGCCTCGCAAAAGATCGTCGACGTCTTGACGGAGAGAGCGCATGGCGTGCGCAGCTGCATCGAGCAAGTCTCTACTACATTCGTAGACGTCGTCCCGGCTGGGACCATCGCCCTCGTCTCCACCGCGATCCTCATGGGCAATTAGATCGCGTATTTCCTGCAAGCCATCAAGGCCATCTTGACCAGGAGCGTCACGCCCGATCCTCAGACCATTGACGCCGCCCTCTCCAGCACCGTCGTCTGAATGGACGGATTCTTCTGGCGCAAGGTCATCGAAAATTATGTCGAAATCGTCGTCGAGCGGCCAGTGGAAATCAATACGGCCAGCGCCTTGCGAGGCACCACCGCGCCGTTCCGGATGGGGACTGTCGCGCTTATCCACAGAAGGACCAGAGGGGTTGGTGTTGATGTCCCGCGTGCACTCAGTGCCACGGCACCGCGACAGGCCGTCACTGACCTCCACCTTCTTCCACTCCATCTCCCTCGGATCCCACCTCATATCACCTATCACCTCCCTCTCCTTCCCCTTTGCCCCCTTCATCAAGCTCGCCCGCCAACTGACTGGCATCCTCCTCTCCCTCCACCTGTCCATCTCCGCTTGCTTACTGTTCCTCTCCTCCCTTTCCCTCCTCTCCCGCGACCTATCCCTCTCCGCCCGCCATCTCTTCTTTCCCTCCTCCAAAAAGCGCAGAAAGGTCGCGTTATGCACGAAGAGGTTGAACTGCCGCACCTCCGCGTCCGCAGACTCGTAGCCAATGGTAATGACGTGGAGGCGGGAGGCGGAGGAGGCGTGGAGAGTGGCGGAGGGGGATTGAGGCGTAGGTTTGGAGGTAGAGGGGTCAAAGGACGTGGTCGAGGACAACGAAGTCGACGACAGGGTAGTAGACGAGGTCGACGACGGGGCAGTAGCCGAGGCGGACGAAGGCGAGGATGAAAATGGCGGCGAGGGGGGAATCATCCCCTCCCCTGCCTCTCCCTTCACAAACGGATCCGCATGCATTAGAATGTGCGTCGGATGCGCCCCCGGCCGCAGCTCGGGCAAGCGTAGCGTTGCCCACAGAGTCGGTGGTTGCGGGAGCATCGCACCCGAGGCCGAGTGGCGTGGAGGTGAGGGGTGCTGAGTGCGAGAGGCGCAAGAGTTCGAAGAAAAGCGCTTGGGCCGACTCCAGAGGACCCGCCCGGGCGTGGGCGCCCAGTGGTCGCGAGGAGAGCTGGCTGAAGTAGACGCAGAGGATCCGTGACCATTGGAAGGGCCAGCTCCACTGGCAGATTCGGCAGTCGGGTCCTCCACCTCCCCGTCCCCTGGATCAAAGGTGTACAGGTTGAACCCCCCGTCGTTCGCAGTGAAGGAGATGGCGAGTGCCGTGTCGGAGAGGAAGGCGAAGCCAGCGGCGTTGTGGGGGATCTGATCGGCATGCATGTCCTGGGGATGGGTGAGCACGCATGTGTGAATGAAAGGAGCAGATGCATAGTGGATGTGGCAGAACGAAGAACTATGGCGCTTGACAACTCACAAACAGCATCTGCCCGCTCTTCCAATTCCACGCCACCAGCCTCGGCTGCCAAAACCCATTCGTGATGAAAAGCCCGACCACACTGTTGACAATCTGCATGGATATGGACGCAAGCAGGACGTGCTGCGGGACGGGGATGGCGAACACGGGCCTCTTCGTCAGCGGGTGCTCTTCGTTGGTGGACAGTGTACGGATGTAAAGCTTAATCGTGCGGTGGTGGATGTGGTGCGCCTGACTAGAGGAAGCGTCCGTCAGAATGATGGGCGGGGCGAGGAGGGGATGGGGGAAGTACGTGTCTGGCCGGTCGTCGAGGTGGACTATTAGGCTGGGGCGTATCGTCAGCAACAACTCCAAGGGGAGCTCTTTCGAGCATTCAGCATAACGCACTCCTGACTGGGATCCATCGCAAAGTCGCGCGAGAAGAAGTCGAGCATCATGACCTTGGGCTTCGCAGGCGCCTCGTCGTCTGCCATGGGAAGCCTCACTATGGTGAGGTCCTGGTGCGTCCGCGACTGCACATACAGGCCGCCGACGAGCTCGTAGGTCTGACAGTCCTGCGGCATGGGCACCTTGAACTGTCGCCGCCATTGCATACGCTGCCATGCGCGACGCCGGTCGTGGAGGAGTTGCAGGCGCTCCGCGGAGGACAGTGTGCCTGCCCCGCCCCCAGCATCGAAAAGCCCATCGTACTTGAGTTGGATGATGTACTGCAGCTGCGCATAACTGTCGACGAGCTTGCGAAAGTACAGTGAGACCAGGCGGCACTCAAGGAGGTCGGTGGCGGCGAGGAATTGGAGGATGTGGATGAGGATCTCCTCGGGTAGGTCAATGAGATCCATGGGTATCGAGGCTATCGCCAAGATCCGCGCTCTATCAAGCTCGATGTCGCCACAACCAATGCGTCGCTGCCAACGGTGGAGCCAGGTTCAACAACGGCGCCCTCGCACCGGGCCGCCGCGGGCCGTTCACAAGCATTTCCGAGAGCGGTAGATTTTGAGTGAATCCATTGTTCTCAAAAACTTCCATCTTCTCTGCGTTCATCTATACCCCTCGTCTAGCTATCCTGCCTAGCATACGAAGAAGATGCCGAAAGCAACATCTGACAAGTTTTCGCGCGCGCACATACCTTCTGCGAAAAACGCCGCGAAGGCGGAATCCTCATCCTCGGGCGGTGGCGCGCGGAATCCGATCTTCAAGACGGAGCGCTTCGGCCAACATATCCTGAATAACCCACTAGTAGCGCAAGGGTACGCAGTCATCTCTCTTTTCATACGTACCCTACTGAACACCAGCGTTGCAGAATCGTCGATAAGGTAGCGTCCGATCATCTTGTGGGGGAGTACAGCGATCGACCCTTTTCAGGCGAACCTCAAGCCAACCGACAACGTACTGGAGGTTGGTCCTGGTACAGGGAATCTCACAGTCAGGATACTCGATAAGGCGAAGCATGTTACAGCGGTAGAGATGGACCCGCGCATGGCCGCCGAACTCACGAAGCGCGTTCAGGGAAAGTGCGTGCCCCCCTGCCATCCCCTTCCCCTCTACTTTCCCTCAACGCTCCCTCTATACCTCTCTGACCTCAGAAAATACTCATCTCCTCCCCCAGACCCGAACAACGCAAACTCGACATCATCATCGGCGACTTCGTCAAAGCCGACCTCCCCTACTTCGACGTCTGCATCTCCAACACCCCCTACCAAATCTCCTCCCCCCTCGTCTTCCGCCTCCTCTCCCACCGCCCCCTCCCGCGCGTCTGCATCCTCATGTTCCAGCGCGAGTTCGCACTACGGCTCGTCGCGCGCCCGGGCACCGAGTTCTGGTCGCGCCTCTCCGCGAACGTGCAGCTCTACGCCAAAGTCGACCATGTGATGAAGGTGGCGAAGAGCTGCTTCCGCCCGCCGCCGATGGTGGAGAGCAGCGTGGTGCGAATCGTGCCGCTGGACCCGCCGCCGCCGGTGCGGTTCGAGGAGTTCGATGGGCTGACGAGGATCATCTTCGCGCGGCCGAATAAGGTGGTGCACGCGAATTTCCAGGCGCGCGGCGTGCTGGAGATGCTGGAGGCGAACTGGAAGACGTGGTGCTCGCAAAATAACAAGGCGGGTCACCGTTGGGGAAGTTGGAAGGGTGGCTGACCGACTTGCAGATCGTCGAAAACAATACATCCTTCAAGTCGAAGGTCGAGCAGATCCTTCGCGACACTAGCATGCTCGACGCGCGCGCGGCGAAGATGGACAAGGACGATATCCTGAAGTACGTGCCCTTTCTCCGAGTCGCACCTCCACGTTGACCACCAACTGCAGGCTCCTGGCCGCTTTCCACGATGAGGGCATCCACTTCGCATAAGGACGGCCCGGCCCACACCTAGACGCGCCTATGCGCTTGTCTCGCGATGCGATCCTGTCCTTATGGCATCACTATGCCCCCGCAAAAGTACCGTCGACGCTCACCCTTGCGCCGGTACAACGGCATTGCGCCATGCTTGGGACGGAGCAGTCTCGTAAACCCTCCGCACGGAGGAGCGCCAGCGGACCATCGGCCTCCCGATATTATAGTGCCTCGGCTTGGCCACCTAGCGCGACGCGGGGGGTTTGTCGATCCGTTGTGGGCGTCTCTATATATGTTGACATGTTCACCTATTCGTTGTACCAGCACTGTATCATTAATAGTTGTAGGTCTAATTGCGATCAGCCATAGCTACGAGCCTTCGTCGAGGTTCACAGCCAGTATCCGTCCTACGTATATGTCCTCAGCTTGCAAACTTTCCTATGGTACAAATGGTCGAACCTTTCCTTCCGCCCCACATCTTCTCTATCCCCTTCGCCCCTCTCCCTTCCTGCGATCATATCGTCCCTCTCCACCGATGCGCCCTCTCCCTTTCTGCCCTCCCCTACAACCCAGGGCCCTCCTACGCCCTCGCCGGCCCAATCTCCCTCCCCAGATACCTTGAGAAGAACTCGTCCAGCCACGAAAAGAACACTTCCTTGTCCTCTGCAGACAGGTTCGCCCAGTCAAAATCGTCGGGTTCGGATGCGTTGGCCGCTGTGGTGGAAGAGAACGCAGACCGGAACGACCCGGTCGTATTGCTGGATGCATCAGAGGGCGTGGACTTCAGCATGGGCGAGGCTGAGAACGCAGGCGTTTGTGAAGCCGAGTACGTAGGCAGCTTTGGTGAGGCTGAGAACGCTGGACGTGAAGCAGGTGCTGGCGATGCACCGGCTGAGAACGCCGGCGATGCACTCCCAGAGAAAGACGAGCCCGACGCCGAGAACGCTGCCCTTGGCGCCACCGCCGGTTTCGGCGCAGGCGCGACCGGGGGCGGAGGTGGTGGAGGAGGCGGCGGCGGAGGAGCTGCCGCACCCATATTCTCACTCGCGCCCGTACCACCCCCCGCATCCGGCCTCGACCCCCGATTCACTGGGGGTGGCCTACTCCCGCGGTTTACAGGAGGCGGCGGACCAGGACTCGGGCTCGCTGACGGGCTAGGAGAGCCCATGCTGCTATTCTTCCGCCCCGGCAACGGCGGGGGCGCAGGCGCTCCCAACGAGGGCGACCCGCCAGTCCTCGCCGGCAGCGCGGGAGACCCTCCTGACCTCGGTGGCAGCGAAGGTGATCCTCTCGGCCTTGGCGGTGGTGCTGGGCGGCCAGGCAGAGACGGCGCAGACCTTCCAGGCAGTGCAGGCGGCGGTGAAGGAGTTGCTACCGACGCTGTCGCCGACGATGTGCGCTTGGGCGGCGGAGGCGGCCTAGAAGGGGGTGGCGCCGGGCTAGCGGAACTTGAGCTTGAGGTTTGCCTAGGTGATGGTGGTGGCGGAGGCGGTTTGCCGCTGTAGGGGTCCCAGTTGGTCTTCTTCGTGGATATGCTGGTGCGTGTTAGTTGTATTTCATAGTCAGAAGGAGTGAATGGAAGGGTTGAGTAGTGCATGAACGAAGATACGGCGAGAGGTAGAACGGCATTAGATGTAGGAACGGACGGAGAGGATGATGTGAGAAGTGTAGCGTCGGGTGTGGTCAAGTATGTGTCAGAGTTAGTGGATGAGATCTACCTACCTCGTATTGCGATCCTTTACGCCCTGAAGGGCCGAGACGCCAGAGTCTTTGGCCTTTAGGGCCTTGTCCTTGAGTGATGCAACTATGATCTCGCATGTTTAGCGCGCACTGACACGCTCAGTAAATCAACCTACATGACATGGTTGTCACCCTTCCCTTTCAACTATTCTGACTCTGGATTTGTGGGACGCTCGCAAGTCGAAGTTCAACTTGACGGTCAAGAACAAGGAGGCTTTAGGGATTGCCGTGAGAAAAGGCATCAAGCAGACACGTGGTTCATTACTTGGCTCGCGGGCGCTTATTTCCTCCTTCTCTTCCGTCGCCACCCGTCTACTGCCCCGTTGAACGTCGAACGTGCGTCGAACTCTCACAGACATTGATCTTGAGCGGTACCCCAGTGATATCATGTCCTACCGGAAAAGAAAACGCGAAAATCGACACCAAACTCCGCCTCCTGCACTTGATCTCAACCTCTTGATACAAGCCCATGAGGCGGATATCATTTGCGGGCCGCAAGCTGAACGAGCGGCAGCGTACTTGGAGGTGAACAGGCGGGATGAGAACACCAGTTTGATACGCTGGGCAGCCTCTGGGTCGCAGGCGGCTCGGCCGATGGATTCGGCGCTGCGTATACACGATGATGAGGACAGTATGCCGGATCCAGAGAGTGGAGAGGAGGATGTATGGGTAGACAGGTACGCATCTTTGACAATGAGAATGCCTTGTATGCCGTACTTGCTGTTGTGTGACTCGAAACATGCCCTATGAGGCGCGAAGATATCTGACGTTTTGTAGTCGTAGCGCCTGACGCTCAAGTTCTCCACCTTTCATTCATTTCCCTGAACTTTGCTAAACACACCCTTACAGATATGACGCGCGACTGCTGCTGGACTCTGTCCCGTCTTTTGGTACGACTCAACCAGCCGCACCACCCCCTAGTGGCGGCTGGTCCGACTTGCCTGAAGATGCCGAAGACCTATTCTACTTCGCGCCGGACGAGATCGATGATTATAGGCGAGAGAAGCGCAGGCGAAAGATGGAGCGAGAACACGAAGAACGGGTCAAAGCACGGCGAGCGGAAGACGGAGAGGAAGAAGACGACGATCCTTGGGGTGGTAGCGACGAAGAGGTGCGAAGTTTCTAAGGGTCCTGGCATTGACCTGACGCCGGTTATACTAGCCGGACGAACCCCAGGCGGAACTCATGCGAAAGACTGCGAAGCACATTCTGTCTTCGCCCAACCCCGCGCAACTGGAGATGCGCATCCTAGCGAACTTCGGCGGGGAAAAGAAGTTCGCCTTCTTACGGGGACGATGGTCCCGTGCGTGGGCTGCCACCAATGTTCGCGCACGTCAAGAGAAGGCGGAAGCTGAGAAACCCAATACCCCAGCGCTCGGCGGGCTAGGAGACTATGGCGATAGCGATGATGAGTCCGGAGATGAACCGGCGCCTGCAGAACAACCTCCTCCTGCCCAGCCTACGGAGGTGGAGGCCTCGTCAGAGGCCGTCAAGGCGGCGCGACGTGCGAAGCTAACAGAATGGGCGGAAAAACGGCGACGGGAGAAGGAAGGTCATCCGTAGCCTCGGCAAGTAAACCGACTTCAGTGACCTGCACTGCCCATGTGTTTGCAATCTCTGTTCAATCGCCTGTAAAGCCGTTCTTACGTCCGTTCGCACACTTCATCAGCACTGTCCATCAATCCATCTTGCGCCTTGACAAGCACTCACCTACCGCTATTCTACGCATCAGCCGTTTGCGCTACCGTCTCTCGAGGGCAGTGTCCGCGCAAAGATACGACTCGGGCAAACGCGCTAGCGATTGAGCCACGACAAGTCACAGGTGAGTTGTATGCTCAATTTGCCTGATGCTCTTGCGCAGATGCTGCGGTATGCGAGGAGCGAGTACTGCACAAGGATACAAGCGGATGGCGAGCAAAGATACGGGATACGGGCGCTGCCGAGGGTCGTCGCGTCTTGGCCATCGGACCTGCTCGTGTCCGAGATGATCGCTGAAATTCGAGGGGACAGGCTACCTGCAGGCAACCACTTCCCGCTCACATCACCCAGTCAATGGCTCCACCCCTTGGCAGTCCTCTTCAAATTCCAACTCTCTGCGCCAGCTTCCGGACTTCCGGCCCTCACACCGAATTACTGTCTCGCAACCACGCCTCATTCATCACTGTCGGCTCACTCTAGCTTCGCGATCCCCACCTACTGACAGCCGGAATCTGGGCGCGCAGACTTCTGTCTACGTCTTCCTAGGTTTCTGGAAACTGACGAAGGTTCAACTGAATGCGTGGGCACCGCATCACGCTCAGCAGGCGCGATGAAGGCGCGCCCTATTCACACCTAGAACTTCGCGCCAAATACAAGACACGTACTGCAAACCCCTGCTCGCCATTCAGACCGATCACCTCACTAACGCCTTAACTCAGCCAGAGCGGCGGTCGATCAACTGTGTATAGCGAGACCTGAGCTAGCCCATCTCCGGGAGGTGTCACGTTCCGTGGGCGCTTGCGCCCCCCGCGTCACGATGGGCAGCGCCAGATGCGCGTCCGGCAGATACCGCTGAGGTGAGCATACGTCCCCCCACCGTGGGACGCGCCGCGCTTCGAGCGCGGGCACCGTGCAAATACACGCCGCCCAGCGTGACGGGGCTCGTCAGGCGCGCGGCGGGAGGGCATCACTTGACGCCTCGCGCCGTTCGTGATCCGGGGCGAGGACTCACCCCTTTGCGCGGTCCTCCACGGACCTCCCTTCCGCTCCACGCCATGCTCCATGGGCCAATAGGGCGCCGGGCCTGGCGATAGTCCCTCGTCCAGCGACCCTGCCCGCACGCTACCCGCCTACCTGGCGCCGTGCTTGCCTTTTGTGCGCAACTTCATCCGGGGCGCGTGCGGGGAGGCGCGCCCGGCCTGGGGACGAGCTGGGGCCCCATATCCCACCCACAAGCCTGACACATCCCAGCTGCTTCTGGCTGTTGTGGGGGCAACGACCAGGGCGCTGCCATATCGAGTTTAGCGCGATCAGGATCGCGCGCGCTTCTGGCTGGCTCTCGTCACCTGTGGCTGGGCTGCTATGTTTACCAGGAACTACGCCGGATTCGGTATGTGCTCGCGCGCATATAAAGGCGCCAGGCTGCGCGGCGGGGTCCCAGCATCTTGTATCGCATCCCTCACATCCAGAAGCATTCAGTGGCTCTGCCCCCATACTTCGCGAAGCGGTAGTCCCTCATCTGCACTCACCACCTCACCAACACTGTCAACGACACCATGACGCAAACCCGCTCGTCGTCCGCTGCGCCTATGCGCCCCGTCCAGCGTCAGGCTGTCGACCAGCCCCCATGCTCGCACAGCACCGCGCAGTGCTGCCACTGCGGCATGCGCAACGAGCACTCGCCTAACTGCCCATTCAAATAGTGTCGATCGTGGTACGTCGCTTCTCGGTGCTTCTCTTCCACCTACTAACCGCCATCTCATTCGCAGTGCGCTCTCGCCACGGCATCCGCACCTCTCTCGCCAGCATCCTCGCCAGGGGGTTCTTCCCCCGCGACGACTCCCCACGCATGTCCACTTGTACCACCACCATCTCGACGCTTGTACAATGTATAATTGCCCTCATGCTGTCTGACCTGTACATACAATACGCCCGCCGCTCTAGATAAGGCACTGCGTCCCGATGCTAGTACATAATCGCCCGGCCCACCTTCCGTCTCTCCCATCGATCTTGCGTGCACGGATTCTCTGCATGTACACGGTACAGTCTCGGCTACGCATCTCATGTCTTGTTTATCCTCGTCTATCGACGTTCGAAGTGCTCTGTAATTATTATGAAGTGTGGAGTCGATAACAGCGAATTCCTTCGATCCGGGGTCGCGCAGTAAGGTAGACAGGCGCGGTGGCGCTAATGCCGCCGAGCGTGCATTGAAGACGAATCGAGAGGACCGAGAGGGCAGCGACATCAGGACAATGGCCCGACAGACATCATGGGTGTGATGGTGAGAGGGAACGACCTTGCACTGCTTCGGTAACGCGCGGTCGGGCCGAGGGATAGTGCGAGTGAGGGTGTCAATGGCGGCTGGTAGATGCCCTCGCGCGTGACGTCGGCTTCTCAGACTACAGCTTCGCAGGATTTCCCCACTTGGGCGAGCGTTTCTGGTTCACCGACGCGGTCAGCAGCCCTTCGCCTCTCGGTTGCTAATCAGCCTTACCTCGGCAAAGGCGCGAAGGCCCTCCTGTTCTTAGTCAGTATACATCGCAACAGTCTAACCGAGTCGGCGGCAGACCTTGATATTTTCGTCTTTGAATACGCGAGTGGTCTCGGGCGCCCAAATGTGCTGTTTGTACGCCTCCTCGGCGCCGAGATTCTGTGCCATTAGCAAGCCTCGCTTCGTACTCTGGACGGCATCCGGCGAGTTCTGGGTCAGTTCTTTCGCAAGTTGCACCGCCGTGGACACGACCTCGCTAGCCGGCACGACCTCGTTTACGCTGCAAGGACGATGAAATTAGCTCGCGCAGGACAAGAAGCCGACTCAGTGCTTAGCGTACAAGCCAAATCGCGCCCGCGCATCTTCCGCAGTGATCGTCCTTCCCAGCAGCAGCAGTTCTGACGCCAGCTACAGACGCACGTGCGGCCCGTTAGCACGGCGATACCACAGTGATTAACAAGCATGCCTGGTGTCCAGCGAGTTGCGCGAGCCGCGGGATGCCTTTCCGCAGTGAATAAGCGCTCATTGAATCCCTCACTCGGTGCGCGTCCGACGCCGAACGTACCTCCTGCCGCAGCTATAACCCCGCGCTTCACCTCCGGTAGCGCGAACTTGGCGCCCTGACTCGCGACCACGAGATCGCAGTTCAGTGCTATCTCTGTACCGCCCCCGTAAGCGCCCCCGTTCACGGCGGCGATCATGGGTTTGCGGCTCTGACGTCGGGAGATGGACCCAAAGCCATGCCTGTCCGAAGCGAGGCGGGCCTGTTCGCTCGAGTCGCCATCATGCTGGTGCTTATCCCATCTACTATTCATGCTGGTGCTTATCCCATCTACTATTATGTGAGTGGGTGTGTATCAGCGGGGTTTATGGACTCACGCGATGAGATCGGCCCCCGCGCAGAAGATACGGCCCGACCCAGTAAATACGACAACCCTGTAGGCAGAAGGAGTAAGTCGGCAAGGGAGCGGGGGCGAGTTCGTTGACAGACCAAAGCTCTTCCTCTTCTTCGAACCAGTCAAGAATACGTTGAAGATCTTCCGTCATCTCTGGAGTCATTGCATTCAACGACCGAGGGCGATTCAAGGTTAGCAGCAATACATGATCAGCCGGAAGGCTGACAAGCAGCTGCGAAGAGTGATTTGGGATTGCTACCATGATATGGTTCAGGACAAGACGGTGGTAGCCCGGCGATACTGTTCAAGACAGCGAGGGGTTGTTTCTGAGCTTCTGTCCCCCAAAAGCACGAAAGACAGGTCACAAGCGAGGACATGAGAGCAGGAATCGGTAGTGCTGAGGCCGGTCCCCGACTTTCCCATCAGACGGATGTTGCCGAAAAGGCACGTGACAATGTTCAACTTCACGAAATGTTTCAAGTTGAAGTTGGCATCGTGCGGGCCCTTCGACATTATCTAGTCATATCATGGGACGCAATTTCGGATGGAACTTTTGCGAGAGACATGACTGTCCCTTTTCTTTAAACAATTCGCCCCTTCCGCTCTTACTCCTCTCAGGGCACCTGGAACGCGCATTCATATACTCTTGAGGGCGCTTGACAACCTCCCTCACACACCATATGGATTTTTGTCCCTCAGAATTTCTGCGCATCTTGAGTCTCTTTCCTTGGGTAGACCAGTATTACTTTCGTGCGCCCATGAATCCGCACCCGCTTAGTTCCTCACATTACCCCACGGCAACAATTACAGGCCTTTGTTTCGGGCTTCTGAGTATCAGCACGGAACAGGACATGTACATCCTTCTGTTTTGTAGCTATGAGAGTCAGGGAGGAGGCAAGATAACAACCGCTGCCGTGACTGCCACGTGATCCAAGGCTGATCCCTTTTGTGGCGTTCCGTGCCATTGTTTTCCTCTCCGGCCCGGTCCTTACTCTTCCTTCGTGCTCCTAGTCCCCCCAGCGCCAGCTCTTTTCTCCGTCGCTCCATCCTTCATATTCACTCTTCCCGACATAGACCCCGACATGGGTGACAAGCCAACGAGTAGCACAGCGGCGCCCAGCGCGAGCGCGATGCCGTCCCTCCCAGACCCCGCCGAACTGTCGACCTTCGAGAGGTGGCGAAGGAACATGGCATACGTGACAGGAATAGGCATGTCAGACGAGGAGCGTAAACTCTACACAACCCAGATTCACCTCAAACGATGCGAGGACCGCAAATACCATCTCATGCAGTCTAGTCAGTCCGTGCGCCCCACCTCCCCCTCTCCATACGCCCTTCCTGACCCGTCTACAGGTCCCGGTGTAGTCTTCATGCTGAAGCAGCTCAAGCTCGCTGGTTGCGAGCTACCTGAGAACAACTTCGTTTGCGCGCCGTGCGACTCAGTCGATCGCGCAGGCGGGTACAAGCCAGGCGTGGGCGCGATCGTGCTATGTGCAGGCCATATATACAGCAAGGACCATCAAGAGCATACGATGATGCACGAGATGATTCACTTGTTTGACGAGTGCCGCTTCAAGCTCGACTGGAGCAACCTACGGCATCACGCGTGCACGGAGGTGCGTGAACTAGCGAAACCAGTAAATGCGTTACTCACCTTTACCTACCAGATTCGCGCGAACAGCCTGAGCGGGGACTGCAGGTACTTGCAAGAGATGCAACGCGGCAACTTCAGCTTTACGAAGAACCACCAGGTACGTTCGCGTTCCCTCTCAAAATGATCAAGTCCTCTCCCATCCTTGTCGCATCCCCCCTTCCCCGCCTGTCACATCCCTCCTGCCGTCTAACGCCCCCTCTCAGACGTGCGTCCGCGAACGCGCCATCATCTCCGTCTCCAAGAACAAAAGCTGCCCCGACATGGAGACCGCCCGACGCGCCGTCAACGAGGTCTTCGACAGCTGCTTCGCGGATACCCGACCATTTGACGAGGTAAGCATTGCACCCTTCTTCACACTTTCCCCTTCCTCCCATTTCGCCTGTCGAGTGTTTCACCGGAACTGACGTCCTCCTAGATCTACTAGACACGCCTATACTACGCACACCCTATACGAACCCCTACTCTAATCCCTCGTAAATGTATGGTCCGGAAGATGGCTTGGACTCTCTGCCTCCCATCATCGTTCTCGGTCCCTTGAGCGTCATTTCCTCATGCCCAAGCAAACCAAGCCCGTCTTCCCGCTCCGCGAGTTGTGCATCAGCACGCGTGTTCGTCCTTTCCATAAGTGCACCGTTCTTCAAGAAAGCGAGGTTGGTGAGTCGTGACTGGTGTCACACATGTTTCGCGTATGTCACCCAAGGTCAGCTTCGAGTTGGACCTGCGCAAGCTCCAGCTCTCCCTCGCCGGTGTTGGCGAGGGATCTGCTTGGACCCTCTCAGATCTTCAACAAACATCGTTGTCCATAAAAGCAGCGTTGACACGATCTCAAAACGATACAAATACAAATACATACGAGAGCAATCATTTATCGAGAGCAACCATTCCGTCTTGAGCATCCAGTCCGTCGCAGATCGTCAATCAGATGTAAAACATCCTGTCCTTCATGTTGGGGTGGACCTGTAGATGTGAGTGAGCACAACGGCTAGCAGCCGAAAAGACCTGAAGTACTCACCCCTTGACCCCAAGCCTGACGCGCACGCTCATACACGCGCTGCGCCGCCGCCTCGCGACTGAGCCTGGTCCCCGTCGCGTCGCTCCCCGCCCAGCTGGGATCGCCGAAGAACTCATTGAGATAGAACCTCCCGCGCTCGCAGCACAGGTCCGCATAGTACGCCGCTGGGATCAAGCTGACCGCCTGAGGAGAACACGCGTCAGCATCTCATGTATCCGTGTCCGACTAGACTGCACTGTGAAACCAGGCAAGATGGAGATAGACTGGGCAAGCCCATCACCTACCTTCGTCGCCCTCGCGTACAGATAACTCGCCGTGTGCGCGCCCTGCTGCAGCTCGTCCGCGCCGAGGCCATTCTCGTCGTAGATGACCGTGTAGTGCGTCGGGCGGACCTGACCCTGCAAGCCATTGTGCGCCTGCAGGTAGAAGTCGTAGTCGAAGACGCCGGTGACGCCCTTGTCGACGACGGTGCCGGGTTTGGTGTTCCCATTCTTGGCTGCGTGTTGCGAGTCGGTGGGGTAGAACCTGTTCGAAAAGGTCTAGATTCAGTAAGAATCGACAAGAGGAAGAGGTAGGGTAGATCGTGTGGAAAGGAACAGACCTTGCATGATGGCGCTTTCCGCAGATAATGATGGAGAGGCGCGGCTCATACTTCTTGCGCTTGCCGGTCGCGAAGCGCTTGAACGCGTCGCGGATCTGCGCGAGCTCCTCCCCCAGGACAATGTCGAATTGGCCCTAGGGACTCCCTTCAACTCTCCCTCTCAAAAGACTCTTCCAAAATACTCACTTCGGAAACTCCGTCTCGGAAGACAAGTACACGATCCGGGAGCGCACCCTTGTTAGCCTTCTCGTACGTCTGCAACCTTTCGACAAGCATGTCGCGCAGCTCGTCGACCATCTAGCGTCGCCGTTAGCTACCTCGGCTGCGAGAATGTAACTGGACACGATGATCCTCACCTCCTTGTTCTGAGCCGACCTTTGCAGCCGCATACTCGCAGGGAACTGGACGAAGTGATCGTCGACACTCGCCACGACCGCAGCGATAGACGGTGTCCCCTCTTGACTGCCTGGCCCAGCGTGCGTGACGTCGACGCCGACCATCATGGTCTTCTTCTTGGTGAGCCACTGCATGGCATTCGGCTCCAACTTACGAGGGGGAACATTTGAGTAATGGATGCAGGGTGAGAGGATGGATGGCCATACCAGATGATTGACACCACCCAGCTTGACATTCAGCTTGAGCGCAATGTTGGAGAAGATCTGATCCTGCTTGCGCTCGTCCTCGATCTTGCTACGATGCATACAGATCGTCGTAATGCCGACATCGACGTCGCCGATCCTCTGCATTGCGTGTCAGAGGACACCATCGCAAAAATCAGTGCACGCTCACCTTGATCGCAGGATAGATGTGATGATCCCTATGCCCCAACAGCACCAGAATGAAGTCGAACTTCGACACCGCCGCACCCTTAAACGCCTCCCTCAGCGCATTGATCGCCCTTCCCCGATCCGACGGCAGCGCCACGTCCTTAAACACCGGCTTCTGATTCGGCAACACAATCCCACTCCGCGTGCACTTCTCGTGGAACTTCCGCATCGTCAGCTCCACGCTCTGCTGCTCCGCCGCCCTCTCCTGCGGGCTCATCATGCTCGGGGGCCTCTGCCGCGCGTTCTCGTCGTACACTATGAGCACGGCATAGCGCTGCGCCTGCGCGCCGCGCGTGAGTTTGACCTCGAGGATGTTCCAACTTCCGTCGCGCGCGTTCAGCCGGTTTGTGCGATACGCGATTGCAGGTGGCGGGAGGACGCGGCCGGGGACGACGGCCATGTTTGGGTCGACTTCGATGCCGAAGCCGGCGAGGGCGCCTTGGCCGGGCGATGAGAGGCCGAGCTGGGGGAGGCCGCGGTTGACGATGGTCGCGGCGTTCTCGTAGGGCGGGCGGCAGGCGTACTTGATCATCTCCGCCGTGTCCTGGTCAGAGAGCTTGCCGCGGAAGGGCTGCTTCGGATCGATGTCGCAGAGCTCGGCAGGGATCCATTCGGGTTCGCGCTTCTGAGGGCTAGCGACGTCGACAACAGGAAGATTGTCAGCACGACGCAAGCGAACATTGTACTCTGCGCGCAGTCAGTTTAAAGCAAGTTTCCGCTACAACAAAAGATATACGTACTTCGCTTGAAGAAGTCGGCCACGGAGACCTTGCCGCCAAGCTCCTGGCAGTTGAAGAAGGTCTGCGCTGCGGAGCGCGAACCGACAGCCTTCAGCTTCTTGCGCTTCTTGTATCCGAGGTATGTCGTCGTGACGCGGATGCTATTGACGAGCGAAGGCGGAAGGCGGGGGACAGCACCCTGCGACATGTTGCCGAACTTGTCGAGGAGATCCTCGAGTCTCCCAGGCTGCACGAAGGCTGTCATGCAAACGTTGCTATGGACACGTGAGTCCAGATGAGGTAAATACATACAAGTAGGGTTGCTTACACGTTCACATGAAGCTGATTAAGTGCAGGACGGGTCGACAGAAAAAACCCTCGCATAACCTCCAGGCCTGGTGTGGCAAGTCGAATGGGCGGCGCGTTGGGATCGTCGAAGAAGTACTTGTTCTGACCGACGCGGGTACCGTGACGAGCGGCGTAGGTCTGCAAGATCAGGTTGCATATCGAGAGTACAGGATTCGGGTTGTAATCGCGGGACTCCTTGTTGCCTGGCAGATATCTGCGGGCAAGGGCATGAGGTCGGATGGGAAAGTCTCGCGAGCGGACTTACTTGGCCATGCCTGTCAGGTCTATCACCTGCTTGAACTTGATAATGACCGTGTAGGTCGTCGCATTCGATCTCGGCTGGGTGTCGCCGTCCTCGATGAAGGGGAAGACCACTGTCAACGGCTCTGGAAGCTTGCGAGCCGAGATCAGCCTCGTCGAGCGATCGTGCGCGATGTAAGAACGATATGGCTGCATGACCGGCTGCTGTTCCATCAGCTCGATGATGCGGAACTTCAGCTTGTTGATGCTCTGCTGAGGAGCAACCGACATCTCGTACTCGTAGAACGGTCCCTTCGGCAACTTCGCCACGAAGAAGTTGGAGCGCAGGGTGACGGACGTCCCGAGCGTGCCATAGCCGGGACGTACAGGACGGCGCGGGTCGGTAGGAAGCGACTTATGGGTCGTGATGAGGCTGTTGTGCGCCGCGTCGGAAAGACGAGGCGGGATGACGGCCGGGCCAGGATTGTAGACCTCGAATGGTATGACCGGCGCAGCCCGCCCACCACCTCTGAAGCCCCCACCGCCTCGAGGAGGGCCTCCGCCACGTCCATCACCGCGACCACGCCCGCCGCCGCCGCCGCCGCTTCCACCACCTCCCTGGTAACCACCCCCTCGACCACCACCACCTCTGCCGCCAGCCCCGCCGCCTCCGCCTCTAGGGGGCCCACCTCTGCCTCCACCTCGTTGACTTCCGCGTTGGCTGCCTCCTCTGGAACTCATGGTGACTTGACAGCAGGAAGCAAGTCGGAGTCAAGGCGGCGCTTCCCATGACGCTGCGTACTTATGTAGGCGCTTAAAATGTGGCTATGTCCCTCCCGCCCCTGCCATACTAGTACACATACTGACTCACCGCCCCGCATCCAGACCGAAATCCTAGTACAGTCCACGCGAATGGAAGCCAAATCCCTGCATCGCGCAGCAACTTCGGGTTCAGTCCACACTGTTAGCATACGAACGTGTTATGCTCAATGACTCGAAAGGAGGGCGGCCGAGCATGGGAAAAAATCGTCGTCGATGTCACCGTCGACAACGAGAAGAAAGTCTCCAGCACGTGAGAATTGATCCCGCCGGCATATGCCGAGGTAAGTTCAACCGTTTTGTGGCCAAAGTGGGACGTACATTGGGTAAACACAAGTGCGCAATATCGGCCTTGTTGTACTTTGGAAGAAACTACTTCTTTCATGCTGCCAGCCTATGAGGCCTTTTTTGGGTGAAAAATACCAAAAGCATGCAAATCCGCAGTGTGTGAGTACTAATAGTACACAAAAAATATCATGTTGATACCAGAAGTGATAACTTTACCAAAAGTAGCAAAGTACTATCGAAAAGCACATGATCACTTTCAGGAAGTGTTGACGCATATGTACAGCACGTGTTAGTGCATTTGCCACCAACAACATTAATTCTGCTAACCTTTGGAACATCTTTGCGATGCGTGAGAATGGGATGTTTGTCCATCGTCGCCGGGTCGTGAGTGGTCGGCGCGGTCAGTCACGCTTGGTGTGAGCACGGCATTCTCCGAGCAATGGTCCCACGTTACCCTGAATATGGCCGGTGACACTTATCCCAGACCATATATGAGAGAGATAACTCTCTTGATAGTCCTAGGAGATCTTTTAGTACTCTTCAAGAGAGACGAGGTCCGATGAGCAGGTAGACGAAGCCGGATGCTCCCCGACGAACCGCCTATTCGGCTTTTGCCGATGTATCACGTGGCAGATAGTGTGACGACCCGTAACGCAGCTTGCTCCGCAAGCCGTTGTGCCGCACTTCAAAGTGCTCAATGCCAGCTCTTGAGTGCTCAGGATACTCCGATACCCGTCTGAGTTATTCTATTAAGCTATATACTGCGCCACCCATTGCAAACTACTCCGTGCAGTACTTTCACATCACACTTTCAACTTTCGTGCTCCCGGTAATTTTTGTCGAAAAATGGTCTCATACCAGCCGCTTGAGACAGAAGTGTAAACCGAAAGCTTGCCCACCTAGCCCTTGGGCAGTACAACCGGCGAAGTAAATAGTCAGGATCTCTATTTCAAGTCGAGACGAGATATATAGAGGCTTTGCTACAGAATGCTATAGATAACCGTCTGAAGTGGGCGCTCCTGTACATACAATGTCATACATACATCGGGTATGCTGATTGAAGCCACAGCTGCTTATAGTTAGTTTTGTGGGGTACAAGAGAGCCATAAATCAGGAGATAGCATCGTCGGGTGACGCTCAATATATAAGGCTGCTGGTGGCACTGTCATGTTCGTCACCAGAATTTGGGCCTCCGCCTTCATCGTGCGTTGGGATCAGGCGGAGGAGGATGAGATGAAGGCGCCGACGCACGCGGCTGAGCAATGGTAGATTGCAAGGACCTGGAGGCACTCGAGCCTGCGATAGGCCCAGCCAGGGGCTGCATTGGTACAGGCGCCGCGTAAGGGTCGGTCACGCCGAACGGCAGGTACGTATAGCCCTGCGTCGGGCTGGGCGGCGCCGACGTGTACGTGCTCGGCGTCCACGCCGCATACGCCGCGTCAAACTCAGGCTGCCCGTACGTGGCGCCTCCGTACCCAGCAGAAGGCGCCGCCGAGGTGAAAGACGACCATGACGGTAGAGGCTGCTGCTCCGGCGGCGCCGGCGCAGGGCCGTAGCCTGCAGACGACGTACTTGCGCCATATTCTGCGGACGGCGGCACGGCGCCGTAGCCGGCGGACGTCGATATCGTCCGGTATCCTGAATTTGTAGAAGCGCCGCCGTAGGCTGTGGGGTTCATTGCCGCCCCGTAGGACGCGGACGCCGTCGTCGCGCCATAGCTTGGCGCTGACAGCATCGGCGCGTAAGACGATGAAGAGGCAGATGGGTAGCCCGTTGGCGATATTGGCGCATAGCTTGAGGTGGAGCCTGACTTGAAGCCCGAAGGAGACACTGGCGAATTGCCCGCGCCAAGGTCCGCCCCATAGGACGTCGGGTCACGGGTTAGCAACTCCGCCTCCGGGCGGTCAGCATAAGCGGACGCTGTCTCCACTGTATTTGCTCGTGCTCTCGTCGCTGCCGGAGGGTTATACATCGGCCTCGGCACCTGAGCGTCCTTATAGTGCTCTCTTCGCGGAGCCCCACGGGCACTTTCTCGACTTCCCGACTCAGCAGCAAATGGCGCCGCCCCTGGCAGCGCGGCGTATCGTGCGCGCGTTGGGGAGGCGGGCGCACTCAACGGCTCATCCTCACGAAGTTCAGGCCCGCGGCGGGACTCCGCGGCGGTCCCCGAACCTCGTTGCTCCTCGCCGCGAATGAAAGGCCGCCGAGCGGGTTTCGCGCCGTAGATACGCTTTTTCGACAGCCCGTGCAGGTGCTGCAGCTGACTGACGATGCTCGGACGCGGCGCCTCCGGCATCGACGTCTTCCTCGACCGCGCAGGCGCCCCACGGCCCGCCGAAAGCGACGCGCCCATCTGCGGCGGCGAGAGCGAGTGATGGTGGTGGGGCGCATAACCCGACGACGGTCCTGCCCGCCGCTCCGTCGCTGGAGCATCAGGCACGGCGTGTCGCGGATATGCATGCGGCCTCTCGAGCGATGGCTGCCATGGCGGGGATCAGAAAACAGAAGCGTGCAAGAGCAGCGATTTACGTACTCCGCCGGACGCCTGCGTGCCCGCGCCAGCCCCCTCCGCGCCTGTGTGTTTGTTTATCGGTGCGCAAAATCAGCGTGAGAAGGCGCGAGGCGGGCTCACCAGCACGCGTGCTCGTGCGCACGCTGAACGCGCCGTCGTGCAAGCCCGCCGCGTCCTCCGCGGCGCCCTGGAGGCGCACCTGACATTAAATCCGGATTAATCAGTACAGCGTAAAATTAAAGAGCCCCGGTGGCGCGGAAAGATGCGAAACATACCACCGTCGTGAAGAACATCAGAAGCCCTGGCGCGTCGGCGCCTTGGCCCAGGATGAGATGCGGGAGGATACGGAGCTGCCAGCGATGCATATCGTGGCGTAAGCGAGGGTAGGGCAAGTGGAGGAGGCAGGAGTAAGCGAGAGTGAAGCGAGAGAAATTTGACGACGTACACGCGCTGCTTCCGTTGCAAGCGAGGTCCAGGTGCTTTCTGAGGGTCCTCCAGCTGCTTGAGGTGCCGATGACGCTGCCACGACGACTAGGTGCGCGTGCTGCGAGGTCGAGCCCCCGTGTTGGGCAGCAATTTGTGCCAAATTCTGGTGGATAGCCGCAAAGTCAGTCCTGCACAACGTTTGACAGACAAGCAAGAAGTAGTGAATTGCTGGCGCACCTGGATGGATTTTTGAAGTGCAGTGGCTGAGATGTAGCCACCGCCCTCTTCGCCCCCGTGAAGGAAGATCTCAGACAGCCCCCTTTGTGGCTCGCTGTAGTACTGGAGCTCAGAGAGACCATTCCAAGCGGCTCGTCCGACAGCGAGATTTATCTGCGAGCTGATCAGAATTGTTTCGCGAGCTCGAATAAATCATCATGACGCACGGGCATCGGCGTCCTGCGCTGCAGGCTCTCCAGCAAAGGCTGCAGTCCGCGATCCCGCACCGTGGGCCACAGCCTCTGCATCGCCGGGCTATCTTCCACTAGCAAGAACACCGACATCGATCTATCCCCGTCCACGCGCTCAACCGTCGAGAACGCTCAGCCGGCTGGCGCTATCCCCGTACGCGGCCCAGCGATGAACTCTATCCACAGAAGGCGGCGGCTGTAAAGCAATCTAGTACACCGAGTCTCCGAGCGACGGAGGGAAGTAGCAAGGCGAGTGGCGGCGGAAGCAAGAAGCAGGTTAACGTTGTCGGAGCGCGCGCGCAACATGACCAGTCGGACTTTCAACAAATCAGGCCTGCCGTGCAGCGTGGCCCCAACCCCGAAAGGCGAGCGAGTGACAGATCTCCGCTTATACGGTGGGCCTCCCAGATTCCGTAACCCGCGCGCTGCGCACTGCTGAGAGGTACGCCCCCCGCCAGATCTGAGGAATGGTCGGTACGCCGCGCACCAGATCCGAACGCATGCGGGCATTCAGGCGAAGACCCGTGCCTTCTGTCGCCGCCAGAGCGTGCGGAACGCTCTATACGATCGCGCGCGACGCCCTATTCGATCGCGCGGCACGCTCTGTTCGATGCGCGGACGCCCTATTCATGCCTGCAGAATTCAAAGTCAGCGACGAAGGGAACCCGTCGATAGCGTTGGCGCCGCTAGTGCGCGTCGGCGGACGCCGAGGGCTTGTTGACCATCAGGCCCCCCTTGTTGACGGATCCCCTTCAGCGGAAGCTGGGGTGTCGACAGAAGCCCACCCGAAGGTTCAGAAACCAAACTTACCGATTCTTTACCGGTAAACAAGTAACTGACTGGGGGTCCTAGGTGGTCAGGTATCTTACACCACGTGCCTGCAGCCGAAGGCACAGGCCGGGGGTGCGACACGTACATTCCTTCCTTATCGTATTTGCCATGAGCCTAAGCTGCGCAAGACAAGAGTTCCTACCATCCACTCTTGCTTCTACTCATCCCCTCTTGACTTCCTTCCGTTCGTTATGCCTAAGATGTCAATAGCTGTGCTTGATGGTCTTACTTGCCACACATCTACTATCCCTATACCATCTCCCTTTTTTCAATTCGGTTTTAATGCCCGGTTTGTATTCTCCGTCCGTGCACACGAAAGAGAGAGGCCAGCAAGCGCTACAAAGCGGCAACACAACTTCAACCAGCGCGTACCGGCGTATGCCGGGACCACGTGACAGCGGTAAACAACTTGTAAAATACCGGTGTTATAGAGGTAAGAAAGGGTGCCGGAGGTTTCTGTCACCACGCTAAGTAGCGGAAGCTGACCGGAGGTAACTTTGCTTCCGCGCACGTGGAATGGGTTACACGACACTCTAAACTCAGTTCAGATCCAGCGCCATGGGAGACTACATAGACCATACGCTCCCACGTCCCTGGGCACTCGAACTTTGGTACGCGTGGGAAATCATTCGACCTCACTCGACCTGAGAGTTGACTCGTGAACAATCACTCGACCACTCATGAAGTGCATGCATGCGATTAGACGGCAATAAGCCTAGGACCAATGAATATCTAGTGGTACACACATAGATAATTCCAGTCAGCACTCAAAAGGGCCTCTCAAGATCCAAGGAGCCATAGTCAGCACCCAGAAAACTCCCTCCTCAACTGCTCCGCCCACGCCATCACAAAATACAGCACCCCCGCCGGAAACATGCACTTCAGCCCCACCTCCCTCCAATCCCACCTCCGCCCACCCCACTGTCCCCCGCGCCACCTGTGCCACTTCCCTCCGCCCCCCCTCGCCATCCGCTCCCGCGGCTCCCACCACAGATTGCTCGTCACCCAGAGCTGCACGCTCCGGCTGCAGCACGTCGTCGTCGCGATCACTGCCCACGTTATGACGGGCCGCTTCTCGTGCTCGAGGATGACGAGGGTGAAGTGCGTGGCGGGCCAGCAGATAGACTGAAGCGCGAGCAGACGGATGAGGGTGGAGAGGGGCGCGTAGTAGATGCGCCAGCGAGTGAGGAGGCCGGTGGTCAGGCTGAGGCATTGGTAACCGGTGAGAATGGCCTATGAGGGCCGTTAGTGGGTGCAGAAGACGAAAGAAAGCACACACCCATAGGGCCGATACGAAGTAATCCACGCGCTGCGGCGCTCCAGGGTGCGAAGGGGGATAGAGCATATGATAAATATTGTAAAGCAAGCCAATAAATGCAGGGACAATGGACAGCAGTCTCGAAAACTCAAACAGAAGCGGCGTAAGCTGTTGCTGGAGGGAGGAAGGGGGCACTATCGGCGCGGACGAGCCTACGATGCGCGCGGTGGGGAGTCGGCGGGGCTGGAAGGAGGGGGATGCGTTGTTAGCTTGCTTGCATGACGCTTGGAGGGGGGACGAATGTGCTCACCGGCTCGTCCGCCTCCGTTTCTGTCTCGCCGGCGCCGAGCTGGCCAGGCGCAGTGGTGATCGGCTTCGCGGCGTGCGCCTGCCCGCTCGCCCACGCCGTGTAAATCACGTCATCGTCCGTGCGCTCGTCGTCGTCGTCGCTGCTGGGCGACATGCAAGGGACGGCCGGGTACGGGACGCGCGCGCGCAGGTGGTTTGCGGGTGCGATGAGAGGGATGGAGTTCGATTTCGGCACGACGAACGTGGTGCGCGGGGTCGGTGAAGGGGATGTAGATGAGGGGGATACGGATGTGAAGGAAGACGCGGGCGGGAGCAGGAACGCAGACGAATGGACTCCGCTCAGGCCGGTAGACGCAGAGCGCGGTCGCGTCTGCTGTGGTCGATCGGTGGTCGTGAAAGGTAAACGTCGTGGGGGGCGCGAGTTCGTAGTCTGTCCCGCTACATCCACCACTGGCCTCGTATCTCGATGGCTCGCGGCGCGCTGTCATGACATGGCGCGCGTCAGTCAGGACTCGAATACGAAAGAAGGAGGGGAGCAGTCAAGAAAACGCTCAGGGTTCTCACCGGTCTCCTTTATGAAGTCTGAGGGCGCTTCCCTTGTCGATAAGGCTTTGCTATCTCAGACGCACCTTCAATGGGACGCCCCTTTAGCGGCTGTGAACCATTGAGTCGCTCGGCGCATGGAACCAAGTCGCTCGACTGAATGGAATCAAGGCCTCCCGCTTGGACGGAGCAATTTCGCCAATTTGGAATTCGGCCCGCGTCAATCATCGACTTCACGTGTTCATGTTCAACTTGCGGGACCGAGGGTGGCTATCAGGCCGTCCTTTTTCTCCCTCTCGAGAGCTTTTATGGAGCGCTGATACACACCAAACAAGGAATAAATGTTGACAAAGGTGCCAAGTCTCGCCTGTCGAAATAAAGCAAAAGGCACAAGTCTCACGGAAGTTCTGACAAACGGTCCCGTTCATACGGAGGGCTGGGATGGAGGGAACTGAAGATAGGACAGTAGATATTTTCAGAACAATGACGCGCAACGCAGTCAAATGATCTACAGAGATGAAGACTACAGCTACAAAAAAGCACAAGGCTTTAGGAATAGAAATGGAGAGCACACGCGGAACAGTAACGTAGATGAAGACGAGGAGTACAGTTGGAGGAGAAAGAGATAGAGCGCGCAAGGGTATACAAAAACAGGAGAACCGAAGCACGATGGGCATTTACCGACCAAATCGCGCTGATCGTCTGCGCTTGGATTGCGGCTCGCCGTCCTGATCATCAATGTCTTCCGCGCGAGCCATAGACGTCGAAGGATCTTCTGCGTGGGTCGACGACGCAAAGGCATTTTTTGGGTACGGCTGAAGTTGCGCAGGAGTCAAACGAGCCCTCATCGTGTAGATTCGATCCTTCGCAGGGATGACACGAGACCTGGCTGCTGTGCTGCGAGACTGAGCGAGAGTGGCGCTCACAGTCGCTTGTGTGCGCTTGCCCGTGTGAACCGTCGAAGGGCCCTCAGAAGGCAGCTCGGAACGCAAAGGAGATGGTGTCATGGAAGGGGCGCGAGTGCTCGACCGTAGCTGCCGAGTTAGCGTGGGTGCGTCGTTCGCATCGGAGGTCCGCTTGCGTTTCTTGGTTGGGGATGAGGGAGTCGCTTCAGGTGTCGATGGATCAGGTCGCGCAGGCGTGAAGAGGGCCGGCGTCGCAGGCGTTGCAGGAGCAGGCATTGCAGAGGCTGCCGAGGGAGCCATCGAAGATGCAGCAGCGGCCGACATCTCGATATCGGCTAAGTTGTTCGCAGGTGCGGGCGGCTTCGTCGTGCGAGTCGAGGGCGGATTCGGTAGCGCAGGTGGCCCCGCGCGGCGTCTCAGCACAGACATCGGCACAGGCCGCCACTTCGTCCCCTTCGGCAGAGAGATCCCCTCCACCGCCTTCGATGATGGCCCTGGCATACTCCTCGATGATAGCCCCAGAATACTCCTCGATGACGAGCTCAGCAACTTGCGCATCCACCCCTTCAATAGCACAGCAAACAGCTGGCCATCCAGAGCGCAATACCGCACAAGATCCCCCGCCAGCGCATTGAGCAGCTCGATCTGCGCGGCGTGTCTTCCTTGCAGCGATTGCGCTAGGGACACCTTGGTGACCATGTCCTCGAGGGGAGTCAAGCCGTGCGGCATCGGCCCCATATCCGCTGGCGGAAACTCATCGACCTGCTCGCCAATCTCCTCCTGCCTAGCCATCATTTCCCTCACCCTCCCCTCCACCTCCGCAACGTACCATGCATTCACCCCTTCCTGCACGAAATCCGACACTTCCTTTCGATCCAGGCCCAGATGGCTCGCCAGATTCGACACATGGAACGACGCCAGCGAGCACATCGCTTCGTACTGCCGATCCAGCGTCTTTGCTCTGATGACTTGTTTGATGAGCTTCGTGCGCGATGGGTGCGTTTCGTTTTGCCTGCTGCCCGCGCCGTCCATCCCGCCTACGTCGCCCATCCCGCCCGCGTCCTCCGAATTGGTACGCATGACCCTCGGCATCTCCTTGTTATCGTTAACTTCAAGGGAGACGATGGGGTGCGTCTGGTCATAGGGCACGAACTCCACGTGGACGCGCCCGCCAGGCTGCGTAGGCGCGCCGCTCGCGGCCCAGGTGAGGTGGACGGTGTTGGTGTTGGCGGTCGATTCGTGGGCATTGACATTGTTTCCCTCGCCGTCGCCAGAAGTCCCGTCACCGTCGCCAGAAGTCCTGCCGCCGTCGCCGGAGCTCCCGTCGCCGTCGTCAGTGTTTTCGCCACCATCGTTGTGGGGGCCGAGCATATGCATACGGTTGATTATCCCACAATCGTCGTTCAGCTGCTGAACGTGGAACCTGCCGGTGCCCGCGCGCTCCATGAACACCTGGCTTTCGTCGAGGAGGGTGGCGTGCTCGGGCGGGACGACTTCAAACAGCGCAGGGATATGCTGTATGCCGATATGACGTCTGGCAGAGGGGGGGGATTTAAGGTGAGTGGCGTGCACGCGACTGACGTTTACGCACATAGTCCCCTGGTACCGCCGACATAAGAATTGCCACTTTGGCGGCGACAATGGTTCGGGGGCATTATCTAGATTCGAACTAACGAAGCCTTCCGATCAGCCTAACCCCTCTATCCAGGTGGCATACCACATACCTAACTTCCTTCCGACACTCGATGCGTTCGCGCGCTTCGGGCGCCAGGCGCTGCAGCGTATGAATTATCTCCGATGCGAAGGAGTTAATGTAGTTCGGATCGATGCCTGCGGGCTTAAGCTTGTCAAGCACGTCGAGCAAGTCCAGGCAGCGCTCGTCGAACTTGTCGATCTCTTTCTTGACTTCATCAAGCGTTTCATAGGGCGTGAAGGGTCGGACCTCCTTGGGCAGTTCGTGCGCGTTCTGCATTTTTAGTGTGTGCTAGGTTGGTGGTGTTGAAGATAGACTGGCTGAACGATTGCAACCGACGGTTGTGTGGTAGATGTGGCAGAGTCGACAGTCGACTTCGGTGAGCAGTATGACTGTAGAGCGCGCTCGGAGAGGGCAGTCTGCTCGAGATGGTGGACGTATGGGATAGAGGTGACAGAGCCATGGTCTTTGTCTGCATGGTATTGCCACTGCCACATGCTACGGCCATGGTCAAAGCCCGAGGAGAACAATGGCAGCGGACAATGACGCCCATATTTGTCTTCTCAATCGGGCCGCCAATGCCAGGCTCGTCAAACGATCGCATGCGCCCGACTGGGTGGACAGTTGCGTTCACCGTTTCTTTGAGCAGTCTTTCTCTTACGAACGCAGGTAGCGATAGGAAACAGTCAAGAACATCAAGATTACTCAGAATGTCAGAGCGTCATGGGCAGGGCAACGGCAAGGCAGTAAGTACAGGTTCGGGTATTAGGATAGGACAGCAGTGTACAGGGTGGCATAAGGCGTAGCATATCACGTCCGTTTACCTCAACAAGAAGATGTAAAGACGGATCTATGCAGCCTGCAAGAAAATGAAGTTGCACCGCCAGCAAGGGCGACGATTGCTTGATACATATATTGTTGCTTGCAAAAATTGCTGGGCGCTCTACGAGAACTTCCAACGGTTGTTGCATACAGTGCAGCTGCGACGAGAGATGAGCTAGGTGGTCGACGCAAAGGAACGTTCACGACTAACGTTACGAAGGTGGTCATCGGTTCATCAGCGCTGCGCGTCTGCGCCTGGCGGTAGCGGCATTTCCTCTGTCGCGCAAAGCGTTAGCATGGCTAGAAAAATATTGGGTAACGTAGTACGCACCTGCTTGCACCTGCCACACTGGAAGGCGTCCGTCTCGGCCTCCTGCTCAGCAGCACCCAGCGACTCGTGGATGGTCTGCTCGCGGATCTTGCTATCGGCGGCCTTGCGCTCCTCCGACGCCATATCTGCAACGGACATCGTGGCAAGCCGAGCTGGCTCGAGCTCCCCCTTCAGTACGCGTGCACGCAGTCCCGGGTTGCTCTTCGCCTTCAGATTGGCAGTGAGGGTGCGGAGCTTGGTCTTGTACGCCTCGTTCGTGCAGCCATTCTGGTTGTACACGGCAGCCTCGACATCTCGTGCTTTCTCTGCGATCGTGTTACTGTCTGAAGGGAGAGAAAGGAGGGCTCGTCAGCATGATCGGACGTGCTAAGGCCATGCCACGCACCGCAGGTCGCGTCGCACGCAAGGGCATTGTAGATCAGCTTGCTCAGCGCATTTCGCAGCTTGTCTGGAGTGAAGTTGAGCGTGACTTTGTCGGTGTCGGCTGTTCTGGCAACGGTTGACGGCTTCGCTGGCGCGGGAGCAGGTGGGGGTGCGGCTTTCGTCGGCGGAGCTGCTTTAGGCGCCGGGGATTTGGTGGCTTTCAGGCGCTCGACGTCGTTCTTCCACTTCTTCACCAGGTCCTTCGCCGCCTGGGAGACCTCCTTGTTCGAATGCGTTCGTAATTTGCCAACCGCCAGGCCCGCTTTACTTTCCTGGATGGCCAAACATGAACAATCGGAGATGGGGAGGAGGACGAGCAACACCCACCCTTAGTATTGTTTCGTTTACTTCCCAATTCTTCTTGAGGAGTGTAAGGATACCAAGTAGCTCCTGGGGGAACGCGTTAGCAAGCAGAGAAAAGAGGTGCACGCGACACAAGTGAGCATTTGCACGAACCTGGGCAGTAGATGGACTTTGCAACTGCTTTACTAGCCTCTTGAGCTCAACGATGTCCGACATGGTGTCCTACGTCTAGATACCGACTACAGGGCGCTGCAACACTCCCGAATGTCCGTCTGGCTCCTTATATGTGGCCGTTCAGGACAAAGACCAGCGGAGTTTGCCGGCCCGGCGGCGCAAATGAACAATTGCAGGCGCTTTGCTTTCTTGTCTTTCGCCCTCATCGTCTTTGATAACCAAGCACCCTGACCCACAGCATGGCGTCGGTACTGCCTCCCCTTGATGGTCTGCACAGAAGGAGTGTAAAACGGACGCGCGACATCTTTGCGTCGAGCATCGACGAAGTTGTGCCGGATGAGGAGCGCAGGTGCGTGGTTTGCATGTTGACGAATACTGCTTCTCTAACATGGATGCAGTACCCGCATTCGCTTGTCTGTCAGGATTAACGATGAATTCCGAGACTTCAAGGAGCTCCCCGCAGCGCTGATTTCACAACAAGGCCCTGTCGGCCCCTCGCGGCCAAAGGAACAGCGCAAGATGATCACAGCAGGACGTGCGTATCCAGCATACTCCTAAATCGCTACCTCATACGTCCCCCCAGCCGCCGACAACACTTCGCGCATGATAGCGACCATCGACAAAACACCCATATCTCAACCCACCACGTTCTCTTCCTCGAGCAAGCTTTCGCAAGCGCTCACGCTCCACAAGACGACACGAACAGTAAAACCGACGTACCACCCCCCATGGAAGCTCGTCCGAGTCATCTCCGGGCACTTGGGCTGGGTGCGCAGCGTCGCTGTCGAGCCGGGGAACAAGTGGTTTGCCACGGGCGCGGGCGACCGCGTCATCAAGATCTGGGACCTCGCGTCGGGCGAGCTAAAGCTGTCGCTGACGGGTCACATATCGACGGTGCGCGGGCTGGCCGTGTCTGCGCGCCATCCGTATCTGTTTTCGTGTGGCGAGGACAAGGTGCGTGCGCGACGCTGCGTTCACTTCATCTTACTCACTCTCCCCTAGATGGTCAAGTGCTGGGACTTGGAGTCAAACAAGGTCATCCGGCACTACCATGGGCACTTGTCCGGCGTGTACGCGCTCGACCTACACCCTACGCTGGACGTGCTGGTCACCTCTGGACGCGACGCGTCGGCGCGGGTGTGGGACATGCGCACGAAGGCGCAGATTCATATCCTCTCCGGACACACTGGCACGGTCGCAGACGTCAAGTGCCAGGAGTCGGACCCGCAGGTGATCACGGGGAGCATGGATACGACCGTGCGGCTGTGGGACCTGGCGGCGGGGAAGACGATGACGACGCTGACGCACCACAAGAAGTCGGTGCGCGCGCTCGCCATCCACCCGACGGAGTACTCCTTCGCGTCGGGCTCAGCGGGAGGGAACAACATCAAGAAGTGGAAGTGCCCAGACGGGACGTTCGTGTTCAACTTCAGCGGTCACAACGCGATCATCAACACGCTGTCGGTGAACGCGGAGGGCATCTTCTTCTCGGGCGGGGACAATGGCTCGCTGACGTTCTGGGACTACAACACGGGGACGCCGTTCCAGAACATGGAGGACGTGCCACAGCCGGGGTCGCTGGAGGCGGAGGCTGGCGTCTTCTGCTCGACGTTCGACATGACCGGGACGCGTCTCATCACCGGTGGCGCGGATAAGACCATCAAGGTAGCGTTGGCCTCTTTCCTCTGCATCACTAGTGCTGACACTTTGCCTCTAGATCTACGCTGAACAGGCGCATTGAGTTTGAGATGGAATACGCCGTGGAACGGCCGTTGTTCGTGTTCGATGTAGCATCAGTATGTAGCTAGTACTCCTGACGGCCGCCCTACCCTACATGGGTTTGTCTATGGACTGTTTGCGCACTGGAGCAAAGTGCTGAACAACCCGAACTCGAACTTGCTCGCCTCCGAAAAACGAACCATTTGCAGTATGTTTTTCCCACAATCATCAACGTGTAATGAGAACGCGGCGTTCGAGCGCGTAAATAACTCTGCTCTCGCCACATCGTCCAGGACGGCGACCTGATACCCAGCATCTCGACATCGGACTCTCCTTTATACGATGCCTAACTCAGACTCTACGGCGTCAACCTCGACGTCGCCCATGGCTCTCACGCCCGAATCGACGGGCTCCTCCCCGGATCCCTCCAGCGCTGCACGGAAGGCGCGGCGCCAGACAGCGTTCTATCCGAATCTGAACTCCGCGAACAAGCCCCAGAAGCCATTCAGCCGGAGCGCGGCGAAGCGGGAGAGCGTCATGATGCTCGGGAGCATCGAGCATCTGCAGCACTACTTCACGAAGACGGGAATCGCGGCGAAGAAGAGGTGCGTGCAATATGCATCGTACACTATACCCCATGCTCCATACATCCCGAGCACATTCACGGCGCGGCGCTGACGATCGATCTTAGTGCACTTGCTACCCACAAAGGTCTTGTCCCGGCCCTCGGTGGCACGCTTCACATACGCAATACCTCCTCAATAAGCCGGGAGATGCTCGGGATGGACCTGCCACCCTCACCCGTCATACCCCCGCCCATTGAACGCCAGTTCCCCACCGTCCTCAAGTACGAGACGGATCCAGATTCCCTCCTCCCCGGCGTGGTCGAAGATCTGAACGCCGTATCGCACTCGTGGGCGATCAACGAGACACCTCCGGCTACCCCATTCGATGTCCTGAGTGCTCTCAAGATCACCACGCGCGCTGTTCGCGCCATCCGCAACTACGTCCTCTCGCTGCCAGACGAGTCTGCGGGCACGCTACGCGCTCAGTACCGCTCAAAGCAACTCGGTCCGGGCGCGATCAAGCAGAAGGACCTGTCGCGCGAGCAGCAACAGGACCCGCTGACCCTTATCCGACGCTCGGCTCTCTCACTCCTGGAGGTCTTACGTGAGCTTGAAGAGCGCAGCCGGCTGCCCTTAACCGACGATGCGTACGACGCGCAGAGCGAGGGCGGCAGCTCCACGCAGCGCGCCGGCGCAGCGACTCCCGACGCCTCTGCCAGCCCTGCGAACGGCCTCGGCATTGTCGATCTTCCCGCAGACCGCGACGCCGACGGGTTCCTCCACCCCGGCGACGCCTCAATGTCGTACTCCCTTATCCAGGTGGGCGGCCGCATGGAGCGTGTGCCTGTGTGGGAAGACGAGGACGACATTCAGTGGGACGAGGACGACGAGCAGAAGAAGAAGCGCGAGGGCTGGGATGAGCGGCTCGTCATCGACCACGGGTGGCTATATAAGCAGGACATCAAGCTCGAGGATCTGGTCAAGGAGCGTACAGCGGTGTCCAAATACCTGGATCAGGTAGACGAAGTGTTGTTTGACGGGAAGCAAGGCGAGGAGCGCGGATGGGAACGTGCAGGCCGCCGGCTAGCACAGCGCACGAAGTCACGACTGGCGAACCGTCGCGCGAGTGCTGGTCTGGCCGAGAACAAGAAGGTCGGCGCGATCTTCTCTGGCATGTCGGCGGACAAGAAGAACCGAAGGGTCACCACTGGCATGATGAACCTCATGGGCGAGCTCTCGCTTTCGGAGGAGCCAGAAGGGATGGAGGACATCAGCGAACAAGCCGAAGAGGCCGACGAAGAGGAGGAAGCTGCGACGGAGGCTAGTGTCGACGACGACGAGCTGCCCGGGTGGGCCAAGCGAGGCGCGTACGGCGGCCAGGACCTCAAGCGCGCGCACGCTCTCCTGCTCGACGCATTACCAGCACGCCTCCGCGAGGCCCTTGTCCCACCAGACTCGCGGGACGACTTCCTGGGTAGTCTGTCTTCTGGCCAGCTGCTCTGCATCGCGTACAACGTCTGTGTGCGGCGATCGAAGAAGCCCTGGGGCTACGTCAATCCAGACGGGATCCACGACATCATCGCGTTGATGAAGGCGGACGAGGCGGGCGACAAGAAGGAGGGCAGCAAGTCCGGATGGACATTCCGTCGCATCGACAACCTTCGGCTATGGATCGGGTATGTTGCTCTGGACTTCGGTACAAAAATCGTGAAAGCTAACATGAATCGTAGCGCGATGAAGCTACGCTACCTCCTGCCCATACAGCAGCCCGGCTTGCCAAGCGGCCGCTCTGGGGCGAGCCCGTCACCTTCTGCATCCCCTTCTTTCAGCCAAACACGGTTTACGGGTGTTCCCATCGTCTTCGACGCCAAGGTCGTAGCAAGGAGGGAGGACGGCTGGCGAGACATGCTAGAGACCGTCCTTCTCGCCTGGGTGGACGCTGTCGTCGAGGAGAAGCGGGGCGAGCGGTGATCGTGGGATCACGGCTTCACTTCAGGGGCTCGACGTCGCGTCAAAGAGTCGAAGGTGAAGAATATTGAGAAATGCTAGGCGAAGGAAGCGCAGGAGTAATTACAACTACAGGTAACGACATTCATTCACGGATCTCCCATGCTCACAATAGTGGATTCTAGTACAGTAAAGTACATCACTGGATAATAACAGCACAATCGTGTTCCAACACTCGTTTTGTGGGTAGCGTGAAGGCTGACATTGATGCCCTCCGCGGTTCTGTTACATTTTGAGATGGTACAATTTCGTTTAGTCTTCGTCCTCTCAGATCTCGCTGTACCCCCTCGCAATCCCACTCCTCCCCTGCTCCAGCAAACTCGGCGCGTCCTCGCCCAACCGCTGCTCCAATCCCTGATACGAGCGCGACTGTAGGTGTTGGACTATGCGAGGCGTCAGCCAGATCATGACGACCAGCTCGATAGCACGTACGAGCAGCACTATCCGCCAATCTCGCCAACGCATTTCCCGCGGATCGGGCGACAGCAGACGAGCCATCGGTCGTGTCGGTGGTATCTTCCTCGACTGTCAAGGGTTCAAGGAGGACGATAGAGCGTCGAAGTGAGGTAAGTGCCACAACGATCAGTAATAGTGCCACAAACGCCAGAGCTGGACTAACGTACCTCCAAACCTCCTCGCCTGCTTGTACTTGCCGGTAACGAGGGAGAAGTGCGGTCGTTCGGCGTCCTCTTGCGTGTGCGTCCCGTTGGTGGTCCCTGGTGCTATAAGCTACACACACGCCAGATGATAAGATGACCAACCTTCACCCGCCGCCTTGCTCTCCGCTAGTAGCTGCTCAAAGTCGAGCACATACCTCCCCGTCCAATCTGGCTCAGCCTGTAGTGCTATCTGCAGCTCGAACGGCGTGACGATGGGTCGGAGGAATTCCTGCAAGCTGGGATCAACTTCTCACATCTTCGACGCGTCAAAAGGCCCAAATCCAGGGTATCCAGGCCTTGCGAGGCAGGTATTACCAGTGAAGGAGGCTTACCTTCGCCTCTATCACACTATTCTCCGGGCATGCCACGAGCACAAAGCACTCGATCTCCATGAAGTTCGCCAGCTTGGCGGGGTTGAGCTTGCCGACGCTGATGGTGTAGCTTTTCTTTTGCGCCTTTTTGAGGGTTTCGCGGAGGTGTTTGATGAGCGGGAGGTAAGAGGCTAGCAATTGAATCGAGTCATTCAACATATTCTTGACGTGAGCTAGATGAGGTGGCTCACCAACTCCCAATGTCCCGACCAAAATACCGAAGACATCGGCGTCACGAGCCTTTTGCACGGCAGCGTACCGTCGCATGAGCATGCGGTTGGTTTTGCCAGACTCTAGGCGTATTTCGCGTGATTTTGGAAGGTAGGAGTAGACCTGGCAAAGACTGAATTTGTAGGGGTAGCCGTCCAGGAGAACAGTGAACCTACATCGCAAGTCGAGTGCGTCATGAGCAAATTTGTGAGAGACAGACTTTCGCCGCCAACGTATAGAATGGTGGCGTTCTCCGCTGCAGTTCGATGTCTGGGTTCTGAGCTTGAAGAGGGATCGATGCGAGTGGGGGTTTCTTCGCAGAGAACCTCCAAGTCGTCCAGCTGAGCCCGCAATTTCGACAGTATTCGCGCTGAATAGTCGGTAAGAAGATACGCCAGAAATACCGTCCCGTACATACGTATTTGTTGAGTGTATCCCACATCATGGCGCAGTACCACAGGTCTTTTGAGATCCTCCACACGACACTGTGCCACAAATTTGGCCACGCAATCATCGACGTCGATCTGCTTCTTGCCAAAGACATATATTACGGGAAGACGATATGTTCTACGGTTTTGTATCAACGACATGCATTTTCTGTCTAACCGATGGACGCACTGGCTCATGCAGGCGTGGCCATAATGCACCACCGCATCCACGTCTGCGTGCTTGGCGGCGACTTCGTCAACGCAGCAGCTAAGGCAGAGAGAGTCAGATATAGGCTGAAAGAGATAGGACACTCTTGCATGCCTTCCATATGACGTATCTGCGAGGACGTAGAGCTCGCGTCCGGGACCAAGCCGAGACATGAGAGAGCGATAGATGGGGACAGAGTAGCGTAGTAGTTCGTCAGGAAATTGTAGTGCCGTCTGAGCAGATATCAGCGATGTGTAAGGAGGTCCAGTTGAATTTCTGTACACGTTTCCAGCCGCCAGCTATGATTTCGTCAGCAGTCCAAGGAATATCGAAGTATGAGTCAAGGTCGTCGACAGAGTCAGGCAGTTCGGCGTCAGAGATCTCAATCGAGGCATGGATGACCTCTTCTCCAGATGAGGAGAACGCCGTATTCTCCGCCGCCATGATAGGAAGAGGCAAAGTGCGAAAATCCACGATCTGTGACACAATACCTGCCTAAAGCGGACGGCGTCCATTGTTGCCTGTGACAGATCCGCCGCGTGACGCTCCTCCTCCCCCGTCATGGCGCTCGCGAAGGACAAGCACTACTGGGGTCAACTCCGCGCGGCGCTGACGGCTGGGCACTGGGACTCGCAGCTCCCAGCAAAGGCTCCGAATGCGACTCCGCTGTCCTGGTCGGAGCTCTTCCGCAAGTTCAACAAGCACTGCACCGGGCACGTTGACGTCGCGGAGGTCGCATCGCAAACTCATGCTCTCGCTCTCCTTTTATTTGTGACGAAGAAGCAAGAGATTACCGAACGCACCTCTGTCCCTCCTCTTCCGATCGACACCAATGGAGAGTGCGTACTGCCGGAGGAACGGCGCGACGAGGCCAAGCAGGGATTCGACGTGCTCAAGAACCTGCGAAGCCAGAATACCAATGTGCGTGATACGTGTAGGGGCTAAGAACATACTCTGACCCTTTCTTGCGATAGATGATGAACCACGCACTTGCCTACTATGCATACGCGCTTGGCGACTCGGCAGGATGCATTGCATACCTTGAAAGGATACCCGATATAGGCTCCCTGCAAAGCTCCATTCCTTCCAGCCGCCCAGACTCCCTCGGCGCAACCCTCCAGGTACCTGGAGGCTCCTACGAGCCTTCTACTTCCTCTGTGCATAGTAGCTTCGCTTCTAACCTGTCGATCCTTCCACCTGATATTCAGGATGGCCGTGCATGGGCCATGACAGAAGCCATGCGCAGTATATGCCTGAAAGGTGCGCATCTATGATCCGCAGACCCATCCAACCTGACAACATACATACATCAGGCATGTCATACGAGAACCTACACCCAGACGAATACCGATCCGCGCTCGAGCAATACGCCGAGGCACTACCCATCCTGTCCTTCATCAAGACCGAACTTACCCTCACCTCCACGCCATCTGCGACTGGCGCGATCGACTTCTCTTCCTTCACCCGGTACCGCGAGCTGTGGCGCTGGGTGGACAGGTTGCTCTGGCGCGCGATCGTGCTAGCATCCCGGTGTTGCGATGTGTTCGATGACGATACCACGAGAGTCGACTCGCTATGGACATGGCTTGCCCACTACAGTGCTTTAAGCACCTACTGGCCTCCCGACTTCCATTGCGAGCTGCGCTCGACGGTGTGCGTCCTCCATCTACGGGCCTTAGTGCTTCGACATGGCCACGCGCCGGACGAGTCTGCCATCTCGTCTTCGGCAACCGCTACTACTTCGAAGCCACCTCCATGGGTTCATGCCGCTCGTGTCGTCACCCAAGAGTACCATGCCATCCTCACCGCATCATCCACCTTCCCACGTGCCGGTGAACGAAACAAGCGAGTGGAGGACTTCGTCGATCTCTGCGTCGCGGTCTGGGAGACGGGAGGCGCATTCGGCGAACATGCTGGTTGGGTCATCGATGTAAGCCTTTGCCTGGAGCAGTAGCATTCTTACGGATGCTCATGTCCCGCAGATCTTGTGGTGGGCGACGCGCCTGACCTTCAACTCGTATCGAATATATCGCCACATGACGCGTCTCTTCTACGTCTCGGGCGACCCTCAGTTGGCGAAGCGGACGTTGCGGTTGTACGTCCAGGTTGTCAGCAAGGCGCATCTAGCCAGTGACGCTGGCGTAGGCGCGGATGCGGACACGGACCAGCACTGGGTGGACACCCTCGCCTCCGGCGCGCGCATGCTCTGCAACCTCGCTTCATCTCTTCCAGGAATTGATGGAATCGAAATGGTTCGCGAGGCGGGCACGTACGTCGAGCAGGCGAAGACCAGACTCCCTGCCGAGGATGTCGAACTCGCCGCAAAAGTCGCCCTCGCCGAAGGCATCTACCACCAAGTCCTGGCCCTGAAAGGTATGCTTTGATGCCCCACTCACCCATGCACCAGGACCTGATCTTCAGCCAGAGCAGAACCCCCACTTCCGCCCCGAGCGCTTCGCTCAGGCGCGCAAGGCCTTCATGAAGTCCGTCGAGCTGCACGGCACGCCCGCCGGCTTCTTCCATCTCGCCGTGGCGCTCGCATGCCCAAGCGAGGACCAGGACCTGGATACCGCGATCTCGTACACCGCATTCGCAATGGAGGGCGACCCCAAGGAAATCCGGTACTGGCATCTCATGGCTCTGTTGCTCTCGGCGAAGGAGCAGTGGCAGGCCGCGCGCGCGATCGTCGACCAGGCGGAGCAGATCGGCGAGCCTGAACCCGAGCCCGTTGACGGCCTCACACCGATTGCGGAGGCGCCGACTGTCGAGGATGGTGAGGCCGTCGATGGGTTGCCTGCGTCTTCGGAACCCCGCCCTTCGGACAAGAAGGCCGTGTATGTGCTGGGCAATGAGGGCGAGGTACCGCCGTCGGATGACTTGCTGAAGCCCGCACTCGACCATCCTCCGCCGTCGCAGCAAGACCTCTTTGAGCATGCCCTGCAGCTCCGCATGACGCAGATAGCGTTGACGGAATACATGGAGGGGCCGGAGGGTGCGGCCGAGCAGGGCGTCGAGGTGTTCCAGTGGGTCGCTGAGAAGCGCAGCGGGTCGACTGAGCAACAACGTGAGCGCGCTGTTCATATGCTGCCTTCTAAGCTAACGCGGTTGCGCAGGACGGTCCTCTACTGATGCTCGCCGATCCCAAGACCTTCACTCAACCACAGGCATGTCAGCCTCCGGCAGCCGCAGTACCCATCATACGGAGAAGGTGGCCAGTCAACAGGCCAACGGCACCAGCGGAGGCGAAGACCAGCTCACGCCCCGACCACCTGCAATCGCCGTAACCGTATCCCCCGCCACGCCCATCGAGCCCTCACAATCGTTCTTCGCCGAGCAAGAGAAGCTTGCAACGGACGACCCGCACCCCGACCGCCTGTCAGACAGCGGGCGGCGGTCCATCTCGGGGAGCTCGCAGCACGACCGCTCGCGCCACAAGCGTATGCAGCAGAAGCTGAAGGACCGCGTCCACCAGGGGCACGCGCGCATCAGCAGCATCTCGAAGAAGATCGGAAGCGGCGTCGCGCGGAATGGCAGTCTGAAGCGGTCAAGGTCTGCGCCTGGTACGTTCTCGTTTTTTGCCGCGAGTCCTGCTCGACTAACCCTCGTTATAGACTTCGACAGCATGCTCCGCCCCTCGGCCTACCAAGCCTCCTCCATCCACTCCCGTCGGCGTCTAAGCGCCGTCACCTCCATGTCCGACCTGCACGACACGGACGCGCAGACCCCTCCCCCGCCCGCCCTGCCGCCCATCGAGGCCAGCAGCAGCGTGAACAGCCGCGCCACGCGGGAGCGCCGGCTGCTCAGCGACCTGTGGCTAATGTCCGCCGCGACCTTCCGCCGGCTGGACAAGATCGAGCAGGCGCGGGGCGCGATCCAGGAGGCAGAGGTCCGCGACGAGAATAACCCCGCTGTGTGGGTGCAGGTGCGTACTTTATCCGTCCCTCAGACGAGCCTCCCCCAACCATGACTGACGACCTCCCCCAGCTCGGCCTCTACTACATCGCCCTCGGGCGGACGCGCGCCGCGATCGAAGCACTCCAAAAAGCCCTCTTCATCTCCCCCGACGACGTCCCTGCGTCCATCCACCTCTGCCGCCTGTACCTCGCTGAGGGGGGCTCGCATGACGCCGTCTCCGAGGGCGGTCCTCATACCCAGGACAGCGTCGACCCCCACCACCACCACGACACCGTCGACCTCGCCGCTGGCATCCTCACGCGCCTCTCGAAGACCGCCGGCTGGGACGTGCCCGAGGTCTGGTTCTACCTCGCGCGTGCGGCGGGGTACCAGGGGCAGAAGGCGAGGCAGAGGGAGTGCCTTAGCAAGGCGCTGAGGCTGTCGGAGAAGCGGGGCGTCAGGGAGATCGGGGCGGCGATTGGGTGGTGCTTGTAGGAGGGTGGTTGTGAGTGGGTGGGAGTGCAGGTATGGGGAGGACGCAATGCGCATGGTGCAGCTGCGATGAAAAGGGAAAGTCGCAGGCTTGAGGATACCCAAGCAAGTTCGTTCTGGAGCAATAGCATAGTGGATTCATATTCATTGACACCGCTACATCTACAGAAGCTACACATAATCATTAGACAAATGAAGACGATAATACTTCACTGGGGTGTGAAGGAAGGAGAGTGGGCAAACTATGCAGTAAGAAGGGCTTCTGAGCGCGTCTCTCCCGAAGCTGCTCTGAGTGTTTTGCGAGTGAACACAACATATTCCCGTTCAAGTCGTGGGTGGGACTGTTACATTCACATATACAGCTTCCTCGGGTACACCTCGCGGGCAAGGTGCCCTCTACCTAATAGACGTACGGGATAAGTCTGTACGGGACACGCTTCTTGTATTCGGTATACTCCCAGCCCGTGGCCAGGTTGTCCTCAATCAAGTGTTCCTGGTTTATATACGTTAGATCACATATGGTTCCCAATGAAGGCAGTAAGCAAGCTTACCTCGAGAGGAATCTTGTACAGCAGAGCACCAAAAGCGACGCCCAAGCTGGCGATGGGCATCCATGACCAGAACAAGACAGATTGGCAGGCCAGCTGCGCGAGGAAGGTGCTGTTCCCACCAAAGTCAACGCGCTGTACGTCGTAGCTGACGAGATGTACACTCACGCATACATAGGATGACGCACGACGGCGTACGGCCCTGACGAGACGACGCGGCTCTTCTCCCTCACCTGTGGGAACAGCAAGTCAGCCCGCGAACCCCCAGACGTGGCACCACCTCAGTCCTCAACATTGAACAGCACACCCTACTCACCCCCACAGGATGGAAATGCGGGCCCAGCGCTCGCAACGTGCTGCCCACCCCGAGGTGCGCGAGCGCGATATGCGCCACCGCCGCGAGCGTCCGCAGCGCGGACTTGCCCCCGATGCCGACCGCGAGGTCAAACGACACCGGGAAGGAGAGGTCCTCGAGCCACGAGGGCAGGTAGAAGTTGTTCGAGAGGACGCCAATCACATACGCCGCGCTCGGGATGAAGCCGCACGCTGTGAACAGGGGTGTCACCAGCTTGCCTGGGAGGGTCTTCGGGAGGACCGTAACGGGTCCTGCTTCCTTCTCCGCCTTCTTGAGCGCGGGGATCTGCTTGCGCACTGAAGAGAGGTCACTCAATACGCGTTCTGATACGAAGAGGAAACCATACGGACCGATATACCCCAGGAAGTAAACTGTGCTGAACGCGGCGATCCCCTCCATGCCTTGGTTGTGCGAGATGTAAGTAGGAAGATAAATTCCCTTGAAGACAGGGAGGTTGTCTATCTTGATGTAGACCATGGTTTATATATGGGGAACGACCCAGGAGATGTTTAGCAGGCTGGGAGATGAGGGTTTTGACCAAGGAGCTCCTGGTGGCGCGGGTTTCGCGTCGCCGCCCGCCCCAGACGCGCCGGCGCGCGTCGCGATGCCGGCCGCGCCTGTGACGTGAAGTGTCACGTGCGTGGTTGAATTTCCGGGCGTTACACCGACTGTCACGCTGCTCTTTTATTCCTGACCCCCATCATCAGGACTCTGCATCGACGCGATAGAAGGCGGACTCAGGTCTAACACGTTTTGTATATCCATCGGACTGCTCAATCAATCTCCATGCCTGTCGCTCACCTCGTGTCTTCTACCTTTTGCTGTGAGAAAGCGTGAGGGTAGAACTGCGAAGATCTCTGCATCAACGCATTCCTTGCCAGCGAAGCCGGACGTCTTCAACATTGACCTGACATGTACCTCCTTGCCAGCACCAGATTAACCATGCTGATGCAAGCCCGGCCTTCGATTCTTCTATCTCGTCACCTTGCGCTCACACGACGCCTGTGAACTGCCGACGAAGCCTCATACTTATATACGAGCGACAAGGCCAAGAATGACTGACGTACTGCCTCCCTCGCTCTGAGGAGTCGACGCTCGACGATGATTCTCACGACCTCCCTCCTTGCGGTAGCCCTCGCAGCCTCTGCCCGCGCCGTCAACTTCTCGGCTGTCGAGGGATCCCCCGGACTATCTGACAATGGCACCTACGGACCCCCCATAGAAATTGTGCACCTTTTCCAGCACCCGCCCATAGGCATCACCATCAGCAAATCCGGACGCGCCTTCGTCACATTCAACCGGTTCGTCTCCCACTTCCCATTCTGGTAACCCCGTTGCGCCGACGCCGACGCCGCCTTATCCTCCATCACCCCCTCATCTACCCTCTCAACATCTCTCATACACCTTCGCTAACACACCATCCAGCGGCAACCTCACGGCGAACCCCAAAACGCTCGCCGAGGTCGTCAACTCCACCGCCGACGTCGCGTGGCCGAGCGCCGAGTTCAACGCGCCGCCCGACGGGCTCTTCAACCTCTCCTCGGGCATCAACTACGGCTCGAGCGACTCGCAACACTTCCTCAATGTCCAGGGCGCGATCTTCGACGCGTACGATCGGCTGTGGGTGCTGGACACGGGGCGCCCGGCGAGCGATGGCGGGGACAACGCGCCGTCATTTCCCGGTGGGCCGAAGCTCATGGCGTTTAGTCTGGACGACGAGGGTAGCAGTAGTGCATCTGCCAACGGAAGCACGACGGCGAATGGCAGCACGGCGGCGAATGGCACGACATACGGCAACAGCACAGCAAGCAGCAATATCACGACCGGCGCGACGCCTTTCACGACTATCACGTTCCCCAACACCGTCCTTCCTGCTACCGGGTACCTCAACGACTTCCGCATCGACCTGAGGAAGGGCGACGCGGGCATTGCATACATCGCGGATAGCGGTGAGTAGCGCGTCGTCTTACACGTAGCCGACAGTATGGTCCTTTGCATAGTATGGTCTTGTGCTGATACCTTTCCCTCTCAGGCTCACGCGGCATCATTGTCGCCGACCTCGCATCCGGCGAATCCTGGCGCCACCTCGACCTCGTCGCCAGCGTGCAGCCCAAGGCCGGCTTCCTACCGACGCTGTTCGGCATCCCAACCTACCAGTCGTCCGCGGGTAGTCCTGCATACAAGTACCCTGTTGCTGCGGGTGGGGGCATTGATGGTGCGTATCTAGCCCTGATCGCTTTACTCCTCTTCTGGTACTACTTGCGTCGCTGGATCTACTTGCATCGCTGGATCTACTTGCATCGGTGCATCCATACTGACCTCACCTACCCAGGCTTCACCCTCTCCGCCGACGGCGAGTACATCTACTTCGCGTCCATCTCCAGCCGCGACTTCTACCGCGTCCCGACGGCACCGCTGCTCGTGAACCCCTTGCACGACAGCACGGCGACCGTCAAGGCGGCGAACTCGGTGCAGTATCTGGGGGAGGTGCGTTTCCCCTCTTCTTTTTCTCTTCTTCTACAACCTCCCCTTACCCTCCCTCCCCACGTCCCTTCCCTCCTCTCGTGCCTCCCTTACGCTCGCCACCCGTCTCTCCCTCTCACCACCCGCCTCACCCTCTCACCCCACACTCACTCACCCACCCCAGCTCGGCGGCGCCGCAGACGGCCTCGAGTCCGACTCGACCGGCAAGGTCTACGTCACCTCACCCGAGCACAACGCGATCAATATATACAACCCGGACACGGGCCTCGTCGAGCCGTTCGTAAGAGATCCGCGCCTGGCGTGGCCGGATACGCTGGCGTGAGTGCCATTCTTTGTTGTGTGCTGCGCTAGTGGTCGTTCGTGTTCGCGGGTCCTTCGTTTCTCCTAACGAGAGCCACGACCTCCGTCGCCTTGTTCGCGAGGGCAGACTGTTCTTCTGGACGCGTTGCTGATGCTCTTCCGGACGCGTTGTTGATGTCGTGGGGATGAACGACGATAACTGACCTACCCTCCCAGCGTCGCCGACGACGGCTACCTCTACGTGACCCTCCCCCAGCTCTGGCTGAGCGCCGCGTTCCAGAACGGGACGGACAAGCGCCAGAAGCCGTTCGCGTTGGCGAGGGTGCCGATCGATGGGAAGCCGGTGAGGCTGGCCTAGGGGTGAATACTGACGTTGGAGGACATGGCGAGTAGGTGTTCGATGATAATAGAGTTTTCTTGGATCAAACAGAAACTTCCAGCTACGAGGGTCCAAACAGACGAATGAACCAAGTCTGATGAATATCTTGGATCTATGCACCGCGGTATGCGACCGAGGAACATACCAATACTACTTGTGAATGTTCATAGTAGTCCCGCCCAACTTGACACTAGTAATCCAAGATCCAACCAAGTTTCTTGTACGCCAGTTGACCGTGATACTGTGTTTTTATCGCCCTTGACCGACACAGCTCTCTGACAACGTCACTCATTTCATTGAAGGAGATATTGGTGACGTTGAGATTCCGCAGCGAAGGCAGGAGTGGATGTCTGCCTGCGTGTCGGACAGCTAATTGCTTCAGGAACTCTCTCTTCGATAGCAGGTCATCGAAGTGCAGGTCCTTGAGGTTTCCCATGAGCTGGAGACACGGCATCCAGGCGGGGATATCTCGTTCCTCCGGTTGGTAAACGCGAAGGTCGATGAGATGTTGGGCGGCCTGACCGCGCATCAAGAATCCCAACAGAGATTGTGCACCATATACCGGGACGTTACTGAGGATGAGTTCCTCGATGAGTGGGGCGTTGATGTGATTCAGCAGCGCGCAGGCAGGGTCGACGAGTCTGAGCTTGGTTAGAGCCTTCAAGTCGAACGTGTCCGACTCAGACGCGCTCGTGGGGTATGAACCTTCTGAGCCTTCCAAGGGATAACGAACTTTGAGGGCGAGCGACTGCAGCGTTTCCGCGCACGCTCGCAGCAGAGAGAAAGTCAAAGTGACGGGGAATGGGGACATCACATCGATCTCTAGGGATGTGAGTGCCCGCGTCACGGGGACGTGCAGTTGGCGCTCGTTCTGCAGCGCGTCAAGCGTGAGTGCTATGTGGCGAAGACATGGAGCGACGACGAAGTCAAGCACACTGAATTCCAAGGAGTGAGGCTCATCATAAGCGTCGACGACCAGCCTCTCTAGATTCTCCATGTAAAGGACTTTGAGATTGGGAAGCATGTCAAGTCGGCCCACGAGCGTGATGGAGCGCCAGCAAGACGCGTATGGCTCGATGCGGTCCCACAAGGGCCATAGGAGCTCGGGATCATCGCATCTGAGACCGGGTCGCCTCTCTTCTGTAGTTATCGGAAGGAAAAGCTCGCAGTATCGGTCGAAGTCGGTCAGGGACTTGACGACTAATTTCGTCCACAGCTTGGTGAGTCCGTGCGCGACAGTCCGCCAGAAGGCGCAGACTCCTGCGATGATAGTTGCAGCCTGAAGAGTGCGCAGTGGTGACTCGTTCGCAACTCGGAAGAAGATGTCCATCAAGAGCTCTTTGGGCAGGCGGCGGATGGGAGCGAGGATAGACCGGTGAAGGTCTAGCTGTCGCAGAATTCTCTTGCGGGTGGGGCTGTCGTCCAGGGCGAAGGAAACAAGCTTGGACTCCAGAAGAAGTGCGTTCAAGCCAATCTCCTCGATCTGGAACTGGTTCGGAAGGTCGTTGGTTCGCAACATTTCGAGGTTCGCAATAGCTGCCGCGTGCTCAAGGAGATCTTCCACAGATATGTGAGGCGGGGTGTAGTACTCGTACTGTCGTAGTCTCTATCAAGGCCGATTCCCACCAGTTTGAAGAGAAGAGGAATACTCACTCGGAAGTCCATTCTGAAGTCCATTTGTAAAGGAGCTAGATGGCCTCAGAAAGGGTGGTCGCGACGGAAGCGCCGTGCGGCCTCATCTATTCGGCGATCGCCGATCACGCGGTCGGCACGTGTGTTTGGAATCGTATTCGCCGCGCCACACTCAAAGTTGATCCTGAATATTCCCTCATGAGTCAGTCTCAAGCAAAAGATGCTCCGGTAGTCCACATTTGCTCTGCTCTTTGAAGATTACACATACCTCTCTATTGCACTAGGTATACATCTATACTGAAGTAACAACATATCAGCACTAGAGCATCTACAAGACACGAAGCGGGAAATCCACCCAAAGGCGAAGGAGAGGAGCCCAAAAATTGCGACCTCGCAGAGGCCGTCCCCGCCGAAGCGGCACCGAAACCACACTCTCGAAGCACATCGGCTTCCCCCGCTGCGACGCCATTCACCGCGCGCCATGCCTACCTCTGCTCCCGCTACTCCGCGCGCCACCTCGTCCGGCCGGCAGAGCGCGTCGAGGAGCTTGCCCGGCCGTCGCAGCCAGCCATCATGGTCAACTGTTACAGTCAACCACGCCAGCCAGCCACGACAGCCAGGTGCGCCCGACCATGGCAGTGAACCACCGCGACCAGACTCACTCAACGACATCGCCAAGCCAGCCAGCGAGGCAGCGCGCCTTTCGCCCACGCCGCATCACGGAGCCATCATCCTGCACCCCGCCATATGCCCACCGGCTTGCAGTCCCCGCTGCTGGCAATCGCGGTCGCGCTGCATGCAGGTCGCGCCGCATGCAGTCACACCACATGCAGCAGCGCGTGCGGTCAACCGGTCTCTCTGAGCGACCTCACTCGCCCACGCACCAACCTCACTCACCCACGCACCTTACCCCGCACCCAGCTCGCCCGCCCAAAGCACCCGACAGCGCCCGCGGCGCCCTCCCCGTTCGTCCCGCCAACCGCAGCTCGGCGCGCCTGTCCCCTCCTGGAGGAGTATGTATGCCCTCCACCTCGCCAGCGCGCGCGGGCGCGCCACGACCGCCCGAAAGCATCCCGGATACATTCATCCCCGAGAGCTCCAGTCCACCCCACAGAGAAGTGAGGTGCACAACGCACCCCACCAAGTGTGGTGAACAACGCACCCCGCCATACGTATACCCCGCCACGCCCCCCTCGAGCACCAAGCTCTGCCGCGGCCATGTCCGAGGACACTCTTTTCCCGAGGGTGCCGGGCGTGGGGCGCAGCGGGCGTGTTAGGCGGGGTGGGCCCGGCGGAGGCGACGTAGCGCCACGATCGTGCGCGACGGAGCGCCACGCATGCACGCGACGGAGTGCCACGCATGCAGCGACGACAACAAAGCGCCACGCATGCAGCGACAACAGCAAAGCGCCACGGAGGCAGCAGTGAAGCGTCGCGGCAGCGCGCTGGGTCATCGGAGAGGATAAGCATGCCGAGCATGAAACGATTTGGCATGCCGAGCGCTCAGCAGGGTGAGCACGTCGAGCACTCAGCACAGTGAGCACGTCGCGCATCCAACAGATCGGCGGTCATGGGAGGCGCGCGCGCGGGGCCATCGAGCGCCCGGTCGGGGTCTTGGCTGGTTCTGTGCTGAGAGATGTGCTATGAGGTGATATGGTCGCAGAGACCGGCGGGCAACAACCGCGCGTGGGACTGCGCTTGCCGACCTTACCTGTCGGTTTACGATGGGCAGCGGGGCCGTCCGGCTTGTGCTGGACAGCGAGACCGTCCGGCATACGGTGGACAGCGAGACCGTCCACTCACCGCAATGTGGCGCGGAGGCAGACCTCCAACGCACGTAGCGCCGCAGGGGCCGTCCTGTAAGACGGACACTTCACTTGGGGGCGAGTCGGTGCACGAAGGGACGGCGTGCGAGGCCGCCTGCCGTCACCTGGCGTCTCTAGATCATATTCTCGCCCGTGGGCACGCACCGTTGCCGGTACGTCCGCGTCGCTGTGCGCTGCCCTGTTGTTCCTGTGGGTTTCCTGCGCGCTGGGACCTGTGCCGCCCGCCACGCCCGCGCTCCCGCGAAGCCGGAGGGTTCTGGTGCGCCGAGACGCTTGCGGCGAACGATGCCCTCGAATCTCGCCGGGAGGACGCCCGCCTGCGCGGGGGCCCTGAGGGGTCCGGGGACCAGGCCGATGGCGCCCAGTGTGTGGTGCTCCGTATGCCCATCCTCGCGCTGGTCGCTGTGGCGCGCGAGCCGGACGAAGAAGACCACGGAAGCCGTTTGTAGTCCGGTCGGCTGCACGAGGCGCGCGCTGTACGTGAGTCCTCCACGCATGCCAGTTGCGCATCCGGGGACGCGTCTCTGGTGGCAACTTCCACGCGGTCTGAGCAGCCAGATTGACCACCAGCATTTCCGGCATCGCATGCACCCGCCGCCGGTTGGCGTAGGCGGGCAGAGTACGACACAGGCTGTCGTCTGTGCGGGCTGGCTACTACAGGCCCGCGGGTCCCAGAAACTGCCACGTTCCGGAGACGCGGGCGGTGGCGCAACGACACGCGCTTCGACGGACGAGTGACGCGTCAGCGCATACATGCAAGCCAATGCGGCCCACGACGAGGTTGAGGATGAGCGGAGCACGAAGGAGGGCGCGCACGACCGAAAGCTCTTAGGGTTAGATATCATTCCGGGTTATGGGAATGCATCGATGTCGGCTGAAGGCAGGAGGTTGTGGCGCTGGGGCAGCACAGAGCGCGCAAAAACAGGTGACCTGGAGCGTTACGGGTCGGGGCAGACGCGCGCGAGCGGCTGGTCGAGGTGACCGTCGAGAACAAAGTCCGAGAAGACGCGTCAGTCACGTATAACGCGATCGGTCACGCACGTGGTCGTGACTAACACGTGCTCGAACTTGAACTTCGATGGGCAACGTCGCACAGGCTCCTACCCACCCGACCGCGGCTGTTCAAGGGCGGACTATGAGTGAGCGGGGAGCAATGCTATGACCGAGAACAACACCGGACCAGAGACGGTTAGCACGAAGAACCTGTCAACCACAAAGATCCTCACACTACAACCCTTAACAGCCTGGGCCGGCTGGACGAAAACATATACAAACAACGGCCCGATTTCACCGAGCTCCCCTTTGGGAGTATCGATCGCGCCGCGTGCTTGCCTCCGGCTTCCTCGACGCGACGCGACGCGCTCCCTAGCTTGGTCCTGAGACGCGACGCGACGCGTCTTTGTTTAGGATCCTCGTTTACATCCTTGTACAGTACGTATAATGCCTAACAAAGCCCGCTTTCCCCCTCCCTCCCGTCATGGCTTCCCCCGATGCACAAGACCTCTCGGACGACAACTTGCGCGCTCAGATCACCAAGGCGTTCCAGGTCGCGCCGTGCCAATGGCAGATCGAAGTCATCAGATCTCTGCTCAAGCTATCACGGCGCCTCAACACGCGCGACCTGTGCTTGATCTCAGCAACGGGGTCAGGCAAGACATTGACCTTTCTCGCTCCCCTCCTCTTCGAACCTCGCAAGATCATGGTGATAATCACCCCTCTCAACCTCCTTAGTGATCAGATTGCGGGTCAGCTACGCTCACAGGGTCTACCAGCCATCGCACTTTGTGGCGACAACGCGACGAAGACTGTATTTCAGGTACACCTCAACTGCCTCGCATGAGTTCGACAACTGACCAATCATACTAGGAGATACGCGAGCTCAAGTACCGGGTCATTGTCACGAACGTGGAGATTGCCAAGAGGACGAAGGGGGAGTTCGAGAAGCTTTGGCGCGACCGCAAGTGGACGGCGCACCTGCTGTGCATCGTCTGGGATGAGGCACACTGTATCAGCCAGTGGGCTGACTTCCGCCCGGAGTACAAGGACGGGGGACGCATCAGACAGCTCATCGGCACCCACGTCCCCTTCTATCTCACTTCGGCGACCCTCCCTAAGGCTGTTCTGGCCGACGTCTTCCAAAACCTCAACATCCGCGCGTCGGACGTGGATGTGATCCATCGCTCCAATGACCGACCGAATATTCACCTCGTCGTTCGCCGGATGCAGCACGGGGCAGGCAGCTATCGTGACCTGGACTTCGTCTTACCAGCACCCGGATGTACGCCGCCGAAATTCGTCATATTCTTCGATAGCATCCGCGACATCACCAAAAACCCCCCTGCGGCCAAGCCGCTTGAGACCACTTGAGAATTTGGCAGATCCCGAAGGCGCTTGAATGCTCTTGAGCCTGCTTGAACCCGCTTGAGAACACTTGAGAATCTCGGGCCCCATCTCAAGTGAGCTCAAGAGGATTGATGAATCTTAGCTTTGGTCATAGTCTGATTTATTATACTGTAGATATGTATATATTCCAAGTCAAGTATCAACAGTACATGAGGATTTAGTAGAGCATACTTACTCAGTTGAACTGAAGGAAGGAGACCACAGTGGACCTAGTATATATGCATACAATAGCCCAGCAGGACCCTGAGGGAACTGCACCAGAGCAAGGAACAGATTCACGTGAGGAGAAGGTGAGGGCGACAATGGCCGCGCCACCGGAAGAGGCGAAGGTCGGCACGTCGGGCCGGGACTCCGCAGGTCACGTGACCGCTCGGAACATTTCAGTAAATTTGCTCTTGTCTTCGTCTCTCACCATTTTCCTGCCCGCTCGACGCGCGTTGGCCGCCAGGCCGCGCGTTGTTCTCTCTTCTACATCCTCTCGACGTTACCGCCGCCCCCGCTTTCCCGCCTCCCCCTCTGCTTTGTCCCAGCCTGACGCGGCCTATGACGCGTTACCAAGGCGATCACCAATGCACGTCGCCAGCCGGCCACGTCGCCGTCGCCGTTGTCCACCATTCCCCTCCCAACCCTCATCTCTGCCTGCCGCGCATCTTGTGCGTGCGGGTGGTTCATGCCCGCCCACCTCAGCCACCCTGTGCGTGAGGGTTCATTGCCGTGTGACGTGGCGCGTCCACGCTCCGCACGCGCATGGGCCTTTCATGTCCGCGGTCGGCCGCGCGTACTTCAGTACGCGCGGCCTGGCGGGGCTTACCTGCCCTCGCTGACCGGCCGCATGCCGTGCTCGCGCGAGGCGTGGAGTCGCGCAGGCGGCGGCTTGGAGCGGACCCTAGTAGCAGACGCGAGAGCAGACGCGGCACGCGCAGGACAATGCAGGGCATTCCCGCTTAAGCGCGCTACCCGACGAGTGCCGCGCGTCTTGGGTATTCGCCCAGGATGTGCGACTCGACGGCAGGCGCGCAAGCTCGGCATCTGCCGAGTGGCGAGTTTTCGAGCCCGAGCGAGCGCACGACACGGGGAGCGTTGCAGGAGGGTGCAAGCACAGAATGTGCTGATGATAGTAGGTGCATGCGGCGCGATTTTTGGTCCATAACTAACCCCTGTTACAGGTAACTATCCGGTGTCAGGACGCGCTGCACACGAGCGGCGCCGGCATGTGCCGCGGCATTGGGAGGCACGCGTCGGGCAACAACGAGGGTGGGGTGGATGGCGGATGCGGGCGGGCATATGGGACGTGCTGGAGGTGGTTGAAGGTGCGCGTGTAGCACCCCAGCAAGCGAGCAACGGGGGCCTGGCCTATGTGACGAGAATGTACATTTACAATGTAGTATATACGAATTAGTAACTGATCAATAATAAGCAATTTAGTGATCATTCATATGAATTTAGTGACTGAAAAAATGAGAACCTGATGCGATTTCATGATGCTTGGCTGAACTCAAGCCAACTCAAGCGGGTTCAAGGACGGGTCAAGTGTCCTGAGAGCGTTTGATATCGGGCAATAACTTTTGAAGCTCTTGAGCGTTTGAGACGCTTGAGCCCGCTTGAGTCCGGCTGAGTCCGCTTCGGGCCCCGGGCCGTTTTTCCTGATGGAGTCGGTCGAAGCAGCGAAGTACCTGTGGTCCCGTCTACCGGAATCGTGCCGTGACCGCGTCAAGTGGTTCAATTCGCACATGACATCGCAGTACCGCGAGGACGAGCTGCAGAGGCTCGCTTCGGGCGAGAACTGGGGCCTGCTTTGCACCGAGTCATTTGGGCTAGGTGTTGACAAGGTTAAGGACATACAGCTCATAATCCAGTACAAGGTGGCCGACGTCAGCCTTTGCGCGCTATGGCAGCGCTTGGGTCGCGCTCTACGAAATGGCGAGGGTACTGCAATTGCCGTCTGCATCGCCGAGCCGAAATTCTTCGATGAGGAGCGCGAGGCAAAGGAGGGGCGGAAGCAGAAGAAGCTGGAGAAGGAGAACAAGAAGCGGAAGGCGGAAGAAAGCGATATGGGTGCGAGGAAGAGTCCACGCTTTGATGGCGATGTTGACCTGGCCGAGCGCTCGGTGGTTATCGAGCGTCGCCGAGCGATTTACGACGCACCGCCGGCACGGACCTCGAAGAAGAAGGACCGCGTAGATCACGACCCGTCAGCCTTAGACCCTCCCTTGGACGATATGATCAACGCTGCGTCGCGGGGCTTCGGCTGTCATCGCCTTCCTGCTCAGGTCTTCTTCGGAAACGACAAGATTTCTGGTTCGTCTTTGGGTACCCATCGCATGCTTATGTACTCACTCTATTTTCCTCACAGCTGCGCCACAGGACCCATGTAGAAGCGGTGGGTGCACGCGTTGTCAGGCCCAGCCCTCTACAGGCTGTTGCGCCCTATGCTCTCCCGAGAAGTTCGTCGACTATCTCCCGACGGAGGCGACACAACAGGCGGACAACGAGCCGAGCACCCGTGCCGGTCGGAAGAAAGAGTATGAGCGCGATGCGACAGACCACGATCTTCAACGCGCGCTTCACGACTGGAGGTGGAGGTGGAGGTGGAATTGCCCCAAGCGGTCCCATCAGGAACTTGTGGGTAGCAGGCCACCGCTTCGCGCGGCATAAGGTGAGTTAGGAAGTCTTAGGCCCTGTACTTCGTCACGCATCACATGTCACGTCGTCCAAGACGCCACAAAAGACTTGGCTCGGCCCGGGCCGGAACAGGCCGTCGGCCGCCACAAAATCATTCTGCTGCTGCGTATATCACTGCTACCGCGTCTCTACCCCTCGCAGAGCGGAGGTTGATGCCGTCTATTAGTCCTTCGTAAACAAATTCACCATCTCTCTTCATGCCGTCGTAGTACCAGGCATGTGACAAGTCCTTTACGACCCGCAGCGTGAAGTGACTCGCTCCAAAGTAGATCACCGCCTTCAGGACATACTCCTGTTTGTCGTCGCCTGTCCTTACCGCGAATGATGTTGTCAGCTTCCGTCCTCTGCCAGACGATGAAAAGACCAGCATAGGAACCTCACGTGTCAAGTGTGAGATGAGACGTACCTTTTTACCGCACGAAAGGCAAGGCAGGTTCAGCGGGTCCTGCCGCAAATTGAACCATTGACCGACGCTCCTTAGGACGTCACCCTCGACCTCAAACACGGGACAGTCGAAATCGATGCATCTCATGGCTTCCCCGCCGTGAAGGGGATGTCCCCCTTGAGATTTGCAGCGCCGCACGCTGGTGAGCACAGTATACGGCGTCTTTAGTACTGTCGTTAATGCTGCTACGGCCGAAGCAAATTGACTTGGCACGAACTCAGCAGGCTCTACACATTGAAGGTACGCGCGCAACGAGTCCCTCATAGCCGTCACGTCCACGTCAGTAGTCCCTTCCTCAATGTGTCGCCGCAACACGTCCGTCAGGACACTCATACCCGGCGACCAAGCATCCATACGAGTCATCCAAGCGCCCGAATTTTCGCTGAATATCCAGGCAAATGCTGAAGCGACACAGTCGTAAGCGCAGCTGTTATCAGACCACAAAGAACCACGTCTAATGAGCGGTTCAGGGCCCATAAGGAAGGACGTCAAAGAGTCATGTGTCTTCGAGAGGGGGGCGGCTTCATTCCTGGTCTTAACGTTCGAGGTCAGTGACTTCAGAGGAACAAAGCCGTCGTCGTCCCTCATCTTGGGCAGATTGCCTCTTTTTCTCTTGTCGACCTCGATGATTTGCCAGTCCAAAGGCACGACCTCGCTATCCATCCAAGCGGCAGGGTTGATGCAATTTCCAGACGCGTCGTATTGCGCCTGGTCGGTTGTCCACCGCAGCGGTCGAGGCAAGTCACTGGGCATGTACTGAGCGCCCTTCCACTCCCTAAAAGACGCGATAAGGTCTTTCCTGCGATGTCCCACAATGGTATGCGGCAGTTGTCCTTCATATCGCATACGTGTAATGTCATTCAATACTTCTAGGTCCCTGAACTCTTGCCTCAAAGCACCGCTACAACCCCCTTGTATTTTGCTAGGTTCGAACTCGCGTAGAATGATGGTACCGTCCGACGTCCTTCCTCGGGACAGCGCCACGTAGTAGGCGTGGTGGTCTTGGCAATCCTTCAGGTCGACAACGTTGAACTCGCGCGTCTTTCCCTGGGAGGCGTAGTCCGTCATCGCAAAGTTTGGTAAGACCTCGACTTGGACTCGCGCAACCTTCAGCTTTTTCGACCCTATATATGTAGGCAGGTCGCAATCGATGATCGTGCTTCGAGGTGTGCACGGTACCACGTTCTGAGGTAAGCCCGGTATTTCGATGACACGCGGCGCGTTCACTAACCTGACGTACAGAGTATGCAAGACCCGCTGACCGTGTCGGCCTTTTCCTGCCACCCAGTCGTGCACGACGCCTTCCTGACCCTTATTCATAGCGAGCTCAGTCGCCCAGTTATGACGAAGCATGACCGGCATGCCGTGACACAAGGATAGTTTTCCTGGGATCATCTCGCTGAAGGTATGCGCCTGGTCCCACAGCATTTTCTGGACACGCTGACTGAAGAGGACCGGCTTGTCCTTGTCGCCTCCAGGCACTTTATCATCAGAGAAGAAATCCGTCAATTCCTGTCCAGACTCGATGGCGAATCTTCGTACTCCCACGTCGTTTATGCCGTCTTTTACGATGTTTCTTGGCGTGATAATTGGTACGTAGCGAAAGCGCGCCTCTGCAATAGACAAATTGTTTGATAGCAGGTCGGCGCGAAGGGTGTTCATGTAGATGATGTCCGTCTTGTCGCACTCACACCAGCGCATGTTGTAAAGGAGACGGTGGAGTGAGCGATCACGCGGTGATGTACCTTCTTGCCTATGATTTTGCCTTAACATGACGACGACAGTGAACAGATGCCAGATAGCTTTACCAAGCGCGGCTTTTTGGCTTTGTGCGTCCGCGCTATAACGGCCGACAGTTCGACTGTACAGGGAAGCGCTCTCATTACCACCCACTGGAGGCTGTTGCGCGAAGTCTCCCGCGAAAATCATATTTAATCCACCGTATGGTAAGTCGCTAACACCCATCGCGTCGCACGCCGCTTTGCTAACACCGTAGTTTTCGTAGTGCGCTAACATAGATGCTTCGTCCATGAGGCAGGTACTTGCCCGCTTGACACGATCAGATATCGAAGTCTGCTGCCCAGTCGACAAAGGTCCGGTTCTCTTGTGGTTCAGTCCGAAGGTCGAGTGATATGTTGATCCCTGAACATTTGCAGAAGCCGTCCCTGTCGGAGCAGTTACCAGGTACCCCTTGTCCAAGCCACTGTTGTCAATGAGCGCCTGCATTGCCTGAAACACTCGTGACTTCCCCGTACCGCCGGGCCCAGCGATGTACATCATGAGCTGTCCAGAACCTGGCGTTAAGACATGGTTCCCCAAAATCCGAACCGCTCGCTCCTGGTCGTTGTTGAGGGTGAAGGTCTTGACGACAGAATCAGTTAGACCGCGTCGCAAAGGCGGGATATATGACCGGGTGAGCATCGCTTTGTTCACAATGTCAACGCTTATGACCGGCGCGATACCGACAGAAGGACTTACACCCCGCGTGCTGGCGAAGCGCGCTGTTTGCAGAGCGACGACGTCCTTTCTCAATTTCGCCAACAGGTTCTGCCACTGACGAGGCGTTGACCGAACCAATATACGGTCTTTAGGCGCGACCAACGCACCGGGGCGGGGGACTCCCCACTGTTGGCGCATGACTAGTGATTGTATGCTGTGATACATGTCAGAGCTCTTCGCGTAGTGCTTGTTCACAATTGCATCGTCGTCAAGTGAGTCCTCAGTTGGAAACGCTGTTTCAACAATCTCACTAACGTCTACATCCCTCGTGATTTCATCTACGCTGTCCCCATAAACGGGGAGGTCGTCTTTATCTTCGAAATTGCCCCTTTTCAAGCTATCTCGAAAACTGTCGCGTCCGTCAATGCACTCCCATCTCAAATTAAAGTTCTTCATGAGTTCTAACTCCCTCCTCGTAAACTGATGAGAAGCGAACGCCTCTTCCCATGTCTGATCCGCCTCCTTCAGGTCGCGAGCGTGCCTCCATGGCTTGAAAAGCATCAACATTACCCTGATGTACTCGTCGCGGTTTTCGCTGTCACTCCTCGGAAGCAGCCGCATGAAGTTCAGGACAAGGTACGGATCGACTTCCTGCCTGATCTTCATGCAGTAATCGCTCGCTAGCGAGTGGCCATAAAGAAAAGCGTGCAAACCCTTCTTCAAAGGTTCCTTCGGTGGATACCCGAAGACCGCCGGTATTTCATCAACTGGTTCGTCCATCTCTATGTCCATATCACCGTCGCCGTTGATTTCCGGATTGGCATCGACCTCATCCATGACAACGTCCTTGTCAGCGCCATCGTCACGCGGTACTTGCGTGTCTCTGTTACCATCGTCAGAGCGCTCGTCTTCGCTGCGCTCGTCTGCACTGTCGGACTCGACGCCTTCTTCCTCGTCGCTCGACGCGATCCAGCTGTCTTTCTCGTACGCGTCTTCAGCGTCGTCAGGTGGCGTGTGAGACGCGAAAGGGATCGTTACCCCGGCGTCCCCGACATTGTCCTCGGCTTCTGCATCATCTGCCGAGGCCGCCTTCCCGTCTTTAGCAATCTTCACGCGCTCGCATAACAGCATGAAGTCGTACAACTTCAAGTGGGCGAGCTCTGCGCCTCTAAACACATAGTTCTGAGACTCGGATATCCCCACTATATGACCCTTTTTCCGCACGACCATGACCTTCTCTTCGACTTCCAGTCCAGTCCAATACTGGTGAATCGGGTTATAGTACGTTCTCCAAAAGAACGGACGGAAGCGATGCGATGTGTAATGATCAGGATTACCGAGTAGGTACATCGCTATCATCGGCGCACCCAACTCCATCTTGGTAGCGACTTTGTTAACCACCCTTGTCATTAGGCGGCGCGCAACTTCTACGTCGGATGCGCCAGAGCACAAGATGTCTTGTCCACGGTCGAAGACTGACTTTATGGCGTCGAAGACCGTGTGGGTGGGCGGACCCATCTTCGTAATGTACTCGGTAATATAATATACAATGTGGTTGACAGCGCTTCCAGACAGCAGACAAGTGCAGTCGTGGTTGCATCGGAAGAGAAAGGTTATCAGCGCGCATATGTCATTCATGTTCGGCTCTTCGTGCTTGAACCGGAGGGCGCCTGTCTTTGGGTCGACTTTCGTCTCTCGTCTTACTTCTCGCGGCATTCTCGCTCTGCAGCGACCGGTCTTGTTGTACTTACAGTACTTGTCGATGCAGGTATGAACATTTGAGCGAAGTAATAAGTCGTCAACTTCCAGCGCATATTTGGCAAGCCATTTCTGCGTGTTTTCGCAGGACTCGCATCCGAGGCGCTCACAAGCACAATAAGCACCTTCGGGCGACGCAGGCCAAGTGTAAGTTGGGTTCTGGTAGCCTTCCTCTTTCTGGCGGTCTTTCACGTTGGCCGCGACATCTGCGAGTGACCCGGTCAGAAACCCGCCTCGGTGACATCCCTCTATGTACTCGACCATCTTAGTGCAAAAGTCCGATTCGAAGTCTTTCATTCTCTCCCTTATTTCTGCCGGCCGTGGGGCGCCTGCAATCCAAAGTAGCAAGTGCAGATGTAGAGTTAATCGGCCTTGTTGCTCCACAGTACCATAGTACCCACTGGTCTCGCCAAAATAGCCCGGTCCTGGTTCCTCGTTGACGCCGAGGACGTGTTTAATGAAGGACTGGATTACGAAGTGGAAGAATCGTGCCCCCGCGACAGGATTACTGATCACTGCACGGAAGCGAGCGTCTCGTTCTGCATCCTCTGTTGGCGGTAGTATGTTGGGTCGGTACTCTTGGTCTAAATCAGCCAAATAGAAACAAATAGGGTGTTTGATATCGGTGGGCGCGATAGTAATGTACCAAATTGGAGATCCTATGTGCGCCATCAAAGACCAGATCTCGGTACGCATCCACTTTCGACCTGCTGCAGACCCTTGAACTTTGACGGCGACGGTTTCTAGGTCTTGTATGACCCGCCAGCACTTTTTCTCGTCTTCGGTCTCGGGAATGATATCCTCCTTTGCGGACATTCGCGCAATGAGGTCTCTCAACACTCCCATATCCAACGATAAAAAGCGGTCTGCCACCGACGGAAAGTTCTCGCGACGCGCAACCAAGAAACTTTGAGTGGAGGAGGCCTTCACTTGGTGGTGGCTGAACGCCACGAACAGAAAACCGGGGTCCACTTGAAACCGCTTGTCGTGGTACATTACCAGGTGCGCACATTGCTCCTTCGCTGATACTCGCAGTCGCTTCTCTTTACCCGAGTTATCAGCGCCGACGCCGCCTCGACCGTAGGGAAATAGCCAGGGAAACATTTTTGGGTACAATTGCGGATTATTATACATCGATTCCGGTTTCGATCCATGTCCAATGCGTAGGAGAGCACCGTTTCCTTCAAAGTGTCCGAGAGCCAGCGCCTTCAACTCATTCTCGCCCTTCAGTTCCAGATCTTCGCCCGTCAAACCGTGTACAACGAAGGGTAGCTCACCCGTCGCTATACCTTGGTCTTCATCAACGTCATAGCTGCTTCTTCCTTCTGCAGGAATGTTCGTATCAGCGGGCCTGTACTGCACGCTGACTGGTGGGACGTCTTCCGGGTATTGCGCCAGGTTCTCCTCGGATATGTCGAGATCAGCGTAGTCAGGGTGGTGGTCGCGCAGCCACTCAAGAGCCCTGCGAACATAGTCTCGACGCACAAGAAGCGGGGCAAAGCGGGGGGAGCGAAAGTCCTCCGTAGAGGGAGGTGTCGGCCCTGTGAACATGATCGCCAAAACCTGGTCAGTCTCTTCTTTCGTAGGAGGTAGCTTGCCGTAAATCTCCTCGGTATCCACCGGAAACGAGATTACATGGGCGATGGACTTGCGGTACCCACCTGCGACTTTAACAAATACCGCGTTGTGACGGACTCGCTGAACAAGTATTCGCTCGAAGTATCGCAGTTGTCGAAGTTCCAAGGGAACTTCACCGATCCACAAGTCGTTCGCAAGCGCCATACGCGGCATTTGGTTTCTCGAAAGAGGGCCTCGGCAGTCAGAGCACACCTGGTCTAAGCCCGGCGCGAGAACAGGCTTTCCTTGATCTCGAGCACTTCCATCTTCTTTGACGCCCACGTCGTCTGCGATTAAGGGGCTAAGTGTGTTTACAATGTCTGATAAAGCCGTCAGAGACGTCAAGGGCTTGAGCTCACCGCATACAGCGCAACCGCTCTCCTCAAGAGCGTAGCAGTCTCTTAGAAAGTCTGCAGTAATTTTGTGAAGGACTTCTTCTGAAGGGGGTGGGGGAGGAAAACTCGGTTCTGTCGCGGTGGTGGTCTGATTCCTGCCTTTCGTCTTTTGTTTTGCCTTCATCTGCGCGTGGCCGGTTTTTGGCTTTCTCGATGCATTATAGACTCGATATCGACGCCGACCGTCATCGGGAATGTCTACCTTTCTCAGAACGGTGAGCAACTCGCTACAGTACATGGAACACTTGTGCGTACTCAAAAGCTTAGGCAAATCCGTCCTCTTGAGCCACTTCCCGAACTTAATGCCATGTCGGCGCAGGACGGTTCGCATATCGTCCATTTTGAGCCTGATATGAAGGTCTTGAATATTCAGATGTGCGACGACCTCTCGCGCGTCTTCTACTGTGGTCAGTTCGTCATTGCTTATCATTGTAACAAATTCATACGCCCAATCGTGAATGCCTTTATGGTCCTGGGCTCGACATAGGTGGCGAGCTACTTCAGGAGACCGAAATACGTGCTTCTCACCCGGAACGGATCCGCGCGCTCCTCCTCGATAGGAAGTTGAAGCATTATGATGGGTCGTCAGAAAGAGGGTAGGGGATAAGCAGTCCATATCAGCGCAGTAACTTCTTCTTCTGCAGGCGGCGGGCATTTTTTCTGGGACGCTCATGACGGGTGCAGGACAGCAGAAGTAGAATTGCTCGAGTATTAAAATAGGGGCGATGAGGGTGACGAATAGGATAGTACTCCACGTAGCAGAATAAGCGACCAAATCCGCATTGATGGAGTATGTCCAGGCGAAGAACGGTTGGACATTACAAGCCTCCGCCGCGAGAGCGCAGCAAAGACCAACGCAAACAAGCCAGGACGCATGGACGGAGAAGTCTCCCGCCTGCCCGACCAACAAAGCGACGACAACGCGCTCAACAATGCAAGCTGTTAAGTATTCCTGTTGATGGTCAGCGAGTACACCGACGGTGGCACGAGGCAGACGTACCAATAGGGGCGCGAGTACGACGAGGATAGCAAGCGAAGTCTTCAAGAAGGTATACCAGATGGTAAGTGACATCGTGCGTCGACCGTTGGAGTTCTGTACTTCGTCTGCGGTTTGCGCACTCGATGAAGAAAGCGAGCTCGGCGGTGACGGTGGAAGTAGAGAGGAGAGAAGCACCCAGCTTTCCGATCACAACGGTCACAGCGGCGGAGGCGGCGTCTCGGTCACATCACATCACACCCTTTTCTTTTCACATGAGATCGTAATGCATCACGTCATAGGATCCTGGACTTGTTCGACGGCGAGTGACCTTGCGTGCGCGTGAACGAGTAAGCAAAGACGGGAGAAAGGCTCGCACTGGATTGATATCAAGTCGTACAATGCGAACGAGACTCAGCTACCTTAAACGTTCACAAGATTTTACGACCTTTGTGCTTGTCTGCTGCGCCGACAGTCAGCGGGTACGCCCCTTCACTTAAGGAGAAGTCTGAGACTTTTTGATAGACTCGAGAAGACTGCGTTAGCGGTGCTCACGCAAATCAATGCTCATCGGGGGGGCTCGTGAGCCGATGCGGACTACCGAGCGGATGGGATACGATCAACCGAGTTTGAGGGGCTGAAGCACAAGTGTAATCGGTAAAGTACCTGTCGACACCAGCCCAAGTAGGCGTGAACAGCGCATGGGGGCCTTGCACTGCCGTAGAAGGGATTTATAAGTGCAATCACGCCATATTCAGTCACACCATATTCAATAAGGACAGTGTATTCTGTAGCGACAGTGGTACAATACATACGAAATCGTCATAGTAGGAGATAATCAAGCATCCTCGGGCTTGCGCTTCTTAGTCGAGGATTCTGCGCACGCCTCTTCGACGCCAGCTGCGTCGGGCCGAACACGCGTGAGCCTGCTTCTCTTAACACCAAGCGACGCGGTCTCCCGCTCAATGGTGTCAGCGGCTTTGGCGCTCACCGCCTCGATATTGTCGGCAACAACAACGACGGCATTAATGTTGAAGGTGAGGCGGCGCATACCCTCGTGTCCCCACCGGTTGACGGTGTAGACGACGACGGCGACGGCATCCCTCTCCAAGTTGTCCGTGAACCGCGGCCACATCTTGTCGTTGGTGATTTGCGCAAAAGTGTCGGTGCCCCAAGCAACGGGCTTGCGCCGCGCGTCGATAATCGGGACTGTCCATTGTGTAAGTGCACGTCGACGGGAAGTGTAGGAGACATACTATCGTCGACGTATTCAAGAACTCCAATCTTACGCCGTCCCTGGGTGGAGCGGTCAGATATCATCTCCGGTTTCTGTCGCTTCTGGGTTTGGACGGCTGTCCACCCCGGAACGTTGGGTCGACGACCTGCGGAGGTTGAGATGTGGAGATGAAGGCAGGAGAAGAGACGCACCGTCGGGTCCGATGGGCTTCGTTGCGAACAGTATGCCCCCGTTAGAATAGAGCGGGACAATAAAGTGGTCTTCGTCTTTGAACTTGGCGATCTCGTTGGCGCACGAGAAGATGCGGTACGCCTCGCACTCGAACGGTGCAAGAGTAATCCCGCGGCGAACTGCTTGCTCGATATTGAGACCGTTGGGACCGACGAACGCTTCTCTGATCAGGCCGAGCGACATACAAAAGGCGGGCGTGGTCGCGTCGCTGATTCGAGTGAGGGTGGCGGCGTTCGTCTGGTTGGTGTCGTCGAACATGAATCGCGCAGGGTTGACACGGGACAGGTTGACGAATCCAGAACTGGCGCTGAACGCGAGCGTGTTGCATATGGTTCTGACCAATCAGCAAGTGCAGGCGCAATGATTAGGTGACATACTTCATCACGGGGAAAGCCGGATACAATGTCCTCATCGACAGTTGAAAGTCGGGAAAGTTGGTCGGACTCGTTGGCTTCCACGCCGACGAAGTCAACATAGGGCCCTGCCTTAAAGGAATGTGAGTGAAGAGAAGTCAATCGTGGGACGAGCTCACTTGTATAGATGGATGGTCTTGTACACGTTGTTGCAATATCCGTAGTCGCTGATGCCGGTCCATTCGAAGCATCCGTCGTTGAGGAGCGCTTGGTAGCTGATTGACGTCAGCGAAAGTGAGGAAACGAGTGGGATGGGACATACGCTGGACTGGCTTTGTTCGGCTGAAACGACGCGAAGTAGAGGTCGATCGGCCGAGATCCATTGTTCTCCGGAGTGCTTGCAGCGGCAGCCTGCAACTCGAGGGAGCTGAAGGCATCAGCTGGGAACGAGATTGTAGGGGAGTGAATACTCACTGAGCTGAATGTTCTCCGTCCGACTCGTTCTCATTCGTGTGCCCCGTCGCTTCGGCGCCTTCAGCGTGTCTGCGATGTGGTCAGCTGCGATTGCCGTCAGTGAGCAACGCACTCACTCGAGAGTTGCTCCACCGGCAGTATGCTCCTCGATCGCGGGGACGAATGCATTGTCGGCGGCGGGGACGCTACGCATGTTAAGTCAAGGGAGCGCTTATAAACCGATGACGCACCCATCCTCTAATCCAGTAGACTCCCCGTGGTCAACGAACTCGTACTCGTCCTTGTCGATGCTAAAGTCGGAGTCAAGGGGTCAGGATGGAATGGAGGAAGGAGAGTTCACGCACATTTCGGTTTCCTCGGCGTTGTCCTCCTCGGCCTCATCGTCGATGAATCTAAGAATCCGTCAGTGCCTTCTCGGAAAGGCAGTTGAGAACGCACGCATTCTTCGGACGACCTTCTTCGTCCGTCAAACCGACGGAAAGGCCTTCAGAGTTGGTCACGTCTTCGCAGTGACTCGGCACGATGTCGTCGGGGGGAACTGACGAAGTCGCTCGAAGGCGTCGTGTAGTCTTTTTCTTGGTTGATTCCCTGGGACCAATGTGAGTCAGTTGTACGGGCGCCAAGCACGTCGACGTACGTAGCTTTGGCCATGGTGACTGACGGTCGATCAACTTCGAAAAAGCAAGAAGAGACTCAGAAGGTCCCTTGCAGACAAACGACACTCTTCAACCTTTTATATCCTACGTCGGCAGGCCAGGTTGGCCCACTCAAGTGACGGTCGTCGAAGCTGGCGTCGGTCATGGTGATGGAACGTTCCAACAAAGAGGTGACACCCGCTACGGATCAGGACAGCCACTCGGAGCGGATCACACATTTGCTGCGCCCATGTGCGCGCGTCTTGATCCGTCTCGCATGGGCACATGTGCGCTCATTTCTGATCCGCCTCCCAAGGAGGTAAGCGCGTTCCTCCATCCTTGATCCATGTCGCATACGTTGCCTTCACGAGTAGAGCGGAAAACTGACTCAATGTCTCGCTTTCCCTCAGTGTCTGTCCTAGAAGTTTTGCTACATCCGCATGTCTCGTCTCTCGGGCTCCTCGAACAGGCGGATGTGTGCGACATCTCACCGTACACCGCAGAAGCGGGAGGGACCAGACCATCGTCATGCGAGGTAAACGGGCAATGGGAGGCGAATGTGGCCTAACCTGTGCGAAGGCTGACCAGATTGGAAGCCGAAGTCGAAGTCAACCCCGCAAAACCAGACTGAAGCCACGGTCGAACGCGAGGTCGGACTCAACTGCGAAACTAGGCTGAGGTGTACTGCCTCCTCCCCTTCTACACCCCCCTCCCCGGCAAGAGGGGACAGTATAAAAGGGCTACAACAACGCTAGTCACTCACCCACCAACCATGGCAACCGCCACCGACAAGTTCCCGCGATGCTACGATTTTGACGCCGCAGGTCAGGCTCCATTACTCGTCGCCATTATCGTTACTGATCTTCCTTGCAGAAGACAGATTGGAGTGGCTCACGTCGTCTCGCAAGGCGATTGCCGCTGACTCTACCCTTGGAGCATTTCTCCAGGTTCGCCGCTGGTCGCGTCGCCTGAATGTTGCTCATAAAATCAAGCAGAATCAGTCCATCCAGACCAGGGTTGCCGTAGTAGACTATCAAAACGGACGCGCTCGCATCGCTTCCGACATTTTGTCTTCCACGGAGCTCGTACTAGAGGTCAGCGGCGTCGTACTTGACACGGACCTCCCACCAGTGCAACGGCAGCTATCGTACGTCTCTTCGCCTAACGATTGATGTACACTAACAAATTCTTAGGGAGAACAAAGCACGCTTCGTTCGCCAAGGGCTCACCATCGCCGGTTTTGACACGGATGCATTCACGGACGCCGTGCGCGACGTCGAAAGCATTCGCCAGCTTTTCGAACGCAGCGTCGGCGGATCTGTTCAGAAGAGCGACCAGATCGGTACTGACCTTGGTCCCGCTCTTTGCGCAAGCATGCGCTACTTTTCGCACAGGAAAGACGTAGAGGGAAAGGATATCATTCCCTTTAGCAAGGACATCGACCCCTATAACCACCTGCAGGCCCTCACGTCGGACACCTTCGTGCATTCTCGTCAGAATGTCGTTCAGTACTTCGAGTACGATACGGACGCGAATACCGGGACCGGCAGGTGAGTACGTCGTCTCATCGCGTCCGCACAAGCTGACTTGTCGTAGATACACCTCTTGCTCTCCCACCGCCATCAAAATCGGCGACCTCGTCACTTGCAAGTTATCGTTCGTTCTTGTGCCGATGCCGAGGTCAGGCAAGCACGCTTGGAAGATGCTTAACGTCCTGAAGGCAGTGGCTCTCATGGACTCGTCACTGACTAGGGTGAGTCGCGATAGCTTGTGTGCCGACATGCTACTAACCATCACCAGGAGGCAGGGACGACGGCGACCCTAGAGGACTTTCAAGTGAAGGATGACAAGCCTCCTCCCCTCAAGCGCGCGGATTTGTCTTTCGCAGGCACCCTGGCACCACCCCCTAAGAGGAGTAGGCGGATGTCGCTCGACGAATAAGCGCTGTAATACGAGCCCACATGTAGCGTATCGGTCTTGCCTAATTTCACTCAGAATCAGGAGTTTTCGAAGCGTGCTGACTTTGGAGGACGCTCGGGCACATGTACGTAATCAATAAAGGACTAGCCCACGTGCGTCGACACCGGCCGCCCTTCTTGTCTCGTTACTGCCATGTTGAGCGATCGCTTGACGCGACTCTACAAATCCACTGCGGTTACTGCCTCTAGCGTTCTGCAGGAAGATGCTTTGGCGACGGGAGTCGACGCCACTGCAGTAGCCGCGACAACAAACCGCCTTCGAGACGCCCTCGAAGACTGCAACGCAGAACGACAACGCCTCAGATGTATCGATCTCGCTCTTCGCAAACGACTCGCCGCTATTGCCGCATCACTCTCTTCCATTCAGCGCCTGCCCGATGACATCTTGCGACTGGTATTCAAGTGCATACAGACCACATTCAAAAACCCTTATCACTGCGTCGACTACTTTGCTCTCACCATTTGCGCGGTATCTCGCCGATGGCGCGCCGTAGCTCGATCGACTGCAACCCTTTGGACACATCTCTCTCTTAGAAGGGCGCGAGTGGTGACCGTCCGGGGCATACCGAGACGCACGACGCCCTGGGACCACCTGCCGGTCCTTGCAGCTCTTTGCGCTTCGGCACCGATCAACATCCGCTGGAACTGGGACTTCGACGTGGCTCCTTTGGTCGTGATTAGCGCTCAGCTGCCGAACATCATTCAAACGCTGGAGCTCACCGCGCAGTGGGAGTCTCTCGCCTACCTGAAGTCGGGCGTGTTTCTTTCGCTCACGCGCCTCGATCTCACTCTATGCGGCGGACTCTACCGGTTCATGCTCGACCACGTTAATAGCTTGTCTCACCTCGCGCACCTGCGTGTGTCCTACAACGACGTTGGCCCTTTCGGTCCATGCAAGCCCTCCGCCCCGACGTTGCCCAACCTCCGCGAACTTTCTATGCAGCTGATCCCTGGACCACCTTTCTCATTCATCAGCGCGACTCTGCGCGGCTGCTCGAATATATCCTCCCTTGAGCTACGCTGTACATTCGCGAATCGTGCTCCTGGAGACGGCCTTTCGATTCACCTCAAGAGCTTAACTTCTCTCGTCCTGGCAGACTCTGCTTGCTGTCTTCTCCGTACAATAATCGCACCCGGAGCGGAGAGTCTCTCGCTGTCTGTTGTCGACAACAACGACGTACATGGCTCGCTGTTCGCGGCGATCTCCGACTTCGTGACGACGTCGGCTTGCGCTCTGTCGACCCTGGCATTCTCGCGCGTGTGGTGCACCGTTTACCCTGACGATATGGATCGTTGCTTAGAGCGCATGCCCGCTATCAGCAACCTTCACGTTCACGACAGCTGGGACGCTTGCGCCGCAGGATCATTTGGAGAAGTGGTGGTGCAGCGCTTGACGCGGCATGATAGTCTCGTGTTGCCGAACCTGCTCAACGCTGACCTTCGGGGACCGTGCCACCACTATCGGGCTCGCGTCGCATCTGCCATCACGGCGCTTTGGGTTTCTAGGACAGGAGAGAGAGCCAAAAGTGGGGGGGTGGTGGCAATGAAGGAATTCTACAGTGACATCGCTGGAATCGACATATAATGTAGCATTTTGGGTTTTGTCACGACGGGAATCGAAATGCGAACCGTGACATCAAGTGACAAAATGACGTACGTCAGGCGACTGACGCGCGGAGAAGCAGACCCTTTTGCATGTTGCTACAAACATCACACACCTACTACTCACCTGGCTTTGACCATTCAAGCTATCGTCAGTGCCGTATTGTAAAAGTGATTCTGAATGTCTCAGGAGTAACTGCGTACTGCCGACGACGGTCACAAGTGATGACGACTCGACGGAAAAGAAATCGTCGATATCTGCCCCCGCTGTCACTGGAAAAACTCGAGCGCTCGGTCGCGGGCGGTACTTGGTCAATTTGAATCGGGTTTTCGGGCGGGCGAAGGGGGCAGAGGTACAAGGCTTTCACTCTCTCTCTTGATCTTTCCCGCCACCATGCCCGTGTCGCCTTCGCCCTTTCAACGTCTAGCACCGGAACTTCTTATGCGCATATGTCTGCTATGTAGCAAAGAAGACCTGCTTAACGTCTCTAACTCGTGCAAGTCCGCGCAGAGCGTGGCTCGACTACTGCGATGGCGCACTGTCGTCGTGAAGTCTACCAACTATCTAAGTTTTCGAGAGTGGTTACTTTTGTTTGGCCACAGTAGACCTACACGTGCGTTGCTCCTTGCTGCCGGAGTCTGACTGACCTCCCTCGTAGCGCTGGACGCATTCTTCCGCTCGATTCCCGGTCTCGACGGTACCGTAGCCATTGATCGTAAGTCTGATCAAACGTATGGTCGCACTTGCTTACTATTCGAAAGCTATCGCGGAGGAAGAAATCAGCGAATACGTCCGAACAATCGTCCTACCGGAAAAATGGGCAGATGATACCACATCATTCGTTCGGATCCTTGCTGCGATGAAGCCGCGCCACCTTACTGCCGTAGTCTTTGGGAAGAGCGGTGATGGGTCGTGGTACAGCGACATGGAGAGAGAGTGGACGCTACCTACGATGGACGACATGATGGAGAGACTGGAGCGGCTGGAGCTCATCAACCCACCGCGGTCTTCTCTTCATTTCGTTCTTGCTCGCGTCCCGTCGTCTGTCGGGCGACCGCTGTACAGCTTCATCAAGTCTATCCAGCTGAAGTCCGCGCCTGTCGTTGACAATCACTGGGGGTCTCAATGGGACCCTGTCGACGAGCACAGTGCGTTGGACTATGGGCGCATTTTTATGGTCGCGGAGACTCTCGAAGTCGACCTGTCGGACGGCTTGCGAGCGCTGTTGGAGCAAATCTACTTCCCCGCGCTCTTGAACCTGACTGTCTTCACGCGGCGCAACATGTCTCACGATTGGAGTCTTCTCGAGCGCCTGCTGGGCGACGCGAGCTCAACGCTGGAAGTCTTTCACCTCTGTCGCGGCTCAAGCATAGGTATTTCATGCCAATCGCTCCACACCAACGTCACTGACTATTCGACTTAGACTATTCCAGTACTTTTAAGGACTTTGCCTGTTCGCTGGTGAACCTAGAGGCAGTAGTCGTGCATTGGCCGGTCATTTCCCTTCTCGACGGGTTTCACTCATTTGTACTGCCTGGTCAAGCAGACCTGATCGTACAAAACTACGACGCAAACACCGCGGAAGAGAGCGACTACACCCGAGCGTCGCCTATACTGCAGCTCCCTCACTGGCGCCGTGTTGCTTTCACACAAGACCCCCTACCTGACGGCTCAGGTATGCCGCTCATCTTAGAAATTGGCGATGTATCTCATTGCAAGCCAGCTTTTACCGCCCTCCGTACTAGAAGGCTGACATACTTGCAAGACAAAGTCGGAGTGCAGCGGATTAGATTTATTGATTAGATGACTTCGGCACTGTAAAGAACACCAAGTGACAATGTCAACGCGAGCCGTACCTATTGCTTTTGTAAAGGATTGAGGATTGGTGGCGAGATGGCCAAAAGCCGGCCGTGCAGAGATGCTCGTCGCGTCGCGCGTATTACACGTGACTCTGACGCGCGCGCTCCCATGCGAGCAGATCTGCCTCCGCTTCCTCCGTCAACACAACCGCCCATGCTCAGCAACACGCTATTCAAGCTTCGCAACTACGCGCGTGCAGCGGCGCCAGAAACTGAACTCGCCAACGCTGCTGCACTGTCTTGCGCCGACCGCGCGACGCTAGGAGAGCTGCAAGTTCGTCTGCGCTCTGCACTGCACGACTGCGACGACGAACTGCGCCGACTAGAATCGGTGAAAAAAGAGCTGGCTCGCCAGCTTTGCGTCACTAAAGGGCTCAATGCACCTGTTCGCCTTTTAACCGACGACACCCTTCGGCTAGTCTTTCTGTCGCTCGCACGAGACCTTGAGGACCCCTTCCATTGCGCTCCTTACTTCGCGACTACAATTTGCGTGGTGTCTAGACGGTGGCGCAACATCGCACGAGAAACAGTATCACTTTGGACTTCTCTCGCGCTGCGACATAGCCGGCCCGTCTTCGAAAATGGTTCACATCGGCGTACATTGCCCTGGGAACACTTTTCCAACGTAACTCCTCTCTGCCAGCTTGCGCCTCTCCATGTACGGTGGAACTGGGAGCTGGAGCTCTCACCTCTGGTGGACTTCATGTCCGACCTCCACAACACCATTCGGACGCTGGAGCTGAGGGCGCAGTGGGACTCACTTGCAGTCTTGACATCACCCTGCTTTCACTCTCTCCACCGGCTTAAATTGTCCTTGCGTGGCGACGACGACCGATTTGCCTTGCAGATGCTATCAAAGCTACGCAAGCTTCACTCACTCCACATTGTCTCCATCGACGGCATCTCGCGACACGAGAAGTACGCCGCGCCGTCTATGCCGACGCTGCGCGACCTCGTCGTCCACGCCTATCCTGGACCACCCTTCAAGTTCGCTCACGACCTCCTAGTCAACTGTAACCTCATCACTGCTCTCGACTTACGATGCAACTTTGTGGACGGCTCTCCCCAGCGCAACTCGGCGACAATCTTTCTACCATCCCTCGCGATTCTGGCACTCGCAGAGTCTGCAAGCGCTCTCCTCTGGTTCCTCTGCGCACCTGCGACCGAAACCGTACGACTGTCATTCCTAGACGACGGCTACGTCCATCACTCCGTTTTCGCCACCCTGTCCACCTTCTTGGCGCTGTCGCGCTGCGCCCTCAAATCGCTGTCGTTCGTGTACACCTGTTGCACTGCTCAAGAATCGGACCTGTCCGGATGTGTAGAGCGCTTGGGAACACTCCATACACTGGCCATTGATTCATCCTGGGATGTCCCCAGAGCTGCGCCATTCGGAATCGCTGTTGTGCGCTACCTGGTCAACAACTCAGCTGCGCTACCCGCCCTCCGCAAGGTTTCTTTTCGAGGTCGCAGCAATCACGCTTGGATCACGACGATAATTGATCACTTCATGGCGACCAGGAATGGGAGGAGTGGCATGCGCCGCATCGAGTACGATGAGACGGAGCTAGTGGTCTGCGACGACACAGGAGATGTGGAATGAACTCACCAGGGTGGCGCATTGTCCTTAAGCAATTTCAGGCGATTATAAGAGTTCAAAGCACGTTATTGACTTCGCATAGTAGTGTAAGGGCGAATGCGAATGCGGCCATGAACTATTTTACTCCCCCCTTTTCGGTTTGACACCTGTTCAACACCTCATGAGACCATGCCTCGCATGCGCAACGCACGCTGATACCCTTCCAACCGTGTAGCAAAGGAAGGGATGCGCTTCGACAGCGGGACGGTCTTCTTCGTCTTCGGCGCTGAATGGCGTCAGTGAACGCTCGTCCGGGATATGGAGAACTGACCGGGCCGATATGCGGGCATCGATTGCCGGCGAAGGGACATACCCTCGCATACATGGCGACCAATAAAATCGCAGTCTTTTGGGAGCCAGCTGGAGGCAGTCAGAACAGTTACAAGCACGTGGAGGTCACCACGTACTACGACGGATGAGAGGTATGATCTCGGGCCAACGCTTTGAACTCGACTCTCATGGAGGGGTACGCGAACGTCATACCCGTCACATCGTACGCGTGCCTGCTCACCGGATGCGCGCTTAAGACACAGGTATGCATAGAGGGGACAAGGAGGACGTCGCCGTCTGCGGTAGTTCGCTTGTGGTACTGTAGACGCCAAGACCGGTACTTCGCGTGATCCTCTTTGTCCTCGTACTCGATAGGAAAGTCACTGTTGCACATGAGACCGTTGCAGAGAAGGGATAGAAAGTAAACGCACCCAGTTGCGGGTAGAGGGAGAACCCAAGTCATGGCGTCGCCAATCCACCGAAAGCGCTTTCCCAGCTCGCACGCAGCGTCAGCGGCTTCGCTCCGATGGATGGATTGAACCATTCGGAACCCGCGATCCTCGTACTTCTCATATGCGACTTGCAGCTTCTCCGATTCGCACAGAGGCCGCATCCAAAGCGACCTTCGCTCGTGGAAGGTAGTCTCCGGATAAAGCGCATATGCAGTAGAGTGCGTGATCACGTTCATCACAGCCGCTAATCGTTTTCAGCAAAGAAAAGACAAAGGGAGAGCCGACTTACTGCTATGAAAGCGTAGCACGACGTCCAAGACAGCCGACCCCGTGACGAGCAGCTGGATAGTCCGCTTACCCATGTGAAAGTTGAACGCTGCTTTCAATGCGTCGATGGGGTAGTGGTCATCATCTGCACGCGAAAGAGACCGATCGAGCTCTGCATCGAAATCGCGGACCTGGTCAGCCCGCGCGCGGTATCGGTACCCTATGTCGACGAGGCAGTCGCGGACTTCTTCGACACATCGCTCTTCTACGTAAAGATCCAGGTCGTTGACTTCCCAGTCATAGCGTCCCAGGAATCGAAGAGCGAACGACCCGGATATGATGGCGTCCGTAGAGTGCTGCATGTCGCGGAAGGTACTGATCTTGTCCTGCGGGATGAAGCGCTCGAGGGCGGCGTCGATATTGAATGCGCGTCTGAGGTAGTTCTGAACCTTGCTGTGCATGATGGCGCATGTACGTGCGAGAGAAAACATCTCCTTCGGCGTCAAAGAGCTCAGAAGGTCATCGTCGCATGTGTCGTCGCTGTCTACTGTTAGTCCGCTGCCTTATGAGAAGCAAAGTAGCTCACATATCTGTGATACGCGCCATGAGGAACGATCGTTGACGCGGCCTCTTATAAACGAGGGCGCAACCTGGGACGAATACCGACACTGAGCCATCGTCGTCGGCGTCAGCGGGTATACGAGACAGCTCCGTGTCTCATCGCGCGGACTGTCCGCATCGAGACCTCTAGGACAGAGACAATCTGAAAAGAAAAGCGGGACGGCAAGACGTCGGGTCAAGCGCGAGCAGGACCTGGGACGAGGGCGGATACTGCGGGAGCTAAAGCGAAGTGCCGACAATCACGAGCTACCACGTGCTCTGCCTGGGGTCGCACGCTTTCGGGACCGATGGGCACGCAGGCCCGGCGAGAGCGATAGGGTTGGGTTTAAGACTCCTTTCCCTCTCGCAAAAGGAAATCCTGCCGATTTTGTCCACGCACGACTCGCCCTGTAGTCCAAAATGCGTCATGCGATTGTATACTGCCTACTCGTCAATGATAAGTATTTTCAGCCGCGAACCCAGGAAGGATAAACGCTGGAACACTGCCGTCCGCAATCGCGCTCGTTCTACCGTGGGCGAGTAAAAGTAAATGTGGAGGTGAAGAGTACGCCCTAGTACAAGGTGGCACCACCTATACCAATTGACGTCTGACGGCCCATCTCCTTCACAAAAGAGTGCGCAGGGCTCGACGTCGCAGAGCATCATGCTCGAGCAGGTCTTCGCGTACACATGCAAGTCAATAGTAGTTAACGCCGGAAAAGAACGCTCCTGAGTAGACCTCATAATCCACATGAAGTCTTGGACGAAGGAAAGTTCACGTCGGGAGTCGTCCCAAGGGTGGCGAATCTCGAATCTTACTGACGAAAGACGTGCCATTGCAGGCACAGAAAAGAACGCTAGGAAATGTCAGTTTCGAGTGGAAGAAAGAGCAAAGCACTCACTGTACATCTCCACGGACGTGAGTACATCGACGTCGAGACGACGAAGGGTGGGGGCGACGAAGCGCAACACATTCCGCAGAACATCCCACGTGCAAAAGGCCGGGATGCGAAGGCGCTCAATAGAGCTTCGGTCTTCCCACATCTCGGCGAAGAGCGCACCGAGATCGCAAGGGTGACCGTCACCAAAGATGAGGTTACGTAGAACCAAAAAGTGCGGCCGGAGGGTTGTTGCGACGAGGAAAGAAGGAGGGAAAGCCAACTCCAAGGTATGCAGCCGACGCGCGAGCGGAGATAGCACGAGGCTGAGCTCGGACGAAGTGCGCGGGCCGTTGTGGAGCGCCAGGGATACGAGTGATGGGAAGCCAGACAACGCAGCCCTAAGCGCAACGGGCGAGAAAGTGCGACTGTCGCAGTGACGAACGATCCACCGGATGGTAGTCACATTGTCAAAATAGGGGAGACGCACAGGAAGGTGGATGATTTGGAGTCGGCGAGGCCAAGAGGAATCCAACTGTCCACGATCGAGCGCCTTTGAGAGCAAATCGATAGATGCGGTCGAGGCGATATGAATGCTTGCGAAGAATAGAGGTGCTGCTTCGCGAGAAAGTGCCGATGTGGTCCGTAAGAGCACTGCCAAGGTCGGCCTGTCGCTCTCACGGACGATGAGAAAAAGTAATTCAAGTGGAATGCGCGGGCAGACGGTCATGATTCAGCGAGGGGCAACCGAAGTGCTATTAAGGCGGGAGACCGTCCAAGTCTGAGAAGTATGTCTTCAACAAACATACACGGGAGCGGACGGATGAGACGAGCGGATATCCACGACACATGTCTATAGATCGCCGCAATCGTGACGCGCGAAGAAGGCGGATAGCTCTGCCACACGACGTCGATCGGAAAAACCGGGACTGCCGATGTCGAAAGACGGAGACTTCAAGCGCGGGGGGGATATGGCTTCTGAAGCAAGTCAGCCGCGTGGCGATGGAGATAAAACTGTAGCGCACCTATCCGGTCTGATTCGCCATACCCCTGGATCGGTACCAAACCGGCGTGTAGAGACGTGCACGACTTCAAAACCGCAGTCGAATGTCGCATTGCACAGACGAGTAGGCCTGATGGGAAAGAGACATGGGTGACGTTGGGGGCAACGTTGGCGAAGTACAGCATGGTGACAGGACTGTACTGGTAGGCCCGCATAAAACGAATACATAAAGTGGAGAGATTGTGCAACCGTCCTTTGTGAGCCGTAGGATTGAGCGAGTACATGTGCGCACTCTCCACTACGAGGGACAGCACCTCCAACGAGGGGGGAAGACTAGACACCACGCGGAGCACAGCACCCGATGTCCGCAAAGGGTCATCGACACGAAGGCGTCGCAAGGCGGGAAGAGAGTTGAGGGTGGTCAAAAGAGAGGGTCCGGATAAGAGCGGTCGCCACCACATTTGTACGACGTTGTCCATGACCGGGATGGGAGTGGTGAAGGGCGCGTCGACCTGTAAAGCCGTTGTGTGCCGAAAGACATGAGGAGACGCCATGAAGTTGGTGTGGATAGAGGGATGGTATCGCACAGAGGAGTAGAGACGACGTACAACGCGAGAGTGGAGGCGTCGAGAAGTGAGAAGGAGGGGAAGTAGGGAGGCCTGATCGCAGAAATCGACGATGTGGTCGAAGATTTCCTGGGGGAAGTACATGGCGGGGGGAAGCGAGACGGCGTGCCCGAGAGGAGCCATCGCGATGCAGAGATATTGTGAGGTGTTCGGATGAGAGACAATCGTCGGGTCCTATCGTCGAAGATGTGTAGCGCGAACCGCGGACCGGCGTGACATGACGAGACATCGCGTACGTCTAAATGTGGAGGCAAGGGTCGCAGCCCAAACGCGCCTTTCCCCTGAACTGGCCCTTTTACGCAGTTACCAGCACGCGCGATGGCTCCGGGAAAGAAGAAGACAGCGCGAATAACGCCATATGGTGCGTGTCGATGCCGCCCCCGAATAAACCTAACCCCCAGGAATAGCTCCTCCTCCTTATCCTGGCACGTCCAAACGCAGTCCCATCGATGTGGACGCGGAAGAGAATGTAGAGACGAACCTGAGGTGTACCGTCATTGTGAGGGAGGCGAGAATCAGGAAGCTTGCTAGGCAAGTGGATAATCTGAAGAAGGAGGTGGCCAAAGAACGAGAGGCGCGGGACCGAGAGCTCGCGGACTTGGAAGAGGACCTTGCGAGCGTTAAGAACTTGGTATGTGATAGGTACCTGCATTGGCGAAGCTGACGTCGTAGAATGCTGCGCTCATCATCGAGCGAGACACCCTTAGGAGCAAGCTGGACCGGGCGCGAGACGAGATGTACGGAGCGCTTGAGGCACTGTCTTAGTAGCTGAGAAAAGGGTATTGATGGGGATGTAGAGAAGAAACGGAAAAATGAATGTCATCGAGGCACGCGAGTGAGCTGGCAACGGAAGTTTCTTAAAGAGTGATAGGGGTGGAGGGAAAGGGAGTGGTCTAGAACGCACGTGAGAGCAAACGGATGTGATTGGTCGCGGCGAAGTATGTGGTTCGGACGGTTTGGAAAGTGGGGGTGGGTTGTAAAGGATGAGTTAAGTCATTTCATTCCTAACTCACCAACATATGGGGTGCCCGTACTACACAAAGTGTGCTAACAGTGTGCTACGGAGCCAAACAACGTACCGAATCACCATTGCGGCTACCCCCTCCCCCAACTTGGGGTCGCTTCCTGGTCTCTCCGATACGCCGTGCTTACATCCTATCCCCCCTCAGCTCCCATGGTCTTGAATATCATCGCTAGAATTGCTCGTCTTGAACACGCGGGTGGCCTCCCTTCGACGTCGAATACGGAGGGTCCTATTGAGCAGTGTGTGGCTCGTTTGGCTCTGCAAATAGGCCCCCGTATGGTGGTAAACACCCGAATAGCCACAGAATGTATGATTGACAATTCAAGTGGGAAGCAGAGGGTTTGCGGTGTAAGTAAATAAGCACATTGTATGTCTGCAAGATGTATATATATTATATGCGAGATGGGGAATGGGTGCGCGGACCGCCCACTAGATCGACGGCGACCGTGCACTGGTGTGCACTTGTTGCTGTGGAGGGCGCGTGTGAGCACCATTCTGTAGGCCAAGGCCGCGCAGAGAGTCGAGCAGTGCGTACGTGCGGTGTGTACGTGCAGTGCGGGATGGCGAACACCACGTCGCCCAAGGCGTCGCCGCCGGACGCAGCGGGAGCATGATCGGGTAAGATCGATCGCTCATCAACGACGCCCTTGACGCAGGCCACGATGACCAGGAGTGCATCGAAGGCCATGTACAGTACCAAGCGCCGCGGGCAGATCGCGGTGATCGAAGAAGCCCATGGGGCGTAAACGCTTCCGAGGGTGCTCATAGCGGTATAGGGGCGATCGAAAGGACGGATCCCTCCCTCGGCGGCTTCGAGCATCGAGCGCTGTGCGCAGAATGTGCTTTGCGAAGACAGCCTCAAGCGCGAGGGATGCGGAGGGAGGGATACTGCGCTGTGCCTCTGCCGGACGCGGGCGAGCGGTGATGATCGAGTTCAGCTGACTCTCATCGGCTACCACGACGCCCTCGACAAGCCCGATCCCACTGCCATGTCGTTAGACTGCACTGCTCGCGCATCTGAGTGTCTGAGCACCCTTTTCGTGCGATTCTGCAGGCATCTTCGCGGTGTCGAAAATTTTCGACCGCTTTGATCATGGTGGTTCGGGGAAGGGCGTCAGTTTTGGAACGAAGAAGACGATAGCGCAGTATGGGCAGGTGTGGTTCCGGGACTTTGGCGCCTCTCTTATCATGGGAAGCGACATATTATCTTTGATTGTTGATCATGCTCACCACCACCGCCTCCGCTCGCCTGCCGATCTCTTGCAGCATACCAAGTGGTGCAATTCGGAGCTCTATGGCGACGAGATTGTCCAGATCATTAGACTGATCCGTCCCCCGCCACCTCCGGCCGCTGTCAAAAGTGCGCGCTTGTGCGGAAAGTGCAGGGCTCCGGGTCATCGAGGTCAGTGATACGACCTCAATCGGCTTCCTGGCATGTACTAAAATCGCGCTCTAGCTAACAGTGCCAAGTGTCCGATGAATAAGGAGCCTCCACCCATAATCTGCACCACCGCTGCATCACTGCACCCGGTACCGACGTCAGCCCCATTACGGGACATCCCAGTATCTTCGGACGTGCAACGCACGACTTACCCTCCAACATGGCCATCTCGCCCGCTTCACGTATCACAGAGTATTCAATATGTACATGCGATACCGCCTGATTTCTTCTATGGACGGTCGTAGCACCTATGCCGCTATCCCTCTGCAGCTACATCTTCTTGATCTACAGATTGTGCCTGTATACCATCCGCTAGCGTCGAGTCCTCGCTATCATCTATCACCTTCACAGCCAGCATTGCTGCCCCCTTGTCCATCATATCGGGAATGCTATATACGCAGGCACGACCGGGTTGAAAGTCATTCGGACGGCTTGATTTTAAATGACTACATGCCACCTGCAAGCTCAAACCTACATTCAGTGGCGCGTGAGCATCCGTTGATGACAAGTGAAAGTTCCTATCCATGTTCTCGTGGCAGTTGCGGTACAGATCAAGGAGGACGGACTCCTTGATGACGTGCTCCTTGGTGAAGTTCGAGCCAGTGCCACCATGGATGACCTGAAGCTCGGGATGAGTATGCACTACGATACAAGCGTTAGGGAATAATAGGATACCTTGGTTTTGAGGTTGTTTTCCTCCTGCACCCAGTCGAGGCCTCGGAACTTGCCAGCACGACCTGAAGGATTGACGAGACTATTGTAGCGTATGACCCGTCTGTGGAAAGTGTCATGGGGGCGGCCAGGCACTAGATTGTATTAGAAACCTTACCTTAGGTCGCTCGGGAAGTAGTCAGCATGCAGTATGGACAATGACTTGATCATTGCGTTGGCATACTTATGCTTTCCCGTCGCCTTGAAGAGAACCACCCACGGTGCAAACACCACCTCGACTCGCCCGATATCACCTATGTTCATCGCGTCGCTGAGCTCCTCGTATAGCAGGAAGTATCGGTGAATGAGCGCGGTATTTTCGAAGACTTCATCCCGTGCCGCTGAGGGTTTGTGGCGCGCGTCGTAAGTGTCACATCCCCGAGGGACATGGGACAAGACAAGCGATGACGCAGCGACCTCCAAGTCGTCGAGCGATGGCTCTGAAGCAGCGAACTCATCCAGCGATGAATATGGGGCCCCCGACCCCGCAGCCTCACGCCATGCATCAAGACGCAGGACAGCGCCAACATGCATGATGACTTCGTGCATCTGTCGAAAGCGTGGGTTCGATCCGATCTTGTTCGAGTCGTGAGGTCGCATGAGCGAGACGAGGTGGAGGACAGAGCTGGGGTCGCCTTTGCCGCATTTGTTCCTCAGAAAGATGCGCCAGATCGCGTCGGCGGCAGCCATTTTGAGATGAAAGAGTCCAAAAATGAAGACAATGAACTGAAAGCGCCTGAAGGGGGTGGCTTCGAGTGACCGGTGCTCGATTACCGACATGACACGCTCGTAAGTCCCCAGATCTCCGTGGAAGAGCAATACGTGGCGTGTGATGTCAACAAGATGGGCCTGCGTGCGCGCATCTTCAACGTCGTGGACATCGCCCACCCCAGCCTGCCTCAAAATGTCGGAGATGACATCAATGTTACCACTGACAGACGCCTCGCTCTTGTCCATCATACGCAACGGGGCAGATTGTAACTTGACCAGAGGGATGGGATCGATGAGTTCCGGTCCCTTCAGCGCGCTCCTGAACTGATGGAAGTACTCTGGTCCATCGTGGACAAGCGTATGGAGGAATTTCCACCGATTGAAGCGATCACGGCGGCTCAGACCCAAAGGATGGGGAGCTGCCGTCGGATCCTCCTGGTGAAGCTGAGATATAAAGGAAAATGAATATTTCGGTTGGTCTCGGATGAGGTGCCGTGGGTTATATGGACTGTGCTCGTATAGCAGCTCCGAGCACGCAAACATCTCCGGCGTCGCACCGTGGTTTAGGCGAAACACGAAGCCAGCAGTCATGTGGGCAAGAGTGTCGCCTAGGTTATCGATACTGGAGGTTGCGAGCGCAAAGTTGATGTCCATGTTGTCGTAGGTATAGCCGACGGTCAGAGACTGACCCATCTCTCGGAGGTGCTCTGTAGCCTCTTCAGAGAGAGAGTTAATGGCGTTATAGACGCTGTCTTGAGAGATCGACAGCCCCATGCGATGAAGGCAGTCGACGACACGTTCCGGTGTGTTGCACGATTTCAGGTAGATGCCGATGATAGACTGGAATGCATTACACTTCTGGTTCGTGCCGTGCATGAGTATACTAGTGCAGACGAGTTGTTTCTACTGGCGCGTCAGCATGTGAATAACACAATAAATAGTCATGAGACGTACCATAGCTGTAGCGTACTCGCGGCGGCGTTGTGTTGCCTCCGATGGACCAGCCATCACAACATCTCCATCCCCATCTGCTTCCTCGCGTCGCTTCCTTCCACGAAGTAGCGCCCCCAGGAAGCGCCATAGTTCCGGAGCATCCTGAGAGATAGATCGTGCCATATCTTCGAACTGGACGGACATGATCTGGTCCTTACTCGCAGACGTCGCCTTGAAATGCCATCCGCGCTCGATATCAGTGAGCTGCGCGAGGGATCCCTGGAAGAGTTCTGTCACATGCTGTAGTGACCATGCTGTGACTGCTGCGCGCGAGGAGCGATGCGAGGAGAAGAGGGATAGAATGTTGGGCACGCCGGCGAAGTGTGCACGGATGATGGGATGGTCGGAGACCATGGTGTGATTGACCGATATCCATCTCAAGAGGTCGTATATCAAGGCTCCCCGAGAGTCGAGAATGTTCAGTATATTCAGAACGCTGCTGTGGTCTAGCATAGGTAAGAACAAAGTGGTGAAGTAGTCGCGTCGAGGAAGCCGGAGGCAAGCACGCGGCGCGATCGATACTCCCAAAGGGGAGCTCGGTGAAATCGGGCCGTTGTTTGTATATGTTTTCGTCCAGCCGGCCCAGGCTGTTAAGGGTTGTAGTGTGAGGATCTTTGTGGTTGACAGGTTCTTCGCGCTAACCGTCTCTGGTCCGGTGTTGTTCTCGGTCATAGCATTGCTCCCCGCTCACTCATAGTCCGCCCTTGAACAGCCGCGGTCGGGTGGGTAGGAGCCTGAACGTCGCAGAGATCAAGTGTAAGAAGCTGATGCTGACAATTCAGAGGGTGTATACATTACTCAAAATTACGACAAGATATACACATTGTAGTAGGGAGCCAGAGTACGAGTACAACGTAGCTTACGGACGTCCAGTAAGGACTCCAGAGGGGATTCCGGAAATATCGAAGCGTACACAAAGAGTCGAACTGCCATCCTTCGAGTTCACGTTCGTCCTTCACCAGGCAGGGTTGATGGGACCATGTCTGAGGAGCGGAAGGACGTTAGCAGTATACAAGAAGATGAAAAAGCACGCACGCATTATGGTGATGCGCAATCATGCCTTGATTGCAATAAAGCCTGGGTTTCGCGGTTGTCGGGCAAGCGCTGCATGCAAAGGTGACTCGAAGGAGCGGCGGCTTGACATTGGGGTGCCTGCACAAGTACCGTCAGCATACGCGCTCCGATAGGATCATGCGAGTGGACGAGAACACGCAGGAGAGCGATGACACGCGGAGAAGGGGCATGTAAACAGCACACTCACTTAGCAGTATAATGATTCTGAATCCCATCACCTATCATGTACTTCTTCGGCTCCTTCCAGTTGACCATTGGCTCGCCTTTCTCGAGATAGACGATCTTCTTCAGCTTTGCGTCCAAGGTATACGCCCGTTTGACCGGAGGGTGACACGTCGGGCACACAATATTATCGCGCGAGTGGAGGCGGTAGCCACGAGGGAGCATCGAGAGGTCGCCCGACTTCGCTCGCGCGGCCTGGTCTACAATCTCGGGGTAGGCGCGCGCCAGGGCTGCGAGTGGGATGGTCAGAACACCAGAAAACAAACGATGAGCGAGCGACGCACTCGCATAATCAATATCCTCCAGGTCGCGGCGGAACGCCTGGAGCAGGCCGACGCACACGGGCGTGCGCAGGAACTCCCGCACGCGCCTCTTCTTCGCATCGACGCCGAGCCGCTCCTTCTCGCGGATGAACTCGCCGATGCTGATGCGGACGATCAGCATTCTAAGCACCCAACGCCGCGACCCCGCATCGAAGCACTCACATCTCCATGTTCTTGTTATGCGACTTCGTCCACTCGCGCTTGTAGTCCACGAGCCAAAGCATTGGGACCGCCTGATAACCCCGCTTGGTTTCGAGCTGCAGTGAAAGCGTATAAGATCGGGGCACGCTTAGCATAGGGAACGACATGATGCACACTCACCGCGCCCGTGAACAGATGCAGCGCCCACTCCGCCTCCGTCAGCCCCTCCTGAATCTCATCCGCATCGGCGGCCTGCCGTACAAATCCCTTCAAGGGAGGAAGCGCACTTGGCGCAGGAGCATCGCAGATGACCTTCCTCGCAGGCCGCCAAAGCGCGGGCCGCTCGTCGATGTGCAGCTTGAACGCGCGGCAGACGCGGCGCAGCACGGCGAGGTCGTGCGGGCTGCAGCTCTGCATGACCTGCGGGGCTAGCCTTCAGCGATCCGGCACTGGGCAGCACACAGAGGGCCACAGCTACGAACCATATGCAGCACCTCCGGATCAAGCACCGTCGTATTCTCGCCCATAAGCATAGCAGACTTTGCGAGCCGAGGCAGGCGGGAAGCGACATCTATCTCCTTCTCAGCGACGTCCGTTCCAGGCCTGCGTGGGCTTCCGGCGACGCTCAGATCCTTCTGCGCGTCGGAAGGAGTCATCGTCGCTACCCGCCGACTCGTGTTCCCGCCTAGGATATTGCAAAGTCGCTGCAGAGGGGCGCTCATCATGGCGGGCGAGGAGGAGAACGGCCAGGAGGCGCTCGATGAGGGAAGAAGCTCGCGGAGAGAAGGAAGTGAAGGCTCCCTCGGCAACTTGAGCATCGGTCTCCTAAGCTGTCGAATATGCGTCGCCTGAGCGGGCCGCCAAGAATCAACGGAAGTAGAGATGCGACCTCACAGGAACGGCCAGCAAGGATTCCCAGATACATTTCATGATAGTAGAGTCAATGCGCTAGTGGGGACGCAGGAGGTAGGTAGCGAAGTAGAGGTTGTTGCCACCAGACTCGAAGACAAAGTCGGAATGAGGCGTCAGTCGCGGACACACGTGACGAGCACGTTGTTCCCCACGCGAACAAAGTTGAAACTCGAAAACAGGCCTCTGCAGCGGGCAGGAGAAAGCGAGACGCTCGTAGGGTGCTCAGAAAGAGTGTATATCCCGGTCACACCCGATATAAACCAAGAAGCGACTGTGTACAATAGCTTGGTAGAGGAACGCAGCGAGGAAGGTAGCGCAAGGGAAGCCAAGGGACTATGATCTCGTTTACCATCTAGCGGACGGGGTTGATGGGTCCATGACTGTAATTTGATACAAAGCGTGAATAAAGGCAGGCATCAGCGAAGACTCGACATACGCATGATGATGATGAGCGATCATGCCCTGCGGGCAATAGAGCTTGACCTTGGTCGTGCGCGAAGGACAAGCTACACAGGGATGGGTGACTTGAACGAGGGCTGGAGGGACGTTAGGATGCCTGAAGGAGCGCCGTAAGCGCTCAGTCGGTAAGAAAGTACCCCAATATAAATCAACCTACTTCGCCTCATAATGATCCTTCAGCCCATTCGAGATCATGTACTTCTTCGGCTCCTTCCAGCCCAGTATCGGTTGACCATCGGGTCCAAGGTACATGAGCTTCCTGTGGATGACCTTGTACGGGCGAGGTACTGCTGGCGGAGGATGGCACTGCGGGCAGGCGACCCTGTCGCGGGAGTGGAGGCGGAAGCCCACGGGGAGCATCGCAAGGTGACCCGTCTTGGCTCGCGCGATTTCATCCACCATAGCAGGGTATGCGCTCTCGAAGGCTACAGCGTGCCACTGTGAGAAGACTCGAGAAGGAGGGAAAAGAGAAGAGGGGGAACGCACACGTCCAGTCGATATCCTCCAGGTCGCGTCGGAACGCATGTAAAAGGCGCAAGCACGCCGGAGTGCGCATGAACTCCCTCACACGCCGCTTGCGCGCGTCGAAGCCGAGCCGCTCCTTCTTGCAGACGAAGTCACCGAGGCTGAGGTGGGAATAAGCATGAAAGTAACGAAGAAGGCTGATGGAGGCGCTCACAGTGCCAAGTTCTTCTTCTGCGACTTGTTCCACTGGGAGTTGTACGAGTCGAACCAGTGGCCGGGAACAACCATGAAGCCTCTTTTGATCTCGAGCTGTGACGAAGCCTGTGTAAGCTGTCCCGCCACAACATAGATGCATTCACTCACCGCGCCCGTAAATAGGTGCAGCGCCCACTCCGCCTCGGTCGGAGTCTCCTCGACGTCGCTCATTTCAGAGTCTTGCTGTCCCGTAGGTTGCGTTGCTGGTGGTACCGCTGGCTGCCCCGAAGAGGCTTTGGGGGGAAGCGCAGTGGGCTCGGGCGCCCCTGCCACACTCTTCCGTGCCGACCGCCAAAGGGCGGGTTTCGCGTCGATGTGGTCGCGGAAGGCGCGGCAGGTCTGGTGTAGCATGGCGAGGTCGTGCGGGCTACAATTTTGCATGATCTGCCGGGGGGAAGGATCAGATGGGGTCAGGTTAACATGATGACGAGCTGGAGATGACAGTGCGTAGGGAGGTACAACGCACCGCATGTAGCACCTCGGGGCCCAGGACCGAAGAGTTCTCGCCAAGCAGCGTAGCGGGATTCACGTCCCGAAGCGGGGTCGGGCATTGATTGAGGTCCATGGAGCTGAGCGTGGATGTCAGGGTGTGAACGTTGGGCGTGGTCGCCTGGGTGGTCGCATCTCGCCGTCTACCACCTTTCGCGGGCAGAAGGTTGCGAAGCCTCTGGAGGGGAGCGCGGAACATGGTGGGCTGGAAGAGTTATGAGAGATGTCGCAGGATGAGGAGAAGGAAAGCGACGCGCCTTCGGCAACTAAAGCGTCAACGCGCCATCGCCGTCCGATAGACTTTCTGGTAGCCGGTGAAATCGAACTGTGACGAGTGACATGTCACGGTTCCGACGGACTGAACCAAGTCAGACTTCTGCGACCCCTGCTACGAATGCTGCAGAGTGATGCTTTCAGGGGAGACGACGGTCAGGTTCTCAGACAGAGTGAGAGGGAGAAGGGAGTGTTATCAAGATTAGGCACATATGTAATGTCCAGTACTGTAAGTATACCAACCAAGTCACTGTCGTCGATAGCATGTTCGCCTGCCTGGTCCTACATCGCTCTTCACATTGCGGCCATCCGCGTGGTATGCCAAGAAACTAGCATAGACGATACTGCGCTGCATAGGCTTAGGCCATGCTCGCGGCCATCGCCTGCATTTCCGCCGCCATAGCCGGATAGTTTTTCGCAAACTCGCTTTGTGCGAGCGCAGCCTGGAGGAGAAGATGAGTACAGTGAACACGAGCAAGAAGACAGAATCACGCACATATTTGTACGTCAACGCATTCATGAGCTCCGGTTCTGAGCGCGCGAGCTCCGCTTGCCGGTCAAACATCTCCACCGCACGGTCGACCTTGCTTTGCTGCAGGCTAAGCTGGGCGAGGGTGGCGACAGCGGCTTCGCATTCCGAATCGATCTGGAGGGCTTCTGCGCAGCAGCTCTCCGCGGCGCCGATGTCCTGCTTCCACTGGTAGAGCGCAAGACCCTTGTTAACCAGAGGAAGGACGTTGGGAGAACGCCTGGAAAAATGTGTTCAGTAATTCTGCGCAGTAGTGACGACGAGGGTGCTTACTTGGACTTCTCAAGCTCGAAAGCCTTGTCGAACTTCTCAACGGCCTCCTCGAAGCGTTGCTGGTCCATGAGGAGCTCGCCACTGGAGGGACGGTCAGTATGTGAGAGCACGTAGGGGCAAGATGACCGTACTAGTAGTTATGCGGCTCGCTCCGCTGGGGAAAGGCAACAAGCGTGCGACGGAAGATAGCCATGCTATGCGCGACGTTGCCCGCCTTGTACTCCGCAACTGCGTTCTGAATGTGGCTGAACACAAACTGGTCGTCAATCTCCGTCGACTTCGTGTAGTTCTTCGACGCTTCCATGAAGTCGCTCATGATGAACAGCACCTGCCCGCGGTGGTAGTAGATGTCCGGGTCGTTCGGGTTGAACTGGATCGCGCGCTCAAAGCACTCGAACGTCGATTTCGGGTCGCCTTGCTCCATGTGCACGCTCGCGAGTTTGACGAGGCTCTGGGTGAAGGAGGGGACGAGCTTGAGCGACTCCTCGAGGTCGGCCTTAGCACCGTCGATGACGCCCATGAGGAACTTGAAGGTACCGCGCAGATTGAGCGCTTCGGCCTTGCCAGTGTCCCATGAGATGCCCTGCTCGAGCGCCTCGTTGACGAAGGTGACGGCGTGGGTATAATCCGCGGCCTCCGTAGCCTGCAGCGCGAGCAGGAGGGTGTTATCGCCCGTAGACGGCTCTTCCGGTAATGTCGGGTGCGCACGAGGGCGGAAGGCAGCAAAGTACGCGGAGATGAAGGTGAACGAGGGGAGGCGGGGCTGGCGGTTCTTCATGATTTCGGCGGCCTGCAATGCGGACAGCTTTTTCAAGACGCGCTCAACGGACGTCGCGGCGGACTGATTCTGGAACTTGTCGAGGATGGTTGCCGCGGTGAAATCTGGAAGGGGTTTAAGCACGTACGGGATAGGACAGAAGTATTGCACTCACCCCGCAATGCTTCTCGATACCGCTCAAGAGCCTCGAGCGCCGTCGCGCGACGGTTGAGAGCCTTGACGTACTTCGGGTCCAGTCGGAGCGCTTCATCGCAGTCGGCGACAACCTCCTCATACTTTGGCGGGGAGAGATTGATGTAGCCTGTGAGATGAATGTCAACTAATGCGGGACGACCGACTACGGGGCCATGACGCACAGGCCGCGCGATTGCTGTAGTAGACGGGCTCAGACTTGGGGGAGATCTCGATGGCGCGGGTGTACAGCTCAGCCGCTTTCGCGAATTCGCGGGCCTGATACGCGCTGTTCCCCCGCGCCTTGAACGAGTTCGCGACCTTCTGGCGCTCCTGGCAATCAATGAGCAACATCCGACGTCAGCGCCAGCGCGCGCACCTCGCTCGACATGGCCGCGATCTCCTCCGTCGTGTACACCTTCAGCTCTGCTCAAAGGTCAGCAGCGCACCTACGACCTATGACACGATCCACGCACCCTCCTCCGGCGCCGCCTTCGGCTTGCGCTCCTCCAGGATGGGGCCATCCTTATCCTTCACCGTCTTGCGCTTCTTGCCTCCCTTCTTGCCTTTCTTCGCGCCCTTCTCGACGTCGTGGGCGCCCGGCCGCGACGTCGAGGCGAAGTAGAGCGCGCCGCCGACAGCAAGCGCGGCGGCAGCGCTGCCGATGAGCACTGCGCGCTTGTTTTCGGCGACGAAAGTCTGCGCCTTCTCGAGGAAGCCGGCTGAGGTTTCCGAGGACGACATGGACGGCGGTGAGGGAAGGAGACAAGTGGGACACGCGCGACACCAACGACCGCGGTGACGAACGGGAGCGGCCAAATTTTGGAGCTCGGGCCGCCTGAATGTTCGAATCTCGGCCTCGCCCCTTTTACCTTAGGTTCGCCTCATCGAAGCCGTCCAACCTCTTCACTGTCCATAGCACACAGCAGAGCGCACATATTCGTAATTATCTCATGGTATGTATCTCTACACTAACTTCGCAGGCTTCCCCTCAATGGGAACTCGCGCGAGCGCAAACGGTGGCACCCGTTTATCCGTCCCGTTCTGGAACCATGGTCCCAGCCAGTATTGGGGCAAGGTGACATATAAGTAGCCGTCGTAGCCTACACTATGAAAACATAAGCTCGCGTCTCACTCTAGTCCGAAACCCAATCGCAGCTCAATGGGAGCACTTACGCTAGCGTGTCCGGCCAGGCGATGCGCGGGTCGCGCACGAAGGGCTCGATGAGGCCCGTGTCGGGGCTTAAGATGTTGATGGCGTTGTGCTCAGGAGATGTGAGATATATTCTGCCAGTCGTATCGGTCTCGAGACCGTCAGCTTCGCCGCCGACCTGTGCAAGAAGTAAGAGTGAGTGAGGAAGCACGGGCGACCAGTATCATGTGCGCACCTCCCCAAGATACTGCACCGCACCGGCAGCCTTCACAATGGCAGAGGCATCGTGCAAGGGGTTCGCACGAAGTAACTCCGTAGGTACACGGTACAGGTCCCGGCTCGCGATGGGTGTAAAGTACGCATACTCGCCGTCCGCAGACAAAGTGAAGCCTGCACGAGACCATCATCGCGTCAGCGCATCGTCGCATATCCCAACCAACTTCACGCACCGTCAGAGCCTCCCCCAGTCGGGGCTGGGAAGCGGTAATACGGGCTACCTCCGGACGCCTGATATGTCGGAATGCCAAAGACGGAGGGCAGGAAGCCAGATGTCGGGCGCACGCTTGCAAATCCGCCGAGGTGGCGCCAGGATTCGCAGGACGCAAGGTCAACGACGATGAGGCCAAGGGCACCTGTGATGGCGTGGGACAGGGCTTGTATCGTGTTTGACGCTAGAGGTAGCGACTCACCACTATCCGCAATGTATGCGAACCCCGCATCACCCTTGGACAGGTCGATCCGCAGGTCGTTGAGAAACCCATGAGCAGGAAGGACGGTCTCTGGGAAAGTGATGGTGGCGAAAGGAGTGGGCTCGCTCGTCACCGTCTCGTTGTTCGATGACATGCTGCTTGACTTGGAGGTAGCGCTCGCCGACACATCTTCCGTCTCATGTCCCAAATCAAACCCAACAAGCTTCGGCCCACCCGGGAAAGCCAGCGCGTTGTCGCCGCCCTCATCCGCCGGACGCCCAGTGTCCAACGCCCAGAGACGATCGAGTGCATCGAAGACGACTGCTTGCACATTGATCAGGTGCTCCGAGTCGCTTGACCCATACTTTACGCCTGAGGAGGCGTTGAAGAGGTCATCCGGCGGTGTGTTGTAGTCCTCGCTGGGCCATGCGACGTCGTGGGTCGAGTTGACGATCTCGGCGAGGGTCTTAGGGTTGGCTGTGAGGTTGCCTCTGGTGGGTTGTCAGCACGTGAGGGGCAAATTGATGACGGATAGCGCACCGGTTGAACGAGATGAAGGCCCGGCCAGTCGAGCTCACCGTGATACCCGTGGGCGGATGCTGGAAGAGGTGGACGATCTCGATGGGAGGCCCGTAGGTTCCGTTGTCTATCAATCCCGGCGATCCCTCCACAGGCTCAAACTCGACGGCATGAGTACCTGAGGCGAAGGCAAGAACGGTGATGATGGACGTCGAGAGCATACTGAGGGGCCTACGCTGGGTCAGGAGGCGTTCGCAGCCTTTCATAGGGAAACAAGTCACTTTATACGGCGGTTCGAGGGCCCTTCGCAGGCGTTGTGTGAATGCGCGCCTGCTGACGACATGGTAGAAGCGAAGACGACCTTGTGTCAACATTGCATGCTTGCCACGGGTAGACTAATCGCAGCTACGATTGAGCTGAGGGGCACGTCTCTCTCCACAGAAATCTGCCATTTTTGAACGCACGGCTTTGGTGTCCATACCCGTGAACAGAAATAATGGCGCAGAAAGGGACGTTATTCGATCGCCCAGACAAGAGCCGCACAGGTGCGCGAGAAAGAGGGTCCTTCTTGTCGGCTTCGGGCCTTATACGCGCACAACATCCTGACGCTCGAAGAGAACCGAACTCGAAGACCGCAGATCGAAGAGGGAATGCCGCAATGACTTCGCGCGCTAGCGAGTGACGTAGGAGTCCAACGCGCCATGGGTGTTTCTCAAGAGCGCGATACGAGCGCACTCGCTCTCACTGAGCCTTCTCAAGGAGGAATGACGCATTCTGACAGAGAGGAAACGCGGTCCGTCCGGATCGAGGTCGGAAAGGACAGAATCAAAGAGTGTGTTTGGCCTTGCTTATCAGCGCACGCGGGCATTCCACATGTGTGGGGTGGCGTCAAGTCGGGGGCAAACTCTTCCTCTTGTCTTGCCCACTGCTGATACAGTTGACAATCGACTCCCGACCCTTTTGATGGGACTACTCACTGCTATCGAGAACGACGCTATCTGAGGTCAAAGGACACCTCTTGCTTGGATAAGTGCGACCGTAGTAAATCAACCATCCGAGTCGTCCGCGAGTAGGCGTAGACCCTTCTACTTCTCCCTCAGCACGCCTACGGCTTCCTGGACGGCAAACCAGTGTGTGTATCTGTCATATACATCAAGAGATATGTCGTTGAAATCCTATGACGTCCAAATATTCTCCAGGTTTGGGCACAGGGTATGCAGAAACAGGGCAACCTGGCGAAGGCCGACGATATTCGCACCATGAAGGAAGTCCTCAAGGATGAGGCTGAAGTTCCCGGGCTGCCACTTGGGGTCGCGCAAGCTCCAGCCAATCGCTCTGACAAGACGAGAGCGAGCAAATACGAGTTCCCAATCCTGGCGAGCAAGTGTTCGTTTGAAGCGCTACAAGAGAAGTGAAGTCTTCGTGCTGATTGTGCTCAGAATGACACGCACCATGATTCGTTCACGGCCAGCCTTGGGACTGATAGTCCGCGAGTCTTCAGTTAACAGTCGCGGCAGCGGCGCCGGGGAGGGAAGATCACTCTAGAGCAAATCATTCGCCATGGCCGTCCGTGCCTTGGACACGAGTGACAACGAGTGAAGCGTGCGCGCATCGACTCTTCCACCGATGTCAAACTGCGGGAAGCCCATGCCCATAGCGACTGCTTGATGCGACGACCACCCGACGCACTGACAATAGTGAGTGAGCTCACCAGTGAATGTGGCGCAGGTCAAAGTGGGATGGACGGGCAAAGCTAAGCACACACGGAGCTCATAGTAGAGGTGCCCACCAATGGGCTAGCGCGTCTTGGTACTGAATAGTTGCCTGCTGCGCGAATGAAATGCAGAGACAGAAACAAGCAAAGCACGTGTGATTGTACTTTCCTAGATCACGAGACTTTCATGTGATCGATATACAACTTTCCTCTCCAGCGTATAGGCGACGCAAAAAACCAGGACCTGCGTAAACTTAACCAGCTTATATGTGTTAGTAAGAGTATAACTCTGAAGGGCCGTTTCACGGCAAGGCCCGCTACCAAATACATGTAGCCTATAACTTGATTTTGGACTCAAGCAGCTTCGACTAGCGCTCCTTACAGGCTCAGGACTAGTATCCCATAATGCATCTGGCATACGAATATTTTCAGCAGCACGAGTGCTGCTGCTTATTAGATCTGTGGTCCTCAAACATGTCACGGTCAATCATACTTGTCCCAAGGACGAGGCACTGTTCGCTGCCAAGGCCCATACTCAAGGTGCCGCATTGGATTCGGCGAGCCCCAGTGCGCACTCGCACCTTTGCCTATTGCACGAGCGCTCCTTCACGACGTTGTTCAGAGGGCCCCCAGCCTCCGCGTGCGGCTGGCACCAACTGCCTTCCCCGCGCTTCACGCGCACGCTGTCCGCACCTCGGACATTTGCCGATAGTGGGCTTCCTCAACACCGTTCCGCTCAATGCAAACAAGTGGGAAGCATTGGCTTACGTATGCAGAGGTACGACCATACAGAGAAATTTGACGTAGTCGCGAAGCGTATGAAGTCCCCAGCAGCGAAGCAACGGCAGAAGGATCAGCAAAGTAGCGAACTCGGAAGAGAGAGCGAATAAGCCAGTCTTCGTGGGCGAGTTTTGAACACGGTCGAGGTTGCTCGGAATTATCTGGTATACGGTAAGGGAGTGACTGGAAGGCCTGAGAGGTGCGTGATGTGTTCTCCTTCCAAGAGAAGGGCGAAGAGTAGGTGATGCAGGCAAGAGCCAAGGTGCATTCGGCCGATGCCGAGGAGTCTTATCATAATCTGTGGGGGCGATTGAGATACGGTTCTCGGGCGCGAGAGGGTGCGATATCGCAGTCGTCGTCCGACAGTTACAGAAACTGGCGGGGGTAAGGACGCCGTTGAGCGGACAAGGAGCATTGCCATCGTAAATGACCGCAAGGAGAGCGGGAGAATATCTCGCTCTCAGGGGCAGCCGGGTCTGGACTCAAGCACGTGCCGGCACGTGATGGCTTTGCAGGATGGGCCATTTGCGATCTTGCGCTTCGTCCCTAAGACCCACTACCATAAATGGTAGCGGGAATCCGTTATTATTTTGTAGATAATGGCGAAGGCTAAAAGCGTGAACCAGTGACACCTGCCGGGCTTCCCTCCCCCCACCCCCACCCCCAACTAGCAGTTGCGAAAGAGCTTGGGGTTCCTCAGCATCATGCCGACTGTTCTGCTGACCAGTCCGACTCCCTTCGTCACTGTTACCGCCGCTTGCTACATTACCAGATGCGTGAGCGGGGTCAGATGGTGCAGTCATGTCGAGCGGCCAGGCATTATAAGTGCGTCGTCCCGGCCCCGTAGACTGCTCCGACAGTCCCATCGGTGGCAATTCGGTCAGGTATCTTGGATGTACCTGCAGCGCTCGCGGTATCCAGATCTGGGGTCGCGGTTTTGATGTCTCCCCGATTCCCATTTCCTTCAGAGAGCCCGGTAGGCGCAGGTTCGGGGCGGCTTCGGGAGCGTAATCGCTGGCCAGCAGAACCAAGAGGTGAGAGACCAGAGCTATAGCCGAAACGAGGGTCAAGCCGGTATCGACGCCTGTCAATTGGCTTATTTCCCCTCTCCGCCTCGACCCGCCTCATATGCGTGGAGAGGAGACCGCGAAGTTTGTCCATGTTTTCCGCCAGTATCTGCGGCGCCTCCTTCCATGAACAGCATGCGGCATAGTCGGCAAGCGAAATGGCAGTGTTCTCGAAGAGATCGCCAGATGCGTTCTCAAAGAGGCCGCCAGCCGCGTTCCCGAGGAGGTCGCCGGTTGCGCTCACTGGCGGCTTTTGCTGATAAAGCTTGTCCTCCGGGCATATATAGTTGATCGTGGTCCGGATGCGCTTTAGCTCCCATTCCATAATGCTCTTCCACTCGTGTGGTTCCTCTGAGCCTTCCACGGACTGCAGACAACGCAATGCAGCGCGGACCATGCGGAACAGCCAACGCCAGATGATAGGATGCAGGATGGCTGTCTCGGCCGAGAATTTCGATGTATCGACTGCCTGCCGGACTCGGATAAGCAAGGTAAGATCACCCCATGCACCTGCATCACCGCACAAGCGCACGAGTAGCATCACGCGCAAGCCAGCGTCCAGTTGTGGGGAGGTGACAAACCCCCATCTCTCGGTGAGAGCTTCCCAAAGCCTCGAGCGCGCAAGATGATATGCGGCATATGGAAGATGCAGGATAGCTCGGGCTAGTCGCTCGGCAGTCTTTTGATGGCTGGACAAGACTTCTTGAGGCTCCGTTTTCTCCAAAGCCGACAGTAAGTCCAAAGCAGGCGGCTCCATTTCGGAGGACTGCATGTAGCGGAAGGTGATGGGCAGGGCCGAGAATGCCTGCGCTGAAATGTGCACCGCAGAGACGCTGTAGGATGAATTGCAGAGCCAGCGCAAGGACGACGCGGCCAGAAATTCATTACGCTTTTCTATGTCTGCTTTTTCGCGCGACTTGAGATCAGCGGAATGGAGATTATGGACCGGAAATCTCGGGCGCATCGGGCTCTTGCACCCCACGAGGTTAAACACATAGGCCAGTAAAGAGACACAGATAGCGAGGATCCAGGAGGGCAGATGGATGATGACTTTGCGTACAGCCAGGATATAGTCGGCAATCTGGGTTCTGTACGCGCAGTGTGGTACTAAGATGGGCATTACGACGGTGGCGGCGTACAACAGAAGAGTGGTTGTTGAGAATGCGATGATTATGAGCGAGATGACGGAATCCAGCGGGGCAGCATAGACAGCGAGTCCGGCGAAGAAGAGCAGCAGCGCGATGGTGAGCAGCACGGGAAGGCAACCGATGATGAAGGGAACATTCCAGCGATTAAAGCTCCAGAATCGATACTGCCGGGCGTACGCGTGATCTCGAGGGGAGCCTCCCGTCATTGAATTGAACTGCTACAGGAGCGTAAGTAGACTCATGAAATCAAAATTTGTGGCGCGTACCTGTATCCATTGCTTTGCCACGACGGAGACCAGAGCAGTCAACAGCGAGACAAGGAGGCTGGTAAACCACAATCCATTTACCCACAAGTCACCCCTACTCTGAGTCTGGGAGTCAAAAGAAAGCTGGGAGACGGGGATGTCCTCGATCGGAGTGCCGGTGGCGAGAGCGCGCTGCACACGAGTAGACTCATAGACAAGGGATGCTATAATTTTCCCATAGTCAGAGTCTAGTTTCTGGGAGCTTTGCGCCACGAATGTGGTGACGACGGCAGAGAAGAGACCGGCCTTCCGAAGTAGTAAGTACCTTTATGAAAAGTCGAGCGAAAAACAACGTACGAATACCAGGAGCACATCAATAGAGCCATTCATCCCCTTCACCATCTCCGCATCAGCCATCTGGGCCTCGTCGTTATAGACGTTCCACACCCGCGCTTGTGGGCCAAGCTCCTCGCCGTATGCGTCCGCCTTGTATTTGGCTTCGTAGTCAACGTCGCTGTGCCTGTAGCGATTGTACGGCTGTTCTTGCCTGCCGTTGAGAAGCTCGGACTCCGAGTCCTCGGGTACATTGATAGTACCTGTCCTAGCTGGAGGAGGCTGTGGTGGAGTCGTTACCGGAGGTAGTTGCGATTCATCACGAGGCTGAGGCTGGCAGGCGTTTAACGGGGACGCGCGACTACGCCGTTTGCTCTCGTCACCCGTCGCGGAGCGGCTGGGCGTTTTTCGGAGCCGATGGGCTGCACGATCTGCTGCAGCCGTTTGCGCTGTAGGTCGCACAAGGGGCGAGGCGCTCGACGCTGTCGTCGGTTCGCCTGTGCTGGTCGACATGCAAGGTGGTCCTTGAGGTGCACGAATGGGACAGGCAGATCGTAGGCAAGCTTTTTTCGTCGACGAGGAGAGAATGGAGAGCGTCCAGATGGCCCAGCTGCAGTTACTTGTATGGCTCTTGAGCTGCGCTGTATGTCCGCTGGCGTCGGCTGTTCGCAAGGGGCGATTTCTGTACTAGGATTGCAGTTGTCATTTCAGCCGCCATTGCCGTATCGGGACGAAACGGGGCATAGGACACAGGAATAGACCGAGTTTCAATCTATCATTCGAGGTGTAGGCTGAAAAAAGGGACGGATGAATGTGAGTACGCTGATGCGGGGAACGAGGCGCATGTCCAAGTCGGTGAGATATCATGCCAGACCTTGCTAGATTCCATTTTAAAACACATATCCGAGCACAAGAGGCGCGCGCAGGAGCGATGGCCGGAGGCTGCCGAGCTGGGACTTCTGACGAGAAGTTGCAACATTGAACGACATCTTGAGATAGCGTGCACGTCCAAAAGGAAGGTGCAATGAGGCTAGCATAAACCGAGTGCCGACAGATCGGCGGCTAGACCTCTGGATTGAACGGAGTGGCTTCTTTTGGTACACCGATTCATTCGTACAGTACTTAGGAAGAGAAGCAGAAAGGGATCTCCTAGCGGAAACTTGATGTGAATATCACCGCAGGTCTAGGGCAGGAGGTTAACTTTGGACGTACAAGAGGCGAGTTCGCAGTTGCCGCAGGAGCAAAGGAGCTTGCCGCGTATTTTGACGACTCAAATCGCACGTGGGGCTCACGCGGATATCGTTGGGTGGGTACACTGATCTTGTCCAGGACCCTCATACATATACTTGCTGCCGTTGTCGATGCCACTAAATCTAGTATCGACTAAATCATCGTTGCATCTGATACTGGCTCGTCGGAATGGTTCCCGCGGTTTTCATTTCGGCAAAGGCAGGATAGCTTGAACTTGCAAGTTAACCTCAGGCTTGCGTCCCGACTTCGCTAACTTTGCGCTTCCTTTGAACCTTTCGCGACGATCTTGCCTACGCGCGATCTCCCCGTGGTCGATATTTGTGAGTCTACATTGGGACTATGGGAAAAGACGTGTAATCGCGTCCATTTGAGCGCGTGTTGACACTCCAGCGAGCTCCGCCATGGTCACCGTACAGAGGGAGTATCCAGATGTGTCCAGGTGGCGGGCAAGCCCACTAGCATGACGGAACAAGAATTCGAATGTCAAAAGGCAGGGCCGCGATTCGAACGCGCAAGGGCTCCCGACTGAGCCACCGTGCCGGTAGGGGAAAGGGAGAGGGCCGAGGGGTGCGTCGAAGTCGGCCGCGTCGAGGTCGAGGTCGCGTCCGCAGGGTGTCCGCGCGAGCAGGGTGACTCCACAGCGCAGTGCTCATCCCGGCTGACCAACACACCCTAGGATATGCGGACCGGGGAGGACATTATCGCTGTGGTCCTGAACCCGGACGACGCTTGCGGACGGCGCCGAAGTCGAGGTCGAAGTCGCCGTGGCGGTCGTTGTTGCCGTCGAGTCCACGAGGCGTCCGCGCGAGCAGGTTGACTCCACAGCGCAGTGCTCATCCCGGCTGACCAACACACCCTAGGATATGCGGACCGGGGAGGACAGATCGCTGTGGTCCTGAACCCGGACGACGCTCGCGGACTATGTCGGTGTCGGAGTCGAAGTCGACGTCGCAGGCCGCCGGGGCCGTCGTCCAGCGAGCGAGACCGAGCGGAGCAGGTGATTCACCAACGCCAGCGCCTTCCCCAGCTGATCGGTCACCGTTAGGTGCGGACCAGGGCGCCTCTGGCAACAGTGGGCCTGAACCCCGGATGTCGCTCGCTGGAATGCCGAAGTCGAAGGCCGTCGTCCACTGAAGAGGTATGTTAGTGCAAATCAAGTCAAGCGCCGGATGCAAGCACTCACCTGGGAGGGAAGGGAAGGAGGGGAAGAGGATGGGGAATGGGAGACTGAGGCGCCCGTATATATACTACTGGGCGGTGGCTGTATCGACTTTCCGCAAGAGCTGTGCAGAAGTACACTAAACATGCGCGCTAAACAGAGACAAACAGTGGCGCACCTTCGCGACGGCCAGCTCGCCCGCCATCTTCTCCCCCGCCTGCAGTGGCGCTCTCAACCGTTCCCTCTGCTTGTAGACGTCGCGCAGCATAGTAGAGCGCGTCGGTAGAGTCATTGATGGGTGCGAGATCGGAATCGAGTTGTTGAGATGGATGGGGCAGCACCGACGCCGACGACCAAGAGCGTTCGGGACAAGCGCTCTGCCCCACGTCCATCCCCGCCTAACGATCGGCCCCGCCTCGTGGAGTGCCACGTTGCGCGCGTGCGCCGAGGACGAGGGCGGCGGGCCGCGCATGGGCCGCGACGGCGGGCGCGTCGGCGAATGCCGAGCGCTGCGGCCATATTGCACAAACACGCGCAACTTCCGCCTTTGCTTCCGCGGCGACGCTGCCTTCGGTCCGCTCATTTACCGGCAGTCATCACGGTGCACAAGCGCCAGTTCACTTGTATCTCTCCGACCTCCACAAATTGGCTTGGTCGATCAGATGCTCGCACCTCGGAGCGCTGAATTGGAAGGAGGAGAGCAGGTTGAAGTTGAAGGTGGAGAAGCATCAAGGACATGAAGGAGCAAGAGCACTTAAGAAGTGTTGACCGAGAAGGGTGTCAGTATCAGTTGCTCTCTCCGTTGTATCTGATGCAGCCCGTGAGCCGTGGCATCCGTAGCTTTCTGACATTCGCCTTCGCGCGACATGTCCCGCGACTCGTATTTTCTGCGTATACTCAGTCCGAATTCTGACCGTCTTTGCGGCTGCCAGGTCCCGCCATGTCGATGTACCTCCTGTTTGCGGTTGCTTGGGTCTATTTTGCTTATGAAAACGGCGTGCAGACGCTTGTCCCGGAGTGCAGCCTCATCAGGGTCCTCGCCGCGTCAAGTAATGTCGCTGCTGTCACAATCATATACGATGGCTCTCACAAGCCAGTAGACGACGCCAATCGAATCGCAGCTTCTGGATGAGCGACCTCGTCCTCATAGGAGAGCCCCTTGACGATCTTGAACGACTCCCGCAGCTATTGAGAGCCTCAATATCATGCAGCCCGGCGTTCGTCGTGGTAAGGATCCAGAAAGCTTCTTGCAATGGCGCGCTTCTGACGGCCTTAACAGAGATGTGCGCGCGGCAGAGACGTGCTGAATGTGACTTCGCGCACGCAGCACGGTACGTGTACCTCCATCCGACGAGTATCCGTTGTTTGACAAAGCAATACCTGCGGACGGGATCTCTACCATCGACAGCACCCTCACGATCTCTGTCAACATTTTCGGTCCGCTCGACAACCGCTCGACCTTCCATATGTCTGAGTCTCAGCATGTCGTTGCCTTAGTCGCTTTCGTTTTCCTCATCATCTAGACAGCCTGTTATGCCCTTCGAAAGCATTTGGGTCACTCTACATCCTCGGCTCGCGTTCCAACCATGACTACGGACGGCGCACACTGCGTGGACCTTCAAGTCGCGACATGTTGAATTGTTGACCGGGGTTCTGCTGGAGTGTCACATGAAGGGATGGAAGCGCTTACAGCGGACGGAAGACTCGTAGTCACCTTTTCGCTAATGCAACAATTTTGATCTTTGTCTATCTGGAGAGTGCACAAACGAACGAAGTCGGCGCTCAATATTCCCGCCCTACCGGGCAGGGGTCCTACCCCCGTCTGGCCATCCTCCCTCAACCTTCGATGGCGGAGGATGGAAGAGAAGGACAGGAAGCTGATTAAGGTCTTTCGTAGATAGCAATCGCAGCAACATTCAAGCCGGCACGCGGTGCATGGGCTATGTTGCGTAGGAATTGCTGCCACGCCCTTGCCTCATCAACTATCCAGCTCACACATGTTCGTAGTTTGCAGCAGACGTAATGTATACAATGATGCGACACTTGTGCGGGTGAACCTGCGTCGCTGGGCTTCAGGGTTCGAACCGTCGCAGAAGTCAGGCGGTGGACCAACAGGGATACACATATCACCGGAGATTGCCGAGATCTCATCATGGCAGCGACGAGGTAACTTTTCCTTACTCCTTCCCTCGTTACGCCAAAATGGACTCCAGCGGTATCTCCTTGTCACATCAGCATCTGGAAAGAGTTCCAGACGCGATGAATTTGATGTCCTACAAGGCGGTGTGTGACTATACGGTGCATCTCGAACGCAGACTGACCTACGGACATAGCTCGTCAAGTACAAGACCATGGACGACGCTCCAGACGAAACGCTTTTTCAGATCGTCAGCTATTGCGACAAAAGAACCTTACTCGTACTGGCGACAGTGAACAAGCGCCTCAGTGCCATCACCATGCTCCTCATTTGGCGAGATCTGCCGTCACCAGCACCCCTCATGCGCTTGGTGCCAAACTACTTCAGCATGCAAAAGATTCCTGTACGTGTCAGGTTACTACCAAGGACTCACTCGCCTCATTTTTTCCAGAGCCAATCGTGTGATTTACCCTATCTCGAACGCGAACGAGCTCGTTGCATGGTGAGACGTGTTCACGTCATTGTCGTCTACTCATTCAGTAGCATCTACTGACAGAGGATCTCAGGTTCCAACTTCCCTTGCGGATGATGGTCCACCTCCGAACCTTTCCAAGGACTATCCTCGAGTACTGCACTTCGCCTCTCTTGTCAGGACACTCCTGTTGTATCCCATCGACGGTCTCTGTTACTACGTCGCTCAGCATGGACAAGCGACGACTGCGCAGCATATCACGATGCTTGTCACCTGGGGCGCCTTCAACCTGTTTGCGCAATCGCTGGCGCTGCTCCCCGATCGTCCATTCAAACGTCTGCAACATCTCGAGGTCAACAGCATCAAGGAAGCGACATTTCAGGGCCGACTATTGTCCCGCTTCATCAGCCCGTCGACCACCACCCTGGTAACGCATTGCCCTGTCTCTCAAATGGGAGCAGTTGTATACGGCTCCGCCATCCAGTCGCTCAGCTATCGCGAACAACCTCTCTTCTACGGCGAAGTTGCCCCCCACGTCGACGTTCTTCATAAACCCTCCCTCGCCATCTTCGCTCAGATGCCGAACTTCCTCCGTGAACTCGTGCTCTATCTTCATTACGGGCGAGGACTGGGTGCCTTTCTCCGTCGTGGTGCCCATACGCTTCGCGTCCTTGACATCGAGATCGGCAAACTGGTTGATAGAACCACCGACTATGGCCTCCGACGCCTCCAGCAGCTTACTGTGAGGAACTCGTCCGCCGCGTTTGCGCGCTCTCTCGTTGGCTCTCCGTCTCTTGAGCAAATACATCTCAGTGGCCTCGTCGTAGGCGACTCGTCGGAGATGCGCACCATCTTCACAAGACTCGGTAGAGAGTGCTTTCCGACGGTCCTCCACGTTGTACGTGTTCAAGAACGTTTTCCTTCGCGCGGGTCGACTTCGTGGAACGTATCTCTGCTCGACCTCGCTCCTTTGCTTCCCTTCGTCGGCCTCACTCGACTCGAGATCTGCGCGTCTGCCGACATTGTGCTCTGGGACGCGGACTACGATTCTTTTGTGCCCTCCTGGCCGAACCTGCGCGTCTTCAAGCTCCAGTCCTATGACGCGAGCTCCCGCCCACCGTCTCTGCAGCAGCCGGTGGCGTCTCTCGCCGCGCTCATCCCCTTCGCCGTCTCATGCCATCAGCTGCGGGAGCTGAGCCTGCCGCTGCACGTCGACGCCGTCCCGGAGCTGCAGTCAGGACTCGCGCTCGGGGAGTGCTGCTTGACTACGCTCGACCTAGGAACTCGGTCTGTGATGGGGGTCGAGGTGGACCCTATGGCCGTCGGTGGCTTTCTGCGCGCCCTCTTCCCGGTCCTCTTCGACCTCGACATCACGCCCAAGGGCGAGGACGTCGATACCTAGGCCGAGGTGGTTAGCGCCATGCGAGCTTAGGGACCTAGCTTGTTCTTCGTGCGTGATGGCCTCTTTTTAGCGTCGGTATGATGCTCATCGAGTCGTAGCCCGCCGTTCTCGCCGCATAGTCGCCGGTTGCATCCCAGTTTACCCCTCAATCGTCTAGTACCGTGACATCCGTCGAACTCAGTCTCGTATTCCGCCGTCTCGTCATCGCGATACCTCCGCTGTACCCTCTTCATTGGACTTTATGGCCGTAGCTTGGACCTTCCGCCCCGTCCCTTCGCTCTTCTACTCGTGTATCGTACCTCCTCGCCACATGTATCCTAGACCCGTCCCTCGCGATACCCTGAACCATTCGCGATACCTTGTACCAACTGCCATGTCTACAAATATAGCGCTTGCCTGTTTGTGTGTCAAAGTCTAGTTCGAGAAACGCCACGCCTATCTGGTGCGAGGGCGCACCACGAACACAGGCGATCAGACTGTGTTCATCGCTCGTCTCCATATCGTGCCACAGGCGAGCGGCAGCTGCACGAATCCCAAGCTTCGTTAGCCGTCATGACCGACCATCCTGCGGGCTGATGAACGAGCGCTCTCTCCGAACTGCCATACATCAAGGTCATCGTCGCCGTCGACGACGGACAGCCGACTTGTTCGGTCAAGTCGGGCAAGAGGTTTTTGGATGTAGGGCACGCGTACTATATTCCAAATACGACGCGAGAACATACTATACAACGTAGGGCGTAACGTTTCGAAGACCAGGGCGTATAGGTACAATGCGTACAAATGGAAAGTGCGTAGAGGAATGTCCATCGGCGTACTCGACGACGAGCATTACAGGTGATGTCCGCAGGAAGCGGCCGCGAACACGGCTGCGTCTTCACAACGCGGAAGCGCACCATACGACAGTAGGATAGGTACGATAACTATGGAGACGGCATCTAGAGGATCGGGGGCGGTATCGAGAGAGCCGAGATACAAACAAAGGCCAGAGATACGACGAAGACGAGACATATATAAGGAGTCGAGAGATGATCGAGAGCCGAAGCGAAGTACGGAAAAGGCGCAATCGATCTTTACACGCGTAATGCAGGGCTGGGAGTCCGAAGGAAAAGAGGTAGAGCTACTCGTTCGCCCTTGGAGAGCGGACGTCACCCTCGCAGAGTGAAGGGCCAGCAGCGAGAGGGAAGCGGGAATCAAGGCCCAGCAGCGTCGGCCTCGGAGAGAGTTGCATGCCAAACCATGTGCCTACCCGGGTTGACTACGACATGCACGGCCTTGTCATGGTCGCGCAAGCGCTTCGCGGTGAAGACAGTCTGCCGAAGGAACGGCGCGTTGGGTTTCGGCGGGAGGGCGTCACAATGGCTGCAACGCGTGAAGATCCCGAGGTGAGGAACAGGAGCTTTGGCATGGCTGTCGAACGGGCAGTCAGTAAAGAGCGATGTCCGACTTTGAAGGCTCGGTCAAGCTCGACGCAGGAAGATACGCACAACTCTCGGTAGTGGTCCTGCAAATCGTCCGCCTGCACGGTGATCTCCAAGAACCGGAGACGCAGCGAGCCATAGGCCAAGAGGTGTTCGCGAGTGGCTGCGGGGTTTGGGTGACAAAGCGGGCACATGATGCGATCGTACATCTCAAAGTGAAATCCGTCGGGCACCTGGCGATAGTCACAGGTCGCAATCTGACCGAGTTCGCGTCTGATAAAGGGTAGTTCGTAGGAAAGCGCTGTGGGAGCAGTAAGCAAGTATGTCCTACGACGACGGGCTGAAAAGCACGCACTACGCGAGTCAACGAGCTTGAGGTCCCGAAGGAATGAGTTGAACATGTGACGGAAGCGCGGAGACCGGAGATGCTCGAAAAGCCGGCATCTTTCTGCGCCCACGCGGTCTAAGGGCTCCAGCGCTTGAAGCAACTCCTGAAGTCTGGGGTGGTTCAGTATACGATGCAGGAGAACGCCAGTGCAACGGACACGCACCGGTCATTCAGAGCCCTCTTGTGGGCCTTATACGCTGGCTTGTACTCGGACCACAGCTCCTTGGCGTCGATCTTCGAGTCCAGCTAGACGGATCGAAGGCTCAGCGCGGATCAGCGGTCCTGAAGAGACGACGCTCACCAGGCCCGTGCAAATGCGATTCGCCCACGCCCACTCCGTCTTGCCCTCCGGTGGCGGAGGCATGTTGCATACGCCCTTGCGCGCCAGGTTCCAGGTGTATGGCTTATCGTCCAGGATCTTCTTGAATAGCTTGCAAACCCCACGTACGGCGACGAGGTCCGCGGGACTGCAATGGCCGAATATCTGTGGCTAGCGTCTGGCAGGGATCAAATAAAGGAGAGTCCGAAGTACGTACGTTCAGCAGCGTCTCAAGCGATGAATCCGTTAAGGAGGACCTGAGCGGCTGAGGCTCAGGGAAGGGCTGCGTCAACCACTCGACACGCTGAGTGTTCACGAATAGCCAGTGTTTCATCTTAGGCGGGCTTGGAGGAAAGGTGACGCGAGGCGAGGAAAGGTATGAGATGATGGTAGGAGGACGAGGGAGCGCTGAAGGAATCGGAACTAGAACCTCTCTTTATACGCCGACATCACGGGACCGCGTCACGGAAGTCGCCGAGCACCCTGTCGCGGTCAGATTCGACATCGACTTGGGCATGAACATGGAAGCCGGGTTCCTAATGGAGCACGTAATCTGAGAGGAAGAGGTTGAACCGGACACCCGCCCTCCAGAGTTGACAGTGGCATGCCCAAACGTCGCCAACCACCAGTGCCAGTTCTGCAGCATAAGATATACATATTGCAACGAAGAGATACACGCGCGAGAGGAGAGTTAGAGAGCAGAGAATAGACAGGTCTTTCGCTATGCCTTCTTCTTGGTGCTGGCGGACGTGTTGACGGGCGGCAACCAAGACACGGGGTTCGACCTGTACATTGGCCACGGAGGGATGACGAGCTAGTGAACAGATGACACGTAGAAGCGTAGATGCGTCGTCGGGTTGGGGGGAAATAAACAATCGAGCACAGGGGGCCCGAAAGGGAGACCGAACGAGCCCACAGTGTGAGATAAACGAAGACATTGAAGCGGCGTGGTAGAGAAGGGGAAAGGGTCAGTGCGGAGCCGGAACATCATGGACTGAAGACGCACCACTGCTGCCAAGATCACAAAGGAGCCGAGTGCGCTGAAGGTGACCTTCATCGATTGCGAGAAGTATCCCGCAAAGAAGGACAGAACCTAGAGTGAGGTCAGTAAGCTCGTATGCATGACACGTCCGCGACCTATGTCAGGGCACGCATGACCCTGCCGTTGAAGGGAGCCCGATTGAGGAAGCGTTAGGAGGAGAGAAACGCGCACGACAGGAAGACATGATGCAGAACGTAGTGGTGGGTAATCATAATGAGCAGCACGTACCGTCCCCGCTATCAATATCGACCGCGCAGCCTCCTCAGCATAATGCTGTCCCACAAAGTCCTGAAGAAGGGATCCAGCTGTCAATCACAAAAGCATCCCGCGAGCCATGCTATACGCACGATGTTCCCCTCGAAGAACTCCTTCAGAAAGTCCAATGGCGACGACATGTTACGGCGGTGTTCGAGGTACTAAAGGTATCAGAGACTAAGTAGAGGTATCAAGATTCGGGTATCAGGGCTAGTGAAAGTAGGGGGAGCGACGAGGCGGGGGAGTTGTCGGTGACGGCGGCGCAGAATGGGGGCGGCGACGTGGTCGCGGACAAGGACTATCGGACCGGTTTCCCGGTATGCATGCCCTTGTGGGTCCACATGTGTCCTCATCTTCGACCAACTTGAGCGCCTTGCTTCGATTTCGACTTCATAAAATCCAAGTCATCGCTTCTTGAGTATGGGTGCGTTTCTTCCGAAAGCGAAACAAAATAGCGATACTCCCAAGACGCCTATTGACCTCAACGGCCTAACTCATGCCCATGACACCCGAGCCTAAAAGGACCATGCACAAAGGCCTTGCTCAACATCACTCAAAGACCTACGCCCCTGCCACCCCGCACCGATCGTGCCGAGATGTATGATATAAAGGCCACTGCGCACTTCCTCGTACTTCTTGCCACCATGAGTACTTCCCCTCCTCTCATGAGTATTTCGCCGCCCATTGATACTTCTCCGCCGCCATCAATGGGTGGCTCTTCGCCCTCGAAGGATATCTCACTGCCTTTGAAGCACACTCCTCCACCTTCTGTCGGCATCTCCCTCGCCTCCCAGGGTTGCACGACCTCCGACCGTCCCAGCAGCATCGACAGCCTTTCCAGCGCATCCAACGCCTGCCACCGCGCGTTTGACACGTCCCCTCCTTTGAGCTTCATATTCGTGTCCGCGCGCTCGGCTGCGGCGAAGCGCCGCTCGCCCTCGCCCTCGTCTGGTGGCTCACCCACACCTTCGTTCTCCGGCTGCCCGCCTGCTTGGTCCCCAAGCTGCCCTCCGCCATCGCGCTGCGGTTCCCCCGACCATCTCGGCGACCCCGTCGCCACGAGCCACGTCCATCAGGACCTTCAGCATCTAAGTGGCAGCGGCCCGTACGACAAAGACTTCGCCGCGCGCGTCGAAGAGGTGCTGCGTAGGAGGCTGACCGTCGAAGATGGCTGGAGGCTGTCCAACGAATGCGATCGCGATCGCGACAGGGAGTGGCGCTTTAGTCTGCAGGAACCGGAGGAAGACGATGAGGAAGAACTGACGATCTATGTGGCGAGGCCGGGCGGTGTGAAGGTCGGTGAGCACGGCATCACGGCGAGAGATATGGACGGTGCGACATTGAGGGATGCGAGCGGTACGACGTCGAGGAGCGTGAGCGACGCGATCATGAAGAGCGACAGCAAGATGAAGGTCGTGAACAGTATCAACTCCGATCTCCACACTCCCGATGTCGACACCACCCTCCCCACCCCCATCGCACCTCCCAGCATCCGCTGGGGCCCCGGGCGCAAGAGCTATGGCGCGCTGGGGACTCACCGCACCCCGAGCAGCCGCCCGAGCATGCGGTCCATTCCAAGCACTCTTGTCGATGGCGCTCCCCTCTTCGTCCCGAGCGCTGGTCCCTTCTTCGTACCAAGCGCTGGTCCGGATGTCGTCCAGAGTGTTCGTCCCCATGCTATCCCGATTGTTCGCCCCGACGGCACTCGTCTCGATGTGATTGCTCGTCCGGATGCTATCTCGGGCTCTCGCCTTCACACTTCTAATCAACAGGCGCCGATCGAGGTGAGTGGCCATCCAGTGCCAGCTGAGCCTTCGATGCTGACCACACTCTTCTAGGAGATGCCAGCCATGGCCATGCAGCCCCTTCGACCCGCCGACACGTCATCGCCGTCGTTCGATTCCGCGTACGCGCCGCCGGGTGACATCCCGCACTCGCCGACGCGCTCGCCGTCCAGTGACGCCTCGTATCATGCGTCGCCCACCTCGTATCCTGCATCGCCAACGTACTCGCCGCCCTCGCCCATCGCTAGTCCACCGTTCACCCCCACCAAGCAACGATACCGTTCCGTGACCGAACCCCTTGCTGCACCAGGACCGTGGTTGCCTGCCGCGATGGGACCGCGGTCGCCCGCCGCGCTGGGACCGTGGTCGTCCGCCCCGTGCGTAGGCGCCCAGATGTCGCGCGCACGCTTCCGGGAGACCGTCTCGGAGCCACTGCAGGGTAAGCTGCCGCAGGCGGGCTGGGGTCGTCGCACCACCAGGTCCATGGATGGTCCTGTCTCGCCAGGAGCGGGCCATGTCGCCTCGGAGGCGAACCACATCGCATCACCACCGACTACTCCTGGGTTCTCCGCGGACGACGAGGAGGACTGGAGCTGGGCGCTTGCCGTGGGACAGGGTGCGCCGGCTGGTCTGAGCGCTGGCCTATCGCCGAATGCGAGCCGGCGCACGTCGATGGAGGAGGACTGGCGCGCGATGCAGGATACAAGCCTACGCTCCTCGATGGATACGAGCCTGCGTTCGTCGACCGCTTCAGACGGGCGCTCCTCGATGGATCCGAGCGGACGTTCGTCTACGCAGAGTGGCCGACGTTCGTCGACGGAAGGCACCGCCCCCACGGAACGCAACTGGCGCGCCACCCAGCAATTCGACTGGCGCGCATCGCGCACGGGCAGGCCCGTTCGACGCAGCTGGGAAGTGAAGGATGGCCGGGCGTCGGACGGTGGTGTACACTTGTTGTCGGATAGTGGCGCACGCAAGATTTCGGATAGCGGCGCCTCGGATAGCGCCGTGCATGGGCGTGACTCGACAAAAGCCAGCTTTCGCCGGGTTGTCTCCGACGGTCGTCTTGATTTGCCACTTGGACCGATGTCACTTCCACGGTCGCCACTCTCGCCTTCGCGAGGCCCATCGTCGGCTCCTCGCGGCCCACTCTCGCCCACACGCACGCCACTCTCGCCCTCACACGCGCCTTCGTCGCGTACGCAACGATCCTTCGCTCGCGCCTCGTCCACCCCCGAGGGCATTCTTCGCCACTCGGATGATGGCATCCTCCACCAACCGGGCACCCCTCGCCACAGGGACAACCGGCGTACGAACAGCGCGCGCCACGTGCATTTCGGCGAGGCGCAGCATGTTGCGTCCACCGTAAGCGATGGGGATATGGCACAGGACGTCGACCCCCTGCAGAACGCGGTCGACATGGTGCGGAAGGCGATCGACGCGGTGAAGAGGGCGGTCGTGCCGGACGTGATGAACGCCAGCTCGGAGCAGAAGCCCGTCAACGCGGAGAAGTCGGCCCTCGACGAGATGGTCTACCGCGAAGTTATGCGCGCTGCGCTCGGCGATGAGTGGGACGACGCGCACGCGGCACCGACGGCCAGCCCTCGTAAGTCGACCCCGGGGCAGCGTACGCCGACTGTCAGCCCGCGGAGAGCGCCCATCAGCCCTCGCAAGGTGTCGGACGACCAACGCTCGCGATTGCAGTCCAAGGACGACGAGAGGAAATCGAGCGGCAAGGCCCCCCATCCTCGCAGCAAGCGCGACCGGCGTGGGCGTCCCGACGCGAAAAGTATACAGGGTGCTCGTGCGCCATCGAAGAGCCCTCGCAAGAAGTCGAAGGACGCCAGCCAGTCCAGGGATGGTCGTGCGCTCGACGAAGCTATCCGCGCCGCGATGGAGGAGGAGCCGCCTTGCTCTCCGACGTGGCAGGTGAGCAAGGACCGGACGAGCAACGTCGTCGCGCTGCAGATGCAGGCGCTCGCGATGTCGCAGGCTGCGAGTGACGCGAAGTCGGGATCTGCCGGTAATGCGAAGGCTTAGGGTGTGAGCAACGCGAAGGGGCGATCTGCGGATAACGCGAACTCGCGATCTGCGAGCGACGCGGAAGGGCTCGGTACCGGCAAAGCGACGTTTTGGGACAACGCCCGTGGCACGTATGTGGCGCAGAGTGCTTATTCACAGCTCGCAGCCTACTGAGTAGATTAGATGCTGTAACGATTTCGTTATGAAGATTAAACTGTACCTTCTAGTGAAGATCATGCGAGCGTGTGGTATTTGTGTGGTGAGGAACAAGCGACACAATCACCAGAGTAAGCGACCTAGTCGGACGCTGCTGCGAGAATGACAACAGCTAGCTTCGTGCCTCTCTCGTCTCAACCGGTGTTTGCTGCGCCGACCAACGGGGTTCATTGAATTGAGGCGACGGTAGGAAGCCCTGGAGATCGGCGTGCATGTTTCCCGGGCCTTCGGGAACGGATTGCACGGAGAAGAGGCGTGCGGAATACGAGTGTCGGCGCTCTGGTCGGTGCCGGGGGCTGGCAGCTGGTGGATGGCGACAGATTTAGAGGCGGATTACGGAGGGCGTATCGCCGGTGCAGGTTGCTGGGCACCGTCGCTCGAGTACTCTTTCATATGTCGCTGTCGAGAGCCTGTGTGGGCGTTCGAAACAAAAGCCAGGGCCAGGAACGCATTGTTAGATGGCCGAAGAGACTTAGATTGAGTGAAGGCTGAAGGCAAAGTTTGCTTCGCGTTCGGCTGAGCGGCTGATGCGCTGACATAAGCGCATCCGGATCGTGTTTGGCGTAGTCCGCCCCAAGTTGACCGCGACGTCGACCTTGTGCCGTTTGATTCCAATGACAGTCGGCGCGCCTTCGCAGATTCTCTATTCAGCGCGATCTTAGAATGCTGGAAACCCGCGCTGGCGGCCTCGCGCGGGCCCGGGTCCGCGATGGCCGACCTCCCGCTCTCGTCCTCCCCGAGCCTAACGCGCGCAGAGAACCTGTCCGCCAGACTCCACATTTCGCGAAAGAATTAGGCAGGCGTCCCGCGCTATGCGGGGGGCGGCGAGCCAAGCGGGGACTTCCTTGACATTTCCGGCACAAGGTGCGCATGCGGCACCTGGCGAAGATGCATGCTCGGCTACGGCAATGTATCGATTGCCCTTTAACCAAGAGTAAATGAAAGTCAGTCGGTCGGTGCTATATAAGAGGTGGGAGAGTCCGCGGTGATTGCCCTACCCTACTTCTCCATCTCCTTCCTCCGTCCGTTCGCCCACGGTCCCTCTTTTCGCCTCAATATGACCTCGACGATCCCGCAGCCGGCAGGGTGGCCGTTCATAGGCAACATCTTCGAAATCGACACCAGTACGTCGGTCAGTTTCATACGCTCTCTTTCTCCTCACCGTCTACTCAGGCTTCTCCTGCCAGACTTTTCACCGCCTCATGCAACAATTCGGCGAGATCTATCAACTCAATCTAATGGGTTCGTTGCCCCATTCGTCGCTATACATATTGCTCGACGTATGCCTTCAGGAAGGCGACTCATTGTGGTCAGCTCACACGCGCTCTTGAACGAGCTCTCGGACGATAGAAGATTCAAGAAGGCCGTCGGTGAGCTATTCCCTTTGGGGCCTATGCTCCTCAGCCAACCAAACGCCCAGGCGGCGCCCTGATGGAAGCACGAAATCTCCTTCATGACGGTCTATTCACTGTACGCATCGCTCCTTGTTCCGTCTTCTACTGATCTTACCCATTCTAGGCTTTCAACCACGAAGCCAACTGGGCAGTCGCGCGTAAGTAGACACGATCTGCACGTCTGCCTCGCAGCTTACCAACCCTCCGTACAGACCGCCTGCTTTCGCCGTCTTTCCGTGAGTTAGGCCTTCATCCACGCGTTCTGTTTCCTCCATGCGTACGGTTTCTTCCACGCGCGCATGCCATCTATGCCTTCTACGCGCTCTTCGTCTTCTACGCACATCACCTCTTGACGTGCACTACCTCTCCCACGCGCAATGTGATGATCACGATTAACATCTTCGACAGGCCCGTCCGCCGTGCGCCAGACTTTTGACGTAAGTCTTGCGATTCGCACAGAATAAGCACTTCTTATTGCGCGTGGTATAGGACTAATGAGCGACACGCAGGGCATGCGCGAGATATGCGCCGACCTTGTCGGGAAGTGGGTCAGGTATGGCCTACTGTCCTTCGCTGGCATGGCTCCCGGCGATTTCTTCCCTCACCCTCCTTTATCCGCGGAAAACCCTCCTCTTTGGCTCGCGGCGTGGGCTCTTCGACTCGCGAAGGCTCTTTCGCTGCGCGCACGGCGAGCTTGAGGCTGACGCCGCCCGGGGATGGTGCGAGGCTGACGCCGCGCACGGGAACTCTGAGCCTGATACTGCGGAAAAGACCGAGGCTGACCATATCCCTACCCAGAAACGACGACCAGGCGCCGATCGACCTGACAGCAGACTTTACACGTCTGGCTCTGGATACGATCGCGTACTGCACGATGTCCTATAGGTAAGACCAAGACCGCTGCTACGCTCGTCGGAGGCGCTAACTCCTACCTTTCTGATCTGATTTTTACCTCTGCAACTTCCCTTTCCTGCTTCATCCTACTTCCCTAACTCCTACCTTCCATCCCTTCATCGGATGCGCTACCAACTTCAATCATTCGCGCTAACTCCAACGTTCAATCATCTCCCTAGGATGAACTCATTTGCGACGGTAAGCTTCCATGATTTTCCTCGTCACCCCGAAGCGGCGGTTGTTCTTCTTACCCTGATATTCCCTTCCCGATGCTGCGCTCACTCTTCCGTTCCCGATACGATAATCATCCTTCTTACCCCGATACTCCTGCCCCTAACACGATGCTAACCGTCCTTCTGCAGGACGACCCTCCCCGTTTTAACGAAGCCATGTCCGCCTTCTTGCTAGAATGCAACGGTCGGGCCAATAGGCCCTACCTGATCAACTTCTTCATGCGCGGGCGCAACGCAGCGTATACGTCGAATATCGAGTACATGCGGGGGGTGGCGGAGAATAGTGAGTGTTTATTTTATCTTTCGTAGGGTGGTCTAGGTTGTCGAGAGTATATCCGCTGCCAAGCGTAGAGGGCATTGCGGAGTATTTCTTGCCATGCCGGGTCATCCACCGAGCGTCTGATCCCATTCATCTATGAGCTAGAGAAGGCTAACCAATCTCCTTCCCTAGTCATCGCCGAGCGCCGGATCTCAGGGCGCGAGAAGCACGACCTTTTACATGCCCTCCTTCATGGGCGCGATCCTAGGACGAAGGAGGGGTTATCGGACCGGGAGGTGGCGGATAATGTGGGTTTTTCATTCCATCGACTTTGATTTTCATGGTGGGGTTTCTACGATCGGCAGTCTATCATCTCATGCCTTCCTCAATTGACGTTCTTTCATTTATTGCACTCATAATTTTCATACGCTCACTTTCATTTCCCCGATTGGCAGTCATTCATTGGCAGCCATTTAATTGATCCATCACTGCAGGTCCTGACCTTTCTTCTCGCTGGCCACGAGACGACGTCGGGTGAGTGCTAGCTCATCGATCCTCTTCCCGAATCATCTCTCTTCCGACGATCTTCTGATTGGGTTGTCCACCAGCGACAATGTCCTTTGCGATCTACTACATCCTCAAAAACCCAGACGTCCTGCGAAAGCTACAAACGGAGATATATACGGTGGTTGGCGACCAGCCAATACAGTGCGAGGATTTGGATCACTTGCATTATTTGACGGGTAAGTGCTACGAGTACACCTCATCTCTGCGCATCAACGGGCGTGTCCAGACCGTCCGCGGTCTGCATCTCCTACCAAATACAGCCCAACGCTAACAGATCACCCAGCCATCCTGCGCGAGACGCTGCGATTGCAGCCGCCCGCGTTCATCCGCGTAGTCTACTCTGTCGAGGACACGACGATAGGCGGCGGCAGGTACGCTATACCCGCGGGCTCGGGGATCGCCCTCCTGATCCGTGAAGCGCATCGGGATCCTGCAGTGTGGGGCGCGGATGTGAGTCCATCATCACTGGTCTGCTGTCCGCTTCTTTGGGCCTCATATCGTGCTCGTTGGTGGCCTTCTGGCCCGCCGGCGTGTCTTGTTGCCACGTTCTGCCTGTCTGCGAGAGCACGCTTCTTGCTGTCTCCGAGCCGGTGGCAGATTTCTCCGGAAGTTTACGCTTGGTTCAGACTCAGTGACACGGTTTCCGTGGCCAAAAGCCAACTTTTAGCTTCGGGTGTTGTTACTCAGCATCGTCCGATCACAGTCGTCTATCGAGCCGCGGATATGGCCTTTCGAACCACGGAACAGAGTTTGAGGTCACGGAGCTGACAGACACGCAGGCGCACGAATTCCGCCCAGAGCGGATGGCAGACGGTCGATTCGAAGATTTACCTGTGCGTGCTACCGTTTATCTTCAACGTAGATAGCTGCTGACATGATGCTTCCCCACCTGTAGCCTAATGCGTGGCAGCCGGTGAGTACGGGTGCTCAAATCCTTTGTCATCTCCTTCAGCCCCGCAATAAAGTCTGACCACTCTCCAAAACCGAGTGGTCGTCTTTGAACCCTGATGGTCAATTTACTGACCACCACCTTCCCCAGTTTGGCTACGGCGCCCGCGGGTGCATCGGGAAGAACTTTTCGTGGCAGGAGATGCGGCTCGTCCTCTGCACGCTGGTCCAACAGTTCGACCTCGCACTCGCCGACCCTGCGTACGAGCTGGAGCTATCGCAGGCGATGACGATCAAGCCAAAGAATCTGGCAATTCGGGCGACGCCGAAGCTGTTGAAAGCGTGTTGTTAGGCTCGTGGATGGACGGAGGCTAGCGCGAGGGAAAGGACGTAGGTGGACGGACAGAGCGAGTCCGTATCGCTAGAGCGCGGACGAGTTCATGGACCGTGGATGGATTAATGGACTCCGGGCAGGTTAAGGCATCACGGGTGGACTTGCAGGGCACGGGTTATCTGATAGAGCGGCAAGTGGACTGATAGGACGTGGGAGGGCTTGGATCGTAGGCGCGTTGACGGACCTTAGTAGGCATCCGCGCCTACGCGTTGTCTATATCGATGTAAGCAGGCTCTACCTGTCATGATAAGCCGCGGTACTGACTTTCCCCCTTCAGACCCTATGTACATATGCGACGTTTCCTAATACGTGTCTGTGGCGTTGGCGGTCAGCTGGCGTACACTCCAGACTGCTGGTGGACCTTCCAGCGCTGCTGGCGCACCCTGCAGAGTGCCCGCTATCGGCTGCGCAAGGACGAATACCTGGTGCCACAAATGTTTCTCACCACCGCTGGCCACAAATAATGGTATACAGCGCATGATCTCGGGATGTGCCGCACTGGTGCGCCGATTTGCGTCGGACGAACTGTCCGCTCTCCAAAGGCTCTTTCATGATTGACGACGCCAGGTTATTCAGCGTTCGTTCGTGCGCCACCGGCATATTCTGCTATGACTGTCCGCTATGCACGAAGACACCCTACGGCGAGTCCTCTTTTGCGGAGTCTACGACGGAGATGTCAGGCGCTTAGAACTGACCTACCTAGACGCTTCATTATGTCTGTGGCTGGACCTCGGTAGTGGCAGCATAACTCGGCGTTGAGCGTTAGACTTTGCTGCTCTGGGAGTATTCGAAGCCTTTATTACGCCAAATTGCGTCAGGCCACAATGGCACTTGCGTCCGCCGTTATCTAATCAACCTCCGCTATCACCTGCGGTGGGTCACCTCCCCTCCGATCGCCACACTCAAGTCTGACTACGTGCTCCCCGCGCTCGACACGTCCTCGGCTATCCTGCGCCTGGGTCCTGCGCCCTCGGCACCTCCCGCCATGGAATGGTCGCGAATGCGATCGATAAAAGGCAGTTCCCACCTCCGTGTCGTGCGCGACAGCGATGCGCGATGGAAGAGCGTCAATGGGCTGCGATAATGGACTGATTGCGTGCTGCTTGCTACCCTTTGCAAATTCCCCGCGCTCGACACCCGGCGGCATATAAGGGACGCGACCGCCCCCGACATGCCCAACGCCAAGCGCCCCACGTCCTCGACCCCTTTCCCCGAGCCCCACATACGAACGCGTTGAACAACTCGAAGATGGTCGCTGCACCCAACTCCCCGATCACCACCGCGAAGCCGGTCGCGGTCGACTATGACAACCTCGCGGGATCGCTGAGCGCGTACAAGCACGTCGACCTCACGCCGCACATTGGGACGAAGTTCCCGGACCACAGCGTGCAGCTCTCGCAGATCCTGAAGGCGCCGAACGCGGACGAGCAGCTTCGCGACCTCGCTGTGCTCGTCTCGCACCGTGGCGTCGTGTTCTTCTCGAACCAGGACATCACGATTGAAGAGCAGAAGGTGCTCGGGCAGAAGCTTGGCGAGCTCACCGGCAAGCCCCAGACGTCGAAGCTGCACCTGCACCCCATCAGCGAGGTGAAGAGCGAGCTGGGCGCGGAGGTGTCGGTGATCGACTCGAAGATGTGAGCAAGCGACGCGTTATATGATCGAGAGCGAATGCTGATCGGTATGATAGGGGCATCGCGCGCGCCGGGCTCAGGCAGGAGAAGGAGCGCGCGAGCAAGGGCTGGCACGCAGACATTACCTTCGAGAACATCCCCTCCGACTATGCTGTATGTATCCCTGCGTTCCAGAGTGTCCCCGAGATCTGACCGAATATCCAGATCCTGAAGATGCACACCCTCCCGAAGGTTGGCGGCGATACCCTGTGGGCGAGGTACTTCCTCATTCGTTCATCACTCTTATCCCATCACTCATGTTGTTGCTGCCAGCGCATACGAAGCATACGACCGCCTCTCCCCTGCCTACCGCAAGTTCCTCGAGGGCTTGACTGCTATCCACAATGCGGACTTCTTCAACGAGTACGCTCGCGTTCACGGCCTCCCCATCAACGAGCTTCGTGGCGCACCCGACAACAAGGGCTCCGACCTCACCGCTATCCACCCTGTCATCCGCACGAACCCCGTCACTGGCTTCAAGGGCTTGTTCGTGAACCCGAAGTGAGTCTAACGCGTCGAACCCATCCATGACTCAGCACTGATTCCCTACCCTCAGCTTCACCAAGCGCATCGTCGAGCTCAGCCTCGACGAGTCCAACGACGTGCTCGCCTTCCTTGCGCGCCACGTCTCCGAGAACCACGATCTCCAGGTGCGCTTCACCTGGTCGCTCAACGACCTCGCGATCTGGGACAACCGCTCGACGTTCCACACCGCGACGAACGACTACAACAACGACGACAAGCGGCAGGGGAACCGCGTTGTCAGCCTCGGCGAGCGTCCGTTTTTCGACCCCGAGAGCAAGTCGCGGCGGGAGGCGTTGGGGATTACGTGGTGAATATGAATGGCATGTCGGCCTGAATGGCCGCCTATGAAAATGACTTCGAAGGCGAAAGACGGAGTGTATCACTATTATTATTGACTTGCATCACGACATGTACTATGCTTTGTGGAAAATTGGATTTCATGTTTATCTGTCTGCTGTATGCTTGTGTAGAAGCACTTGAGGCTTCAGAAACTCGTCCAACTCGATTGGCTCGGCCGTTGCCGCGAAAGAGTATGCCACGCATGTGATTTTCACGTGCAATGTTGAACTTCGCCTTGTCTCGACGTTCGGAAACGCCTTCCCGATCTGCTTGCCTTCTTCGTGCATTTTCTCACTGATTGCCAGTGATTGGTGGGCTTGTCTCCCACGACATGACAAGAAGATCTTCCTGATGGACGTCTGTTTAATGAAGGGACGGTGTCGAAGCTGGGTTTGCGCGAGAGGAAGGCTGAGTTGCGCAATTTGCCTGTTTTGGCATGAAAGGGTGAACGGAATGCCAAGGACCCTATTCGACCCACCGTCGACCACCACTGAATCAGGCTCATGGCCGTCATGGTGCTCTGGAAGGGGCGAAAGGGGAGGCCATTGGCAGGATCGCTATATCAGAGTCACGCAATGCGCCCGCGCTCTGGGTGGCGTTGATAGGTTTTTAGTAGTGAGCTACACCATGTTTGCACGGCGATCTGCGACCTGTATCACAGATGAATGCCCTTGATTTTCCCACGCGAACTCTCGGGACATGATCCCCCGATAGAAGTCTACCCAGAGAGGTCGCAGGCGACGAAGCGAGTACTCACAGGCATAGGACTTGGAGCCACCAAACTCGGAGTCACCTTCGCAGAGTACCGAGGGACAGATGGAGGGTAAATCGGGGACTCCGGAGGCCCGCCCGCAAGTACAGGCGCGGTGCGGTGGTGATCGACGCGGGCGACGATCTGCAGATGATTTTCGGGCGCGGATGCATTTCGAGGCGCATCCAGCGCGCGGAATCATCGCGGAGGGCGGGCCTGCGAGACACGGGAGTCGCACCATGAGGCTCAGCCTCGATCCCGAAAACAAAACCTTCCATACGGAGGACTTGCCAAACGAGGTAGAATGCGACGGAGCGGTGGCGCCATCGGCCCTGTTGTCGTGCGCCATCCCGTCAGCGTCGTGCGCCATTCCGTCCGAGGGTACGCCATCGCGCCCCTCGATGAGCACATCCGCTTCCCACATCGCCGCGCCCCATTCACGCGGGACTGGCGCTGCGCCGGGCCTGAGCGAGCGGGTTTGTATGGGCCTGTATGCGGCTGGCTGCGATGGCGTGGGACTGGCGCGCGGGCGGCAGCTGACGATGATTGCATCTGGATCGGCTGGCGCCAAACCATTTGCAATGCGTTCCTTGGACTATCGCGCATATATGGGGTGGGGCAGCTCCCGGAGGTCTTCCCCCCTTCCGCCCAGTCGACGACGATCACGATGAAGTACGACGAGGAAAGACCGAAGGACGCGCAGAGCTTCAAGGGCGTGGACGAGTACTCGGAGGGGACGGAGAGCTTGGGGGACGTCGGCGAGCAGATCGCGCAGGAGCAGGAGCACCACATCAAGTACAGGACGTGTTCATGGCAGAAGGTGCGTTGGCGCTGTCCAAGACGACGTTGAGGATGCTGATCGGCTCCCCCCTTCACAGACGGCAGCCTTGTTGTTCTCAGAGTACATCTGTCTTGCCATCCTCTCCTTCCCGTGGTCGTACTCGATCCTCGGTATTGTACCGGGCATCCTCGTCACCCTCGGTGTCGCGGCCACCGCGCTCTACACCTCCCTCAACCTCTGGAAGTACTGCCTCGTGCATCCCGAGGTCCGCGACATTGTCGACATCGGCCAGCGCTTGTTCGGCGGCTCCCAGCTCGCGTACAACATCTGGTCCTTGTTCTTCCTCCTCAACAACACGTTCATTCAGGGTGCGTGCACATACATTGCTCTCGTCGCGCATATACGCTCCCCGTCGTGCATACATGCTCCTCGTTCCCCACACATGCGCCCTCGTCGTGCATCCTCACTCCATCTTCGATACTGACCCCCTTCCCAGCTCTCCACGTCCTCGTCGGCGCGAAGCTGCTAAACACGCTGTCCAACTCGGCGGCGTGCACGGTCGCCTTCGCGGTCGTGAGCGCAGTGATATGCTTCTTCATCTCGCTGCCGCGCACGCTGAGCCAGTTGTCGGGGATGGCGGTATTCTCGGCGGTGAGCAGCGCTTTCTCCCTCGTTGTCCTCGTATCTCTCGTTATCGCCGTCAAGCTCGGTGTCCACCTCGCGCGCGTCCACCCTTTCCCCGTGATCAACCTCCCCCATGATGATGCGCCGCCACCCTTTAGCACCACACGCCGCCAGCTTGCCGTACACCTCCCATTCATTCCTTATCGCACATCCATTTGCCCAGCACCGCATACTCATGCCCTTCTCAGATTACCATGGGCATCGCCGTCCTCCTCGCGATCATCTTCGCTGGGATCGAGGACAAGCCGTTCGGCTATACGCCAGAGCTCGGCGAGCCGAAGGCCACCCTGTTCCCGGTCAAGGGGACGACGTTCGTGCAGGGTGAGTGGCACTCTTCACGAGCGCATGTCTTACGAGCGCATATACTCAAACTAATCATTCATGGTAGGGATGTCTGCCTTCCTGAACATCACCTACACGTTCGTTGGGCAGGCGACTATCCCGTCGGTGGGTGTATGCGCTTACTATCGGTGGACCGATGACTGACGCGAGTCAACAACCAGTTCATCGCCGAGATGAAGAACCCCAAGGATTTCTGGAAGGCAATCTGGGCGGTCACGATCGCTGAGATGATCGTCTTCTCCTTGTGTGGTTCGCTGGTGTATCATTGGGTCGGTGAGTATAGAGGTCTTTGTCATTGAGCTCAGAAGACTCAATTCGGTGAACAGGCAACCAGTACATCACCTCCCCCGTTGTCGGCTCCTTGACGGACACGTACAAGAAGGTCGCCTTCTCGTTCGCCATTCCGACGATCTACTTCTTGGGCGCGTTGTACTCGGTGAGCTTCATCCTTCGTCCTTCCTCTACCCTTTCCTCTCACTCCCTACACCTCCACGCCTCTCGATCGAGCTGATACTAACATCCTCCTGCAGTCCGTCTCCTCCCGCTTCATTTTCTTCCGCGTCTTCCGCAACTCGGAGCACCGGCACTCAAACACGCTCGTCGGCTGGGGCACTTGGGTCGCCATCGTCGCCGTCTCGTGGATCATCGCGTTCCTCATTGCGGAGGTCATCCCGTTCTTCTCAGATATGCTCAGCTTGATGTGCAGTCTCTTCGACGGGTGGTTTGGGTGAGTGGCCATTCCTTTATTCTGTAACATGCAGGTGGCGACGATGGCGTCGCTACCGAAGGGCCGGCGCAGCCGATGGAGCCGATGGCGTTGTTGGCACGTCCAAATGTGAGGATGAATTCAAGCTGATGCCCTTCTTCAGCTTCATCTTCTGGGCTCTCGCGTACTTCACCCTCCACCCCGGCGCGAAGAAGTGGGACGGCCCGCTAAAGAGCATCGAGTCGATCATCAACGTCGGCCTCATTTTGATAGGCGTGTACATCATCGGGGCGGGCACATATGTGAGTAGGAGGTCATCTCTTCGGCTTGCAAGTCGTGCAACCGCGGCATCCGCGGCATCCGCGTCCGCTGAAGATAACGCTCACTGACGCGCTCCTTTCAGACATCCGTCCAGTCGATCATCGACTCATACCACGCCTCGTTATACGGCTCTGTATTCACTTGTGCGAGCAATGCGGCATAGCCAGCTCGCCGACGCGGTCTCCCCAAGCCCCTCGCTGTCCAGGCCTCTTCTGATCGAGACGCCCATGCAAGCCATATCAGCATTGACGAGGCCATGAATCGCTGACTCCGCGAGAATAACGCAGTGTATGTAGCCCATGACACGGTCATCTGGACCCACCGCGACGCAGCGCAAAAGCTCAGTATTTATCTGACCATATTTATATACAGTAGTGGATGGGGGAGGTGGCCTCCCATGGCTAGGGGAGGCTTGTAATGCAATGTTCAGCCGCCTGTGCAACGAGGCATAGCACGGACCAGCGGTGTGACCCTTTGACCCAACGAGAGGAAAGTCGGTGCGGTCGCCAAGGAAGCTCTAAATATCCGAGACGGGCCGCTTGCCAGCCAAAGCCTGGTGGTGCGCATAGCTCGAGCAGAGAACAGAAAAATGCATTCCAACATACATACATGAGTAAAGCAAGCATTGTTATTGCACATCGCCTACGAGGGTATCCCCTTCAAGGTCCCTCCTCCTACCGCGACATATCCCCTCCTACCAGAACCTCCTCGGGGCCGCCGACCCTGGTTGTGCGCCGAACGGTGTCGCGGGCTGCGTAGGGGTAGCCGCGAAGGGCGTCGCTGGTGCCGTCGGTGTCGCCGAGAACGGTGTCGCAGGTGGTCCCGCGGCGAACGACGAGGCCGGGGGTCCTCCCAGCGCTGACGGTCCTGCCAGAGCCGATGGCGCCCCTAGAGCCGACGGTGGCGCTCCTGCTCCCGCTGTGAAGGTTGGAGGCGTGGCACCCGCCGCGAATGGAGCCCCCGCACCGAACATGCCCCCCGACGGGACGGCCGACATGGGCATTCCTGCGGGGCTGGGTGCTGCGGGTGCGCCGAAGGCGCCTGGTGCCCCTGCTCCCCCGAACGCGCCGGCAAGGCCGGGAATCGCGGGCGCACCGAGGGCACTCCCTAGCCCGGGGACTGCTGGCGCGCCGGGAGCAGCCGCGCCTGGCGACATGAAGCCGGGCGCCGCCGCGGCTGTGTTGGCGCCGTAGGACGCGAAGATCTCCTTCGAGGTCAGCTCGCGGCCGTGCTTGAGGAATTCGTAGCGGAGTTCCTGTGCAAGGTGACGATGAGCCCCCAAATCAAAATGGCATCGACGACCATATCGACATCGACGGTCGAACTGGCATCGACGACCGTATTGGCATCGACAACTGAACTAGCAAGCCTCACCTCGAAACTGTGCCCCTCATACTCCGGCTTCGCGTTGATGCTCTGGTATTGTTCGTCCCTGGACGATGTGCTTGCGGTGCCGTTGTAGCCCGATATCGGTGGCCGCGATGTCGATGTCGATGAGCTCGATGATGTGGTCGACGCCTCGACGACCCCGAAGGGGCTCATCTTCACTGGCGTTGGCGGCTCTTTGTGGCCGCGAAGGTAGGCGTAGTATCGGAGTTCCTGGCGAGCGAAAGCAAGATCAAGTTAGTTAACAAAGAAAGGTGATGTCAGTCCATGCAAGAAGCGAATCAGACATTCCAAAGCGGGAACAAGACGCTCCCAAATGGGAAGACGACGAGCAAACGAAGAGGAAAGCTTACCTCAGGAGTAAACTTCTGATAAGAAGGATGACAGCAAATAGACTGGTACTTCACCCGCTCATTCGTGTCTTCGTAGACCGTGAATTCTTGCGCAGGCGGCAGTTTCGCGGGATCAGTGTACACTTCTTGCGGCGCGGGCGGCGCCTCAATGGCGCCGGTGGATCTATTAAAGGTCATGATTTATCACCTTATACTACCAAAGTACATACTCGTCTATGAGTACGCCCCGGAAGAGCGGTGGCAAGCCCAGCGTCGCACGGGTCTGTGCGTCCGGAGGCTGCTCGGGAACCGGCGGGGGTGGCTTCCCCGTCGTCGTGTACGCTTTCAAGTAGTCTTGTACACGAAGTTCCTATGTGATGTGTTAAGTATTTGCGCATACAATATAAAACGCCACTCCGCGGCTGTGGCACCTCAAAGCTCGATTCTGGTTGGCCTGGGACAACGTTGATGCTCATAAAGGTGACTTTGCCGCGCGAAGACGACGCAGTACTGCGTGTGCTGCTAAAGAGGCCGCTGAAAGACATGACCCTGTAAGAATATATCTGCGAGAATGAGTATTGAGGCGCGCCGCGCGAAGCGCGATGGTGGTCCAAGTCAAACACGGGAGGTCACAAAGGCACGTGGGGTGACGATTCCCACACCGGCAATCCTTCGAACAAACAAGGACAAACTACCACCCACTTGTCCTCGACGGCCATCACCAGGCTTCTACGATGGTGGATATGCTCTTGTGAGACTTTCATATCCTAGTGTGTATACAGAGTTATTGACCCGTGCGCCATGTATGTAGCGTCGCAGCCCTGTCACATTTACTGACCCATACACGGTTTTTCGTCACGCTTCGATCTGCCGAGGGCAACTATCACTCTTTGATTCTGTTCAGGCTTGCATCGGAATCTGCCTCTGCTGAATCTCCAACTGGGCCTCGATCTGTTGCTGTACACGCCGTAGGAGAGAATGATACCACATCAAAGTCTCGTCAGATCTATGTTATGGAGGCAAGCTGCCCGCATTTGGGCGCAGACATGTCCCATGCAGATATCGAGGAATACGGCGACGACAATGAAGACCCTACCCTTGTTGCCGTATGTCCTTGGCACAGGTGAGTCGTCGTCCTAATTACGCGCCTTCCAAGTTCGAGTGCTGGCCGTGCTTCAGATATGACTTCGACCTCCGCACGGGGAAGAGCGAAACAGGGATGCATACGTGTACCTACTCGATCGATATTCGCACGGAGGGCGACGTGGAGAACGTATACATGGAGACGCCCTCTGGGGGCACTGGTTGGCGCCTGATAGAACTGCGGCCTGTTTCCGAAGGTGAGCCTTGGGACGTTCTCGTTCTTGCTTTGTCAGGTTTCTCAACGCATTTCGTAGAGTTCGCTGACCCTCCACCAAAGTATAATGCTCTAACTTCTGTATCGGTTCCACGTGAGCGGGACGCAGAGGACGAGCCAGTGGTCCCGGTCGAAGACCCTCCTTCGACACTAATGGAATGGGCGGTGCTGATCCTGAACACTCCCGAACCTCGACTCAAGGTAGGCTCGAGTAGATGACCACTGCTCTCACAGCAGCTCACGTACTTGTGTATGCAGGTCGAACGCACCCGACACGCCGTGCACCTCTTCCGCACCGGCAAGCTCAAGTCCATCGGCAACAAAGTCGCTAATCCGCCAACGCCTCCGGACGTACCACCGCGGCATGCGCTCTACGTCAGCAACACCGTCGCGCCGGAAAAGATGAAGACCAAGCGAGGGGCTGCGGCGAGTCTGCATGCGTTGGCAAATATTGAGCAGTGGGCGTAAGTCGGTTCTGTTCGACGCGCCATATGACAGATCGGCTGACTTTCAACCTTATAGAATTGATCTCGCGTAAGCACAGCTATCTTTCCTGAAGAAGACTTTCTCTGACCGATACTAGGTGGGACATCATGGCCCGCTTCGGCCCGCGATATAAGGACCTCCCGCCAGCTTTCTTCACCGACTTTACCAAAATGGCCCTGGACGAATCGAAGCACTTGTAAGCCAATCCATTCCTCCCCCTCACCTCTACCTCTCCTCTCCCCCACCCCCTTTCCTCCTACCCCCTCTAACCCCTTCCCCAGCACCCTCCTCACCGCCCGCCTCGCCGCCCTCGCCCCATCCACCCCCTACGGCTCCCTCCCCGTGCACGCCGCCCTCTGGTCCTCCGCCACCGCCTCCGCCGCCTCCCTCCGCGCCCGCCTCGCCATCATCCACCTCGTGCACGAGGCCCGCGGGCTCGACGTCAACCCCGCCACCATCGCCCGCTTCCGCCGCGCGCGCGATATGGAGAGCGTCGCCGCGCTCGAGGTCATACACGCGGACGAGGTCACGCATGTGACGACGGGGCACAGGTAAGTTCTCTCTCTCTGAACTCGGTGGTTTCTAGATCGGTGTTTTCTATATTCGATGGTTTCCATATCATACCCCTGCTCTCCTCTTTGCCTCGTCTCCGCACTTGATTCACGCAGCAGCACAGATGGTTCACCTGGGTGTGCGCGCGGGAGGGTGTCGAGGACCCGGTGGCGGCGTTCAGGGAGGAAGTCAGGAAGGGCTGGCGCGGGGATGTGAAGGGCCCGTTCAATGAGGAAGACCGAGAGAAGGCGGGACTGACGCCGGATTTCTATCGCGACCTCAAGGGCGAGCTTGGGCTGGACGACTCTGGGATCCTGGGTTTGCGTGGGCTGGATGACCCGGGGAGATCACGAGAAGCGGAAAACTCACGGAGGGCGCACGAGGCCGAGGAGAGCTCGCAACAAAAGCCGATGACTGCATCAAGCGTGCAGATTGGTTACGACTCGACAGATTGAAGCGCTGGGCGCATGACTGACACGGCACTGTTAAGAAGATGAATCAAGGCGGCCACCGCCTTGTCTGTATTGCCAACCATCCAGGGCCAATCGACCGTAATCTAGAAGTACATATGCGCGCCTGTAGGAGTATGTATGTAGTGCTGAAAGTTCCTCTGCGGTGCTGGAATTTAGGTATGTGATGCGGAACTGTAGGTATGCAACGCTCGACTGTAGGTATCGTCCGCGATAATGGTATAGGTATCTCCTCGCCAAGGGTGACAGGATCCGTGCAGCTGATGATACACGTGAAGATGATGATAGGAGGACAGATGCTGATGATGATACGAGAACAGAGGGAACACAAATCGAGGAAGAGAGCACATATACATGAATGATAGGAAGAGGAAGAACGACACCCAAGCCAATGATCAAAGACAAGGAAATGCAGAGCCAGAAGTTCCGGAAAGTACGCATACAAGCTCCGGGAAGAACAAATACAACCGACGAAACAATGGCAGAGTGGACGAGGAAGAGCGAAACGAGGTGGCGCACTCAGGTGGATGGGTTGACGACGCCATGACTATGGAGGAGGTCAGCAACGAATCAGTCGAAGCAGGATATATGCGTACACGCGGCGCATATGGGCAATGATACCGGGACCTGAGTACGTCTGCGACTTCAACGGGCATAACTCACACCCAATGAAGAGGTTCGGGATAGTCGGGGGTGCGAGATCAACGTGCCTAAACGACGTCGTCAGCCATTAACATTCGAGACAAGAAAACGCTCACTTCGCAACATAATGGTCGTAAAGCCCCTTAACCGGGATGCGTGATCCCTCCCAGCGCCACGGACGGGCCTTGTCGGCGCGCTTCACTGCTTGCGGCTTGGTGTCCGTAGACTTGGCCGATTCCCCTGACTCAGCGGCGCATGCGGGACAGACGACCATGTCCGATTCGGCGACCATATAGCCTTCCGGTAACTCGGTAATGTCGCCAGCGCCAACGAGGTTGGCTTGTTGCAAGATGGTAGGGAGAGCCAGCGTCCATGCTAGACAACGTAGGTAAATGGCGGATATATGCGCGTGCTAGACGACGTACAGGTATAGTCAATGACTTCCAGATCGCGGCGGAATGCATCAAACAGGACGATGCAGGCGGGCATGCGCATATACAGGCGGGTACGATGGGTGATGTCCTTCTTGGGCAGGACTTTTCCCTCTCGCTTCGCGTCCCATTGCACGAATGTGGCGATCCTGACGCAATCAAATCAGCGTACGAAGCCAGCCCGACAGCTCGAACGCACTTGTCCTTGTTCTCCGCATCCGCCGCCTTCCAGGCCGGTTCATACACCTCGACCCAGTTGCTGTATGCTGGAGCGTCGATGCTCAGCTTCTTTCGTATCTGCGTGCTGAGGTCAGCTAGGTGTGCGCGCGGGTGACTATCGAGAGCTCACCTCCATAGTAAAGACATAGGTCGCCCACATCCACTCGGACAGAGGCTCGCCATTCCAAGTCTCGGGCTTCGGCAGCTCCAGCAAGTTCTTCTTCGCCGCACTCCAAACCCTGTCCTCGGACGCAAGGTCTTTGAACGCGGTACATACTTGGCGGACGATGGAGAGATCGCGAGGGCTGAAGTTCGTAAAGATCTGGGTACATGCACGTCAGCGAGGAAAGACGCCAAAGACAGGCCATCATACTCACCATCTCCATGAGCTCGACTGGTAGGTCGAAGAACACCGTGGTCTGATGTGCCTCGCCAACTTCGTCGCCGTCGGTGTCGCGGTCTTGCGAAGACGCCGATGTAGACGCTGACGCTTTGCGAGATAGCCCAAGAACGTCGACAGCCTTATGAAGCAGGATATTGAACATGGCGAGGGAATGAGTGGGCTGCGCGGCGGGAGGAGGAGATGGGGGTGGCACGCAAGAAGGAGTCCAAAGCGACCAAACATACCATCACATGGCGTCGACCGATCCGCGCTGCCAAACAAGGCGACATCGGCCATGAGCTCGGTGAATTCGCAGGCCTTCCTTCCTCCTCCGAGGAAGCACATAAAGAGCAGAGAATTGCAGATTAAGGTTCAACGTTGCAACGAGCGTCTACATAGAGAAGCAGTCCTTCGCATGAGATTTGGGCGTGAGCACGGGAGGCAGGATAACCGTTGACCTTGTCGCGCGGAGGATGCATGCCGGCCCAGAGTTCGCGAAATGCGGACCCGTCGTTGAGCAGGATCTGCCCCACGTCTCGCACGAACGGGCTCATGTTCGTGATGTCTGAGCGGGAGAACGCTGGATCGATGGCCTTCTTCCGACAAGCTATTCGCACAAATATCCTCCTCTGAGACTGCGGTGAGGATTCATAACGAAGCCGAGAGGGTGCGGCAGGCCCGGGCAGGGGGTTATTGTGACGGTGGAAGTGAGCTCGCGCGCACGTGTACAATTCGCACGGCCGTCGGCCGTGTGTGACGCCTCGGCCTTAGCCGACGCCACGTGCTCTGCCTTCACCCCTCGCGGGGGTATTTCCTTTGGAGTTCCTTGAGGTTCTCCTGGTTTCTTATGACTCGTATATATACTCCGTGACTAGTTATGACTACTTACAGCTGTAGGTATAAAAGGGCCCTCCTCCAAGGGAGGAGGGCAAGGTTTTCAATCGAGACTTCGTTACAGAGTAACCTCGTGGGAATCTTCTTCATCATCTCCGTGAGCCGAGCCCGGCCCGCTCTCCGCGTCACCGTACTCGCCTCATATTTTTACTCTCTCGCTCGACGTCCTCGATAGAAACATCGACTTCGACTTCGACAACCAGCAACCAGCAAAGTTTTCACTACCTACCCCTATTCCCCCCGCTAAGGCAACGGACTTGATCAACCCGGCACCCTTCGCGGCTTAATTACCCTTTCTTCCTTGTCGACAATCTCAATGGCGCCAAAAGCTCAACCTCTGCGCGACTCCAGCGGACGTTTCCGCCCTCGCGCAGCGTCGGTTGACACCGGTGAGTCTCAGACCGCGTGGCGTGGTACTGACGACTCCTTCACTAGTGCACTCTCGGACAACGAGTCCGACTCGGGTACGGCGGGCGCTCAAGATGCGCCGCCTGCCACCGCCGATGACCAGGTCATCGAGCATGCGACGGTGCAACACGACGTTGTGCCGTCGTCGGGTGCTTCCGCCACGACGGTGGGGGTATCCCGCCAGGTGTCTGCTCTCGACGGAGCAGACCCTGGAGAGGGCGAGTGGTCGGCCGATGCCGCTGCTCAGTCCCCGACCCACGCGCATGCCGCCGACGGCCTCGTGCCTGAAGCTGGTGCTCAGCCGCGTGCACCGGGTGCTGTGGGCAGTCGCGCTATCGCGCCAGAGTCCACGGAAGTAGATAATACTACGAATAAAATTTTCCCTCAGTATGATGAGAACAGCGAGCACGGGGCTCGCGAGTCCGAAAGCGTGAACGTACCTGAGAGCTCTATCCCCGGAAACAGTAGGGACCGGATGGATAAGGGTAAAGGCCCGGATCTACGCAATTTCGGTAATCTCGACTTCGACGAGGTCGAACACGATCCCGAGATTCAGCGGGACATCCTGGATGCCGCAAATCGAGCTCGGGGATCGCGGGCTCAAGTGCCCAATCAGGGGCCAAGGGTGTCTTTGGCAAATCTGGAACCCCGCGCCGCCGAAAACAAGCAGATCGCCGATCTGTTCGATGCACTCCACCTCAAGACTGTTGAGGCCGCGGACTACGCCGCCCTCAATGCCAAACTGGCGAGGCAGGTCAGCCAGCTCAGTGAGAGGTACGACAATCTCGTCGAACTCCTCACGGATGGGTCTGGCGCCGCACGCTCGCGCGCTGCGAGCGTCGCACGTGAGCGATCGGTGCCGAACGAAGTTCAACCGACACGTGACCTGAGCGCAATCAAGCGCGAGACCGCGGAGGCCTCTGTGCCCCCCGCGGTGCATCGTGAACGTCCTTCGAAGGCTTCTAGTCCCGAAGACAAGCTTCGTCCGAGCTATGTAGCTGGGGGCGAGTCCTACTGGGACAAGTACATGGCTATGATCAGAAGCCGTGTAGTCGGCCTTCCGAGCTCAGACTCGGATGACGACGGACAGTTTGACAGCGCGGGTAAGGCCAGCCGCCTTAAGCCGCAGCCTCCCGAGTCCTACGACGGCCGGGAGGACGATGAGGCCTTCTGGACCTTCGTCATTGATTCTCTTCAGTATGTCACTGATGGTCGAGTGGCAGCCACTCGGCAGGCCGACGTTGTCTCGCGTTGGCTCACTGGCAAGGCCAGAAGGTTCTACAAGCAGAACTACATGCTTAGTGCTTCTCGAAGCGCAAATCTAGACGACTTTTTCAGAGATTTATTCGATCACTGTTTCAGTCTAAACTACAAAGACAAATGTCGTACTCGGTACAAGTCCTGTATCCAAGACAATCGCGATCTCCGCGACTACATGCACGATCTAGAGCGCTTCTGGGTGGTGCTGACTGAGGAGACCAGCCGAAACCGGGTCTTGAAGTTTTGGGAAGGCCTTGACTCCTGGCTCGTGAAGCGCCTGATGGAGGACGGCTTCAGCAAAGAAGTTGATGAGTTAGAGCCTACGTACCGACGTGCTCTGCAGCTCTGGCAGGCTAGCTACGCTGCCCGAGCCCAAGCGAAGGGCAGGCGCCCTGACGACCATGGTGGATCGCCCCCCAACCGCGGAAGCGGCACGGGTGGCGCATCTGCATCGTCCCGACGTTCTGGAGGCGGGAGCTCTTCTGCTCCCTCCTCTAGGCCGCCAGCGAACGCGTCTGCTGCCGCTGGAACGCGCACCTCGAGCTCTAATGAACGCTCGAGGACCACTGGAGGTAAATTCAGCGGACAGGCAAGGGGGTCACAACGTACCTCCGCGCCGAATGGAAGGAGCGCGAACGGTCGCGCCCCTCCTAACCGCAAGCCAGGAAAATCTCCTGAGCTCCTGAAGCGCCTCCGTGAAGAGGGGCGCTGCTTCCGCTGTGAGTCTAAGGACCATATAAGCCGAAACTGTCCCGAAGCGAACCACGTACCTTCGACGTCTTCTGGACCTCCTGGTCTCGCGATTCACTCGGTGGCAATCGAACAGGCACGTCTGCTCGACCAGAGACGTGCTGGCATCACTAACACGACTACATTGTCAGTCAATATGGTTCAGTTCGAACCCTCGCACGACTCACCTGGGTCTAACCCGGACAGTACACGCTGCACGACGTGCTCACCGCCGTGGGCAACACACGTCCTCGCGGACTGTCCGCTTGTCTGTGGCGACGTTCCCGGACGCCCCCACCTCTACGTGCAGCCGCTCTTCGACTACTACACGCGAATTGCGCTGCGCACGAGGCGCGAGCCTCCCAAGTTTTGCTCGGGCGACGACTTGCTCGCCCTCTGCGAGACACCCGAGTATGCCGATTTTATCGGTCGCGCCTGCGACCCTTCATACGTTGGCGACTTGGGGCAGTGGCGGGTGCGTGGTGCGTTCGCGCTGAACGCCGTGCGCGCTTGGCCTGGCGACGGCGAGAAGCTGCGCGATGCGATGTTCCACAACCTCGCGCCGCTCTCGTATCTTTGCGATGGCGCGCCCGTCCGTTTCCTGCCAGTCCAGACCCAGGACGATTGTGTCTCCCTCTTCGAGACTGTTGAGGCCGAAGCTGGGCGTCGCGAACTGGCTCCGCTTCGCATCCCGAATGCGTTCTTCATCCGCGAAGGCTTCTCGATGGAGGACTACGTTGCGCGTCAGATATGCGTCGACTTCGGGATGGACACCTCACAGGCTCGTCGCATGGCGTACCTCTACTCCACGGGCACTACCCTCGGGGATCTCGTGCCCGAGAGCGTCGCTTACGCCCTCAACTGGGCAGTCAGACGCGTAGTCGGCGAGGAGCAGCGTCGCGCTGACCTCTCCCGCTTCTACGCCTTCCGGCCGTACTCTGGGTCGCCGGTCATCCTCGTGTGCGACACGCTCCTGGGCGTGTCGTGGGGTCTTCGTCTCAAGGACATTGACGCCGGTATCAACGTCTGGTACTGGTACATGTATCAGCGCATGCGCTACTTCGTGGGTGGGCATCAGAACACGGCTCACCCGAAGCGCTATATGTCGCGCTGGTTCGAGTCGCCTGCTGATGCCGCAGCGCGTCGAAGCTTCGACGTCTTCACGCAGCCCGACGGCGCGTTCCCCGCGCGTTGGTTTCGCGAGCCCGCGGAGGACCTGATTGAGTCCGGCGTGTTCGCACAGGCGTGGGCAACGATGGTGCGCATGGCGTCCAACGTGCCGGTACGTTTCCCAGCTTCGCGTCTTCCATGGCGTCAGCTGACGGTCTTCGCAGTATCGAAGGGGCGCTCCGCGCCGTTGGCGTCCTCGTCCGCACGCGTTGCGCAACGGACAGCCGTCTTCCCGCGGGGGAGCGGCCGCCGCATCCCGAGGCCCATCGTCCTCGTCGTTCGTGTAAGCGGGCATCCCTGCAAGGCGTTAGTAGACTCTGGTTCGTCAGTAGATCTCGTGAGCTCGGCTCTCGCTACTCAACTGCGCCTTCCGCTCATTGAGCACGATGGCCAGGTGTCCATGACGATGGCAGTGAGCGGGTCGCGCTCGAAATGTAATTTTCATACGTCTGTAGATTTTGAATGGTCAGCTATACACGAGCAGCGCGTCTTTGACGTCTTGAACCTCGCGACTTACGACGTCGTCCTCGGGACTCCGTTCCTGTACCAGCATTCCATCTCGTTCTCCATCAACCCGCCGAAGATCCTCATTGGGAGCGTTGAGGCGCTGCCGCTTGAGGGGCCACACGTCGACGACTTGTTCATGGCGAACGTAGAGCCCGAGCCTGGCTCGGACGAGTTAGAAGCTATTCGGAAGCATCT